CTTTTCTTTAATTAATAATTATTTTTTATTAATGAATAAAATAATAATTACTTATTAAATAAAATCACATTTTAATTAATTATATATTTATTTTATTATTATTATTTTTATATATTTTAATTAAAAAATTAAAAATTCTTTACTAAAAATTATTAAATATCTTATATTTTTTTATAAAAATAAATTTTAATACTTTTTAATATTATAATTTTTTTATATTTATATTTTAAAATATATTAAAGCAATTATTATTTTGGTAGTTTTTAATATTAAAATTTATTTATATAAAAATATAATAACTATTTATAATTAAAATTTAGATTAATTTATACTATAATTTTTTTGTTTAATTATTGTTTATTTCATAAAATTTAATTAATTTTTTTTTTTTTTTTTTTCACATTTGGCTATTCTCTAAATTAATTGCTGCTTTAAGCAATTTATTCATTTTTTCTTAATTTTTAATAACTTATTATTCAACTTTGCTTTTTATAGCTTCTGCTTCTTATTTATTCATTGTTGCTAGTAAATCAACTCTCCATAAATTTTTTATTCCATCAATTTTTATTGTACTTCTTCTTTTATCAATGCTATATCTTTTTAAAAGTTTTTCTAATTTTTCCTTTTCTCTTTACATTTTTATCAATTATTATTCACTTACATATACACTTTAATCTTCGTCTTAATTATAACCTTCTAATGAAGCTTTTTATTTAAATATATTTTCCAATCTACACCTATAAATGAAACATTTATTTATTTTTAACTAAAAAAACCTTTAAAAATTTATGATTTTTGATATCGTTTACACTTTTTGCTCCTAATCTTTATTTATAATCAGGATTAAGTAATTTAACAATTAGATCTTATACTTCAGGAGAAATATCATCTTCAGAATACCCTAAAAAAAAATATATAATATAAAGAAAAAAGAAAAAATAGTTATGAATATACCAATTGAAGGCCATTCTATGTTTCCTTTTTTAATATTACTAAAAACTTCTTCAACAGTATCACCACTAAAAGGTCTTTTTTTTTTGTTTTTATATAAAACAAGAAATAAAAAAATATTTTATACCTACAGCCAACAACAAATTCATAAATCATAACTCCTAAACTCCACCAATCAATAGAAGGGTTACTAGTAGAAACTCCATTAATAACTTCAGGAGGAATATAATCAGGGGTTCCAACAACTCTATTTTTTTTAGAAGGATTTATCACAGATTATTCGTTATTATTCAATTGCAATTTGTTAGCAATTCCAACTTCTGATAAACCGAAGTCAGCCAATTTAATATGCATATTTTTATCCAAAAGAACATTTTCAGGTTTAAGGTCTCTATGAATAATATTCTAAGAATGCAAATATTCAATTGCTATAATTATCTCTGCGATATAAAATTTGGTTGTTTCTTCATCTAACCTACATTCTCGATTTAATAAAAGCCTAAAATCGCCTCCACTTATATAGTCTAAAACAAAAAATAAATAATTTTCAAATTAAAACGAATAGATTGCCTTCACTACATATTCCCCTGTTAATATTTCAAATATATCACTTTCAGCTTTTAAATTTTCTTTTTAATTTCTATCCATCTATTTGGATATAAATAAATTGAATTAAAATATATACATTTAGATTATTTTATATTTATATATTTAAAGTTTATATTTATTAACTTATTATGAACAATCTATAATTTTTAATGCATATTCATCATTAGTAGTTTTTTTTTTAACTAACCAAACTGCACCAAATGCTCCTACCCCTAAAATTCTTTTAAATTCGAAATCATTAAGGCCTAGATTCATTATTGATTATTAAAAGTGAGTTTCATCAACATAAAATTTCTTTACTTCTGAATCTGAATAATAACCTTTATTTTTATCTAAATAATCATCTTCTTCACTGTTATAAGTATCTGAAGATTGCTCTAATTCTTAACTAGTTTGATTTTTAAATTATTATTTAATATAGTGTTCTTTTATTGCATTATCTAAATAATCTTTTTAGAATTTCAATTTATTTATCCTATTTCCTTATGATTTACATTTGCTATATTAAAATTTTTTGTTATTATTTGCTTACTTTATTTAAGTTTCTTAGCTATCATTAATAGGTTAAATTAAAATAGAACTATTAGATAATTAATTATTTGTTATTTTTAGATTTTCATCTATATTATTATTTATTTTAATAAATATTTTTAAAGAATAAACACATATATGTATATATTTTTTTTTTCTTTTTACTTATTTTTTTTATTTCATATTCATTAAAATTCTAATTTAATTGAAGAATAATATTATTTTCATTTATATTTTAATTTTATTTTTTTATTAAAAAGACTAAATGAATAAAATCTTCTAATTAATTTAAATAAATGGAATTCTTTTTTCTAATACATTTACTTATAATTTCATTAAGTAAACTATTATTATTTTATAATGTATTTTAACTTAGTGATTATAGATATTTGCTTGGTTTTACTTTTTAATTTTCTGCTTTATTTAATTATTAGAATGAATTATCATAATCTGATAATGTTATAAAGTCGTTTAAATCATTTTTATTATTATAATTTTATTCATTTTGTGATGAGCTCTATAGATTTTTAATATAATGATCTTTATTAGACACATTTTCTTTATCTTTTTTATTTTTACAATTAGATCCTTAAAATTTTACTCGTTTAATATTATTAATATGTTTTTAATAATAATCATCTATTGTATTTGTATCTACATAATTAAAATTTGATTTTATTATATTTAATTTCTTTTTAAATTATCCTTATATTAATTCAGATTCCTTAGCTTAAACTTTCTTTTATTTACTTTGCAAATGCTAAAAGTTTTTTATTGAAAATTTTCTTCGAATGATTTCTTCTTCTTTTTTACATTAAATCATAAGATTATTTTCTTATTCTTTTATTTTATTTATTTTTCTTTAAATTTATATTCTTTACTTTTTTTTAATATATTTTTGAATTTTTTATTTTATTTTTATTACATTTAATAATTCTATTGATTCTTTCAATGTTTAAAAAACTGTTTGATCTTACATAATATTTGGTAATTCGAATTTTAAATTTGTTTAGGTTTAAATATCGTCTATTTTATTTATTTTTAAAATTAAAAAAATATAATTAAATACTATTAATGTCAATTATTATCTATTCTTTTCGTGATTTTTTCACCATATTAAACTAAATATGAATAAGCTTAAATAATTTATTTAAACATTTTAGTTTAGATATGATTATTATATTATTTTCTATTTTAATTATTTCTATCTTGATTATTATCAATATAATCATCTTATCTATTTATTGAATCATTATTAATTTGATAATCTATTTTAATGGTTTTTGATTTTGTATGATTTTTATATTATTTTTAATTATATTTATTTCTACAAAAATCTTAAAAATTAATATTTTTAGTTTAAATTGTTAAAAGTTTATTTTTTTATTAAGCTTATTCATTTTTTTATTCTTTTTACTTAAAAATGTATTTTTCTAATAAAACAACTTCTTCTTATTTTGTATTTTCTCTAACTTATAAATTTTAAGATATATTGCTTATATGCTATTATTACTTATCTTTTGCAATCTAATCTATATCCTAAATTATAAACAGGGCATATAACAATATTTTTTTTAATTTATTATTGTTAATTTTTTATATTTTAATTGATTTATAATTCATTTATAATTTAACTTTAACTATGAATATTTGAAAATTAATTATTGTTTTCAAATAATGAATTTATAACTATTTGATTCTTAATATTTTTAGGTGATTAATGACCTGAATTATTTGATTCTAGATTTTCGTGTTTATTTATTTCTTCTGTTATTTTATCATTATTGCTTAATTTAATATTTACTTATTTATTAGAATTTCTATTAAAATTTTGATAATTGTTTGGTTTTTTACAACTAACTTGCAATTTTAGACTAACTAAAATATTATCTTCGACATTATTAAATGTGTTTTAGTTTGATTCTTTTTCAAAACATTCATCTATTATATGTAGACTACTTTTTTACTCTTCTTATTAGAAAAATACTAGTTTTGTTTCATTCTATTTATCAATTTGCTTAAAATTAGGTTTCATTTATTGTATTTATTAAGAAGGTTCATCTGCTATTATTTACAAATTATTTTCGTTTTTCTAATATTCCAAAGATATATCAGAATCTTATGTTTAAAAAATATCTTTTGTAAATTCATTTTTTTTTTAATTTTCAGATTCTATCATGTTAATTTATAAAATAACATTTTTATCTTGATTTAATCTTTATTTTTGATAAATAAATTTATTTTCTAATTAATTTTATTATTCGATTGTTGGAATATTTATTTCTGAATGTTATAATTATGTTGATGTATTAAATGTAAATTATTTATTTTCTTAAAAAGCACTTTACTTTTTAATTTCGCAACTAAATTGTTAAGATCGGAATTATTAATTTTTTATAAAGTATAATTATGGAGAATCTGCTTCACTTGAATTTGTTTCTAAATAATCAGTATTTAAATTTAAAGTTTATTTTTTAAGTTTTTATGTTATTAAGTTCCTTTTTTAAAATCTAGTTTTATTTTTTAAATTTAAAAAAATAAAATATTACCTTTGCAAATTTATTTGCTTTTAATATTTTTATTATTCTTTATATGCAAATTCGCTAATTTCTTTTAGTTTCAAATCTAATTATATTATTTATATTCTAAATTGTGCTATTTTTTCACAATTTTCTGTATGTTCAGATATATATTAAACATTGAATTTATTATCGCAAATTCTACAAGTAATTAGCTCAATTTTTACTTCATTTATTTAAAGAAATTTCTTATCAGTATAGTTTTGAATCCACTATAGTAATAGCTTTTTATAAGTTTTTTTTGTTTACTTCTTTTCTCTATTTAAAACTTCTTCGTTTATATAATTTTGGAATACTAAATAATCTAACTTAAATAACAAAAAGTTATATTGTGATGTTTATTTTAAAACATCTCTTAATTTCATAATTTTTTTAACGTTATTTTATCCTAATTCATTTATTATTTTTTAATTATTTATAAGTTTGTAAAAGTCTATTTCTTTACGATCTATTTAAAAAAGTTAATGGAATTATATTTATAGTAAAAATAGTTTTTTTGATTAAAAATATATACTTTATATTACAAAATGAAATGTTTAATAGTATGCTTATAATTAATTTAAACTAAACTTTAATAAATTTATAATAAAGATAAGGTTTCTATATATTTTTTTTTATATAAAAATTTAATTAATAAACTAAAATCATTAATATATTTATTTACTTTAATTATTTATACGCTTTTAAATCTTAGAAAATATTTTCTAGATTTAAATTATCATATTTACTAATATATTAGTAATAGACTTATTCTTCTATTTATTTAAGATCTTTAAAAAAATTATTTTTGAATAAATATTTTAATTAATATTATTATTAAAAAATACCTTATTATATTTAATTTAATCCATAATTAATTAACTAAATAGTTGGAGTATGAATATAGTTTGTAATTATATTTAATATATATTGAATAATTATTTTCTATTTTTTTTTTTATATATATGATAGAAACAATAAAATAAAGTATTAAAATAGATTTATTATAAAACTTTTTATTTTTAAATATATGATTTTTTTTTTAATTACACAATCATCATAAGTTTAATCTATATAGAATTAATAAATTATTGATATAATAATAGAAAAATTAAACATATTTTTTTTATTGTATTATTTAATAATTCGATTTTATTAGAATATATTATATTTTTATAAAGATTCATATTCAAATTCATCGCCTAAACTATGAGACTTTATTAACTTAGCTTATTATTTAGTATTATTTTTTTTAGAGCAATTTTATATTTACTGCAACTTTTAGCAAAAAATAACATTTTTTGTATTATTCTATTCATTATCAAACCATTTTACATCTTAATTGTTTTTTATATTATTTTTTATATTTAAGCCATTTATTTTAAAATATTCGTTTTAGACATGCTAAAATTATCTATTATATGAACAACCACAAGAAGGGACAAAATTATCATCAAATGCTTTTAAAATCTGTTTTTTTAATAAATATGGATCCATTTAAAGTTATTTATTTTTATTTTTTAATTTTCTTATTTAATATTTAATATATTTTATAAATGAAAAATTATTATATTTTACTTTTATGCTTATTTTATATGGTAGAATTCAAAAATAAGTAATAATTATTATTATATTTATATTAAATAAAATCCAAATTATAATCAAAAGATAATAAATAAAAATTTAATTATTATGATTAAAATTTTATATATATAAAAAAATCATATTCTAAATTAAAAAAAAAATTAAGCATTTTTATTTTGTTTAAAATTATTTTTTGATATTTTTAATGAAAAATATATGTAAATTTCTTTTATTTAAATATAATATTTTTAACAAATGTTTAAACTATAAAAATTATTTTATTATAAAAGTTAAAAAATTAAAAATAAAAATTATTTACAAAACATAAAAATAAATATTAAGATTTTTAATATCGGCATTATCAGAATAATGAAAAACCCCAAATTACTTGTTAAATAAAAAAACCAAAATTAATAAAATTAAAAATAATAAACTGAAAACTCATTAACCCTAAAAAAAAAATTATAATTTTTAAGGATGAAAACGGAAACTGGGTAAACAGCCATAACAGCTATTTCATAGATTAAGAAGGACGTCTTAAAAAAGAGTCAAAATTAAGATTATCCTTAATTTATTGATAATAAATAGAATTATAGAACTAACTTTTCACAAAAAGCATAATTAATAAATAAGGACCCTATAAAAAAGTAAAGTAAAACAAAATGTCTTAGTATCAATTAAAATTAAGGATTAAATAATTTTAGCCAGATTTTTAAATTGGATTTTATAGAAGGTAAAATATTATCTATTTATAATGTTATATTATATATTTTTTCTGTATTTATTTTAAAAAACTCAAATCAACAAAAAAAATGGAAAAATTAATTTTTTTTTTTAGTTGATTGAGTTTTAAATAAAAATACTGAAGAACAAAAATAATATATATATATATATATATATATATATATATATATATATATATATACTTAAAATTAATAATTATATATGAAAGAAAGATAAAATTAAATAAGATATTTCTTTGATAATGATGAAAATAATGATTTTAAAATAAAATAAAATTTAAAAATTTAAAAAGAATCAAAAAGTAGTTAAAACTTATAATTTTAATAACCTTTAAATGATAACTTATAAATTCATAAAAAGTAAACTGAAAGATTTACACAAAACTAAATTGAATTATAATTAAGTAAATTGTTTAATAATTTTTTCTATAAATATAAAAATATAGGTAAAAATTAACTAACCTAAAGCAATAATTTCGGAAAATCTAATATTCATAGTGAAACATCAATACTTACGTTTGATGAATTTAAAGAAAGATAATTAGCAAAAGAAGTAATTATTTTTATAAACTTTATTTAATTTTTTTTGTTTTTTTTTTAAAGTGTATCAATAAAGATGTAAGTTTGACAGAATAATTTGAAAAATTCATTGTAACAATATAAGAATAGAAACAATAATATATATAAAAACAAAATGAATTTAGAGAAAATCAATTCAATGATATATTAAAGGTAATTTTCATGTAAAAACTAAAAATTGATTCTAATTTAAAATTAAAAAATAGAAAAGTTAAATATATACGCCACAAATAAAAACCACTACTGATGACGAATTTTTAAAGCAGGAAAACAATAATGTAATTTTTTTAAAAGTAGATATTAATATTTTATATAAAAAAGAAATTTCAAGAATAATATATAATTGATACATAGAAATTAGAAACAATTGCTTAATTAAAAGAAGAAATAAATCATATGAGCATCAATAATTTATAAGATTTATATAATTAAGAAAATAAAACTTTAAATTAAATACAAACGAATTATGAAGTTCTAAAATAATAACAATAAGAAATGTATGAAAAAGAAAATAATTTAAAAAAATAAAAATTTGAAAATGAAAAAAAATAAAACTTATTAGAAGAATATAAACTTTAACATAAATAATGTCAAGAAAATTTAAAAAATACAGAAAAAATATTTGAAAATAATCAAAAGGAGTTAAATGAAAAGCTAAATTTTTTAGTAAAAATGAATAAAAATATTGAGCAGGCGCTTGATTTCAACTCTAAAGTAGTTTAATTATAAAGATAAAATTTAGAATAAGGAGGATTTGAATATCAAAGTAAAGTTAGTAAATCAAATGAGTTTGAATAAGCTTTGGAAAAAATAAAGGAATTAGATAAATAAATAGAAATAAATAAAGATTTAAACCAATAATAATTACCTGAATTATTTAAATTAAAATAGACTATATAATTAGTTGAATTTAAAAACAATTTTGTAAAATTAAATTCTAAGTTAGAAAATTTAAAAAAATGTATTTTTAAAAAGAAAGTATTGATTCCTATTTAAATCTTAAGTAAATTTTTAATGATTAAAAGATGAAACTTAAAAAATTATATTTAGAAATGCAATAATTGAATAATAATTTCAAATAAAAAAGTGTATAAGATTTAGAATTAGATATTAGTTAGCTATAACTATAAATTTAACATAATAATGATATTTTAAATGCCCTTAATTTGAATTAAGAAAGTATTTATTTTGATTAATAATTCAATGATTATTCTAATTATAAAAATTTATAAAATGACAACTAAGAACATGAAAATTGTGTAAGTTTTAATGATCTTTAGAATTTAATAGTATATAAAAAGAAAGCATTGTAAATAAATAAATTGAAATATTAAATTATTATAAAATTTTATTTTCTTAAATATAATGATACTATTTTTTATTTTTATTTTCTCATATAATAAAATAAAAATTTCTATTAATATTATATATATATATAGTCAATATATAATCACAATATAGTAAATATTTTGAAAAAATTTAAATAATAATGTAAAATTAATTATACATATTCGTTAATATTCAATTTATTTCAATAATATATTTTTAGTTGTAATTTATTGATTAAAAAGAAGAATTATTATTTTTAATAAATTACAACATTGAAACATAAAAAAATATATATCATTATTTAATTAAAAAATAAAAAAGCTTTAAATATTTTTTTTTTTCAAAAAAAAAAAAAAAATAATAAAAAATAATTGCAAACACTCACATTTATTATAGAAGGAAAAAAAATAAAAAATGGGATTTGAAGAGAAATAAAAAAAAAAAGAAGACGGTGAATTATCAAATGACGAAGAATAAATATTAAATGGAAAAAAACCAGAAATATAACAAAATGTTAACAAATAAAGTTCTAGACACAAAGACCAAAAGAAAGACAAAAAAAAGAGAAGATCAAAAAGTAAAGAAAGGCTTTAATCAAGAAGTCCTTCTAAAAAACAAACGAAGAAAAATGAAATAAGCAGTAAAAAATATAAGCGAAGTCGTTCAAAGAAAAGAAGTAATACTCCACGAAGAAGAAGTTATTCTCGAAAACGGAGTTATTCCCGAAAAGAAAGTTACTCTCGAAAAAGAAGTAATTCAAGGAAAAGAAGCCATTCAAGGAGAAGTTAATCAAAAAAAAAGGAAAGAAAAAGGCGTAGTGTATCATAAATAAAAAGAAGTAAATCAAATAATAAATAAAAAAAAGTTTATAAACAAGAAAATAAAAGAAGTTTTTCGCCAAAAAGAAACTTCAATTAAAGAAAAAAATATGAAGATGAAGATGGTATTTATAGATATTATGATTTGAGTGATGACGAAAGCGAATTTTTGGAAAAAAAGAGAAGGAAATCGATATCTAATTCAAAAAATAAGAAAAGAAAAAAAGATTCTTATGAATAATAATATAACAATAATAATAATGAAGGAAGAAAAAAATCAAAATCTAAACAAAAATAAACATAATAGCAGTAAAATTAATAAATTCCTTAATAAAATATCAATAATGACGATTTTGCAGATCTAGATTAGGATATTATTAATAAAATGATTCAATAAGATGAAGATTCGGATGAATAAAATGAAAGAAAAAGATAGGAAATTTAAGATTTCATTACTGGGTTGGCAAATAAAAATAAAAAAAATGCTGAAAAAATGGAAAGTTTTAGTGAAAAAAATGAATAAACTGATGAAAATGATAATAATATTTACAGTAGTAATAATATTGATGATTATTATAAAGATAAAGATATTTAAAATAATAACTTATCAATATAAAATTGCGAAGAATAATTAAATTATTTGAAAGGTTTAGAAAGTTTGAGAAATAAAGAAATAGATGAAGGATTGGATAATATAAATAATGAATAAGAATAGTAATAATAAGAAGAAGAAAATTAAGAAAAAAAATAAGAATTAATAGAATAAAATAATGATACTTCAATAAATAATAATAAAATAGATTATGATGATGGAGATATAGATATGTTTCGTGATGATTTTTTCGAAAAAATAGATTAAAAATAAGAACAGAATTATTTTGTAGCTTAAAACAATGATTGTGATGATCCTGAAAATTACTTTAAAATTCGAATTGGAGATATTTTGAATCAATAATATAGAATTTTACAAAAATGTGGTAAAGGAGTTTTTTCTAATGTCTGCAAAGCAGAACAAATTAGTACAGGTAAAGTTGCTGCTATTAAAATTCTAAGAAGGGAAGAAATTATGACATAAAGTGGAGAAAGGGAAAAAGAAGTAGTTTAAAAGTTAAACCAAACTGATAAAAACGATAAAAAACATATTGTAAGACTCAAAAACATATTCGAACATAAAAAACATTTGTGTTTAGTTTTCGAATATCTTGCTATGAATCTAAGAGAAGCTTTAAAAATATATGGGAAAGGGAAAGGTTTTTCTTTAGAAGCTGTAAGATCTTATGCATTTTAAATATTCATAGCATTATCACATTTAAAGAAAAATAATTTAATACATGCAGATTTGAAACCTGATAATTTGTTGATTAGTTCAGATACAAAAACTCTTAAAATGTGCGATTTTGGAACTGCATTACCTATGGAAGAAACTGGGCTTATAAAATACATTTAAAGTAGGTATTATAGAGCTCCTGAAGTCATGTTAGGATATCCTCCTTATAGTTAAATTGATGTTTGGAGTGTGGGAATAACCCTTTATGAAATTTATACTGCTAAGTTCTTGTTTAAAGGAGAAAGTAATAATGAAATGATTAAGCTTATTATGGATTGTAGAGGTAAGTTTAATAAAAAAATGTTGTAAAGTGGTAAATTTGTTAATGAATATTTTGATTAAAATAATGTTTTTTAGTATATTTAAATAGATCCAGTTAGTAAACAAAAATATATACTTCCAATCAAGTTTGGAGATATTCCGAAAAATGATATAAATAAATTACTTTTAGCCAATAAAGAAAATGTATAATAAGAAAATCAAAAAAAGCTCACATAATTTAAAGATTTGCTTGATAAATGTTTGTAATTAGACCCGAAAAATAGAATTACACCAGAAGAAGCATTGAAACATCCTTTTTTGGAATAATTTAAACCTATCAAATGACGAAGAATTTAAATAAAACCATTTTTTTTAATATTATTATAAGATATCTATATATTTATTTAACAATTTAGTTATAGTTTTATTATTTAGTTATAGTCTTATTAAAACTTATGTTAATTATCTAAAAAAACTTTTATTTTTATAATAATTAAAAATTAAATTAATATTTGTTTTTTTTTATATTATGAAAAAATAATAAAAATTTAATTATCCATTTCTATTATAAATATATTTTTTTTTTATATATTTTAAGGTCAAATAAAAAAAAATCAATTATTAATTTTAAAAATATTTAATTGATTTTATAATTAATAGAATTTGGTTTGTATTAATTAAGGAAAATATAACTGAGATAAGACAATTAAAATAATTTTTTATATAATTATTAAAATTCTTTAATTTAAAATAATATAAAAAATGATAGTTTTATAAAACTTATTATAATAATTATTAACAGTATTTTATTTAATTAAAATAATATTATAAATGCATTTTCTTTTTCCTATTATGTTATTTAATTTAGAGTTTATATTTTATTTTGCTATTTCAAATTAATATTATATTATTTTAGTGATTCATCGCATCTTTTATTTTAATATATCTCATTAGACTTTGATTATAATTATGATTATAATTATAATTTAATTAGATAATATTTTATACACTATTCTTTTAAGTAATTTAGTATTAATTGCTCAATTATTTTTATTATTAATTAAAAAATTTATTTTAAATATTATAAATAAAGAGTTTGAATAATGAAATATACAAGGAAATGTAAATTAAATATATTATATAATTTAATATCCTCGTCAGTTTTAGATTATTTTAAACTATTCAAAGCTCTTAATCATTTTAATTTTTAAATTTAACTTCTTCTACTATATTAATAATTTTTTCTTTTAATTCAGATTTATTTTATTAATAGACTAAATATTTAATTATTATATTTAATAATTTATTCTATTATTTATTTTTTATTAAGTAGTTTCTTATTAGAAAATAGTTCTTTCTTTAAAAAAGGTTTAGGTAAATAATTTAACTTATTATCTAATAAAATAATCTCTTTTAGTTTATTGACTTTAAATATTTTGTCTATTATACTCTATATATAGATGGTTATCTATAATTAATAATTTTCGAATTTTTTATTTTACAAACTATTGTTTTAATAACTTTTCGATTTTTTTTTATTAACCATTACAATCTATTCTCTAATATAATTTTAAATTAATAAATCATACCATATTTCCTCTTGATATATAACATTTAACCAATCATAATATATTATTAATTTCATATATTTTATATTTTTTATTATCCATTCTTATAATATTTCTTATTTAAAATAAAATTCAATTTAAAAGTTTTTCTTAGAGATTTAAATTACTGCTTATAGGTAGGGATACATATAATGTATGCTTCTACAAAATAAGATTAGAAAAATTGCTCGAATATTTGTTAAAAAAAAACTTATATTTTTTAATATTATTTAAACTATTTCGACTGATTTCCTTTTTTAAAAATCTATTTGAGATTTCCATTAAATTTTTATGATCTCCACCTTAATCTTAATCTTAATCTTAATCTTAATATTATTCATTTTTAAAAGAAAATTAATATTTTAAATAATATCGATATATTAGAATATATATATCAAATTTCATTATGAATCCATAGATTTCTTAAATTAAGTGAAATCCATTAGTCTATTATATTTAAAATATAAGAGAAAATTTTTTTTTGGATTATTTACAAATAGGGAGTTTTAATTCATAGAGTCAATATCGTTTTTTTATAGTATTTAATACATTTCTTTTTTATGTTTTATATTATTAAACTTCTTGTTATTTGTCTTCATAAGAATATATAAATATTTAAAGATAAGACAACTTATATGCTGAAAAATAACTTTCAATATATATATATTAATCATAGTATAAGTAATACATATTTTTGATACTTTATTTAATAAAATATTCATTATTTTTTAACACTTGCAATATATTTATATCTTATATATTTTAGGTCTAATTTATTTTTTCAGAAAAGTTAATCAAATTTTGTTACTTACTTCGTTTCATTATACATAAATTACATTTATAATTGTTTTATTTTGATAATATATGGAATAATCCAGATAATATTAAAATTTATCATTTATAATTAAAATGCAAAATTTAATGTGAATTCTTTAATTGTGTATGAAAGTAAACTTTTTTGGTTAAAATGCATGCTCGGCTAAGAAAACTATAATATGTTTATATATATATTTTTTTTTTTTGATAAATATTTTATTTTTTATTTAAATAAATAAAAAATGCATTTTGATATAAATGTAATTTTAAATGAATATAAAAAATTATACATTCAGAATAATATTTAAATATTAAGTTATTAAGAAATGTATATTAAAATAATATAATGTAATTGCTTTTGTTTAATTAAGTGAATTTCAAATTAGAATTATCAATTTTATATTGTGTTTTATTTTATTTTCGGTAATTTTTTAAGTGTATATAAAGTAAATAAATCTTGTATAATTTATTTACTTATAAAGTAATATTCTTAGCCAGAAATAAATTAAAAAGTAAATACTTTTCATTCAATATCATCCTAAAATATTTATTAAATCTTGGATAAGTTAATGAATATAACTTTAATATAAAATTCTATGATATTTAATTTAAATATTAGAAACTGTTAATTATGTATATATCATAAAATTAGCTATAATATTTATAAAATAATTTTTAAAAAAAGGTTTAGCTTATAAATAAAAATCAAGAAATAATGTTTTATGATAGAAAAAATATCAATATAAATATATATGTCCATTAAAAATATCAATGATATATTTAAAAGTTAATTTCTGCTTAATATAACGATATAATTTTTCAAAATATAGAATCTTATGAAAAAAATCTTATATTTTAATAAGAAAGTAGACTATATACCCTAAGTAATTTATTTAAATTATTTGAATTAAAAATAAAAAATTATATTAATTAAAACTTTAATTTTTTATAAAATAAATAATTTGAATTTCAACTTAATATGTTTTAAGTTTTAATTTCGAATATTCATTTAATACCTACCACAAGAATATAAAATTTTTGTATTCGAAATATATATAAATAAGACTTTAAGTTAGTTTTTTTGAACAAATATGCTAAAGAATCTTTTACAATTTATATATTTAAGCAATATAGCATAAAAATATAGCGTTCATTTTATGTGCAGAATATGGAAATATTAATATTCTAAATTTTAAATGATGGATTTGTTAATATGATATGGCTTAAATATAGATGTGTAGACTTATTTAAATATAGTAAGATAAATAATTAAAATATATCTAAAATTTTAGCAAAAATAAATATGAATTTAACTTTTATTATACTTGAATTAAAATAATTAATAATTTTTATAGATAAATTAAGAAATTCATATAGTATATATTTTCGAATTAGATTTACAATACAATTATATAATTCCAATACATAAAATTAGAACTTTATATGCTTCTAAGTTTATAGTTATGGCTGTTGTTTAAAATAAACATTACTCATTAGGAATTCAATTATTTTTGATAATTGGAAATACTATATTTATAAGTAAAACATGTAAAATTAATAATTATATATATGCTTATTCTATAAATTTAAAATAAAAATTAATTATTTTTTATAGTATAGATGATACTGATTTTTTGATTTAGGAAATAGACACTTATTGTTTATAAAAAAAAATATATTGAAGATTAACCAGGAGAAAAACTAATAGAAATACTCATCCATTAAGACTCCTAATAAGAGTAATAAAATTATGAAAGTTATCATTATTAAGTTTAAGTTGATAGTCATATTTAAGGAGTTTTAAAAACCCTTTTAAACTATTTATTTTTTTGGATATAGTGAATTGGAATTATAAAGAAATAATACTAATAATTATTAAGAAATAATACTAATATAAAATTCGTTTATTTTTAATTAAAAAAAGAGATAATATGTTCTGTCAATTAATATAATTTAATCAAAATTACAATACAAATTTTAATTTTTTTTATTTGATATTTTATAATGTTTAAATAATCGAATATGTTTATTATACCGATAATCATATGGGTAAATCTCTTATTAGAAATATATATATATAAGTTTATCAAAGAAAAGAAAAGGTTTAAATATAAAATTATGAATTATTTTTATATAATAAACTCGTTTAATTTTATAAGAAAAAAAGATTTTGTTTGGAAAAAAAAATATAATATAAATTAAATATAATTATAATAAAGTATTTTAAAAATAAAAATTTTGGTGAAAAATATAAACTTAATAAATAAAAATATGCTTCATAATGAATATTTTTATTTTCAAAATGCTTCTTCCCAAGTAGGATCATATTTTTTACCTCTTAATTTAACATTTTAAACTGATTAAATGCCTTCAGCTTTTACAACCTCTTCAATATTTTTAATATTAGTATAAGTATTCTCAAAATAGAAATCTTAGATTACAGGAATATATGCTGGTTTTAACCTTTTTTCATATAAAGCAAGCCAATCAAAGTTTTTAAACCAAATATTATTTTTAAGATTTTAGAAAGATCCACCAATTCTGATTTCAGGGACTTTACTAAGTAATTATTTTATAAATTCTTTTGCAATTTCATCATTCATATAATCTGGAAAATCTATATTTTTTCTGATTATTTCTTCATAAATTTCATAAGGATCATCTGCTTCTTCAGCATAAGGTACAAATCCAGACATAAATTCATATAATATGATTCCTTTTGTTTTAATAATTATAAAAAAAAAAAAAAAAAATTACCCACAGACCATAAATCAGCCAAAAAACTATAACCTTTTCCTTAAATAACTTCAGGCGCCATATAATGTGGAGTACCAATAATAGTAAAAGTTCTAACAACATTATTTTCTTTTTTCATAATTTTAGCAGTACCCATATCAATAAGTTTCAGATAACCAAATTTATCGACCATAATATTCTCAGGTTTAAGATCTCTATAAATAATATTATTTCCATGCAAATATTCAAGCATAAGAATAATACTTCCAATGTAAAATTAAGAATCATATGTGCCTAAAAGTCCAATTTATCGAATTCCATCAAAAAGTTCAACACCTTAGATATATTCAAGAAGGAAATAAATACACCTTTCGTCTTTAAAAGAACGTAAAAATCTCATAATAAATGGAAAATCGTTAAATTACATTACCACTTTTTCATTTATGATATGTTTCTATAAATTCTCTTTAGATACTTAAGCTTTAGAAATGCATTTCATAGAATATAAATTATCGCCTTTTTTTACTAAATAGACACTTCCAAACTATCCGAAACCTAATTTTTTTACTACTTCAAAGTCTTACAAAGTCATACTATTTAAAATACATTTTTCTCTATTTTTTTCTTCAACTTCTTTTACACTATTTTCTTGGTTTTTTAATGTCAATTAGTACAAATTACCTAATTACTTTTCTAATTTATCTATCTAAATAACTCCTAATTTACATTCAGGTCCAATTATTACTAGATCTTCATCAAATATATCATTATTTTCTTAAGAAAAAGCTTCTTTTTCCCCAATAAATTATCCTTTTTGTAAAAAAGTATCGTTATTTTTAATTATTTGGCCTTCTAAAACTATTATTATTTATTATTTTATTAAAGTATTTTTATTCAAAACTACTTAGTTATTCTTATATTAAATAATTTGTAAGTTGTTTATAAAAAATTCTTTTTGTTATTTAGTTAAACTCTAATAACCTTGCATTTTTTCTATTATCCATTTAGAAGTATTTTTATATATCAATATGTCTACCCTTTCTCCTAATATTTTATTTAATGTATCTCTTGCTAAAACAGATACTTAAACATTAGTATTTGCTTAAATAGACATAAATCTTGTATGATTTCCAGGTATTAAAGCTGCTTCTCCAAAAGAATCACCACATTGTAAAGTTCTTACAAATTATTCACCTTTAATTGCATTTACTTCTCCTTTTTTTATTAAGTAAAATGAAGATGCCTAGTCGTTTTCATGGACAATAAATTCTCCTTTTTAATAATGTTAATTCATTAAAACAGCTGCTACTGAATCTTTCTAATTTACTGTTAAATTTTCTAATATTTTTATAATTTTGTTATTATGTTTAAAATAAAAATAATAATATAAGTTAAGTTTTTTTTACAAAAGAATTAATGCTTTTCAACAAAATTTCTATTTTCATCATATTATTTGTTTATCATATCTTAAACAATAAATTAAAATGTATTACGGTCGATAGCCCACATAAAACATTTTTCGAAAGCTTTACAAGATGCACTTCTTGGAGCGTTATATAATAAAGCTAATTCACCAAAAGCTTCTCCTGGTAGTATTTGACGTTTTGGTACTTATTTAATTTATAGCTCAATTTTTCCTTATTGTAAAATGAAAAATGTCGAAGCTGAATCTCCTTCTTTTATTAAGTATTAATCTTTTTAAGTTTCACAATAGAACATTTTACTTATTAAATTATCTCTATTTATATTAAATTTTATTCATATATATTTATTGCTTTTATTTTTTTTACAATTAATCTTCTTATAGATGAGAAAATACAAAATGATTCTTCAAATTTTATTTTATTATAGATATATCTTCAGGTGTTTTTTAATGAGAAATTTAAGTATAATTTTCTTCAATTACATATTCTTAGTTCATTGCAGCTTTATTAAGTACTACTCTTTTATTTTTTCTTCTCTTTTATATTTTTTTATTAACAGATATATAATATTTGTTTGTAACTATTATTTACATCAGGTGAAGAATAATTACTCCCTACTGGAGATGAACAGGAATTTAGTTACATATCTTTAATTTCCTATATTCTTAAAAGTTAAATAGTTGGGGAATTATAGTTTGGGCAATTTTACTCTTATTTTAATTCTTACATTATTTTTTATTTGATAAAAAAATATATTATATTTTTATTTTTTAAAATTTTATATTTTATATTTTATAATTTTTTATAATTATTAATAAATCTTTTTTATAATTTTTTTTTTTTTTTCTTTCATAAGTATAGTTTTTTAGTTTAAACAAATATAATTTTAACACCATCAGAAATTGATATAAAATTAAAAAAAATTAAAATATAAATAAATTATATATTTTAAAAAGGTATAAATTTCATTTGTTTTAATGCTATTTTTTTATTTATAAAAATTAATAATATGTTATAAAAATAATAATTGGTTTGGTGTTTTTTTACTTTTTTACTGTTTTTTTTCAAATACTCAATCATAAAAAAAAAGAAACTTTTTGATTTTTTATAGGGTTTATTTTTTATTGATTGTGATTTTATTAGACATTAAAACAAATAAATAAAAATTGAATAAAAATAAAAAAATAAAAAAATGTTTATTTTTTTAAAATTTATTTAAAATATAATATAAATTAGCATTTTTTATTTATTTATATTTTAATACAATTCAAGTGTTTAAAGTTAAGTTAAGATAATAAAATTTAACTTTTTTATAAAAAAAAAATTCATAAAAAATAATAAATAAATTAAAATTAAATTATTTTATATTTTAAATTATATTATAATTAATAATGTTTTTTTATAAAAATATATTTGTATAATTTTAAAATAATTTATATAATGCATCCGTCTTTTATTATCGAGACAAATATTGCAATCATATATGTTTATATTTTAAATCAATTAATAATATAATTCAAATATTTAATTATTTGTTATATTTAAAGAAAATATTATTGTATATTATTATGTGGATTATTACTTATATTATAAATTTTATGTTTTTTTCTCATATAATTTAATTTAAATAAAATTATTTTTATTGATTTTTAAATGATATTTATAACCAAAAAACTAAAAAATTATTTATTATTTTAAAAATATATGATTTAATAAATAAAATATATATTTTTATATATTTTATTTGTAAGAAATACTCAAACAAATATTATTTTCTAACTTTTAATTATAAAAATAAAAAAAAACTATAATAATTGCAAATAAATAAAATAATATAAATTTAATTTAAATATAATATGATAAGAAAAACTTAAATTTATAATATAAATTATTAAGAAATTTAAATTTAGAAATAATATATAATAATATATTATTAAATCTTTGAAAAAAATATATTATATATTTTTTAATATTACAATATTGATTTGACGGCTAAATTTTAAATTAAAATGAAAAATTATTTAGAAAAATAAAAATATAAAATAACTATATTAATAATTATTAAAATATCTTAAAATAAAATATTAAAAATATTAATAAACTAAACATTATATTATTATATCAAAAAATAAATTAAATTACTATGAAATCTGTTAAAGGAATGAAAGATATTCTAGGTTTATAGCTTAAAAAACATTAATATATCATCAATAAATCTAGCTTAATATTTGAAAGAAGTGGTTACAATTTAATTTAGTAAAATATATTAGAACAAAGATAAGTGTTTTAAAGAACTTTAGGCGAATATTCTGATATAATTCATAAAGTAAATAAATATATATATATATTAAAATTTCAAATAAATATTTTTTTAATTATAAAAAAGGAAATGTATAGTTTAAAAGACCTTTCAGGTTCTGATTTAGTTTTAAGACCTGAAGGTACATCAGGAATAATGAGACATATTTTAGAAAAGGAAAAAGCTTTTGAATAGGTTGAAAAATATTATTATTTTGGGCCTATGTATAGATATGAAAGGCCTTAATTGGGAAGATATAGATAATTTAACTAGATGGGAATAGAATATATCCATAGAGAAAATTAAGTTTTATATTAAAAAAAAATATTAAAAATAAAATACTAATATAAGAAAAATAGTTATCTTATTGATTCAGAGATTATTTTATTAGCAATAAAAATTTTAGAAGCTCTATAAATAAATTAATATGAATTATAAGTTAATACATTAGGAGATTGGGAAGATAGAACTAAATATAATGCAATTTTAAAAAGCTATTTTGAATAAAATAAAAATTAACTTTCCGAAATAAGTAAAATAAGGCTTAAAAATGGAAACGCTTTAAGAATATTAGATTCAAAAGAAAAAGAGGTAAATTATCATAATAAATATATATATATATATATATATATATATATATATATATATATATATATTTATATTCTTATTATAAATAAAAGTATTATCATTATTATAGGATATAGAAATCGTTAATAAAGCTCCTCTATTAATAAATGAAATGAAATAATAAAGTAAACTATATTTTTAAGATTTCCAATCTGTTTTAAGTTCTTTGAATATAAGATTTTCTGTTAATTATCATTTAGTTAGAGGCTTAGACTATTACAATCAAGTTTGTTTTGAAATAAAAAATAAAGATCATAAAGGTAAATCATAAGATACAATAATAGCAGGAGGAAGATATGATTAATTAGCATCGTTAATGAATTAAAAGTAATATTTATTAATATTATAATACAAAATAAAATAGATAAACTAATTTAAATGGAGTTGGTTTTGCAGCTGGAATCGAAAGAATAGCTTATTTAATACCTGATGATTTCCCTTATTTACAATGCAAAAAAATTAAAGTAGGAGTAGTAATAGTTTAAGAAAAAAATATCAATGTTGATATATAAAAACAACTAAAAATTTATGCATTTTAAGTAAGTGAATATATTAAATAAGATAAAGTTGAAGTTTAAATAATTTTACATACTTAAAAAATTGAAAAATAATTAGATTATTTAAATAAAAATAAATTTAAATGGGCTATTTTTATTGGAGTTAATGAGTTTTTTGAAAAAAAAATTAGTTTGAAAAATCTTGAACAAAGAAATTAATTTATTATAAAATAAGATGAATTAATACAATTTAAATTTTGAAATATTTATAAAAAAAAAAAAAAAAATTAATTTAAATTATTTAAGACAAAAAAATATATATAAATAAATATTTTAAAGTAAAAAAATAAATCTATAATAAATTAAAATAAATATATATATATATATAAAAAAATATATAAAAAAAAATNTAAATATATTTAAATAAATATATATATTTTTTTTATTTTTATATATTTTATTAATTTAATCAATCTATTTATTATTATAAAATAAATAATTTTGTTTAATATTATATATAATATATTTTTATTTCATGAAACATATATTTATTATTCTTAATTATTTTATTTTATTTTCATCTTTTTTTTTATGTATAATGTACTATATAATATCTAATTTAATTTTGGAGCAAATAATCGAAAATTTCTTACTTAAGGCATACACAATACAGACTCAATCTATTTTTTTCTTTCTAAAATATAATTTATTGAAACATAGTATTTGGAATTTTTCCACATTCTTTATTTTCTTTTTTATAATGTTATATTTTCTCAAAGTCTTATTATTTATCATCACTTACATTAAAATATGTTTTTATATAATTATTATCTTTTTTTATATTTAATTATAATGGGGTTGTTTATATTTATTGGTTATTCATTTAATGATATTTTTTTATATATTTTAGAATTTATTATATACTATATTTTTTATTATGTGAGGCTAAATTTTTGATTATATAAAAATCTATAAAAAAATACAAAATATATAAATTAAAAGGTATAATTTAATTTATATTTTATTATGAAATATATAATTATGCAATATCATTAATGTGTTATATATATATATATAATTATATATATAAAGAATTTTTAAAATTAAATAAAGTTATGCAATTATAAATAATATAAAATTATATTATTGTAAATTTATTTTATTATTTATATTTTTTCTTATAATTTTATAATTAATAATGATAATTTTAGTTCAAAAATATAAATATTTTAATATGAATATTATTATTATTATTATAATTTAATTTTTTTAATTTAATTTAATTTAATTTAATTTAATATACAATTTTTCATTTATAAATATATATAAATATAATTTTATTTTATATTTTTAAATGTTTTTTATATAAATAATTTTTATACTATTAATTTATTTTATATATATAATTATATACAATATAATATAATATAATTATAATATATTTTTTTCTATACTATAATATTATATAATAATTATATATTATTAAATAATTTTATATTATATTAATTTATTATAGTTTTTATTCATAAATATGATTTGTAAAGTTATTATAAATTTATTTAGAAATTTTTAAATTATAAATTTTTTAAAAAAATCTAAAACAATAAAAAAATAAAAAATTATTAATAATTCCAGAAATACTTTTTATATGTATATGTATATTATTTTTATAATCATTAATTATGATAATTTATTTTTCAATCGAAAAAATTGTATTTATTTTATAAAAGGATACACATTTCTAAATATTTTATAAGTTTTTCACATTTAATCTTGTCATAGTTTATATAATTTTATTTGATAAATTCTTTAGCACCTTTCATCCAAAAATTAAATTAGGATATATTATTATTAAAACTTAAAAGGATGCATTCATTATCTAAAATAGAATAAATATTATTTTAATTCAAAATCCAATTAAATAGAAGAGATATGCAAGTTTAATAATTCTATTAACTTTGAATAAATGTACTTGTATACTAATAATTTTTTTACCATTTAATTAGAAAATCAGTAATTTTCCTAACAAAATTTTCAGTTTAATAATCAAAAAGCGTATAAAAGTCATTTTAAGGAAATAATTTTATTTTTATTTTTTAAATTTGCATTTTGGTATCAATTATGTATTTTAAATTATTATTTTTTAAATTTTTAATAAGAAATACTTCAAGTAAGTCAAAAAATTTTTCATTGAAATTAAATTATATTAAACATTTTATATTTTCCATCATTTCCGAAAAAGGTTTATTTTTATAAAAAAAAGCAAAAAGTTAATTAAAAAATAATAAAAAGTCTCCTTATTTATTTTTAAAAAAAGAAACAAGTTCATATTCTAGGCTTATCCTACTACATAAAATTTCAATTTTTTCATATAAAAAATCAAAGAGGAAAAATCTTAATTCTTCCATTTTTTTAATCACATCATCTTTGGCAATAAATTTACTTTCTTCAAAAATTTCCCAAGTAATTCGTTTTATAATAAAAAAATCATAATAATTTAATGACGGTAAGTTTTTCTTTATAATTTTTGCGAACATATAAATTCGTTCTTTCTCATTATTAATTAGAGAGCAATAAAAAGGCAAAATATATTAATTTATTATATTTTCTTGATTTTATTTGTTTAATTTTCCTATATTATTTTCTTAGCTATGGTATTCATTATATATTATTATCCCTTTTTGGATAAGAAATTTTATATAACTAAATCCTCCGAGTCTTTCAATTGAAGTATCGGGTAGAATATATTTTTTTATTAATAACTTAAGATTTTTTATAAAGTTAGAAATATCTTTTTCCTTACAAATTGATTATAAAAACTATAAAATCTACATATAAATAGGATGCATTATTTCGCTTGGAATTTTTTATAGGAAAAATAATGGGACATCATCATTTTTATTATTTGTTTCGTTTTTAGTTAAAAAGTTTAATTTTTAATTAAAATTTTCTATTGAAAAATCAATAAAAGACATTATAAAAAATATGAATTTTTCTTAATTTAATTAACATTTTTTTTCCATTAAAACTACAAGCTTTTCATTTAATTTTAAGTAATTTTCTAAGTATTATTTAAGCTCATTTTATGCATTTTTAATTATTTCTAAATTTTAATTTTCTTAATTAGTTATTACCTCCCTCTCATACATATTAATATTCATAACTGAAGGGATGTAACTTAAACTTCCTTTTGTTGCTTCTTAATCTTGATTATTTTAATTTGCTATTTTTTCTATATTCAAATCTTGGCACGATTTATATTATTTAGTTTTCTTATATGAAAAGTCTTAAAAACTTCCAATAATATCAGGTTTATTTATCTTTTAAGGCGATAAAGCATTACTTTTATCTAAATGAGCTTTTACTAATTATCTCTATATACTTAAATGATTAAAATTTAAGTCTTTTGTTTAATTTTAATGATTAGATAAAATTAATGATGCGTGGCATAATTTTTAATAAGATTTGTGTTTTTTATGTCGGAAATACTCTTTTTAATGCTATTTCATTTAAATGATTGGATATGAATTTTATTATTATATATATTTTTAAGAATAAATATTTTGAACGGAAGGAAGATTAATTCTGGATTCAAATTATATGTCTCTTTTTTTCATTTATTAATAGATATATTAATTATAGGGTTCTTATAATTTATTTTAAAAATAAATATATGAGATTGATAATAAATCTATAATTATATTAATATAATAAATTATGTAAAATAATTATTAGATATTAAAAAAAAAATTGATATTATAATTAAAATATAACAATTTATATAATTTTATAAATTATAATTATTTAATTATATTAATAGTATTTTATTTAAAATAAAATTGCATGTACTTTTTTTATCTTTCTTTTTTAATTTTTTATCAATTTAATTAATTTAATTGTTTAGTAATAATTAAATATATATATATATATATAAATATAAAACTGAAAAATGTCAAATATTTAATTTCCAGATGTATTTTTCTATTTTAAAATATGCAATAATATATTCTTATTTTTATAAATAGATAAATGCAACAAAAGCCTAATATAATTACAGAATTTAGGATAAAAAGAAGCACCTTTATTAAACTAGTCTAATTAGTACTGCAACGAACCAAAATAGTAGTGTTTTAAGTACTTATAATTAAAATTATTTAAATCAATCACAAAGTAATGTAGCTTTAAGATGCATTGATAAATATTATAAGTATTAAAAATTAAATATATTTACATTTATGTTATTTTATTTACTGTATAATTTATTTTTTCTATAAAAATTAAAATAAAATTTAGAACAAGTGATGTTTATGATATATTAGGGCATTAAAAAGAATAATATCCTGAAATATCAAATACTGAAAAAGTTATATTTTTTTGTTATTTATAATTAGCCCATAAATAAAAAAATATTAAATAGATAATTCATTAATAAAAGGAAGTCCATAATAACTTAAATGGTCTTAAAAAGTCATTTAATTTATTAAGAAATACATCTAATTAAAGGGAAAAAGATATTTAAAAAATGAGAGTAAAATATTATAATAGAATATAATTAAATTAAAAATAAAAAAAAAGAGTGAACTTGCGACAATGACATTATAAGAATAAGCTTATATTAATAAATAAGAATAAAATTAATTAGTAAATAAAAATAAAATTAATATAAAATATAATCATATAAATTAAAATAAGACACTATAACAATTACATGAAGATTATGAAAAAACTAAGCAAATGTAATTGGATGCAGAAATGAATATGAAAACATATGAGCATATGTTAAATAGAATGAAAGTATATATTTAAAATAAAAATAAATAATTATTTATACAATTAAAATTTAAATATTAATTTTTTTTTCTTTTTTTTTTTTTCAAAGAATGACATAATATCTTACCAACTTAGAGCTTATGGAACAAAAGATATTTTAAATTTAGGCGAAAGTGTTTTATAGAGTGCAAATTAAAGAAATTATAAAGTACATTAAAAATAAAAGAAAACTTAGCTTGCACTTAATGATGTATTATAGGTAATTCTTTTTTTTATTTTTATTTTATTGCAAAATTTTTATATTTTAGACAATCGAACAAGGATAAAATAACAGAAAATAAAACTTAGATGGATTTAAAAAAAGCTTGTCTGAAAAATAGGATTTAGAAAAGTAAAGGGAAGATAGAATTAAAAGATAGTTAGAAATAGCAGAAATTGCTGCAAATGATATAAGAGATTAAAATTTAGTAATTTTTTATATTTATTTTTTTAATTACTTAAAATAAAGAAAAAATGGAGAAAACTATTCTTAGTTCATAATTTCATGAGCACTTTTTTAAAAAGAAAAATGGAAAGAGAAATGAACAAATATTAAGAAATGGAATAAGGATTTTAAAAAATTAAAGCCGGAACAGTAAAAATATATATTTTTTATATTTTTGTTAATAATAAATAAATAAAAAAAGGGAATTACAGACGCTGGTGAGATAGTTTAGAAATTCTTAAATCGAGAATAAACTTATAGTCATTTATTAATATCAATTTCAGATTATGAAAAGAAAATAGAACACTTAAAAAAATATAATGAAGAGTTAAGAAATAAATTACATAAGCTTAAATCTGAAATAATTCCTACTGATAAATAAGAAAGTAAATAAGCAAAGCTTTAAATAGATGAAATATATTAAAAATACACTGAAGTAAATGATAAATCTGAACATTGTAATCTGATAGAATTTAGAGTTTATGAATGGATGTTAAGGACATTAATGAAATTAGAAAGAGTTTTTTTTATAATTTTTTTTTTTTTATTTTTTTATTTTATATATTTAAGTGTATTGGAAGTAAAAATAAATCTCTTTAATAATACTAAACAGAATTTCCTAAAAATGCATTATCTGAAATTCTCTAAAAAATTGCAACTATTCTTCGTGATAATTTAATTCCTTTAGATAAACCTGAAGTATTTATTTATCAAAATATTTTTTTTTTTTTTTTTTTCAAGCAAAAAGTTTTTTTATTTTTTATTTTTAGTAAATAGAAAATGTAACAAAAGCATAATATACTTCTAAAATAGCAACCGATATTTCAGTTTTGAAATGCCTAAATAGAGTAATACCTATTTTTGAAGATAAAAGTTATAGACATAACTATTCTTCTGAACATTAAAACGAACATGAAAATTCTGAAAATATTGGCGGCTAATTATCTTAAAGAAGCTAAAATAATGAAGAAAGTGAAGACGAAGAAAGTAAATATTTATTTATTTTAATTATAATAGACTTTTTAATAATTTTTTTAAAGATTTTGAAAAAATAGAAAATGAAAATGTAAGGTAATTAAGATATGAAACTAAACACGAATAAAGTTAAATTAAATAGGGCAAAAGTTGATAATTTTAAAATCAAAAATGAATATTTAAAAATATTAAAGTATATACAAATTTAAAAATATTTATATATACTTTTCAATGTATTTAGGATTATTTATAATCTTTTATAAGTATTAAAAAAGAAATAAATATTCACAAATAATAAAATATAAATCATTTTTTTAATTAGATTATAATTATATATTAAATCATTTTCTTATAATTATTTATTTTTTATGCATTTAACAATATTTATTAATTTATATATCTGTAAAAAAAAAAAAAAAAAATTAAAAAATTAAAAAAATTTATTAAAATACAGTTCACTTTTTTGTTAAAATCTCTTTTACAATTAAAGTCGAATAGTTTAATATTCTATGCTTTTTAAGGGATCTATTTTTTATGAATTTAATTTTTTTATAAAATCTATCTAAATGTACACAAACACTTCCACATTCTCTATGTTTAATCAAAACTTTGCTAAATATATTAACAAACTAATCAAAGTTTAGATCATTATAATCTATTTTTTATGTAAGATTTTATTCTTCATTATGACCGTCAAAACCTATTTCTTTTATCCAATTCATATCTAAACCACCATTTTAAAGATGTAAATAAATTTCTCTTTTTAAATTAAAAATTTTTTAAATATATAATTTTTATTTTATTTTTAAAAAAAATACTTTATGTTTTCGAATTCAAATCCTTATATATTATTTATATTTTCTTCTGTTTTAATATTATTTTAGCTATTAGAAGTAATTTTTATTAATTTAGCTGATTTAGAAGATAATTATTAAGGATTATTTGGTAAAGTTTCTATATTTGTTAAAGTTTATTATTTATTTGATAAATTAAATGGTTTTTATTAATTATAGTTATGATATAAAATCTGATTATAGACTTATTATTTTTTATTAATAATTTCTTTAATTTAAGCCGATTTTCCTTTTATTTTTTTTACCTCAAATTAATCAGTAGATTAAAATTATAAATCCTTTAAAGAAATCGCATTGTTTTGGGTTTTGTTTTTAGTATCATTTTATTCACTATTATAATCTTCAAATTAATTAATACTATAGTTTTCAAAGGTCTTAATATTGCCAGATAAATATGAGGTTTTAGATAAATTAGTATTGCTATTTTTTTATGTTTAGTTATTTTGAAATACATTTGGATATTCATTATTATTTTTTATTTAGTTAGAAAAAGTTACTTTATTATTTTTTATTTTAAATTACTTATATTGTGATTATTATTATTCAATTTTTGTTTGTGTTTTATTTTAGTTTCCTTCATCTTATTCTATTTATTCACTATTTTTTTAAAAATGTTATTTGATAAACAAAGCGTTAAATAAATTTTATATTATTGAAGGTCTTTAAGGATTTTCATAATGTTACATTTCATTTAATATTGCTAAAGATTATTAAATTTATTTATTCTCATCAATTTTAAACTACTATATTATGTTCTATATATTAGAAATGTTTTTTTGTGAATCTTTGATAGTATTTTATTAAATATTTTCATTTTAATTTTAGTCATTTTCTAATTAATATAATGAGTTTTAATTTTTTTCATAAGTATCTAAAGTTTCTAGGTCAAATTCATTTTTATTAATTTTTACATTAATTTTATTATCTAATAATTCATTATTTTCATCTCCATGTAGGTCATTAATTTAGGTATTATTATTAGATTAAACTTATGATTATTCATAGGTTTTTTTTTACTATTCATTATAATTTAGAATATTGTTAGAAAATTTAATTTATGATTGAGTTAATAAATTATTATTTGAGTTTCGAATTTTATTAATTTATTATAATTTTAAATTTTTTTATTAGTTTATTGAATTATCAAATTAATAATCAACTATTTTTTGCATCTAATTTTATTATTATTCAAAATGAAAACTATTATTATTATTATTATTATTATTATTATTATTATTATTATTATTTTTATTATTATTATTATCATTATTATCTTTATTGTTTTTATTATCATTATTATTATTGTCATTATTATTTTTACTTGAGTTTTATATTATTGATTTTTTTTTAACTTACATATACTCTTCATTATTTTGTATATATTCTTTATTCTATGTTTTTAATTCTTGTATTTCTTTTTCTTTTTTTTTTTTTTTTTGAATTTAATAATATTTTTTTTTATTAATACCAACGAAATCTTTAAAATTTTATTTTTTTTCATAGCTGTCTTAAAATTTGTAAATAGATTGGTTTTACTATTAGTTTGGTGTATAATATTTATTCCATTTTAATAAATAATTTTATTTATTTAACTAATTAACTTCATTAGTTTGATTATTTTAATTTTGATTTTATTCTATATTATTTACTGGTGTTTATATATTTGTATTTAATTGAATATTTGATATAATTGAATTTCTTCTGTTTTATTAATTTTAAAGAAAATCTATTTTTTTTTAAAGAATAGCAATTTATTTTACTTAATCTTCAATTTTATTATTTAAATCTTTTACTTATTAATCTTAAACAATAAATTATGCTTATTATTATTTTTCTAAAATATCTTATTTGCTGTTTTATTATTTATTTATTTTCATTTAATTAATTTCTTTTTCTAATTAATTTTTTATATTATCTTTATAATCTAATTATCTTTCTAAATCATAAACTTTTTTATTAAACGCTAAAAGCTATTTTTCATAATCTTGAACAAAAGATCCTACAATTTAAGTCTTTAATTTTATATTATGATTTAAATTATAAAAATGTAATTAAATACTTGGACTTCAGTGACTTTAGTTTTTTTTTATTTATCGAATTTCTTAAAAATATACTTTAGAACAGAATTAAGCTTTTATTTTGTACTTTTATCCATATTTTAGCTTACTTCATCAATCATTTAATTTATTTTTTATAGATTTGCTTAAGAAATCATATTTTTTATATTTTAACTTTCTATTAATTAAAAAAAAAAAAAATTCTTATAATATAGTTATATTACTTTCCTATATTTCTTCCATAAAATTTGTATCAATATTATTTATTTAATTATTAAGTTATTTAATACTATTTAAAATATATTTATCTGCTTTTGATTCTTTTATATTTATAAACTTCCTCTTCTCCATTAAAATATTAAAAAATTATTCTTTCGTCATTAAATCTTCTTGAAAAATCGGATCTAATTGTTTTTTTTCTAGTTCAGATAATTTATACTTCACCTATTCTAAATCTACAGTTCCCTTCATTACTTTAATTTTATACCTTGAAAGCTTTTAAAATTCTTCCACATCGAATTATTTAAAAGGTTCATTGTCATTATTTAAAGAGTTACACTCTAAATAATTCATAAAACACTTTATTTAAGTAAATAGTAAAACTCTACAAGTTATTTAAAGGTTTCCAATAAAATTAGACATTAATTTATATTCTTCTGTATTGAATTCATTTTTTATTTCTTCTATACATTCATAAAAAATATTGAATTAGTTCTTCATATATATTATGTATTCTTTATTTAATGTTATATATTCAGTATCAGGATATTTAGCATTAAACTTAAAACGGAGTTATGCAAATATTTAACAACTTTATTCTAGCATTTTTTCTAATTGACTTTTTTTAACGATTTGAAAATTATATGTTCATGTTTTTTTTGAATTTATATATTTAACTTTACTTGCTAAAGTCAGGATTTAATTATTGCATTTTTTTATTTATTTTTGGTATTATTATGATTATTATTTAAGATAAATAAATTAAAAAAATATTAATTCTAATTATAATTAAAAAATAAAAATAAAGGATAATAAATACTATATATATTTTAAGGTAATTATTTTATAAAATTTAATTAACAATTTATTTTTTTAATCAAATAATATTTTATAATTTATATTTAAGATTATTTAATATTTTGTTTTAATATTTCTCTGTTTTTTTTATAAAAAAAATAAAAATTAGTTTATTTAAAATTTCGCATAATCCTATAAATTAAAATTATTTAATATTTAATCTAAATTTATAAAATATTTGTTAATCTTTTTTTTTTATTTTATAAATAAAAATTAAAACTATTTGAAAAAATTACATCAAATAAATTGTATAGTATTAAAAAATAAAACATGTCCATTATAACTTAAAATTATTTTAAATCAGCATTAAAAATAATCCCAAATCCATTTAAAGCTCACAAAAAGTTATGTGAAGATGCTGTTTATACTAGTTCTTCTTTATTATCAATAGCAGATGGAGTATCTTCTTGGGAAAAATATGGAATAGATCCATCATAGCATAGCAATCAATTATTAGACAATATATAAAAAACATTTAATGAAAACAAATTATTATATATAACAGATCCAAAAAAATTATTAATAGATGCTAGCCAAAAAACATAGATAAAAGGTTCATCTACATGTTGTTTAATAACAATAGACAATATATAACATAAAATTTACACCTCATATATAGGTGATTGTGGTTATGTTCTTTACCGTAAAAACGAAAGTGTAAAATAAAGACAATTTACTTAATTATTTTTATTAAATATAAAAAAGAAACCATTATATGTAAGTGAAGAATAAATAAAATATTTAAATATGCCTTATTAAATTGGATAATAAAATGATGACCCTGATGATTCTATTTTTAATGAACATGATATTTAAAATAATGATATTCTTGTAATGGGATCTGATGGACTTTTTGATAATTTAGATTAGTTTTAAATTTATAAATGTATTAGACCTTTTTGGCAAATTTCTGACAATATTTAAGATATTTAGATAGTTTGTGATTTTATTGCTAAGTATGCATTTAAATTATCTCGAAACCCAACTTATTAATCTCCTTATGCAATTAAATGTAAGTAAAATTATAAAGATTATAGAGGAGGAAAGTAAGATGATATAAGTGTTATTGTAGCACAAATATAAATACCAAATAAGTAATAATTTAATTGATTATAATAAAAAAATTTTTAAGTATTATGTATTAAACTAAAAATATATATATATATATATATATAAATTTATAATATAAAATAAAAATAAATTATTTATAAGAATATAATTTTATATATTTATTATATATAAATTAATTAATATTTTATAACCAATTTTTGCTATCATTTAAGTAATCCTTTAATACATATTCCTGTAAATCCTCCCCCAAATGCAGCTCCTATAGGACCTCCAGCAATAAAGCCTAAACCACACCCAACAGCTGTGCAAGCTAATTTAGCAATATTTCCTTCAAATTATTTTAATTGTTTATCTGCTTGATCAATTTAATTTTTTGCAGCATTAACATTTTAAGAAACCGATTCAGTATTATTTTTTATCTATTCTATTTATTATGTTTATTAAAAAATTTCTTCATTTAATTATTATGTAATATTTTTTATATGATAAGTTTCTTAAGTTAAATTTTAAAATTCTTTATTCAAATCATCTTCTTTATTATATTCAACTTCTCTTATTTCTTAAGATTAAAAAAAATTAGATATTTATTAATGATCATTTTAATCAATATTTTCTTTGTCTATAGTCATCTAATAAAAATTCATGTTTTCTCTTTACTTTTTCTCAAATTAAAATATTGACTTTTAACAATGTAAACAAAATTCATTATTTTCAGGATTTTTTTTTAATTTTTATATTTCTTCCTTTAAAATTAATTTTGTTTTTTCGGCTTGATTATATATTTCTTGATTTTATATATTAATGTTTTATTTAAGTATATTATTTAATTTATTTAATAAAAATTAGCATTATTCTATTTACAATTACTCCATATATATATTATGTTGTTTTTACAATTTTTAACTAAGCTTTTTTATTTGTTGCCTTTTTTTACCAGCTTCTAATATTGATTCATTTTATTAAGAGATTTTGTAATTATCAAGCTATTTTTTTAAATTCAAAAGTTCCGTATATAATAACCCTTTTTCTTCTAGACTTTATTCTTATGAAAATATTTCTATTTTAACTGAAATAATTTATTACAATTATTCAAATTATTAATTTTGAAGCATTTTTTTTAGTTCTTAATATTTTTATTTTTAAAATCAAAATTAATTGGGACTTTTAAAATTAAAATTAATTTTTATGTTTTTACAGGTATTAATATTAGTATTAAAGAAAATAAAAATATAATATATATTTTTTTTTTCTTGATATATAATTAAATTATAAATATTCTTTCAAAAAATATTATTATTGAAAATAAAAAGATCAAAATATGATTAAGTAGTTGGAATATTTTAATAACTAATAATATTTTTATTTATTATAATATAAATATAATTAAAATAAAGACGAAATTATCATTTTGAATTTAAATTTATGTTAATAAAATATATATAAATTAAATATGTTGTTATGTAAAGATATATTTTTCAATTTATTTTATTAAGTTTGAGTTTTTATTTAATATTTTTTCTTAAATTTTTAAAATGTCTTTTTTTTTTATAATATTTTTAGTTTTTATTAATTTTTTTTTTTTTTTTTAATAATTAATATTTTAGTTTTATAAAAATTAAACTATAAATAACAATTATTTTATTACTTATTTATATTTTTGTTATTTTATAAATATTATAATAATAAATTTTATATTTATTTAATAATATATTTATTAAATTTTATAAAAAATTAATATTTAATAGTACAATTTTATGTATTTTTAAAAATATTATTTATATATTAATAATTTTTTATTTTTTCTTATAATAATATGAATTTAATTTATTTTATGTTTATTTTTTAAAAAGCTTTAAATCTTTTAAAACTAACGTAAATTTCTCTAAAATAAATATACAATATTAGGAACAAATTATATTCGTTTACATATATACCATCAATTTTTTTTATTATTAAATATAATTTTAATTTACTAATAATATATGACATGTTTATATAATATTAAACAACCATTACCTTTCGATTTACTTTTATATTAACTCTAGAAAAGTATATATTTGTAAAATAGTTTGTTTTTGTAATAATTTTCATATTATATATTGGATATTTCGAAAAATATTTAACTTTGCTATTTTATTATATATTTATTAATATTTTCCTTATTTTTTAATATTAGAATTATTTTTTTTTAAGAATTTTCGAAATCAAAAATTTTAATTAAATTATAGTGTTTTTAAATAATATAAATGGTTATTTTTATTTAAAAAATAGAAATAATTTAATAATTATTTTTATAAATATAAAAATTAGAAATTTATTTGAAAACACGTTTTGTTTAATAATAATTTAATGTTAAATACCAATAAAAAATTATTATTAAATTACACGTGTGAAACAATATATATATATATATCTTTATTTAAATAAAATAAAATATAATTTATATTATATATATAAAAATTAATTTCAAAACTTTAATTGTATATTTTATTATTTTAAAATAATATTTTTAATTAAAAAAAAAAAAATGTAAATAAAATATTTCTTTTTATTTGTATTGATTGCATTCAGTGCAACTCTTTTAAAAGCAAATGAGACCTCAACCGAAGAATTCGAATTTTAAACCGAAGTAGGTCGTTTAATGGATATAATTATTAATTCTTTATACACTCAAAAAGATATTTTCTTAAGAGAATTGATTTCTAATGCATCAGATGCTTTAGACAAATTACGTTTCTTATCAGTTAAAGATACTAAAATTCTTGAAGGAGAAAGTGATCTTAAAATTTATGTTGATTACAATGCTGAGGAAAAGACAGTCTCAGTAACTGATACTGGTATAGGAATGACCAAAAATGATTTGATTTAAAACTTAGGTACTATAGCTAAATCAGGAACAACTAACTTTATTGAGGCTATTAAAGGTAAAAATATATATAAAAAATTAAAAAATATTTTTAAAAAATAGGTGGAAATGTTAGTATTATTGGTTAATTTGGTGTAGGTTTTTACAGTTCTTTTTTAGTTGGACAAAAAGTCACAGTTACTTCAAAACATTATGAAGATGAATAATATACTTGGGAAAGTAGTGCAGCTAATTCTTTTACTATTACAAAGGATACAGTATAAACAATAACTAGAGGTACTAAAGTAACTATATATTTAAAACAAGATGCTAACGAATTTGTCGAAGAAAAAACTTTGTCTGAATTAATCAAAAAGCATTCAGAATTTATTAATTTCCCAATTTATTTGAGAACTTTTAGAGAAGAAGAAAAAGAAGTACCAGTTGAAGAAAATGAAAGTGAAAAGAAAGATGATGAAAGTGATGAAAATAAAAAGAAAGAAGAAAGTGAAAAGAAAGGAGATGGTGAAAAAAAAGAAGATGGTGAAAAAAAAGAAGAATAAGATGGAGAAGGAAAAAAAAAAGATGAAGAAAAACCAAAAACAAAGAAAATAAAAGAAAAAATTCCTGAATGGAAATAAATGAATGAAAACAAAGCAATTTGGACTCGCCCTAAAGAAGAAATTGAAGATGAAGAATATGTCAGTTTTTATAAAAGTTTCAGTAAAGACTATGAAGTTCCATTAAATTGGATTCATTTTAAAGGAGAAGGAGAGGTTGAATTTACATCTTTATTGTTTTGCCCAAAGAAAGCTCAACATGACTAATTCGACAACTATTATAGTAAATCAACTGCTTTGAAATTGTATGTAAGAAGAGTTTTAATTAATGAAGAATTCGAAGAATTAATGCCCAGATATTTAAATTTTATTAAAGGTGTTGTCGATTCTGATGATTTACCTTTAAATGTAAACAGAGAAAGTATTCAATAAGTGAAAATGTTGAAAGTAATTAGCAGAAAATTGGTAAGAAAAACTCTTGAAATGATAAAAAAAATGGCTGATGAAGAAGGAAAAGATGAATCGGATGATTATGATGATGATGAATAAGGATCTTAAGATGATTAATAAGTTAAAGATGGTGAAAAGAAGGAAGAAGAAAAGGAAAAAAATGAAGATAACAAAGAAGAATAAGAAAAAAAAGCATAAGAAAGAAGAGATAGATATAAAACTTTCTGGAAGGAATTCGGAAAAAATATTAAATTGGGAATTATTGAAGATTCTACTAATAGAGAAAAATTAATGAAATTAACTAGATGGTATTCTTCTTATAATTCTACTGAATTAACTTCTTTTGATTAATATATTGAAAGATCTAAAGAAGGTCAAGATTCTATTTATTATTTGGCAGGAGATAGCAAAGAATAAGTTCTTAATCATCCTACTATTTAAAGATTACTTAAAAAAGGATACGAAGTCTTAATTTTGGATGATCCAATTGATGAATTTACTTTCTAAAACATGTCCGAATATAATAAAAAAAAATTCGTAAATGTTGGAAAAGGTAACTTCAAATTCCCTGAAGATAATGACTAAGAAAAAAAAAGAAACAAAGCTATTAAAAAAATCTTCAAAGTAATAAAAAAAAAGTATTTATCCATATATTTATTCAAAATAAAAAAAGCCTTTGACTGATTGGTGGAAAAAATTATTGACAGCTGATTTGGAAGAAGTTAGAATTTCTTAAAGACTCCATGATGATCCTTGTGTTATTGTCTCAAGTGAACATGGCTATTCAGCTTAAATGGAACGTATTTCTAGAGCCTAAGCTTATGCCAATTCTGATAGATCTAATCCTTAAGCTAATCAAAAGAAAATTCTTGAAATTAATCCTAATCATCCTGCTATTAAAGAATTACTTGAAAGAGTTAAAGAAGATCCTGATAATTAAACTGAAGAATTAGCTAAAGTCTTATATGAAGGAGCTATGGTTAACTCTGGTTATAACCTTAAAGAACCTATTGGATTCGCATAAAGATTCTACAGATTACTTAACAGTGCATTAGGTATACCTAAAGATGCTCCTATTGAAGATTATGAAGTTAATTTGGATGATGATGAAGATGAAGAAGATTAAGGTATTTTTATTTATTATTAATTTTATATATATTTATATTCTTTTAAAGGTAAAAAGAAAAATGTAGTTGGAGATGATAATGAAGAATAAAATTTAGATGATGGTAAAGATGGTAAAGAAGATAAAGAAGATTTGTGATTTTCTTTCTTTTAGACATTATTTTATAAAAAATAAATAAAAATTAAAATAAAATAAATCATTTTTTTTTTAATTTTTTTGTTAGTTTAATGTTGTTTATTTTAGTTTCTCTTATTTAATTAATACATAAAAAATAAAATAAATTAAGTATTCTATTAAATATTTGTTAATGCGTTTTTTTTTTTTTTAATACTGAGTAGAATAGTTTTTATTTTAAAATAAATAAATTCATATTTTAAAAATTATATTTAAAAAATTATAAATTTATAACTATGAATAAATTATTTATATTTTTACAAAAATATTAATGTGTTTTATTTTAAATAAAATAAAAAAAAATATTTATTTTCAAATAGTCTAAAATCTAAATAAAATTCTTATTTTTATTTGATAAAAATGCGATAATTACTATTGTTATGTATTTTGTTTGTTTTGAATTTTTAGAAAAAAAATAAAAAATTCTTTTTTTATTAATTTTTATATTTGTAAAATCTATAAAAAAACTTGTTAAATAAAAATTATATTTTAAATATTTTTATAAACTATAAATATAATTATAATATCTTTCTATTTTAATATTTAAATATAGGAAGAAAAAATAAAAATAAAAATAAAAATAAAAACTAAGAAGAATTCGTTAATTTTTGTTTTTTTCAACTAAATTCAAAAAATAAATATGGAAAAATAAATCAATAAAGATTAAGTAATAAATATATAAAAAAAAAATTATAGATATAGCGTTTATATACAGAATAAATGATTATTTTTATTTAGAATTTTAAAAATAATATTTTTAAAAATAATATAGTTTTATTATATTTTATATATTTAAATAAAATAAAAAAATATTTATTATTTTTATATTCACTTTTATATTTTTTTCTATTATGAATATTTTTTATTTTGGTTATCATTAATCAAAAACAACTTAATAATATTTAGTTCTTATAGAATTTGTGGAATTAATATAAATATATAATAATAACGAATTAGAATATAAAATTTTAATTTTTTATAATTTTTCTTATATCTTCTTTAGAGATATATATATTTTTTAATAAAAAAAATAGTATACAAATGATTTTTATTTTACTTAACAATAATAAACCTATTTAAATGAAATTTTACCAAAATATTATTCTTTCTAATTTTCATAAAAACCAGTTAGAGCAAAACATAATTACTTATTAGAATAATTAAAAATGAGTCCAAAATTTTCTCATTAAAATGTAAATTATAAAAAAAATAAAATAAAAAAAAAAATAGAAAACAAAATCATAAGATTAGTTAAAAAAATAAATATCTCAAGAAATATCTTCTGCAAGCAGTATAAAAAATTAATGTTTAAAATAAGAAAATCAGCCACTTGATTAATCTTAGAAATTATTAAAAATATTAAATATGCTTTAATAACATCCAAAAGTTTAACCTTTTTTACGTACTGTAAATCCTAAAGCTTAATAATGTCCAGATTATTTTAATTTTATAAAAGAACCAATGGATCTAATTACAATAGAAAAAAAGTTAAATTTAAATTAATATAAATCTTAAAAAGAGTTTGAAAATGATATTTAAAAAGTATGGAATAATAGTTATTAGTATAATGAAAAAAATACTGAAATATATAATAACACTAAGCAAATCGAATAATACTATAAATAAATATTCAAATAAATAATCAATGAAAATGTCGAAGATATAAATAAAACTATTAGTTCAACAAATTAACATGGAACAAGGCATAAATAAATCCAAAATTATAATAAAAAATAATAAAAAACTGATATACCTATGAATATTTTAGAAAAAAAAAATTAATAAAGAATATTTAATAAATTCCTTAAGAGTCTTTATCTGGAATCTGGGAAATTGTAAAATCAGAAGTTGGGCATTAGAAAAATGATAAAGAGTTAGTCTTTGACATTGATAAATTGAGTGTAAAAAAAGCTAGGGAATTAGAAAGTTATATAAAAAGGTAATTAGAAATCATCTAAAAAAATAAAAAAATACTTAAATATTCGTAAAAATAGCAATCTAAATAATTAAGTTAAAGTGGTAAATTAAAATTATTTATTGTTCTTTTTTTTAATATATTTTATTTTTCATTTTTATTTAAGAAAATAGTGAGAATAGTGAAAGCAGTTAATAATACCCAAATAATTAAAGTAATCAAAATAAAGATAAATAGAAAAATAAAATTTAATAAAAAAAAATATAACTAAATAAATGATATTATTAATACATAAAAATAAATTTATAAAATTTAATTGCATTATAAATAAAGAGAAACAAAATATAAAAAAAATATAATCAAAATAAGAAATTAATATTTTTTAGATAATTTAAATGGTTTAAAGTTAATATAAAATAAAAAATATATATATAATAAAAAAACTTTTATATATTATAAATTCTTTTTTATTATTTATTTATAAAAAATAAATAATATTTTATTTTTTAGTATAATTATAAACACTTCTATATGAATAATAATTTATTATAAAATATATAATCACTTAATAATAAAATTTATAAATTTAATAATTTTTTTTATTAAAATATAATTTTTAAAATTAATTTATATATAATAATTTGTTTTTATTAAGTTTAATATATTTATTTTTATTAAATTTCCCTTAATTTATTGTTTTAATAAGTTTAATTTTTTAATTTAATATATTATTATTTAAAAAACAATGTTTTATTTTTGTAAAAGTCATATTCATTTTTTTTAATTATTTATAAAAATATTTTTATTTCATTTGTATTTGATATGCAGCTATAATCCGATATTTAAAATGTGAAGTCTCAATAGCTTGTTTAAAAGATAATTTTTAAATTTCAAATATTTAATTTTATTTATTTAATAATTTTTATTAATTAAATTTGATTGATTAAATCTTAATAATGTTTTTTTCTATATTTGAATTTACTTTTGAATTTCAAAAAGTAATTATTATTAATAAATAAAATGTAAATTATGAGTTATAAGCTTTTTTAAGAAATAATATAAATATATAATTTAATATTTAATATTTCTTTATTAACGAAAAGATATAACGATTATTTAAATTATTTTAAAACAATTTTAAAAAGATAAGTAAAAAAATGTATATAAATTATATAAAATATAATATTTTTTAAAAAAAAAAGAAAATAATATTTATTTATATTTAAATTTTTTTATTTTACATAGTTAAAATTACTCATGTCTTTAAAAATAATTTTCTAGAATAAATTTTTAATTAAATTTATTTATGTAAATAATAAATAATTTAATTTAATATATATATTATTTTTAATTAAAAAAAAATATATATATAAATTTTTAATATTTTAATTATATAAATTAATTATTTATTAAATGGTAATTTTTATGAAATTTGTTTAAAAAAATGTAAATTATAATGTTATGTACTTTATTTTATTATAATATATTTTCTGAGAATAATAGACAAAAAAGGAAATTAATAATTAAAATCAAAAACCATATTTCAAAATACTATGATATATATTATTTAAATAATTATATTAATTTTTAATTAATTTTATTTTATAATTATATTCACAAAAATAATTATATTACCTAAAAGATAATATAATATTAGAAAAATGATCAATAATACAAATTAAGAAAAAGAATAATAATAAAGTAATAATATAAATGAAGAAGAATAACAAGATTAATTTTTACTTTCTTAACATAGCGATTATATATTAAAAAATTAAAAGCAATATCTTAAAAGAGGATAACATTATATACAAAAATAAAAATGGGAATAAGTATAAAAACAATAAAACATATTAAATTTATTAAATTTAAAACAAAATATTATTTAATAAAAAGGCTCTTAAATTCTATGAATTATTAAATGAAGTAAATCCTAATATAGCAAGTTCTTAAATATTAGCTGGACATTGCTGTTTTCATTTTAAAATGCACCAAAAGGTGATTACTTCTTATTAAAAAGCTATGGATTTATCTGTTAAAGCTAATGTAAAATAATATATATAAAAAAAAACTAATATTACTATAATAAATAATATTATTTAATTTAAAATTTATAGAAAGACCCTAATATACATTTTGAACTAGGTGTTTCAAATTATAAAGTAATTATAATAGAATTAATTAAATCTAATATATATATATATATAATAATAATTAAAGATAATAATTTTTTAAGTCTATATTATATGTTTATTAAAAATTATATTCTAATTTTTTTTTTATTGTATTTAATTTTATATAATATAAAATTAAAGCAAGGAAATTTTAATGAAGCTGAATAAAATTTTAATAATGTGAACAAATATTCTTAAAAATATGTCTATTAACATATAATAGATTTATATAGAGCTATTATAAAGAAAGTACATAATAGCCATTTAGAATCTGCAAAATTATTTTTTAAATATTCTTAATTTTAAAGATGAAAAAAATATTTTTAGCGTTCAAAAATCGATTGAAATTTTATGTAATTCTGGATTATAATTAGAATATGCAAAAGAGGTAAATATTAAATATTTTAAATAATTTTTTTAAATATTATTTATTTAAAAATATAGATGGAAGAAGCTTTTATGTGTTATCAGAAAGCAAAATAATTAGAAAGTAGTAATATAAATGCATTAAAATGTTTGAGCTGGTTATTATTTTAGAAAAAATGTTATGTAAGAATAATAATAATAAAAAAATTATATAAATAATAAAGAGGGAATCTATGGATTCGATTTAAAGAGCATATTAATAAAATAATAAAGATTTCGAAGTTCTTTTAATAATGGCTAAAAATTATGATCAATAAAATTAAGTTAAACAGGCTTTAGAATATTTTATAAAGGCGATATAAGTAAATGATAAAAGTTATATTTGTTGGTGTTATTTAGGAATTACATTTTTTAAATTGAATATGGTTTTATTTTTATAAAAAAAAAAAAAAAATTAAAAAAAAAAAAAAAAGATGAAAGATGCTTTCACATGTTTTAATAAAAGTTATAAACTAGAAAATAATATTGAGGTTTTGTTTAATATTGGCTTACTTTTTGAAATAGGAAAAAGCTATATTGAAGCACTTAATATTTATAAATAAATAATTATGGTATGTCCAGATGATTATATGGTTGTAAGAAAAAAAATCAATATAGAAAGAAATGCTTTAAATTAAAATTAAGAGCCATTAAATAAAAAATAATTGTAAATTTTTTTAATAATTAAATTGTGTGTATATATTTTATTAATTATTTTACTTATATTATCTAGAAACAAATTAAAAATGAATTTAAGAGAACCTCCATATAAACCTACTGTTAAATTATGGTTAGAAGAATTGGACGATTAAGGAAAATAAAAGTTATAAGAATAAGAAAATTAATAAATATAATAAATAAATAACTCTTAATAACTAAAATAAAAATTTTCTTTTGATCCTAAATAAACATAACAATAAAATGATAATAAAGATATATATGATAGTTAATTTAATACACCTGGATTAATCGCTTAAACTCCAAATTATAAACTTCTGGGTGAATCTTTTGCTAAAAAAATAGTTGATGTTAAAACACATAAGGTATAAATATTTTATTTTTTTAGAAAAAAAATAAAAAAATAGGAAAGTTTATATAGAAATGTTTTAGATTTTCATAAAAATAGTTTTGATGATATATTCACAAGAAATAGAAATAATTCTATTTCTATGCTTATATAACATAGTAATATGAAAAGTATGTATTAAATTTATTTAATATAAATTAAATAAAAAAAAAAATAGATGAAGAATATACACATTATAATTATCTAGATGATTAAGAATTAATTTATAATTTTTAAACTGAAAATGTATAAAACATCTAAAAATAATATTTATTTATTTTAACAAAAAAATACAGAAAAAGAATAGTATATTATATAGAAAAAATTCAGAAGATAATAGAATTAGAAATAACTCAAATGCCTCTAATACTAATACTTCACCTTTATAAAAATCAGGAAACCAAAAAGGTGATAAAAGTCCTGAATTTGAAAACAATTTATAAGAAAAACCAATTAAAAAAACTAAAACATCTATAAATAATCAATAAATAAAGTCTAATAAAAATTTAGAATTTTGTAACAAAAATTTAATATTTAATAAATTAGGGATTAAAAAATAAAACTGAAAAAAAAATTTTAAATATATATAATTAAATTAATATTATTTATTTATTTATTTATTTATTTATTTATTTTAAAAAAAAAAAAAAAAAAAAACATTTTAAGTTTATTTATATGTTAATTATTATAATTATATTATATTTTTATTTTAATTATTTTTAAAATAATATAATTGTTATTTCATTAAAATTTTCTTTTAATGTATTATATATATTTTTATTTTTATATGCTCATTTATTCTTTTTAGCAATATTATAAGTTCCTTTGTTTTTTTTTTACAATTTATCACTTAAGTTATTACAACTAAAATAATTATCTGAATTTTTTTAATTGTTACCGATATTTTCAAAATTCTTTTCTTATATTTATTTTTTTTAAATTAAAATATCAATTGCAGTTTCATCCATATCAATATCTTATAATTTACTATATTACTTTTAAAGTCTTGCACTTTCAATAATTATTTCTTAAATTTATTAGTCAGTAAGATAATTATTACTATTATTATCAATATCTTCTTCATTGTAATTATTAACTTATTTTTAATTTGTGTTTTTTTGAGCCCTTTTTATACTTTCTTATTACTTTTAATCATTAACACTTTATTTTTTTTAATTATTAATATTTTAATATTTTTAATCATTATTGATTTAATGTTTTTAAACATTATTGATTTAATGTTTTTAATCATTATTGATTTAATATTTTTAATCATTATTGATTTAATATTTTTAATCTTTATTGATTTAATATTTTTAATCATTATTAATTTAATATTTTTAATCATTTATAGCTTTAGAATTAATATTTGTTTCAAAATTATATTTATCTTAAAAATTGTCAGCTTTCTTCATATTTTCATCCTCAATTTACAAAAACAAATCTTCATTCATTTATTTAATTTCTTAAAAGTTATTTATATCTTATAAATTATGACTTTCTAAAATATTTACATTTTCTGATTATAGGTTAATATTTCCTTTTTTTGTTTTTTTTATATGATAATCATCAAAACTTTTTTTTTAAAAAAAAATAAAAAATAAAAAAATGAAAATATTTTATTATTTTTTTTAAAAAAATAAAATATTAAAAGGAAACCTTTAATTCAATTTATTTACACTATTTAATAGTTAAAGTCTTGTAGATATTTTATTTGGAGAAGTATTAATTTTAAAATAATTATCATTTTAAGAATATTATGATTTTTCTCTCAAAAAATTATTGTTTTAAATATATTCAAGTACTCCTTCTGCGGTTATTCTATCATTTTCTTTTATTTAAAGCATTTTCTTTATTAATTATAATAAGCATAAGTATCCTTCACTCTTTTCAACTTAACCATTGTTTTTTTCTTCTAAATCTTATAATAATTAATTTAATTTTTAATCATCGAATTATCCATTATCAAAATCATATAAATCCTAATTTATTTAAATATTTTTTTAAAAAGTAAAATAAATATGAATTGTTTTATAAATTATGGAAAAAATTTACTTTAATAGGTTAGTTATGTAATATTTCCAAAGATACTAAACCCAAAGAAAAAACGTCGTCTAAGTATTAATTATGTTCAGGGTTCATGATCCTAAAAAAATAAATATATAATATGTTATTATTATATTTATTTATATATAATATAATATTTTAATTAATAAATTTCTTTAAAATATAAACATTTTTATTTTTTATTTTTTAGTAATATATATATTATAATTATAATACTAATGTTATAATCCATCGAAAAGAATTGGAGAAATATACACTTTATCAGTTAATCCTAATAAAAGTCTTTTATATTAAGTCAACTTAGTTAGTATTTATATATCAGTTAACTTAAATTAATCATAGGGGGAAATAACTATTGTTTATGGACGGACATCTCCATGGTATAAACCATATTATTCGAAAACAATCAATGCATTAGAAATACATTATATTAAAAAAAATATTTCGCTTACAGAAAATGTTTGTTTCATGCTTTTTCTCTTTTGAATTAATTATTCAAGAGTTTCAGGATAAAATTAGTAAACAATATCTATTTTAAGTAATTAAGAGCAATAGTCTCCAGAGGAATGAGCTTCAGCCTCTAACAATTCAACAATACAAGGATTTACAATTTGTTTTCTTTGTTCTACTTTTTAAATAAATTATTCTAATGTTTAATTATTTTAAAATCTAAATTATTTAATTGCCAATAAGTCCTTTATATATAATAATAATTGATATATATTTTTAAATTTTCATTAAAATTAAAATTAAAATTAATTTAGTAATTTTAAATTTAGCTTTGTTATTACTGCATTTAAAGTATTTTTAACTATTTTGATTTCTCCATATGCTTCTGTTTCTATTTATTTTATAAAAGCTATGTTTTCTTAAATAAAAGAATTTCTGACTTTGTAAGGATACACTTAATCGTTTCCCATTTTTTTTTATTTATTATTTTTAATATTATTTTTTATTTATATATAACAAATTTTTAATCATAAAAAAAATTTAAAAAAAAAAATATTTGTTTTTCTGAAGGTAAAATATTTTTATTTTAATAGAATTAATTATTATTATATTCAAAATTAAGTATTTTATTTTTATTTTTATTTTTAAAATAAAATAAAAAAAGATATAACTTAAAAAATATATTTATTTTTAAAAAAATAAAATATAAAAAAATAAATAAAAATAATATTTTATTATTACAAATAAACTTTAAATTTTAAATCATTATTTTTTTAAAAGAAAAAAAAAAAAAAAATCAATTTTATTAATTATCATAATTCTTTTATACTAATTATTATTTTTAAGAACAATTAGATTTAATACCCGTAGTAGTTAAAATCTGTATTTAGCCTAAATCAACACCATTATAATTCCTAGTAGTTTTAATTTTCAAATATCTTTTTAAATCCTAATATCCTTCTTTTTAAAACAAAAAGTAACTTTAAATATCCGAAAAGGTCGGATGAGGTGTTTTAATTTTAAAAAAACCATCTAAATCAGTATAACTTTTTCCCATAAGTATGTCTTGATTATTAAAACTATTATCGACTTCAAAAAAGAAAAGAACTTACATAAAAGGAATATTTTTTTAAGGAAAAAGCGAACAAGTGGTATCTTCGTAAAGTTTTCCTGTAATCGAAATAGGATTTTTCACATCAACATAATAAATGCTTGAAGAGCTATTATTTTGTTCTAATTCAAAGTTTAAGTTTTACATTTAATACGGACTTTTTAATTGTATGTTAGTTTATGTAAAAGGTTAATAACCTGCTTTTTCAACTATTATAATAGCTTGATAATCTAGACCTTAATTAATATCACCAAGGAGCTTGAAAAGACCTTTTTGGTCGGAGTTTCCTTCTGTATTTTTGGTATTTATCATATCAAGGAATTAAATAGTTACAAAGGCGTCTGTAATTGGTTTTTTGCTTTGTTTATCAACAACTTTTCCCTGAATATTATATTGTGTTTTTATTCTTTAGGAAACCAAATATATTTCAACTTATTAATAACTTTCATTTTCTGAAAGCTCTACTTAGGTTATAGTTTATAAATATATGTTTTTATCAAAAGGTTTTTATAGAAGGTTAAATTTATATGTATTTCCTTATATTAATGGTATTTTTTCAAATGAAAATAAACCTTTTTCTCCACTTTTTTATATTGTTTTTATCTCTGGATCTGAATCAGGGTATAATATTATTTCACTATTTTTTAAATATTCACCTGTATTTGATAATGTAAAACCTTTTATTTAACCTTATATATATTAAGATTAGGTAGCTACTTTCATGTTTATTACTAGGTCTTTTATCACATATAGATTTGATTATTATAATTGTATCTTGGTCTTTTAATCAATATATTTTGCAGATTTAGAAATTAAAAATAATTCGTAAGTAAATCCTTCTTATATTTTCTGTTTTATAGTAAATTTTCCTAATTTGTCTGCATAAAAAAGTTACTATTAATCTTATATGCCTATAAACTCTTCAAATTATAATAATACTTATGCATTTGGAATTGGTTTTTTGGTTTAAAAGTCTTATACTAGACCTGAGACTTCACAAATAACACTTTTCTTGTACATTATTAATTATTGGTTTGTTAATTAATAATTATTTTCGAATTTAAATTCAACTTCTTCATTATATTCTTAATAATCTTTATCGTTTGCTATTTTTATTTGTATAAATGCATTATATATATACCCTACTAATATGTTTTCTTCAAATTCGATTATACCTATTTTTTTTTTTATTTTTGTCGATATATTAATTTATATATATTTTATATATAAAAAAAATATCGTTTAAATTAAACTAAAAATACCATAAGAATCTGTTTCTGATTTTAAATCAACAGCTTAATGTTTTTTAGACTCTTCACTAAATTTAAGAAGTACTGGAACTTCTGGAATTTTTTATTTATGAGTATTATAAATAACTCCTGAATATTTTAATAAAGTTTGCTTTCTTTCTAATTAAACTTACAAATTCTTTATTTAATAAGAATTCTTGGCATCTAAAACTACTTCTTTTTCTAGATTATTAAAGAAGTCATGTTTTATTTCCAATTTACAAGTATAAAAATCATTGTAAGTTACCATTACTTCTATATTAAAAACTCCTTATTTATTAGAAATTTCTTATTAAGGTTTTTCATTTATTAATTTTTTCTATGAATCAAATACAAATAATGTTATTTAACCTAAATATACAGGAATTTTATTTTCGTCAAGTAAAACGCCTTATATCGAAGTTTTAAAAGGCTCTGAAACTAAACTAAGTTTTAAACTTTCAATAACATAATTATTTTTCTTTAAAAATTAAACATCACTAATTAATTAATTAAATCCTTTTTTTTAAATCTATTTTTTACATATTAATTTATTATAAAACAAAAAATATATATAAATAAATAATACATTTAATTTAGCTTTAATCTCTTCAGAATTTAAAGATACAACTTCACCAAAAGTAAAAATACCATTTAAATTAGTTTAAGTTTTGAAACTTTAATTATTTTCATTCAAGGTAAGCACTACGTCAACTTTATCAAGTGGAACATTTGTAAGAGTATTAACTAATCCTTATTTAATTCTAATGGTTATAGGACTTCCCATAATAATCTATTGCTTTTCTAATTTATATTAATTCTGATAATTAAGAAGAAAAACTTATTTACGAGAAATTAATTAAGGGTAACTAAATTCAACAGTAATAGTATATTCCTTACCTAATTAGAGTTGTAGTTTAATCTAAAATAATCCCTTATCGTCTATATTTTAAATTTTAGGATCAAATTCTTTCAAAGGATTAGGTTGTACGGAAATAATTTTAAATTATCCTCCTTTTTTTAATGGGTCTTTAAGATTTTCAGAAGAGAAAATGGCACCAGAAATAATACCATCAACAGGCGTTAATTTAAATTCGACTTCACTTTTAAGATTTTTGATTGTATAGTTATTTTATTCCGATATATTTCCTATAATAAGTGATGATGATTATTTAAAAGAATTTAAAATATTCAATTATATTGTATAAGTGATTCCTAACTCTGCCTTAAATTTACAGTCATATTCTCCTTTTTAATTTGTTTTGCAGTCTATATTTTATTAAGGGAGAATGCTTTTTTCCCCTTATACTGCCGTTATTGATATCTAAGAATTACTTACAGCATTCTTTGTACCTTTTTCAAATAATATACCTTATATTTATGCTTACACAGGATTTCTTTTTATATAAATGTCTCCAAAATCACCTGAAAAACCTGTATTGTAGTCTATTTTTTTAGCTGGAGGTTTGAATTCCTCAAAGTATTTTTTATCACCTTATATTATTAACTAGATATCGTATTATTGTGTATTTTAAGCCTCATGTTTGGCTGAAAAAACACCTTTTTAATCTGTTTAGACTTCCAGTTTTTCTGTTTTACCTTAAGAAGTAATTTAAATTTAGACTTTGGCTGATTTTAAAGGTTCTTTGAGTGTAGTTTCAAACACTTTTCCTTAAATAACTATCTAAACAGGTTAAGGAATATAAATAAGAGTAATTGTTTTTGCATCATATGTGTAATTATTGGCTAAGTTTAACTTAATTTTTTCGATTTTAGCTTTTTAAAATTAATCTTTTTCAACTAGGATAGTAGTTTCATATTCATCTCCTTCATAAGCGAGAAATTCGAAAGAAAAATCTCCATTTTTATTAGATACTTAAGGAATAGGAGATTATAAAGGAGAATTAAAAGAAAGACTTATTTTTGCATTTTCGACTGGTTTTTTAAAAAAGTTGTTTTGAATATTTCCAAACACTTTTCCTTTTAATTCTTTGGGAGTAATTTTGACTTCTAAAGGCTATTTTAGAAAATCTTTTTCTTCTTCTAAATTAAACTATTCTTTATAAGGAATTGCATATTAATTTGTTTAAGAAGTTATTGTTATTGAACATGAGAGTTTACTTTCAGGATGAAATTCAGTTTCATTTTATAATCGAAATTTTCCGGATGAATCTGTCACTGTTTTTAATGTCAATATGTGATTTTTATTGACATTACTTTAACATACTAGTTGAATGTTTGCGTTTTGAATTGATTTATTGAATTAATCTTTTACTGTCCCTTAGATGTCGATTGGAATTAAATTCGCTTTTAATGTTATTGGTTATTTAAATTTAAATTTCAAATCATTTATTAAAAAAAATCCTGAAGTATATTAACTATCTTCTTTTATTTTCCATTCTTTATATGGAGATTTTTTTATTGTTATGTCACCTTTTTTTTTTTTTTCTATATATAATATTTATAATAAAAATACCTTTTATAGGTGCATATTCTTCCAAATCAGCTTTTATAGTAAAACATCCTTAAGAATCGGTTTTTTCTATTACAGTATCTTAAAATATTGGCTCTGTATATGATGCTGTCACTATAGCACCTTCAATTGGCTACTTTTTATCATTTTCTACACAACCTATTATGTAAGTTGGCTTAGGAAGGATTGGAGTTAATATAAATGATTATTTCGATTATGTTTTAACACCTTTTTTTATTGTTATTGAACTATTATATATGTTCTTTAGCTTTTTTGTATCTTCTAAATTATAACCTACTATTAATTCAATAGATATTTAAATTTATTATTAATCAGAATAAGAATTTTATAGTTTTCCAGAAAAAGTAGCTAGTCCTGTATTATCGTCTATTCTTTACTCAATGACATGTTTATCTATTGATAATGTTGCCTATTTTTTATTTTTTCCAAAAAATCAAATCATTTTTTTATTTTACTTTTGCTTAACGAACAGGATATTTATGTTAAGTTAAAAATTCAGCTGTTATTTCAAAAGCATTTTCTTCGTTTTATTTTTTATATGTCCGCATAAATTTTCCTATTATTTTAAAAATTAATTATTATTTAAAAAAAAAAAAAATTTTGATTATTTATACTAAATAGAATGTTTTCATTTTATTCTTAAGTATTTAAATAAATACTGCAAAATAATAAAAATGTAAGAAAAGTTAGTGTAAGGATAAAAGGCTTTTGAATATAATTAAACAGCTTTTGAATATAAGTAAACATTTTTTTTATTAAAAGTACAAATTAATATTTTATTTATTTTTTATTTTAAATATTTTGAAAAAAAAAAAAAAAAAAAAAAAATTAATATAAATTAAAAATGTTGATTTTTAATTCATTCGAAATAAATTTAAAATAGCTTTAATTTGAATTTTTATTTTATGTTTATTTTTATTTTTATTTTATTAAAAATATATATCATTTTTAAAAATTATAAGGAGTTTCAAATTAAATATAATTTATTTTAAAATTATATCTATAACACCATATATATAAATTTATTTCAATTTATATAATCTAAAATATTTATCATTTTTATTTTTTCAAGCTATCCTTTTATTTCATAATTTAATTAAAATTAATGAGATTAATGATCATGTCCATTAAACTTATATTTAAAAAATATAAAAAAAATATCATATATAATAAATTTTTTAAAATACTCCACAAATAAATGCTTTAGGAATAGCATCACATTTGTTTTCTTATAATCTAATTAAATCAATAAATTCCTTTATTATTTCTTATTAATAATTTAAATCAATCATAACATATTTATAGACCTTATATTAATTCAAAAACTACATATAACTATCAAAAGCATTATTTATTTTTTAAGCATTCAATTCTCTTCCTAAATCTTTAGTATTTTAAATAATTTACTTAATTTAGTCTATTTATTCAAAATCTTCTTAGACAATAAGTATAGTATCAGTTTTTTAATATTGCTATAAATTAAAATATATTAAATATGTAAATATTTTTTTTTTTAAAAAAAAAAAAACTTAGTTGCAAATATCTTATAAAATCCATTATTTTTTATTAGATTTTAAACGTGATACATTAATTTCTAAGGATAAATTATTATTAAAAAAAGATTTAAAAGCACAATTTTAACTTTATAACTATATACAATTTTCAGATACTTAAGAATCATTTCTAAATCTAAAACTTTACAAAACTTAAGGACTCATTAAATTAGAAATACTATTTAATGGACTTTTTTATGAAATTGATTGATTTAAACTGTTTGGATTATCTTCAAATTAAACTGTATTTTTTAAAAAATAAATATGAATTAATATTGTTATTTTTTTTTTTGTAAATAAATAATTATTATTAATTTAAAACTATTTAATTACATTTAATAAATAAACTGTTTCTTTATTTTTTATCTTTTTATAAAAGAACATTCTTGGAAGTATCAATTGTACTTTAGAATGTATTTTTTCTAATGATATATTTCTTGTTTTTAGGAGAAGAATAAAATAATTATGGTAAATTATTTTATTTCTATGGGGAATTCTATAAAGACTAATATTATGTATTTTTAATATTTTTAACTAAAGAAATTTGATTATTTTCATGTATTTCATTTGATTATTACAAAACATTTATTATTATACTTTAGAATAACTAAACAAAATTTTATTTAAAAAAACTAAAACTATTTTGTATTTACTTTTTAATTTAGTTATTTTACTTTTGATTATGAGGTTAAATATCACTTTTGTTATTACGAATTAATTAATCAGATTTATTAAAATATTTATTTTTAGATTTATTTTAAATAAATTGTTTTTATTATTATTATTATAATTATAATTATTATTTTCTTGTATCTTCTTATTGTATGTATGAAGTATTAGAATCTATACTTTAAATTTTTTTTATTTAAAGTATTTATAATTATCCTTAATTTTTTAATGTTTTCTTTTATATTTTACTATTATTTATATCAGGAGCCCAATAATATTCTTTTGCATATTCTTTTTTATTTCTAAGATATGACAAATTTATATCATAAGGTTTAGTTAAAAAATTATATTTTTTCTTAGAATATTTTTTTTCTGAATAATAATTATAATCTAATAAATTGCTTAATTTTTTTTGTAAATATTCTATTTTGTTTATATTTATGTAAAAGAAAATACTTATTGTATTGTAATAAATATTTTTTTTCTAATTAATCAGCCGAAACACTATTACTTTATTGAGATATATTTAAAAAACTATTACTAGATTTTATTTGTTTAGTATTTTATTCTTCTATATAAATTTATCCTTGATTTTATCTTAATTCGTCTATTACTAACAATAATATTGTTTCATTTATATTTTTATTTTGAAAATCTTATAATGTTATATTTCCTTTAAAAGAATTGCTACTGTACTTTTATATTATCTTTTTTTGAAAAAAAATAAAATAAAATAAAAATATAAATTCTTATAATTATACTTTATAAAACAAATCTTTTTATTTATTTTTTTCGAGAAAATCAAATTCAAAGCCTAAAAGAATTTGATTTTTATTCTAATCATTTTCTTTCCATTCTTTAAAAACACAATTTAAATTAAAATAAGTCTCATCACAATCACAAATTAAATAAATAATAGAATAAAAAATCTATAAAAATAATTTAAAAAAAAATGAGGAAAATATTAATGCTATTTTCTATAATTATAAAATAAGGAAAAAAAAAAAAAAACCAAAAAAATTAAATTGGATCCCCATTTACAATTTTAGGAAAAGAACTTTCGAAATTTAAATTTATTTTTTTAAAGAATTTTAAAATTTAACTGAAAATGTCTCAATAATTTAGATTATTAAATTTTCAATTTGAAAGTTCATATTATAAGTTTATATATTTTACTCTTTTTAATATATTCGATTAAGCTTTTGAACTAATAATAAAATGTTTAATATATTGTGTTATTCGCTAATAATTTGTGATAAATATTTCAAATCAGTAAGCTTTATTTAATTTAATTGCGCTAGATTACACCATTTTTTATAATCTTCTTCTATATTATTAATTATAAATAATACTCTATTATTTATATTACTTTTTTAATTTTATTTTATTAATAAAATTTAAAAAAAAGTACTTATTTAAATAATTTTAAGCCTTTAAAAACAAAAAAATATCAGAAATATCTTAAAAGTTTATTAAAAAGGCACTATTTTCTTTCCAAAAAAAAGGCATAATCTAAAGTTCATATTTTTTTTCTTGTAAATAACTATCCATAATTTTTAAAAATTCATTATTAAATAAAATATCATATTATTCACTTTCAAAAGAATAAAATATATTTGAAAATTAATTGTTTATTATATATTATTTAGAATTTTGTCTATTTAAAGAATCAAATTCAATCTTAATATTTTTATCAGTTTTGTTTTTTTATAAGTTCTTAACTGTAATTTATATTTATATATATTGTTTTTCCAAATTAATAATTTCTAAAGCCTTTTTTAAATCATTTTATTCTTCTTTGTTATATATTATGTTAAAAATATTGTTAAGCTTTTCATTTTTTTATTAAAATTATTCTTTTGCTTATTCATTAATTTCAATTATTTATCCATTTATATCAATTAATACACATGGAACTTAATTTTAATAAAATAAGCTTTTAAAAAGTTTTTCAGAACGTAAAATTTAATATTGAATTCTCCATGCATCTCTTAAATAATATTCTATTAATATATATATTAGAGAAAATATTAAAAATATAAATATCAATTTATTATATTATTATATTTATAAATTTTATTAAATTATTATAAAATAAATTCCTCCTTTTATTAAAAAAAATATATTTGTGTCCAAAACATTAACTATTGACCATATTATTAAGTTTATTTCTAATAATGTTAGGTTTTAATATTCAAAACTTTTTTTAATAGTATATGTTTAAAGAAAGAAAGAAAAAAATTATATTTTTTTTATCGATTCTGCTTTTTTTTAAATATAATAGAAAAAAATCAGGTTTCCTACTAAAAATATTATAGATTAATAGTCTAATGTTTACTTAATATTTATAAATAATGCTACAATCTATATAAAATGATATAATAATAAAAGTTAAAGTCTTTTTAAATATTAGAATTTGAAATATCTTTATTCAACTTTTTCTGTTTTAAATTATAAAAAAGTATTAAGAAAAAATTCTTTATTGATTTTACAATTATTTTATATAAAATTTTAATATTATTTGTATAACATTTTTTTTATTATTATTTATAAAAATTTAAATTAATTTTTTTTTTTAAAAAAAAAAAAAAATATTATTAACCTCACACTATTGTTTAAATATGGCTAAATTTATATTCTAAATATTTAAGTATAAATTTTTATAAAATAATTTTTTATTTATAAAAATATTTGTTTTATATCTTTTCATATTTATTCTTCTTATGTAATATTCTTTTATTAATAATTTTGTGATTTGCACTTTTATAATTTGATTTCTATTTCATTTTTAAAATCTTCAAATTATTATTATTCTTATTCTTATTATTCTTCCTTTTATAAATTTACTTGGTTAAAATCTTAAGATTTAGCTCTTTTTTTCTTCTTTTAATTCTTTATTTATTATAATTGTTATAATTATCCAACTTAAGCTTTTGAAAAATCGGTTTTTGATCTCTATTTATTTTCTATTTAATAGTCTTATTTTTCTAATTAGTAACTTAATTTATTTTTTTCTATTTAAATTTCTTAATTATTTTATTAGTTAGGTTTTATCGTTTTTACATATTAATCAGATTTGATTTCTCTAAAACTTTGAAAAGTTTTTGATTAAAACAATGTGTTAGCTTTTCTTTTTTATAATCTTTTGTATAATAGACTTCTTTGTTATTCTAAAGAATTTTAAATAAATTATTAATTCTAAATAATTTCCTATTCGGTATTTTTTAATAAACTTTTAGCTTTTTCATCGTTATTTTATATAGATTAAACAACTACTTTTCTTATTGATTCTTCTTTTTATTTTATTTCTTTTAAATTTTATACTTTTTCATACTTTTAAAATAAAAATATTTTATTTAGTTTTTTTTATATGACTTTTTAACATTATTTTATTTTTATTTATTTTCTGTAATTTTTTTGATAAAAACTCAATCATTAAAAAAAAAAAAAAAAAAGTAGTCAAGAAAAATAAAAACTTTTGCTAATTTTTTTTTTTTTTTTTTTTTTGATTATATTAATTGAAAAATAAAATCCATGCCAAAAAAAATTAATATATTTATTTACAGATTAATCGTTTTTATTTATTGCTTCTATTACATTCGCTTACATCATTAAAGATGTCATTTTTTTGTTAAAATAAAGAAATTTTTGATCTCCTTATGACTCATAAAATTCTACACCAATCTTTATTATTTTAAAGTATTTTTAATTATATTTTTAAAGAAAAATAATTTATATAAAGAAATTCTAACAAAAATTAAATTTTTTACCATATATAATTCTAAAACTTATTTAATGTCTTCTATATCAACATAATCTTCATCTAATTTAATTTCTAAATCAAGTATTCTATCAGCAAAATCATCTGGAATTTATTTTTAAAGTTTATTATTTTAAATATGACAATATATAGACTCAGGATCTATTTTTAATAATTATTTATTTATAAATAATCAATGTTTTATAATTATATTGCTTTGCATCTTATCATGTTTAATAGCTCTTTTTGCAGCCATTGCTTCTAATATTTTAATTTTTCGATTATAAATTTTATTAAAATATTGATATTTATTTATTCATAAAAGTTAATATTATTAATTAAATACACAAAAAAAAATATATATATATATATATATATATATATATATATATATATATATATATATAATAAAAATATATCTACACTAAAATACTATAAATTAAATAATAAACCAAAATAATAATATAAAAAATATTTTTAAATAAATATGATTATTATTAAATTCAATATATAATTATTAATATGAATTCATTCATTATTATCAGAATTATTATTATTTGTGTTATAATAGGTTTTGCTTATTTTAATATTTATATTTTTTTTATGATTTAAAATAAGCTTTTTAAATAAAAAAAAAATTTTATCTTTATTCATTAGGTTTTTTTTCTTCATCAAATTGAGAGACAAGTGGCTTTAATTTATTTTTTACAAAAAAATTAAATTATTAGTTTTTATTAATATATTAAGAATTATTTTTATTATTTGATTTTGAAAAACTTATTGTTTTATTATTTGTTTAATTATTGCTCATAGATCTAATTTTATTTTATAAATTTTCAAAATATTCAAAAGACTAAATCTATTTTTAAGTAATATTTATTTATTTATTTTTTATTGGGGTAATTTAATTCTTATTATTTAATACACTGTTATTAAACTAATAATAATTTTCAATATTTATACTTTTTTTGTACTTAACAAGGAAGTCCTTTAGAAATAGTTTTTTTATCATTATGTTAACTATTTTTTCGTATATTATCATTATTGATAGTTAAATTTAAATTAAACTGTATTTATTCTTAATATTACTATAGTCTTTATTAAGTTTAAAAATGTAATTTTCTGATTTTATCATGCCATATTGATTAAACTTATTTTTAAACTGATAAAACTAGACTATCTTATTCAGAGTTTTTCACTGTTTTTTAACTTTTATCTCTACTAATAGATTTTTTTTTATAAGTTATAATTTCTTTAAGCTTCATATCTAATTATTATTTTACTTTCGAATTTTATTTACTATTTTAAACGTTTATTAGATTTTTATCTTACTAATTTTTATTTTATAGGCTTTCTATTCTATTTCTTAACCAAAATTATTGGCACTTAGTGTCAAATGTTTATTATAATAAAGGATATTTTTTTAATAAAAAATCCAAAGATTTAAAAGATAATGAATAACATATTGAATTTACTGATATACATTAGACTTCATATTTTCTATAAAATTCATTTGATACATATTCTGTATTTAAAACTTCTTACTAAAGACAAATTTACTTTTAATTATATTCTTATTATCCAAATAATTAACCTTATCCTAAAATTACTAGCTTTAATTATTTTTATTTATTTAAATTATATTTTATTAAAAATTCTCCTGATTAAATTAAATATATGCATGTACTTACTTAACCTTAGCTGTATACAATTTAATTTTTACAAAATTTTTCGATTTATAAATGTATGGCTATATCATAAATTATTTTTTGTTCTATATTAACAAATATAGCACAGCTTTTTAAAAATTCAATTTATTGTTTTTTTTCTATTTTAATAATTTCAACTTTTTTTTTTAATTTATATTTTCTTTTATAGATTTTTGTTTATTACTTAATATTTTATCATATTATTATTTTTCTATATATGCACATTGTGTCTTCTCTTGACATATAATATAGCTAGCTTTTCGACTGTCATTTTTATTTAATACTATTTCATTTTGTTTCAAAACTTCTATATCTTTTTAATCTGAAATATCTAATTAATTATTTTCAATAAATTATAGTCCTTTTTCTTTATTGTAAAATATTAAGCAAGAACCTTATAAAATATAGTAAAATCCATTTATTGAAGGCTCTTTTTATCCCAATACTTTAATAAAATTAGTTTATATTTTTTTATACATAAAATATTATAAATAAAGTTTTTTTTTGTAAAATTATTTTATATTTATATACATATTTCTTTGTATACCGGATTCATATAAAATATATCTTTAGTTGCATTTTTTATATTATAAATTATTTATTAGCAATTAAAATATATACTGTCCTTTTGTTTAATAAAAACTCTTGAAATAATCTAATTTAATAAAGTAATTTTATAAAAATCTGTATTCTACACTTGTTCTATGAGATTGATTCAACTTTAAAATTTATATTACATACTCTATATTATTAGTACTTAAATTTTTTAATGTTTATTAATTTTTTTGTAAATTGCCAACATTATAGTATTCTTGAGTTTAGGAGTTTTATTTTTTATCAGTATTATTTGTATTATTTATTAAATTAAGTTTTAATTAATCTGTTGTTTGAGATTTTAATAATTGATCTTTTTTCATATTTACTAATTTTTATGAAAGTATAGAAAATTATATTTTTTACTCATTATTTGTATTAATATAAGATATATTCATATTATAGTTTTTAAATGAAACTTATATTTTAATATATTATAATAAATAAGATAATTTTTTACAAATAAAATTAAAATAAATTGCATTTTTATATAATTAATAGTGTAATTTATTATTTGAGCATATCAAAATATTTTATTTAATAATTTTTTTTTATTATTATTTGAAAAAGTTAAAAGCAAATTTTTTTGCTATTTATAATAAAAAATAAAATAATTAACGAAAAAAAAAATGTAAGTATAAGAAAAAGATAAATAACATAACTTGAGAAAAATTTAAGAAAAAAGATATAAAAGCATTGATAAATATTAAAAAATAATTAATACATAATTTGCTTATGATAAATAAATAATTAGTAATCATAAACTAAAATCAAGTTTAAATTATTTAAAATTTACATAAAAAACAAATGAGATTTCAGATATAAAAATTTAATCTTAATCACCAAATTAAAACATTTTAACAAATAACACAAACATTGAATTATCTATAAGCATAAATAATAATATTGCAAATAAAAAAAACAATCAAAATATAAATCAGAGTATAAATTAATCTAAAAATGAATAGGATATTACTAATAGTTTATAAAACCAATTATTATTTAAGAAAATGGAAGTTCAAAAATTATAATTAGAACCAGTTGATAACTTATTAATTTAAAATAATACTTTAAAAAATTAAATTATTAGAAATTAGTCTAATATAAATTAATCTCTAATAAAAGATTAAAAACTTAAGACTATAAAAAATATTAAAAATAACAGCGATGTATCTTATTTTAAAGAGTAAAAAAATAAAACATAATAAGATTCAAATAATGATTTTTTTAAGGATAGTTATATATTAAAAAACTATTAAACTCATTCTGTAAATGTAAACTATATAATAATATATAGATATATATATTTTATATAAAGCTTTAAGGATAAAAAAAATTAAGAAACAATATTTATTATTTATGTAAATTAATAAAATCACAAATATTATAAAAATATTTATTTAAAAAAAAAAATTAAATAAAAAGTATTTTAAGAAAAACATATAAATAATAAATTTGAAACTGATGTTAATTAAGTATCTTAAAAAATATAATAAATCCCTTTAGAAATAAATCAAAACTAATTTATCTTAAATTAATAAAACATTCTTTCAAAGTTAAAAAAAAGTAATGATTAGTTAAAAACATAAAACACTACAGAAAATTTAATTTAAGTTAATAGAAATAAACATATTTCATAGTTATCGCTTTACTAAACTTAATAAATATTATAGCATAAAGAAACAAATATGTAAAAACCGACAAATCGTTTAGAAGTGATAGAGTTAGAAAATTGGATAAATAATATGCTTTCAAACATATAAGTAACGAATTAAATTTGTAGCAAGGAAGTAATAAATCAAATATAGGTAATATATACAGCTGGTATTAAAGAAATAATTAGATAAATATCTATTTAATGTAAATAAAGAGGTGATTTATTATAAAAGTTATGGGATTCATATTTAGATTTACTTTCTAAAGGAATTTAATAATCATAAGAGAACTTGAGAGATGAAGAAAAATATTATTTGGATGATGTAAAAAGGATTCATAAAATGTATAATCAAAAAATATAAAATGATGAAGAAGAATTAAAAAAATGTTAAGAAGAATTAAAAAAATATAAAAGTAGTCAAGAAGAGTTAAACAATTTGAATATATATTTAAAAAAAAAAATAAAGTCTTATTAAACATAAATGAAATAAATGAGAAATTAAGAAGATATTTTGAGATTTCAAATGTAAGCTATTACTAATGAAAATTTTAAATTAAAATTAATTTAATCAGAGTAAAATGATGGTCATAATTAAACTAATTAAAGTATGTAATCTATCTAGAAACAAAACTTTAATAATTAAAAAATATCTGTTGTTTCTCATTTATTATAAAATAGTCTTTTTTTTGTTTTTATATTATTTTCTTAATTTATTTTATTTAATAGAATAACTATTTTTAGAGAAACAAATTTCAAATAAAAATGAAAATAATACTAGTGAAGATTCAGGTTATTTTTATTTATTATATTTTAAAAATGAAATAAAACATAAAAAGATGTTTATGATAAAGAAAAAAATGAAAATTAAGAAAATAATGAAAATATATAATAAGAGGCAAAACAAAAGAAAAAAACATATGATATACAAATAGAGGAAATATAAATAGAAGAAAAAGAAACATAAACAGAATAAATTAAGTTTACAGATAATGATTAAATAAATGAAATTATCTAAAAACTTGCAAATGATGAAATACTATAAAGTGGAGATCCTAACCTATAAGAGAAATATAAATAAGCACATTAGTTAGTAAAAAAATGCTCAATTAATATTTTAGAAAAAGAAAAAATACTCTAAGCAATAGAATCTATGCAAATATAAGTTTCTGTTTATTATGAAATGATAAATGCTAATGCAAAACTTTTATAAGATAATAAAGAATTAACAAAAAAAAAAATATGTTCAGAAATTGATTGTAAAAAATTACAATAAAAACTTTAAGAAAAATAAAGAAGATTTAAAAAGAAGGCTTTTAGTTATTAATAATAATTATCTAATTTAGAATAAAATTTAATCAATATTTAATAAAATGGATAAAATTCATAAAAAAGAAATTTTTTGAAAGCCATTTAAAAATTCCTTGGATCTTAATTAACTACAATTATTAAAAATAGCAAAGAAATATAAGAAAATCAAACAAACGTATAAGAAAGTTAAACAAATGATGAAAATTAAGAGAATATAAGATATGATTTAAACTATGAAAATTTAGAAAAAGAAGAAAATAATGAACAATAAGAATAAGAAAAAAAAACTACTAATGATCGTTTTAAATCAAAAAAACTAATTAATTTATTTTTAAATAAATTTATATAAAATGTATAATATATTATTTATTTTAATAAAAAATATAAATTAATTATAAATTTTTGTTATAAAAAGTAAGAAATTGAATACGATTAGAATAATTTATAAGAAACATAAATTAATAATTCACCAAATAAAAATACAAGATAAATTTACTAAGAAAACATAAATAGCAGAATGCATTCATTTATAACCGGAAATCCTTTTAATAAAAAAGCTATTACTGATACAAATAAATAAAGTAAATATTTTTTTTATAATATTATTAATAACAATTCTATTAATAAATTTCAAAGGCTTAAATAATGATAGTATAATGCATATTTCTTCAAATAAACCTATCGTATATAATAAATATAAAAGAGCTGAAAAACGTTTGTTTTCAAGCAATGAAATATATTCAAATTAAATATTAAATTAAGCAATAAATAAAATAAATAAAAAGTAAGAAAAGGCCACACTTTCAATGTAATCTCTATAAAAGTTTTTAACTTAAATATATTAAAAGTTAGTAAAATAAGATAGCTTTTAAAAAGTTTAACTTCATACATTTTGCTATGATGAACTTATGTCGAAATAAGGTCTAAAAAGAGTTGTTGATGATAAAATATTCAAAATAATTACAAGTATTGGCGTTTATAAAAATACAAATATCAGAATAGATACTGTTGCTAAGTTTATTGGATTATATGGAAAAGTGGATTTATATGAATATTATTATTATATTTAAGGATTAAAGTTTTTTTAGAATTAAAATTCTTGTATTTTAAATTAAAACTGTTTAGTGAATTTAGAAAAAGCAAATTAATTTATTTAAAGAGTTTTTTAAGGAAAAATAGAAGAAAAGAACTTACAAAAACTTATAACAGATATTAAAATGAGTTTGAATTTTAAAAATAATAATTAAAATTATATTTTATTCGAAAATTTTTTTAAAAAATGTATAAATTATTACGAAATTACTAAATAGGAAAAAAAAATATATATAAAGCAAATATTTAACTCTATTGATGTATTTTTTTTATATAAAAAAAATAATATTTAGATTATTATTAATAATTCATATTATTTTTATATTAAACTATATAGTTAGATAATAGTGAAATGATAGAATTTTATGAATTTAATTTATTATATAGATATATAGAATATGATACTTACAAATTAAATCATGTTGAGTAAATGTTTCTGTAAGAAGCTGATTTAATTAATCCTGTCAGCCAAGAAAATGCAATATCTTTTAATAAATTTGTTAGTTTATGCCTTGATAGAAATTTGTTTTTGGATTAAAAATTAATTATTTTATTTAAAATAAAGTAGATGATATAGACTTTAGTAAAATCGAAAATATATTTGATAATTAAGTTTTATATAAAAAATTAATTAAAAATCGATTAATTTAATCTGGAAATTATAATTTTGAAACAAAAACTATTCTTAAATAGTTTTTTAGAAACTTAATATACAAAATTAAGTAGAATCCTAAGAATAATAATTTAGTATATTTTAATTTTATTTATATAAATATGTATTTTTTTATTAAATATTATTATATTGTTATTTTTTAAAGGTTTATTAATAAGCTTTAAACTTTTTTATGAAGAATCTAAAAGACTCTTATTAGAAAATGAATCTGAAAAAATACTTTAAGAAATTATTAGTGAACAATTATAAGATCTATTAGTTTTTAGCATTTAATTTTCAGAATTATAATGAGAAATCATTTTATTATTTTATATTATATAATATATATTGTATTTACTAAAATTTATTAATAAAATACTATTTTTTAAAATAAAAAATATAAAGATAACATATATTACAATGATCAAATATTAAAAATTAATTCATTTAAATTTTTAAGGTATTTAATAGTTAATTTATTAATTTTATTATTCTATTTAAATATCATTAATACCATATTTTAGTTTTTTTAATTTTTTTATAATCATTATATTAATAAAGATTATAAGAACTATTTTTTTATTTAGGATTATCATAAGTATTTGAATAATTATAAAAAAAAATACTTTTCATAATAACTAATATTAAAATTGCTAAACTTGTCTCTATAAATATTTTTTTATTCTAATTTATAATTATATTTCGATTATTATTATTTTTAATAATGAGAGCATTTAATTTAGAGTAAAATTATATATCTTTATAATTAAAAAAATATTATTATATAGATAAAAATATGTATAATCTTTTACATATATTAAAAAAAATTTTAATTGATAATAATGAAATTATTTTTTATGTTTTTCATAAAAAAATTATTTTGATTATTTATATATAATATATAATGTTATTTTAACTAATATATATATTCAGATTAAAATACATATTATATAATAAATATTAATTAATTAATTAATTAAAAATAATAGATATATTAGTCTTTATTCTTGTTGAGTTTTTACTTAAAGATCTATCTTTTAAATCATTTTTAAAATATTTTTCAATATTCGTGATTTTAAATTTTTATTATTATTATTTAAAAGAATTAAAAGTATTTTGTTTAAATAGTTTCATATTCCTTAATTTTATTAAAAAAATTATTATTATTATTATTATTATTATTATTATTATTAATTATTATTATTATTATTATTTTTTATATTATTTCATTTATATTTATTTATTTATATAATATTTAATAACTTATCAATATTTTATAATTTTACAAGGTATTTTATATTTATCATTTTTACTTATTTTTTTTTACTATTAATATTTTTTACAAATTAATTTTTTTATTAGCAGTATTTAGTATTACATTACTCTAACTTTATCTTTATTTTTTTTTATTATATAATTTTTAAATAGTTATTTTTAATTAAATCTTATTTTTGATTTTAAATATTTTTTTATATATTTTTGAAGTTTTTATGATATTTATTTTTTGTAGTAATTTTTTTACTCAAAATCATTTATTCTATCGTTTTTTTTTAAAAAATAATAATCATTTATAATTTATTATTTTTGGAAATTTGTTGCCAAGTTAAATTATGCAATATAAATAAGTGATCATTTTTATATAAAATATTATAAAATTCTCGTTTATTATTACTAATATGTTTTTAATGTATTTTTTAAAAAGAAATTAAAATATATGTATAATAATCTAATTTATTTTATTTATTTTTTTATAATAACTTTTTTAAGAAAAATTAATTAATAAAATAAGACTATCATTATCACAAGTTTTTCCTTTTTTTTTCATTTTAATTAATTTATTTTTTAAAAAATAAAAATAAAAATAAAAAAACATTAAAATATATGAATATATAGTAATAAAATTAATTATATTAATTTAATTTAAGAGTTAAAAATAAAAGTTAAATTTTGTTAATATACATTTTTATAATTAAAAAAAAAAAGATATTTAAAAAAGAAATGTCTTAAAGTTGTAATATTGGTAAAGTTTTCCAAAAATAAAATTAAATTTTAGAAATAGATAGTTTTGAAGATCAAGTATTATTTGTAGGTTTATATTTTAGTGCAATTTGGTGTTTTCCATGTAAATAATTTACACCAATATTAGCTGATTTTTATAATAAAATAAATAAAAATAATAAATAAATGGAAATAATACTTTTCAGCAAAGATCATTCGATAGAAGAATTTAACTTTTATTATTAAAAAATGCCATTTTTAGCAATTCCTTATAATGATTAATAAAGAAATGAAAATATTTCTAGGCTTTTTAGACTAAGGAGCATTCCTAGTTTAGTTGTATTAGATAATAAACTTAGATACATTACAAATTAAGGGAAATATTTTGTAGAAAATTTTCATGAAAATGCTATTGAAAAATTTAAATAAATAAAATAATAATTATATCCTGAAAGCATTTGATTTTTTTGTTTTATAATTTTATATTTATTTAGCTTTTATAAATTAATAAATGTAATAAAAAATAATAAATTTTATTGAACTATTTATATTAATAAATTAATAATATTCATTTTTTTTTTATTGACATATTCTATAATTTAATTTATGAAAATATCATTTAATTTATATTACATGAATATACTTTTATTAAAATCATTTAATAAAATATTAATGAATATAATTGCTAATAAAATTAAAATATAAAAATAAAAATAAGATAAAACCATTATAAAATAAATATTAAAATAAATTAAAAAAATAAATATATTTTGATTATTAAATTCCACAAAAAATAATAATTTTTTTTTTTAATAAAAAATAACAAATTCATATATAAATAAAATGGAGTAATAATTAACAGATGATATATTATAATTTATAGAATAAAAGTTAAACATTTAATTATAAATTAAAAAAATTCATCAGATTCAAGTGCAAGTGGATAATCATCAAAATCTAAGTTGAATAATTCTAATTATATTATGGATAAATCTATTTTCACTAAGCCTAGCACATATGATAATGAAGATTATGAATATGATACAGAATATGGAATTTTTAATTAAAAAAATACAATAACTTTAAATACTAATTAATACTATTAAAGTGGATTTTAATTGTCTAGTTTTAGCAATAAAATAAAAAGAACATTTTTTATCAATAAGATAAAAGTTATAAAAAAGACTTAAGAGTGATATTAGGAATGCCTATCTATGATAAAGAAGATTGATATTTAAATATTTTTTTATATATTTTATAATTTAATAATATTTAATTATATTTATATATATTTTCATTATTTATTTTAAATAATATTAACAAAAGTAGAATTTATTATCATTTATATTATTAAATATCATAAAAAATATTTATTTAATTTATATTTTATTTGATTAAATATAGTTTAATTATTAAAGGCTTATGTATTAATTTTATATATCGGAAGTTTTAAATTGCAAAACTTTAACTCTTTATAAAATAATTTAATATTAAAATAGAAAAATATTTTAAATACAAATTTTTATATTTATTTATAAAAAATTTATTAAAATTTTTATAAATGAGAAAGATAGAAAATACTTGCCTAACATATATGAAAAAGTTATTGATTTTATATAATACTTGATTCTTATTAAATCAAAATTTATAATTTAAATTAATATAATATAAATATTTAATTTATTTTATTTTCAAATTTAAAAGTTCTAAAAATTTATAAGGATATCATTAATTAAATAATTTTATCTATAGTAATATATTTAAATATAAGATATTAAAATAAAATTGTATAAAGAATTTAATATTTAAATTAAAATGATAAAAATTAATAGTTAAATGAAATAAATAATATATATATATATATATATATATATATATATATTTATATATATATATTTACTTAAAATTATTTAATGCTTTTATTTGTAATTTTTTTTCATTATATTGTAATCAAATACAATCATAATATCTTATAAATGTATGTTTATTTGTTAATAATTTAAATATTATATTATTTGAAATATTTTTTTTTATTTTAATACAGATATACAAACATTTAATAATAAATATTATATCAATTATCAAATATCTAAAAGTTTTTTTATATAATCTATTTATTACTATACGTTGTCAATTTTATTAGAATAATCTTAATGATGAATATAATATAATTTGTAATTATTTTTTTCTAATGTATATTTTTTCATTAAATCTTTAGACTTAATTATGCTTTAATCTTCCTAAAAAGGATAATGAAAAGGTCCATTTATTTCAATAATTTTTTAACCCTTCTAAATAAAAAAATCAATAATATATGGATCAATCAAATATTGTTATTAAAACTCAATATCTGCTAGTTTTAAAATAATTTCAATATAAGATTCGATTCTTGATTAATTCTTATTAATTAATTAATTATAATTATTGTTTAGTTTTTAATTATAGTTTTAAATTTAATTTAATAATAAAATTTCTTTTAATCTATATTAATAACTTAGTTTTAGATTCTATAAGCATGTATGTGGTAACTAATTAATAAGTAGAGTTAAAAATTAATTTTATATAGGCAACTTATTTTAAATATAATATAATTAATACATCCATACAACTAAAATTAGTTATTCTAAATTGATTTAATTTTTATCAAAATTAATGTCTTCAGGTATTTTTATTATTCCCTTTTTAAAAAATTAATATAATATATGTATTTTTTAGTCTTAATTAATTATTAGATTTTTATTTATATTTTGCTAAAATTAATCATATAATTTAAGAACAAATTGATAGCTAAATTTATTTGTTTTATATACAATTTATGTATATCTTTAAATATCATTAGGATTTATTGTTTTTTATTATTCTTCAATCATTTTTTATGTTGTATTTATTATTTTTGTTGAAAATCTATTATTTTAAACACAATAATCCAAAATATTTAAATTTGTTTATATATCATGAGTATTTTTAAATAAATATCTGCAAATTTTTTATTCGAATTCATTTTATTTATCATCTAATTATTTTTTATTTAAATTTTGTTTCAATTGATTTAAGTTTTTTTAGAACTATTCGATATATTAAATTACATTAGATTACTCTAGTAAGACTTTAATGCAAAAATAACCTATTTATTTTAATAAAATGTTAAGAAATATGCTATTTATTATTTTATTTATTATATAGATTTATAAATAAATATTGTTTATATTATATATAAAAAAATTATTATTATTTTATATTCATTTTATAAAAATCAAAAACTTTTGGGTATTTTTCGGATGTTAATTTTCGGAATCTTAGAGTAAATTTTAATAAATTTACCAAACATTTTAATTTTTATTTTATTAATATTTAAGTCTTTTAGTAAAATAAATTAATTACTAAAAATATTATATTGTATTTTATAAAATAATGTTTTTATTAAAAAATATAAATATAATTTATTTTTGCGATATTTATAAATTTATTTTATATATATAAATAATTATTAATTTTTAATATCAAAATTTTTATTCAATTATTATTTTTATAAATATAAAATTATCAATTATTTATTTATTATTAATGTTAATTTAAATATTATTCAATCATTTCTGCTAATTTTAGTGTTATATCATGTGATATATTATGAATTTTTACAAAACTTTTAGCTTTTTAAATAGGATTATCGCCTTCATATAGTACGATTTTTGCTTTTTTACTTTTCGTAATATTAATATCAATATGTCCTATAAGTTATTTATTTTGATTATTTTATTGCTTATTTGCCAAATTAAAGGACTTAATTATATTATTTTAATTATTCTATGATAATTGATATCTTTATTTTTAATAAAACATTTGTTTTTCAAGTTTTTCTTTCCTTGCTTTGTACATTCTTCTTAATTGTTAATTAAATCCTTTAATATCTTATAATTAAGCATTATTTTAACTTTAAACAGATTAGTTATGTTTAGAATTAGTTATTTTTTAAGGGAAGAAAGTACAGTTTTCTAACTCTTATTCTTATTTTTAAAATTCATATAATTCTTTTGCTTCTTTTGCCAAACTTTATTTTTAATCATGCAATTTATATAATTTTTCATAAGCTTTTTCTTATTTAATTCTTTCTTAACTTTTTTTTTTTTTTTTTTTTTTTAATTATTATTTATATTAAAATAATATTAAAGTATAATATAAGATAAATAAATGAAAATATTTTTTATTTTTTATTTAATATAAAAAAACTAACTCTTTATAATATATACTGTTAATCTTTAAGTTTGTTTATTTTTGGTTTAAAAGTACATCCTTCTATTTCTTCATTTACTTTTTGAATTTACAAATAACTTTATTTTTCTTATTTTTCTTTATATTACTCATATAATTAATCATATCTATTTTAATGTATTTATGATTTAGATTAATCAATAACCCTGCTTTTATCATTTATTTAAGGTTTAAAAGAATGATTGCTAATTTCAAAAACATTAGAAGTGTTACTATGATTGTTATTTTTTTTCCAATTAGTATAATATTCCATTAGAGTTGTTTTATCATCAAATATATTTTTAAATTCTTTTATTAATTTTTGTAAATTCCAATTTCCTTCAATAGAAAAATAAAGATCAAGTACTTTTTGATCATTTTACAAACAATTTTATAAAATTACTTATTATAATAATTAAACACTTTGCTCTAATGTAAGCTTATTTTTATTTTATAAAGTTTTCATATTTAAATATTAAATTATTTAAAAAAGAATACTTTTTGTTCAAGCAAAATCATTGTAAATTCAAAAACTATCCTACTATTTACTAAATCTATTTCATAATCATTTTTATATTGTTATTAATCTATTGACATTAATTTCCAAATTTATTCGTGAAATTCAATTTCTTATTGCATTCTTTCTCTTTCTTGTTTAGTTAGCTAACTTATCTATTGAACAGTCATATTTTATTCATTTATTTAGTATTAAAAACATCTGAAAATACCTAACTCTTAAAATAAAATTCCTACATTTTCAAATGATATTTCATTAATGTTTTTTTATAAATTAAGTATTAAAGCTTAAAGAAAATCCTAAATTTTTTTTTTTTTATTATATATATATAAAAAATAAATAAATATTTATTTAAAAATAAACCTCAATCTTTTTAAGAATTATTCTCTATGAATTTGAGTCTATTTTCGATTAATTTTTTTATTGTTAATTTTATTTTTGGATTTATATTTGACTTTATTGAAGCTATTATTATCTTTCAAAAGCATTTTAATAAAGATTTTCAAATAAATTTAATTGTTTATTTTATTTTTAATTCTCTTTGTTTTATAATTAAATTTAGTCTTCTTATAATTATTCCTATTATTTTTATTTTAAATCCAAGGAAATTTATTGATTTAATTATTATTTTTGGAATTATATAGAATCACTAATATGCCAATAATCTTATAGAGTTTTTAATTAAAGATCATCCATTTTAAATCTATAATTAAAAAAATATTATTTACTTATTATTTTTAAAAATAAAATATTTATTAATTTTGTTTTCAAAAAAAAAAAAAAAAAAATTAAAATTTATATTTCAAATAAATAAAATATATTAATGTCATAATTTTTTTAGTTAATTATTTTTATTTTATATATATAAACTCTAAATTTCAAGTTATTTATTTAATATATAAATAATATTTTAATGTTATAAATAAATATATTTTATCAATTTTTATTAAACGAATATCTATTTACTTTTTATTATGCTTATGATTAACTTCTTTAGTTATAATAAAAAGATCCTTTTTTCTTTTAAATAAATTTCTTATTATAAATAATTTATATTTTATTATCATCTTAATAAACTTTTGATACTTCAGAATTAGGCATAGAATATATTTTTTTTAATTCTTATTAAGCAGATATTCTTAAAAATTAAGAATGCTCTAATTTCTATAATAATTATAATTCCTCTTTTTAAAGTTTTTCAAGGATTAAATTTTTCTAAGCTTTGACTTGGATATGAATATTTTTTCTTAATTAAGATTCTTTTTATATATCTGAAATTTATTTACACCAAAATTTTAAAACGTTATTTTTTTATTGTTTTTCAAGTTCTTTAATTGTATCGTGCTTAAATTTATTTTGATTTAAGTTGTTTTTTCTTATTTGGCTTATTTTTTCTAAATTTATTTGTTTTTGCTTTTTAATTTAATTTCCTTCTTATTTTTTCATTTAAATTAAAGAATTTATTATTGAATTTTTTTCATTTTATTAATATTTTTTTTATTCATAATTCTTTTTTTAAAGATTGAATAACTATGATTGAGTATTATCTTTATTATAATTTCTCTTTTTTTAAAAATATAATAATAAATTTATTTTTTAAAACCTATTCTTTTAATTCTAAGTTATACTTTTTTAAATTTATTAAGTTTTAAGTCTTATGATGAGTATCATTTAGCTTTTTTAGCGATCTTTATTCTTCTTCTTTAAGAAGATTAAGCCTATTAAATAATAAATCAATTTATTTTTCTATTAATTCTCTATTTTTTTTAACTGTCCATTCACTTTATGAATTAATTGATGAATTATTATTAAATTGATGATTACTAAAACTAAAAAACTTTATGTTTTGAAATTAGGTCATTATATAATAAATAAAAAATTGATTTATGATATATTTATTTTAAAAGTTTTATAATTAATATATAAAATTAAAGAGAATAAATATTTAATTGTTAAATTAAGATAAATAAAATTTATATAAATAAAAAAAAAAAATTATCTTTATATAATAATAAAAAATAAAAAAAATAGATTTTTAAAAATATTAAATAATAAGAAAATAAATACAGTTTAAAATATAAATATATATTCATATAAATATAATAATATATAATATATTAATATATATTAATATATAATTTAACAATTATTATATTATATTATTATATATACATTTTAATATTTTTATTTAAATATTATAGCTATTTATTATTAATTTTTTTTTTTAATATTAACTAATTATAAATCACTATAAATTAATTATTCTCTAAATAATAATGCAAAAAGGATAAGGTGATTTTGCAGATGATGTTCACCCTGAAAAATCTTTAGATTAAAGTCATTCAACAAAGAATGGTTAATAATTTAATTCCGTTAAATAATTAAATTTTAATAATAATATACATTTAGAAATAAATAATAATGAATCAATTAATTAGAGGTTTTTTAAAAATGGTTAAGATGAATATTCATTAATGAATATTTCAATAGCCGAAGAAATAAAATGCTAAGAATAATATTGTTAATAATAATAATTATTTAAATTGAAAATATAGCCTTAAAAGCATATACATTCTATGGCTGAAAAAAAAATTGGTTTTTAATATTCAAAAAAAAAAATAGATTAAGATGCTTTAGAATAAATGGATCCTGAATGTATGAGTGAATGCTAAACTTAATTAATACCTAAATTTACTTATTGTGTTAATATGCCTTAAAATTTACCAAAAGAATAATAATATTAATAGCTTAGAAAGGTCAATGAATAAAGATATTTATAATTAAAACAAGTTGCAGAAAGTTTAGAGTAAAATCATGTTACTATTAATTATTTAAATTTCTTAGGTACCTCTTATTCTTTGGCTAAAGAAATACCAGAAGAATGTGCTTATTTATTACTTACCTTAGAAAATTAATTAGAATTAATTTTAGTTATTAATTTATAAAAACAATAATAATATAATAATAATTAATATCATAAATAATAGTATTAAAATTGATATTTCTTTATATATATTTATTTATATATATGTATTAATAATTTTTAATTATTAATAAAATATTATATTTTTATTTTGTCAATTTTTTTTAACAAAAAAATAAAAACTTTAAAGATATAATAATAAAAAAATTATTAATCTAATTCAAAGATTAAATAAAATACGTTTCTAAATTAAATTATCTTGAGAAAATACTCAAAAATAATTTATAACTAATAAAAAAATAATATACAAAAGTAGATTTAAAAATAGCAAATTGTAAATCCAACTTATTTATTAAATTAAATGATAAAATAAAAATAATATTTTAACAAAATAAGCATAAAAAAATAAAACAAGTAAAAGTATTTATTATAAATTAAATAAAATAAAATAATGTTATTCTAAATTACTTAAAATTAAACATCATAATTATATATTATTTAATTTTATATAAATAATAGATTTTTTTTTTATTAATCATAAATTTTAAAGTTAAAATCGAAAGATTAAGATATTCAATAGTTGTAAAGAAATAAAAAATAGATTTATTTCGAAAAACTATTGGAGATAATCAAATATATATTTATTTAAAAATCAATAATTTATTATATTTGTAAAAATATTGTCTTAAAAATTGATATAATTATAAAATTATATAAAAATAGTTTTTCTTTAATTTAATGTATTGTTAAATTACAGAATTATATTAAATGAATAAAAACATTAAAAAAAGTAAATTTTGATTAATATTTTAAGATTTAATAAAAAAAGAATATGTTTAGTTAGTTATTAAATAATAAAAGAATTTATAATAAATATATTTATATAATATATAAAAAAAAATGAATGATTTAATTAATATAAAAATTAATAATAAATATATTTATAAAATATATAAAAAAGTAAATATTTAAAATAAACAATTAAAAAGGAATAAATAAAAAGAATTTTATCCAAAAAAATCTAAAATGTAAGAAACATAATACAAAGTAAATAATTTATATCAGATTTTAAACAATAAAAAAGGGAATAAATAAACTAAATAATTTAAAAAAATACAAAATAGATATTGTAAAAAATATTCATCAAAAATTAAATTCGAATTTCATAGTTAATAGTAGTTGTAAGTAATATGAGTGACAACTCTTTATGAGGATTAAAAAAAAAAAAAAAAAATTAAATTAAAAAAAAATACAATTAAAATTCTTAAATAGTTAAAAAAAAATTTTTTAAGTAAACCTAAATTAAATAAATTAAAGAAATACAAAAAAAAAAATGAGTTAAATAATTTGAATTTACTAAATTAAATGATATTTATAATAATAAGAATAAAAAAAATTCATAAATAATAAATTTATTAGATAAAAAAAAAGTTATGCAATAAATTTTATTATTATTAAAATATAAATTTTTATAATTGTTAAATATATATATTTAAATATTAAAAATTAAATTAAATTATATAAAGTGAATAATAATATTATGAATTCAAATCTATTAAAGATACCATATTTAAGAAATTGTAAGATGTTATTATTATGCATAATAAAATTAATTAATATAATAAAAAGATATTATAAGCTATTAGAAAATTAATTAAAGTAGCTTGTAAATAAAATATATATAAATAAGTAAATATATATAAATATATATATTTATATTTTATGAATATTTATTTATTATTATTATATTTAATTTTTTTTATTTTCTTTATTTAAATTATCTTTTTATTATAAATGTTATTTAATATTGTAAATATATATATTTTTTTTAATTATTACATCAATATATAGTCTATTGGTCTAAAAATTTTTATAATTTATTTATTTTATCTATTATTCTTTTTGCTGATATATAATCTAATTCAAATTATATTAACAATAGTATAATATTTAATAAATATAAAATTTTATATTTTTATAAATAAATAATTTGATTATTAATATATTCTTTAACCTTTGACATAAATTTTTTTTTAAACAATTTTTTTATTGAAAACAATATCTATAATTTTTTTAAACAACTTTTACTTTCATATATTCAATTATATTTATTTATTATAAATAAATACTTTATTATTTATTTTTTTATTATTATTATTATTTTTCAATATCTTTATTGTCTATTAAATGTTTTTAAACCATTAACAAAAAGTAAATTATAAGAAAATATATTTATAAAAATACAAAGATTTATATTTATAAAAAAGTTATAATAATTTTTTATATTTATCATCATTTTTATAAATATTTTTTTTATTTTATAATAAAGTATTACAAAAATAATTTTAATAAAAAAATAATATTAACAACAAAATAAAAAATAAATAATTACAAAAAAAAAATATTTTATATTAAAAAAATGTCAATAATTCCAACAAGAAAAGAAGATTCGATACACATGACAAACTTTACAAACATAAGTTATATATTAAGAAAAATTGAGCCTTTAGAAATAAATCCTCAAGAAATATATTTTAAAGATATTTAAGTAAATTAGACATATGAAATACCTTTACAAATTCGTAATTTAACAAAAAAGCCTCGTAGAATACGCATATTTTAGCCTTAAACATAATTTTTTAGGGCAGATTATGAAATATAAGGATAAATACCAGCTGGCTTGGCTGTTCGAGTAATAGTAACATTCGAAACAACTATATTAGATAATTACAAAGATGAACTAAAAATAATAAGTGAAAATTAATTCACTAAAACAATAAATTTGTTTGCTTATAAAGCATGTGCCTTTTTAATATATGAGCCTTTTATAAATTTTGGATTTTGCAAAATACAAGAGGGGAAAAAAGAAAAGATTTATTTCAAAAACGAAGGAAGTTAAATCGCAAAAGTAGAACTTAAATCAAACGATCCTTAAAATCTAGTATTGGTTCCTTCCCTTTTTACCATTAAACCATCAAAAGAAATGGCTATTAATGCTATATATACGCCTTAAGAAGCTGGTCTTTATCGGGGAATAATAGAAGTGAATAGTGATGCAGAATGTTTATAGAAATAAATTGAAATAAATGCTACTTGTGTAGAATTTAAGCAGTTTATTACAGATGAGAAGGGTATTGAGAGTAGTTAATTAGATTTGGGGACTTTTTATTTTGGTTAGGCTTTAAAAACAACATGCTTTTTGGTCAATAATACACCACAGAGGATGAAATTTACGAGCAGTTTTCGAAGTGGAATAATTTATTCTGGCGATGATAATAATTCTTTGCTAACTCCACATTAGATTGGAAAAGAATTGACTGAAAAAATACTTAGTGTTGAACCTTGTGAGGGATTTGTGGATGAATATTCATAAATTAAACTTATTATTACATTTTAAGCTTAGGTTTTACCGAAAAATAAATTTTGGAGTTAATCATATGCTATTTCTGGGGATGACATGTTACCAGAAGTTGAAGATTATGCTTATTCGGCTGTTTTTTAGTATGAAAATTGTAATTTATAGCCTACCATTTTACATCTTACAGGTAGAGGAATCTGCCCTACGGTTAAAATTGAAAAAAGTCTCATTTAGTTTGGCATTTGTCCTGTTAATGAATATAGAGATGTTCAGTTTTATGTTTAGAATAAAAATAAAGTACTACCTGTTGATATTTAATTTAAAAAAATTCCTTATTTCGAAGTCTTGCCTGGATAATGTGTTTTGTAAGGATCTGAAAATCAAACTTTTATAGGGAGATTCACACCTAAAGCTATTGGAAAATTCGATAGATTTTTTGATGTTTTTTTGATTGGGGGAGCTTATTAATTATAAATCAAAGTTAAGGGAAGAGCAATTAGTATTTCAAATAAAAAATAAATTAAAAGAGGACATGAAAATGTTTTTCCTGAAAGTTTTTAAAAAGAAATTTAACTAGTTAATGATAATGATTTTATTTAATAAAATCTAAGAATAAAAGTATTTAATTTTAATACATATATATTTAAATTTATATAAAAAATAATTTATAAAGTAAGAAGATAGAATAAATTAAATACCTTAATGGGTGATAAATAATAAAGATGAAAGTGTGAAGAAAAAATATACAAATAATAAAATTTATGATGATTTAATAAGAGAACATAGAAAAGAAAGGAAACAAAATGAAAAAAATAAAATAGTATAAGCAAAATATAAATAATTAACATAGAAAATAAAAGAAATGGGTTATTAAAAAACAGAAGAAAATTAAAATGATTAAAAGAGTTAAAAAATATAATAGTAATAATAATAATAATAATAATAGTAATAATAATAATAGTAGTAACAATAATAATAGTAATAGTAATAAAATCTTAATTAAGATTCTAGTTCTGATGAAGATTTAGATATAAAAGCTAAATTTAAAAAGGCTCCAATTGATTTCGCATATGAAGTTGGCATGGTTGAAAATAGAATAGATTCTCCTTAATTATAACTTCCAGTTGTGGATGAATAATTATATGTAAATAAACCTATTGGAAAATATTTACCTCTTAAAAAAGTATATTTTTATAATATTTTTTTTTTTATAAAATATATTAAAGTTCGAAGATTAAACTATATTTAATCCAGATCCTAATTAAAGTTTGAAAAAAAGATGGCCTTCAAAACCTTAGAATCACAAAGAAATTAGAGAAATAAGTAAATATTTAGATGGAAGTGAATTGTAGAAAATATATGCAGGACCTGTTTATATTTAATTTGATGCTGTTTATGTAAATTCTACTATTTAAAAAACATTTTTTATAAAAAATGATTTAAGAACTTCTATTTCAGTTAGATTATAAGTATTTTTTTTAAAAAAAATAATAATAAGAATTAAAATATTAATTTATAAATAAAAGTCGGATTAGTAAGAATTAAAAAAGACAAGTTAAAAAATGTAGATAATTCCTCCGAATTAAATAGGTGGTTTTGATATAATATTAGAAAGTTAAATTCTGGGTTAATTTAAAAGCAATATAAAATACATAATAAACGAATCACATGTATTTGAATTTTAAATACTAGCTGATATTTAAATGGTTAAATTAGATTTATCAAAAAATAATATCAAATTTTAATTTTATGATGATAACCATGAAATGATAACAAAAGAAAGCATAAAGCTTTGTAATAATGGAAATGCAAGTGCTAAATTTGAATTTTTAGCAAACTAAAGTAAAATATTCACAGTAGAACCCGAAAAAGGAGAAGTTGAGGCTCACGGAAGTATTAATGTAAATGTTATTTACCATCCTAGCCAAAATAATACGCATAGTCATGAAATAATAAGGTAGGAAGAAGAAAAATTGACTCTCAAAGTAAAAGACGGGTTGGATACTTTTATAAAATGTTAAGGAATAGTCTAGGATGCCAAATGCGTAATATAAAAAGGAAATAATTTAGACTTAAAATAAGTATGTGTTGCAAAAGAAGAAATACGAACTTTCAACATAAAAAATTAGAGCAGAAACTAAGCCGTTTTCTATATTTAGAATTTACCTGAATTTGTACAGGTTTTACCTGTTAAAGGAAGAATTGGCCCAGAAGAAAGTAAAGAAATTTAAGTAAAATTCGTTTGTTTTGAAGAAAAAAATATAAAGGATGATATTATAATATGCATTAGGGGAGGAAAAATACTAAAAGTCCCTTTCAAAGTAGAATGTATAATCCCTGAAGTAAGTATTTTTGAAAAGGAGATTAATTTTGGAAACGTGACTACTTTAGGCAGCCCTTCGGTATTGAAAATGACACTTATTAATAATTCAAATATTGCAGTAGATTTATAATTTGATATGAGATCGAAAGAAGAAAATCCAAATGCTGAATTAGGTATTGAATGCTTAGAAATAAATCTAGAAAATCAAGAAGATGAATCAGCTATCACCTCAGTTCATGAAGATTAGGAAAACGAGAATTTATAATAAAGTGAATAAAAAGATGAAGATGATGAAGATTAAGAATAAAATGGGCCGATGAATAATAATGAAAATTTATCAGAATACGATAGTTCGGATGGAGAAAATTAATAAAAGAAAAAAAGCAAAATTTATAATTTAAATCTTTTACCAAATAAATAAATGAGCTTTTTATTAAAATTTGCTCCTAAGGAAGTTCTTTAATATAATTTTAAAATACCTATTCGTATTTTTAAATTCGGAACTATTCCTAATTTGGAAAGATATGTTTTATGTAGAGGATTATATCCTAAATTTTTAGTAGATCCTTAAGTATGTGAATTTAAAAAAAAAATTATTACAACTCCTGATAAATGTTTTGCTGATGAAATAGAAATAAATTTAAACAATCCTGGAAGGTAAAATATCTAATGGAGAATAGATATTAGTAAAATTGGTTAAGAAAAAATCTTTAATATTGAACCTAATTCTGGTATTGTTGAAGCTAATCAAGTTTAAATTATTAAAGCTTATTTTAACCCTTATGCACCTGACAAATATAATATTTATTTGCCTTTGTTTATTGAAAATGATGATGAAATTTCTAATTAGGTTCCTTATGTCGAAATTGAATTAAAAGGTATATATATATATATATATATATATATATATATATATATATATATATATATATATATATATATATTTGTAAACATTTTTTTTTTAGGAGAATCTTCCTTTCCAAGACTTCTTTTTGATAGAAAAGAAATTATTTTACCTGTTGTACCTTTAGAAATAAATTCAAAGTGCATATTTAGAATAATAAATGATGGATATGATAACATAAATTTGAAATATAAAATAATATAAGATATTTAAGCATTGAATATATAAATTAACTGGATTGAAGGAAAGAATTTAGGAATAAGTAAATAACGTATAAAAGTAGAGGTTGTATTTTCATCCAAAAAGCCCATTTCATTCAGTACAAGGATTGAATTTAATGATGATTAGGAAAATGTATACCCGATAATAATATCAGGGACATCTGACAATTGCTTATTTTCGAATTATGGGTATTTCTAGAGGTCATATGGGGATTATAAATTAAAATTAAAAGACGGAAACGGTAATATTATAGTCCAAGAAGAAGAGGACGATTTAATTTCTTAAGATGGTTAATAAAATAGAAACAAAAGAAAATTAGGAACTTCCGTTTAAAGTTATTCTTCTACAAAAAGTTAAGCACAAGCACTAGGATATTATCCTATTCCAAAAGTTTTATTAGATAAAAGTATTGAATATATAACAAGATGGTTAAATTATAATATTTTACAAAGCCCAATAAAGAAATTTCCTTCTTGTATTATAGAACATAATGGTTCTTAAATATTTGAATTAATATTTTTTTTAACAGGAAACAATTAATGTTAATCATTGAAAGCAAATATAAATTCATTACTTCCTAAAAATGAATAAATATAAAAAATATACAAATAATATGACGATTTGTTAAGATTTTTAAAAAAAGAAGGAGCTTTCCTTAACCATATTAGACCAGAGTATTTACTCAGTTATAGAGATTATGTTATTTTTATTAAATTTTTACCTAGTTAATTAATTAGTACAGTTTCTTAAAGTGGTATTATGCTTAGTTAAAACACTTTTCTTTATTTGTAAATTGATGCTTGGATTACTGTTTTTTATTAGATTCTTAAAATCTATTTCCTTAATAGGGTCAATACTAAAAATTTTAAATTGATTTAAGGAATTCCTTCTGACAAACTAACTATTCCAGATTATATCTAAAATTCTAATGCTCTTTCTACTTCAGAATCTCTTGTTATTTATTGGATTGAATGCATTTTTTAAAGGAAAAATAATACTCGTCTTATTAATTTAGAACAAGATTTAAAAGACGGGATTTTTATGTAAGCTTTATTAGTGAATTATTTAGGAAAAGTAGCATAAAATGCATTGATTGAATTGAAAAAAGATTGTTTTTCTTATCAGGATTGTAATTCTAATTGTGAAAAAATAGTAGAAGCTATTTAAAAAATAGGAATTAATTCATATATAAAACCATAAGATTTGTCAAGTCCTTTAATGAGAGAATTAATGCTATTTTGTTTATAAATGATGCATTCTTTACCACATTATATTCCTAAAATAAATCCTATTATTTTTTCATGCGTTTTAGGAGAAGAAGTAAATAATTTTTGTTATAAATACAAAAACCTTAATATATATTAAAAAAGGTTATAAGAAATATTATTTTATCAAATCCCACAAATAGAATAATTTCTTATTAAGTAAGAATGGAAGGAAGTAATCATTTCAAAATGGAGTCAGATGAAAATTTCGCAATAGAACCTAAAAGTACAGCTAGTTTCAAAGTTAAATTTACATCTAAGGTGAGTGATGTGGTAACAGGTAGAATATTCTTTAATAATAAAAAGTAAAGTAATGTTTAAGCAGCAGCTCTTGTATTTGATTTAAAATCTTAAATAACTTCTAGAGTATCTGAAAAAATATTGGAATTTTAATCATATTTATATGAAGTAGAAGAGATATAAATTCCAATAACAAACAAATATGATAATGATGGAAAATTTTAAGTTATTATAATGCAAGTAAAACCCTAAGAAGAGCAATAAGAAAATTATAAAAAAAAAAGATAAAAATAGTAAAAAGAAAAACCAAAATAATAGTAAGAATAAAAAAATTAATAAGAAGAAATATTTCCTTCATTTTTCTGTAGATAATATATATCCAAAAAAATGAATATAAGTAAAGGCTCAACGATAAATCTTTCATTAGTTACTATCCCTTTAGTTATGAAAACTTAAAGATGCTTTATTATTTTTAAAGATCCTGATTTAGGAGAATTTTAATATGAAATAATTGTTAAAGTTAATCTTCCATTAATTAATTAAGATATTCTTAAGATATAAAAAAATATTTTTGTAGATGAGGCTTAAAATCTACACGTTTAAATAACAAATTAAAACGAATAAATGAAAAAGGCAAGAAAATTAATTGAATAATTACTTTAGGAACGAAATAAAGAAAAATTTATTCCTAATTAAAAAAATATTTCATTTAAAACTAACGAAAAAATTGCTTTTCCTGGAGGAAATCCTGAAATTACTACTTATAATGTTTGTTTAAATCCTATTGTCACTTTTCTTTAGGTTCCTTAAAAGTTTTAGATAAAAAATATTTATGTTTAAGCAAGAAGTTCTTTGACGGAGAAGAATTTATTATTAAAAAGAAATAAAGAAAAATAATAAAATCCAGAAGAAGAATCATAGGCTCTAGTTTATTATAATTAATTCCCTTTAAATTTTCTTTTTAAAAATGCCGTAAAAGATTATTAGCTTGAATTGATATTCTAAAATGAGGAAAAAACAGATATTAGGCGTTATAAATTAGAATTTACTAGTATTCCAAAGCCAATATAAGCAACTTTAGAATTCAGAGTACCTGCCAGAATGTCAGGAACTCAAGAAATTCCAATAGTAAATAATACAGAAAAAGATTGGATAATAAAAGTGCAATTTTAAAAGGATAAATATGAAAACTCGCATCTTTTTTCATGTCCACCTTCATTTAATAAAGAATTTATAGTCAAAAAGAAATCTTAAGGATCTTTTCCAATAACTTTTTCTCCTAAATGGATCTAGGATGGAGAATGTAAATTAATATTAACAAATACTTTCACAAATGAACTTTACGAATATTAAATCAAAGGATTTGGTGAAGAGCCTGTTTCGGAAGGACATATAGTAGTAAATTGTACTGTAAGAGAAACCTATATGTAAGAAATAATTGTATAAAATCCCTTTTTAGATCAGGATGTGTAATTTTAAGTTGAAACAGATTTGCTTTATGCGAAAGGTGATCCTTTTTTGAAAATAAAAAGTGGTTAAAAAAGTACTTATAAGCTTTCTTTTTGCCCTATTCTTTCTGGATAATATACCGGATCAATTACTTTTATATCTAAGGATGGAAGCTATTTATGGTATACAATTTTAGTCAATACATAAAGTTAATAAGCAGATAGTATTATTGATATGAATACTTTTATAAGACAATAATGTAATTTTGAGATTCTTTTAGAAAACCCTTTAGATAAGGAAGTAATATTTGATGTAGTTATAAAAGGAGGAAATTGTTTAATAGGAGATCCAACATTTATCTTATATGCAAAAGAAAGTGCTTGCTATACTCTTACTTTTAGTCCAATTTTTGTTGGGAAAGAAAAAGCTTCAATTATGTTTTCAAATGCTTTATTAGGTGAAAAATGGTTCGAATTAAATTTAATTAGTGAAGATGTTTTGCCTGTTAAACTTCCAATATTAAAGACTGAATTAGGTAAATTCTCTACACATAAGTTAGAGCTTGAAAATCCGACTTTAAATCAAGTTAAAGCCTTCGTTAAATGCTCTAATTTAGATAATTTCGAAATTTTCCCAAAAGATATTATCCTTTAACCTTTAAAGGTTACTACTGTGTATTTGAACCATTATCCTTCAAGTTTAGAATAAGTTGAGTAAGCAGATATTACTATTTATACATAAGAAATAGGTAAGTGGATTTATTTAGCTAGTGGAAGTGGTGTTTAACCTTAAGTTTTTGAAAAAAAAAAAATATAAATAAATATTAATAAAGACTATACTTCTACTATTAATTTTAAAAATCCTTTCAAATAATAAATTACTGTATAAGTTTATATGGAAAAATCAGTAAAAATAAATATATTTAAATATTCTTTTTTTTTTTTAATAAAATATAAAGGGATTTAATAAGCACGCTTTTAAATTACTATTTGTTGGTAAAAAATAGTTTCTCAAGAATAATTAAGATGATGAGGAATGTTACCAATTCACAATATCTGCTTAAGAAACATTATCTATTCCATTTTCATTTATTCCAACTCAAATAATGCAATATCATGCATTAATTGTAGTCTCTTTTAATGATAAAATATTCTGGAAATATCCACTAGAAGGATCAACATAATGCAATTAACAATTAGTTATATAATCATTTAAAACAAAATGTAGAGAAATTATTGACGAAGAATTTACAGTAAATCTTCCAGGAATTATAAATATAAATGATAATTAAAATAATGAAAATAATAATGATACATTTACATTTGAACTTAAAGGAATAGAAAATGAATATTAAAGTTTAGTATAGAAATGCTTATAGATTAAAATTACGAAAAATCATCTTAATTCTCCAAATGATTCACTTGAATTTTCTACCAAGTTTAATCCTCTAAAACCCTTTAAAACACGATTAGAATTTCATATAATACGCATTTAAGGTGGAAGATGGCGTTATTTCCTAGATTTGGAAGCAACAGAACCTGATTTTGACGATACTATTATTATTAGTTCAGAATTGAATAAAACTACTAGTGTTTCTTTCAAACTTACTAATAAAGCGAAATAATTTACTCCTTTTATAGCTGATTTCACTCCTGACTCTGATACTTAATTTACTGTTTTTCCTAAATAGGGAGTTTTGGAAGGATATGGAAGAGAAGGTACTAATTTTATTGTTTCATTTACACCTATTGAATATGGAAATTTTAAAAATGCTAAACTTATTATTTAAACAGAGGATATGTATTGGTAACTTTTATCATTTTTTTTTTTTCACAATAATATATATTTTTATTATTATATTTAAAATAATAATAAATAGGTCTTATATTATTAAAGGAAAATTACCTAAATATTAACCTCCATAAGCTGATATAAGTATTATTGATAATAAATTAGAATCCCGTTTGGATAATAGAATTTTATAAAATTATAATTCGAAGAACTATATGCTAAATAATATAAAAAAGACCAAATAAATTAATATTAGTCATAATAATGAAGATTAATCAACCAATTTAATTTCTTCTATAAATATTAGTAATAGCTATTTAGTAAATAAATGATGTCTTTATTTTTATTTTTTAAATATTCATTTGCTTTTTTATATATGTTATTATTATTTTTATTATAAAAAATTAAAATGTTTAATTTATAAAATTTTTGTTACCTTAAATTATAAATTAATGAAAAAAATAAAAAGCTTTTATTTATGATTTTTGAGTAATTATTCTTTTATTTAATATTATATATAATTTGATTTAATAAATTAAATTTTAAATGTATTTTTTTTGTTTTTTTAATAAGTAGATTAATATTTAATATTTTATAAATTTATTTTAACTTATTATAAGAAAATTGCTTTAAATTTTTTTGTTTTTTTATAAAAAAAAAAATATTTTAAATTCTAAAAAAATAGAAATTGAAAAAAAAGTATAATAATAAAAGTTGATATTTATAACAAAATATATATTTCTTTTCATTTTTTTTTTTTTTAAATATATAATGTTTTTTTTTTTAAATATATAATCTTATTATATTCAATTTAATAGTAATTTATTCTATTTCAATTCAAAATTAATTTATTTATTTTCTACTTTGCAAATATTATAAAATAGTATATTTATCTTATTCGCTTTTGTTTTTATTATCTTCATAATTATACTTTACTTCATCAAAAGCTATATTATCAATCATTTGAATGCTTTAAATATCAATCAAAGTATAATTAGAAGGAGCAGATTTACTAGTTTATCTTCTTTAATAAAATTTTAAATAATTAAAAAAAAAAAAAAAAAACTTTACATTTCTGGTAAAAAATCATTTGTTGAAGTCTCAGGCCCTAAAGAAAATCCGTTTACTTCCAAAATATTATCAGCTATTGATGGTCTTTTAAAATTAATAAATAAAAATTAACAAAAAATTAATTATTAGATAGTATAGAAATGCTTTGAATAAAAATTATAAAATACTTTAATTATGGTCTTTTTGGAGGTTTTTCAAATATATTTATATACTAAATAAAGTTCATAGAACTATAATATCTTTATCTATTTTATGATTTAATTTCTTATTCTTATACTTATATATTTCTGTTTGAAAAATAGGTTTATTAGTCATTCATTTTTATATATATTATTATTTTTTTATTTTAATTTAAAATATTATATTTTATTAAAATATTTTTTTTTTTTTTTTTTTTGCTTAGATTTAGATTTTTTTATTTTTAATTATTATTCTATACTTGTTTTTATATTTATTTTTTAGTAAATTATATAAATAATTGTTTCAAAGATAATATTCAGTATTTTATAATAATTGTTTATATTGCATATTGTAAAAAACAAAGAAAAATATTTGATTATTATAAATATTTTCTTAATTGTTTTGATACTATACATTTTTAATCCTATTTTAAAAAATTAAGACAAATTTTATTTATAAATATAAAATATAGAAATCAAATAAGATATTACTATTGTTTTTATTTAAAAAAATATGATTTTCTATAATAAATTAATTTGTGACTGAGATATTTTATATCCTCGAAAAAATTTTACAATATGCCAAACTTATAAATATATATTAGATGAAAACAAATTTAAAAATAAATAAAATAATAATTTTTTATAAATAATTGCTAAAATATAAGTATTTTTCATTTAATATTTTAATTTGTAATCTTAACTTTATTTATGTTATTGGATTAATTTTAAATTATGATTTTTATATTACAGTTCGATATCATAAACCTAATATGAATTAATAATACATTATATTTTTTTATTTATTTGCTATTATTTGAAAAATTACTAAAATTAAGGTCAGTAAGCTATTTTGATGTAGCTTAATTTAAAAAATAATATGTTTATTTATTGATCAAATTATTATTTTTTTATAAAAGTAAAATTTATAAGAAAAATTAATTTGAAGAAAATAATTAATATACAAATAATACTTTAATAATGATAATTAAGAAATTCAAATTCATATATATGTTAATCATTCTTAATTTTAATTTTTAAAATAGTTGGAAAAAAAAAATATTCATATATTATATATGTATGCGTAAAAGATTAAAATATGATAAATATCTATATAATGATAAAATTCATTCAATAATATAAAATTATTAATATATATAAATAAATATTTCTAACTATTATTTTATTAATAATATATATTTTTCTTATTATAATATAATAAGTAAACATATTAACTAAGAAATTTTTGTTATTTAAATTTAAATAGTTAATATTACAATTAAATTTACATTTTTAATGCTTGATTAAATCTATAAAATTATTGTTAATATATTTATTATTTGATTGCATTAATTATTTATAAATTTTGTTTAATAATAATAAAGTAATTTTATTAGTTAGATTACTTATAAAATGATTATGCTTATATTGAATAAAAGAATTAAAACTAAAAATAAATTTATTAATATAATAATTTATTTAAAATATATGTATTAAAAAATTTGATTAATAGCATATATAAATTTTTTATATTAATAATTATATAAACATAATATATATATATATATATATATATTTATTTCGATTAAAACTATGTAACTCCCCATTAGTCTAGCTGGTTAGGATACAAGGTTTTCACCCTTGAGACCCGGGTTCAAGTCCCGGATGGGGAAATTTTTTTTTTTAATTACAATATAATTAAAATATAATATGTATTTCTTTAATTAAATATATATATTTTGAATATTTTTTTTATTTTATTAAAAATTTAATTTGGATACTTAATTTACCCGCTCAATAATAATTTCTTTAAAATTAAAAATATAATTTAAAATAAATAATATATATATAAAATAAAAAAAAATTAGTATAAAATTACATAAATAAATAATAATAAAAATATTAACTTTTCATTAATTAACATCTTATAAATTTAATAAAAAATTCCACATATTATCATCATCATCATAACCATCAACAGGATATTTTTTAGAAATTTTCTTTTAATTATAAATAAAAACTTTATCAATAGTTAATTTAAAACAATCATCAAGCATTCTAGGTATTATACTTTGGAGTAAAGGACTACTTTCTTCTAAACATGGGTTAGTATTAATTTCAATTAGCCAAACATTAAAAGATTCATCAATAATAAAATCATAACCGAAAATTTCAAAACATTGTTATCTATTTTTTTTATTAATTTTATTTTTTACAGAATTAAGTGAAATAATCACTTATTAATAAATAATAGGCAAAATATGTTCTTAGAAATTAATTCTACAAAATATAGATTTATCTAAATATTATTAAAATTATTTAAAACTTAATTAATTTCCATCTTCATATTTTCCATAATTAGTTGAATTCATTTAAACAGCATTATTAGTTAAATGAATAAAAGGATCTTTTAAATTTTTAATGTCAAAAACTTCACTACTTAATCTTAAATAACCTTCTTTAAACAAATAAGCTTCCATATTTTAATTTACTAAAACCCACATTCGAATATCAAATTTTCTTTTATGTAACAAAAGTGGTCTTTCTAAATATTTTTAAATCACAAATTGATGCTCTTAGATTATATATTTATTAGAACTTTTTTCTTTATGCTGTTTTTATGAAAAACCATTATAATAATCATTTAATAGTTATTCCAATTAATCTAAATTTTGAAAAATTTCAATTCCTCTTCCTCTATTTAAATTTACAGGCTTTAGAAGCCAAACATAATTTGATCCATATTTATAATTTTCGGATATAGATAATGGAAAATTCCCATTTGAATTAAATTAATTTGACTTTTGTAAAGGAAAAGTGCTATTTATATACTACTGAATAGTTGATTTATTATTTTTCATAACTTATATTGATGTTTTTGTTAAATATTTATAGTCTATAGGTATATTTTTATTAAAAATTAACAAAAATCATTGATTTCTTCCTAAAAGTATTTACTATCAATATTTATTTCAAATGTGAGAGGAGTTATTTAAAAAACATCTTTTTTATTTTCTAAACAATATTGTTTTAAGTTTTATACTAAATTATTCTTTTATGTTAATTCGTCGTGAAACTCAAAATGATTACATATTTTTTTATTAATTTAACTTATATTAGTTGTCCTTGAATTATAATTGCTAAATCTTTTAAAATTTTATATATAATATCAAATATTTATTTATTTATTTTACTTTATATGTCTTGACCATGGTTACCATTATATATTGACTTCAGAAAAAAATTAATTTGCTTCACCAAACTTTTCTCTTTAAAGTAAAATATTTCGAACTAATTCACTATTGTTTCCTTTTCCTATTAACATTGAGTATGTATATGATTAATTGTATATTAAATTAGATATTTATTATACTTAAGGCAGTTTATAGGTTTATTTTTATTATTATATTAATTATTATTTTTGATTATTTGATTTTTTAGCTATTTTAGCTTCATATTCTTCATATAATTTTTTTTATATTAATAACTACAAAATAGGTTTCTTAGTTTTTTTTCTTTATTATTTATTTACATATTAGTTTGTGATTTATTATTTAAGTATTTCAATATATTTGCACTTGAATATATTTCTAATATTTTAAACAATTGCTATTTTTAAGAATTTTTTTTTTTCCTATTTTTATTATTCATTAAAAATTAAAGAAGGAGTTATAAAATCATTTCTTTATATATTTATTGGCGATTATTAAGATATTTTTGGAAAACTTATAATAGAATTAGAAGTCTTTTTTAGTAGTGGTTAAGAGTATATATTAGAATAATTTTTTGTTAAAAAGTGTTTTTTTTATGGATTGCATATATCAAGTTTAGAAGTTAAGAATTAAGTTTATTAGTTTTTATTCATTTTATATTATAACTTTTTTATTATTTTTATTAAAAGTAAAATATAAATAAACTAATTAATATAATTATTTTTTAATTTTCATAAATAAATTTTATATTGAATTTAAAATTTAATTTTTTTTATAAAAATATAAATAATAGTTTTATTATTTTTTTATTAAATCCTAATATTATATCTATATTTTAACTGATATTTAATATATTTTTCTAAAAATATTATTATAATAAAATGAATATTTACTTTTTCACTTATCTTGTTAAAAAAATTAGTGAAAATGGTTTTTTTGAAAATAAAGTAAAAATAAATATATTAAATATAAATAATTATTCAAAAATAAGAGGATTTTAGCTTTAAAATCACAATAATTATAATATTTTAATAAAATACCTAAAAATTATAACATAAATGAATATCCAGATGGAACTCCGAAAAAAAGTATAAATGTTAAAAATATAATAGAATTGAAAAACTTTGTAATAGATTAAGATAAAAATATTCTAATAGTTACGTTTTTGGCAAAAAATGTAATTCAATAGAAAAATATTAATGAAAAATAAGCAAATAAATTATTAAAATGGCAATTTATATTCAAAGATAATGAAGAAATAAAAATAGCTTATAACTAAATATAATTATGCCAATAAGAAATTAAAAATATTGAACAAGAAAAAAAAAATAATATATCAGATAACAATAATATTTCTTAATTAAATATACAAATTAATAATGAAAATTAAGGAAATATTCAAGATGATAAATTAAGTAATAATTTTAATGAAAAAATAAATATAATTATAAACAAATAAACTTAAAACGAAAGTTCTTTATAAAACATAATTTCATAATAAGAATAAAATAATGAAAAATAAAAAGAGGAAAATATAAAATAAAGGAGAAGATAATAAAGTGATAATTAATAATAATAATAACTTTAAAATTTAAATTTTTAATCATAAAATCTTTAGTAATTTAATTCAGCAAAAAAAAATTAGAAATCTTTATTTTTTAATTCTAAAAGCCTTTAATAAATTTAGTTAGAGGCCAAGAATAATAACGAAAATATTAATTTGTCAAAATCATCTAATAAAAACGACTGTTTTGATGAAGAAAAGTAATTAAATTTAAATGAATATTCTCATCATCTTTAAGTACAAAAAAATTTAAATTCACTTTTAAATTTAACAAATAATTCATTTGACGGTTTCAATTTGTTAGATAAAAGAAAAAGTATAAATTTTAATTCTTATATATAAAGTTAATTAAATCTATAATAAAATTTTTAATTTAAATATGATTATATTTTAAATTTAATATGTGAAAAAAACTGTCCTTAAATAAATTTAATACTTTAATTAAACCATATTCAAGGACAATTCAGAAAATAGGCCATATAAGCTGCCAAAAATCTTGTTTTTGATTAAATAATTCCTTAATAATAACAAGTTTATAAATCATGTTTAAATAATGAATATTTTTATGATCTTTAAGATTTTAATATGATTGCAAAAATAGCTTTTTGTGAAGAGGAAGTTCAATAAGAAGGTATTTTAATATATTAAAATGGGCTAATAAGATAATTAAAAGATGAGTTTAGAGCCAAAAATTACTTAAATGAATAAATAATATAATTAAAGTAGCAAAATTAAGAATTTTAATTATAAATGCCTTTATCTTGTATTGTAGAATTTAAAGGGTTTACAATTTATTTATAAGCTAAACCTTAATTAAAAGTCAAACTAGTAAATGGACCTTTAATTTAAAAATAGTAATTTAAAGAATATTTAATAGAAAATAAAATTTAAGAAAATATAAAATTATTATAAGAAAAAATAAACTTAAAATAACATATACATTTATGGAAAGACGAGAATGAAGGAACTAAATGCTTTCTTCCTTTTGAATTAGAAATTTATAAAGATGTACCTGAATTATAATTAAAAGAAACATTTTATTTGGAAAATGTTTAAGACGTTTTTACTTTTAGTCCATCTTTTGGAAGAAGATTACGGCCGGAAATTATTTAATTTATTGAAGACTAATTTTAATTTAAACTTAATCCTGATTTACCTTTTTCAATTGAAAATTTTGATAATAAAGGAGAAATGTAATAATAAGAAAGTGTTATTTTAAATGCTTTTCATAAAGCTATTGATAAATTAGTTGAAAAGTTTAATAATATTGATATAATTCCTTATGAAAGTTATACTTTAACTGAAATTATGCATAAATATGGCTTAAATATGAGGTTTTTTTTTTAAATATAAAAAAATAAAATATCTTTTTTAAAAAAGATTATTAGGTATTATTATAGAAAAATGTAAACTTCCTTATATTTAATAATTATTGAAATAAGAAATGGTTGCAAGGGTAATAAAAAAGATAATGAGATTTTATTTAGAATAAGAAATAAAGGCAATCTAAAAGAAAATAGAATTAAAAAGCAAGAGTTTTTAATAAAAGGTTGACAAAGCCTTATATATTTAATTGCTAAATTATTAACAAAAAGTAATAGTTGTAGATATGTTAAATTTAATTTTTGAAGAAAGCCCAGACTCAGATTAATTTTGGAATATAATAAATAATTAAATAAGAAATAATTTTCTTTATAAAAATAAAATTTAACTTAATGATTTGGTTAAAGGTGGTCTAATTAATGCTATTAATTTCCATTGTCCTTTTTATTTAAGATTTGATATAAATTTATTTTAAATTTATAAATTGGAAAATGATATTTGCTCATATAAAGATAAACTTAACAATAAATAAACATTAAAAGAAAATAATTCATTTAATTAAGAAGAATAACAGAGTTCAAATAGAGCTGTTTTTAACTCTTAATATACTGTTGTTAAAGATAATAATTTATTTACGATTTAAAATTTTTTTGATTTTAAAATTAAATCCCATATTTATAATATGGAAGATATTTATTAGAATTTCTTTTCTATAGTTTCTGATATTAGTTTTGATTTAAAATAATAATTAAAAAATTTAATAATAAAAGAAAATCTTTTAAAAGTAATTTTTTTTTTTATTAAAAAAAAATTATTTATTTAAAAGATTAGTTTATGTTCAGAATTAGAAAGTTTTATTCTAAAAACAAAAATTGCTGAAAATTTGTTTTTATAACAAAAATATGAAAATTCGATTAAAACATCTCAATAATCTATATAATTAATTAATGTAAATAATATATTTATATAATAATTAAATAAATAATAGAAAACCCCTAATCTTTTTCTAATAAAACCTTTTTTAATAATAGTATAATGTTACATAAAACTAAATTAAAAAGATAATGCAAATAAATTTTATTTAAAATTATAAGATATAATAAATTTTAATTTAGGTAAAAACCATCCACTTTAGGCAAACATATTTTAAAATATGGCTAATTGTTATGAATAAATGGAATAATTTTAAGAATAATAAAAATTCTTAAAAGAATGTTTTTAGTAATTAATAATTTGTACAGGAAAAAATCATCCTAAAATGGGATTTAGTAACTAATAAATATAAATTTAATATTATTTATCTATTTTAAAATTTAAGTGATGCTCGATATAGCAAATAATTATATAAATTTAAAGAATAATATATAAGCTATTGGTTTTTATGAAGAGGCTTTTTTATATTATGAAACATAGGATGTAAAAAAAGCATCAGAAATAGGATATATTTTAGCAAATCATTATTATAACATATAAAAGTTTAAATAAGCAAGAAATTTCAGTAATTATTCTTTAAATGAATTTGACAAAAATTAAACTATAAATATTGAAAAAATAATCGATTTATAAATATTAATATATTTAATAAATAAAATGTCAGATCAGACTTAAAATAATAATAATTATAATTTAACAGAATCTTATAATATATGGAATTTAATTACTTAAAATTTTACATAAAATATTGTTTAAATTTAATAAATAATTCAGTTCTTTACAGAAGCATGTTTTTTTAAATAAGAAAATAAATTAAAAGAACATATAATTTAATACTTTTAATAAATTTTAATTGAAATTACTAAAAAGAAAATTTTATAAAATATATAAAATATCTAGTTTAGAAAAAACAGCTGCTTTTATATTATTAGCTAATTTGATCATTTTGAAAAAGATCCTTATAAATTTATTGAATAAGTTTTTCTAAAAATAGTTGAAATTAATAAATTTTTATAAAATATTTAAATTAAATAATTCTAAAAATAAAATAAATATCATTTCTTAGATAGCACTTAATAAAAATTTTAAAATTATTTCATTCATTTAATTTGTTTGGTTGGTGTTTAATTTTTTTTAGAATTAAAATGAGAAAAATCATTTCAAATATACGAAAAATAACATTTTTTTATATATATAATCAGTATTTTTTATCCAATTAAATACACATATAATTAAAAAATTTCAATAATTTATTTCTTTATTTATGCTTTTTTTTATACTTTATTATAAAAATATTAACTAATTTATAATCATTTTAAGTTTAATTATTATTATTTTAATTAAATAACATAAAAAATACTATTTAAATGTATTATTTATATTAAATTTATATAATTCTAATTATAATGAAAAATGTATTTATATTTTAAATATTATAAAATAATATTTAGAATATTGTTTGTTTGTGCCAACAATAATATTAAAAACAAATCCAAATAGTTAAATATTTAAAATATCTGAAAGTTTTTATATATTATACTAATAAAACTATATATAGACTTAATTGAATTGTATTTTTCTTAACTTTTTTATATTAATTATGTTTACATTCATATTTAGCTCATTTATATGCTTAAAGACTAATAGACCAGTAAATACACCATAAATGTTTTAAGGAATGAAAAAGAAATAAATGCAACATAAATTTTTTAAGAAACGAAAATGAAATAATATACAAAAATATTAAATTATTATATAATAAACATTTAAATATAGCAATTAATATTTATTAAAAAATTAAAAAAGCCTATTTTGAAAAATTGTTTGTAAGAAATGAATTCTTTTTATAACTTATTAGTAAAAATAATTATTTTGAAGAAAAATAATTTAATTATTTTTCTTATTTAAATTGATATCCATTTTTTATCTAAACTCCTAAAATTAAAGTGAAAAAATAAATTGAATTATTTAATATAAAATTATGCTAATTTAATAAAAAAAATTAATTATAAAAATAAGTTTTTGTTGAAATATTTAATAAAATTATAGATCTAAAAAGGCATATACTTAAAGAAAAAACAATCAGATGAGGAAAATATCTTTAATAATTCATATCTAAAATATAAAATAGTTAAAATTTTTGAAAAAAAAAAATGAAATATTTTAACTAAAATAATAAAAATTAACAAGTATATATAATAAATATAATATTAGTACATATTAAATAGAATAATTTTATTATGAAAATCTTACTAAATTTTTTCCCCAATAATATAGAAACAAGTATGGGAAATACAAAAGGGAAAAACATTTGCTATAAAATACATTTTAAACTATTTCAGAAAAAAAAAAAAGAATTTACTATATAAGTCTTTTGAAAATAAAACGAAGAAAAATATACAATTATATTAAGAATTTATCTTTAATAAAGTAATTATAGAATTAAAATAAACATATAAATTCTATAAAATGAATATATTCCAAAATTCAAAAATATATTTTTTAGGTGTACCACATGTATTATATAGAAAAAATTCTTCAATTTTAATTTATGAAAATAATAAAATTATTCTTTTATTAGATTTTTTGAAAGGTAATCTTTTAAAATATTTATTTATTAATTAATTCAGAAGTCAAAAATATAAGGAAATTTTAAAATTTTTTGTTAAATTCTTTTTCAAGCTCATTCTAATAATTATATAGAAATTTTAGTCAATATTTAAAAAAATAGAAGATATTCTTCTCAAGAAATAAATTTCTGTAAACAAGTCCACTTGTTTGATTTGTTAAATAAATATTTAAAAATATCATAATATCTACTTCTTAAAGACATTAGGAAATGTAAAGGAGTCATATAGAATTATTAATAATTATACAATTAGTTCAACTTTTCATTTTATTTTTTTAAAAGTATAATTATAATATTATATTTTAATAAAATAAAATTATATATTTAAATATATTATTTTTTTAAAGAAAATGTTTTATACTATTTCTTCATTATACAATTTTATATGATTTAAAATATCATAAACTTTAATATTATATATAATTTTTTTTTATTTTATCATATATATAATACTGCTTTATTTATATTTATATATTAAAAAAATGATTATAAAACAATTAAATAAAATAAAAAGAGCGTTTTTTTGCACATAAAAAAATCAACTTAAACCTATATAGCTTGTTTATATATACTATATCAATTATATCTAATTATATATATTTATAATAAAAGACATTTAATGAAAAAATTCTAGAATATATTTAATGTCCAATTACAAAAGATGAATTAATATATGACAAAGAGAAAAATGCACTTATAACAAAAAAATTAGTAATAACATATATTATATATATAATATAAATTATTAAAAAATAGGGAATAAAATATTAATTGAATAATGGAATTGTAGAAATAACACCACATAATGTTTCTATTTGAAATATTTAATTAATTTAAAATAATAAAGAAATAAAAAAACATTTACTAAGATACAAAATAAATTAATATATTAAGAATTTAAGTATTGTTTAAATTAAATAAAAATATATAAATAAAATTATTTTTTTATACTATATTATTTTTAATATTTTTATTTTAATATATTTTTTGTATTTTTATATGTTTTTTTTATATTTAATGTTTTTTTTTAAATTCATTTTAATATATAAGCATCACCTATTTATAATTTATTTTACATTTATAATAAAAAAAAATATATTTGTACATTCTAAAAAATCGAATTCCTAAGCCAAATTTAAATTATTCTAATTTTCATATTCGAATAATAATGAATCTTATGTATTCTCTAATTTAAAAGGAGAATTATTATAATCTATTGTTAAAATTTATTAATTTAATTAATTATTATTGTTATTGAATATATAGTCATTTTTAGTTATTATATAATATTAATTATTTTATATTTTTTAAAAGTTTAATTATAAAGAATCTTAATTATAGTTATTTATTTAATAATTATCACTAAATAGTGAGTCAGAAATTTCAAGTTAATTATCACTTAAATTATTTAAATAATTTTGAGAATTGTTTTAAATTAAAAAATTAGTATATTGTTTATTTATTTATTTTTAATGATTAAATATAATTTAATTATTTGAATAATTAATTGTTTGATATTATTATAATTGTTATTATTGTTATTATTACTATTATTAATATAATTATTATTAATATTTTTATTATTTTTATTATTTATTATTATTACTCATGTTTTATATTTATTATTATTACTCATATTTATTTGGTTTTATTTATTTTTAATATTATAATTATTTTTATAATTTTCATTTAAAGTTTAATAGCAATCTACTATTTAATTTTTCAAATAATATTTTTATTACTTTTTTAAGATTTTTTATTGAATTTATTAATTATTATTATTTTTCTGATTTTTTTTTTATATTTGATTTTATTCTTAATTTATTTATATTTACATTTATATGACAAATGGATTTATGTTATTTGCTATGTTTTGTTTTTATTTATTTTATACATATTAATATTTGTTTTATTTCAATATTTTTTATTTTTTTTCAAATTATTGGCCTTCAATATCATTATTGCATTAACTGTGTTTTCTTTTTGTATTTAATTGAATCTCTTTTTTTAATTAAATTTTGATTTTATTTCTTCAATTATATGTTATTTTTAATACTAATTAACAAATTAAGTTGATTCAGTTTATTAAATATTTATAATTTGATCATTTTATTTTTAATTATAAAAATTATTTTGATTTGTAAGTAATTGAGATTCGTTTTATTTTTTAATTTATATATTATGCTCTTATTATTTTTGAATATAATTTTATTTTGAGTCTTATTAATTGTTTTTTTAATTATAGTTATTATATTATATATTTTGAAATTAATTTATTTAATTATTATTAGTATTATTATGATTAATACAAGATTAATCTTTATAAAAAATAATTTTTTAGAAATTATTTTATTTAAAAAAAAAATTAAATTAAATTACTTTGGTATTTATTTATATTTTAATTAAATGCCTAATAAGTATTATTTTATTAATACTATTTTTATATATTGTTTTAATTATTACTTGCAGTAGTTATAGTATTAAAATTTTAATTATTTATAATTTTAATATTATTATTACTATTTTTTGAAAAAGTATAATTATCATTTTATTTTGGATTTATAAAATTTATTCCATTCATCTTATTGTTTAAACATTTAAAATTTTTTCCTATATTCACATTATTTTTAATTTAATTTTAATATATTATTTTATCTTTATTATATCTTTTATTATGATATTCATTTCCATCTTTTATAACAGGTAATCTTTATTTTTATTTTCAAAAAAAATGCTTTAAAAAATATATAAATAAACCCTTCATTTCCAACCATAAAAGGCTCTTAAGTAAAGAATTTATGCTATAAACATTCTTCTACTGAAAATCTATTTTCAGGATCAAGTGCAAGCATTTTGCAAAGTAAATTCAATGCATTAAGATCAGTACTTATAATTAAAAATATTTTTTTAATTAAATAGAAAAAAATATATACTTTTATTTTATGTCCTTTAAATATTCAAATAGACAATCCTTAAACTAAGACTTTTCTTCAGGTTTTATTTGTTTCATTATTTCCTCATATTTGCACATCATTAAGTTTTTTTTACTTTGCTCTGACCATACAATTTCTGGATTACCTAAAAGATAAAAATATTACTTTGCTTATTAAAAACTACCATCTAATCCCATAAAAAGTGACTTTTTTTTAGATTAGTTTCTAAATATAAGTTAAAAAAATATTATTCCTAATGACCATATATCAACTTTATTACTATATTTTTTAGCTTCTTTATATATTTTTATTAAATAGAAAATTTATTTATTTTTACAGAATATTATTTCAGGCGATCTATAAGAAATACATTATATTTTTTGAGTGAAAGGTTTATTATTTAAATTTATTTTAGACAAACCAAAATCAGCGATTTTAAATTCTCCTTAATTATTAAACAAAATATTATCAGCTTTTTAATAAAGATATAAATTATAATAAATTTTATATGAAAATATAATATATTACTTTTAATATCTCTATGAATAATATTCTTTTAGTGAATTTCAGTCATTCCTTAAAGTAATTAAAACATTACATTTTTAGTTTACTCTATTGAAAACTAAATATTATTCGATAATAAACCTTCTAAATCATGCTCACAATATTCAAAAACAAGATATGTTTAATCTCCATAAACTAATTATTAAACAAAACAAAAAATATATATTAAAATATAAAATAAATAAATAAAATAAAAAAAAAAATATAAAATAGATAAAAATAAAAAAATTAATATAATATATAATTAAATAATAATTATATTAAATAATTAAGATGATTATAAATAAAATATAAAATATATATATATATATATATAAATATATATAAATATATATACATATATATTTTATTTTTATATATTATTGCAATTTTTTAGATTTTTTTTTAAACTATCAAACAAAGGTGATTAATTTTTAATTAATTATAAAACAATATATTAAAAAATTATTTATTTAAATGAATTATATTTTTATAAAATTAATTTTTTTATTACTTTTATTTTATTTAGTTATTATTTCATATAATCTTATAATATTTTTATGATTTAATTGGTTTAATATTTTAATTTCTCTTAAAGCTGTAACAGGAAACTTATTTTAAAAATTATTTTTTTTTAATAATACATAATTTTTTATATATAAATAAGTTTCATTTTATTTTACTCCTTCTGTTTATTCTTTTTTTATTTTTTTTAAAGCCATATATTTTTATTCAATTTTAGAATATGCTTTAAAAACTTCACTAAAAAATAATGAAAATATAAAAAATTATAATTTATTTTCTATAATTTATTATTGAATTAATAATTGCTTAAAAAAAATTATCAATCAAAATAAATTATTTAAATAATAAAAATAATTTTTTAATTTATATGACCCATATGATCCTTAGCTAACTTATATAAAATCAACATATTTTTGTTATAATTCTTAGCAAGGAAAATGTTTTAAACATTTTCTTTTTATTTATATATTCATACTATTTATATTGTATAAAATATAAATAATTATATTTATTAATTTTTTCTTAATAAATATATTAGATTAATATTTTTTTGTTTATATTTTATTTTCCTTTTATTATATTTTTTTTTAAAAAAAATCATTATAATTAAATTTTAAATAAAAAAATTTCCCATCCGGGACTTGAACCCGGGTCTCAAGGGTGAAAACCTTGTATCCTAATCAGCTAGACTAATGGGAAATGTTTTATACATATGTAAAATAATTATTGGTTTTATTAAATATATATTTATTTAGCTAACATTTAAATAAATTTTAATTTATTTTCCTTTTATTTTATTTTTTTTAAAAAAAATCATAATAAATAAAAAAATTCCCATCCGGGACTTGAACCCGGGTCTCAAGGGCGAAAACCTTGTATTATAACCAGCTAGACTAATGGGAAATGTTTTGTACATATGTAAAATAATTATTGGTTTTATTAAATATATTTTTTTTTAAATATATATTTATTTAGCTAACATTTTAAATAATTTCATATTTAAAATTTTGTAAATAAATGAACATCGGAAATATTTAAATTATTTATTTATTCATTTATTTTTTTATTTTCAATTTTTTTTTAAAAAATGGAAATTTTTTATATTTTATTATGTTTAGTGAATTTTTTAATTATTTGCATTTAGATATTCAATTAATTTATTTTTTATCATATTTTTATAGTTTTGTTTTATTTACTTTTGATAAATATATTATCGTATATTTTGAAAAATACTTATTAATTTTATAAAAATTTAAAAAAGTTTCTAGCACATTTCATATCAAAATATTATCATATAATTAGCATAAATCTTAATTTTTTTTAATAGTTTAGATTTCATTCTAATAATTCTAGCTTTTATATAATTTATTTTTCATTTAATTAAATAATAAAAAAAAAAATTGCATTATTAAAAAAAGCAATTATATTTAATTTTGTTCCATATTTAAAACAATTAATATTTATTTATCTATATAAATTGATAATATTTATGTTTTTTAATATATTTTTATTTATTATCATATTCTTAAGAAACATAACTATAAAGTTGATTTTAAAAATACTTAATCATTTATTTTTTTCATAGACTAAATTATTCTTAAATAAAAACTTAAATCTAAATAATTATCAAATATATAAATCTTTATTATTAAATATTAAGATTAATTTAAGATATAAAATAAATAAATATTTAATAATATAATTAAAATTAAATTCAAGTACATAATTATTATAAAATAAATTAAAACATATCAATTTTAATAAGAAGAATATAACCAATTATTTATTCATAAATTTTTTAAATAAGTTTAATAACGTATTTTAGCTTTAATATAAAGAAATATTTTAAGAAGATATAATAACTAAACAATTATTTAATTATTATTAGAAAATAAAAAAATAATATCATATTATCAAAATAATAAAAATAAATTAAAATATTACAATATATAATTATGTATTTATATTTAATTAAAATAAATGATTTTTAAATTATTAAAATAATATATTCCTAAAAAAAATATTAGATAATTTAAAAATAAAAAACTATATTATATTAATTGCACAATATTAAAATATATGTAAAATATATAAATAATAAATAAAAGATAGAAATATAAAATAAAAATAGAAAAATTATATTTTAAATTAATTAATTATATATATATATATATAAATATAAATATATATATTTATATATATATTTATATATATTTATTAATTTTATTTATACAATAAATATAAATAATTATTATATATATTTAAAATTTTTGATATATATTTTAAAAATTATGTAATTAAATTTTTTCTTATTTTTTGTAATTTTACATTAATGAAGATTTATTGAATATATATATTTAATAGATAAATAATTTAATTTTATTATTTAAACAGAATTTAATATATAAAATTACATTGCATTAAATATTATACATTTTTCATATATTTTAAATTTAATATTATTATATTTTCGTAGTATATACAAATAATTATAATTTTAATATTAATATTTAATTAAAATAAAATTATATAAAATAAATTATAAAAAAATATATATATATTTAGATATATATATTTATATATATTTTTTTTATTTTATATATTTTTTTATATATTTTTAGATATTTTTATTCAATAGTATTGTTTTTTTATATAATGATACAATTTAATAAAATAATATAATTAATATAAAAAATATATATTCAAATTATATATATATTATTTTATATTTAAATTAATTTTAAATTATACACAATTTTTAAGAATCATTTAATGCTATATTATAAATGTAAAAATCATATTTTATTTATTTTTATATTTATATAATATTTTTTTTAAATTAAATTTAATTTAATTTAATTTTATCTTTAACATTTTAGAAATATAAAAATTATTTTAATAAGGGAATTAATATATTTTTAAAATAATACAAATAAATATATAAAATATTTTTTTTTAATTATTTTTATTTAATATAATGAATAAATATTAAACAAAAATATTATTTATTATATAAATTTTTACATTATTATAAATTTATTTTACCTTATTATTATTATATTTTTTTTATCATTGACTTAAATTTAATTTATAAATTTATTTTTATTTTTAAAAATAAAATTAATAATTTTTATTATAATTCTAATATATTTGATAATTATTAGATTTTTAAATTTTCATTTGTATTAATATTATTATTATTTATTAGAGGTTTATTTTAAAATATTTTTAATGTCTAAAATCTATCTGTACAATTTTAAAAATTGATAATTCTTTTACTTTTATGACTATTTTAATTATTATGTAATGACCCAGTAGTACTAATTTTTTTATTTAAATTATTATTTTTAAAAGAAACATCTATTTTTTATTAGATATCTGTAAGTGCATGCATTCTTCTTTCTTATAAGTCCTAAATATTATTTATATATTGTAATATTTTATGTTTTTCTTGATTTACTATATTTTTATTATTTTATTTATTTTCTTCACTTATTAAAGTTTATATATTATTTTATTATTTGTGGCCATTTGCTTCATTATGATTTCTTTAGATTTAAAAAACTTTTTAATTTTGGTATTTACATTTTTTTTATTTCTCCTAATATGTATAATCAACATCACTTTATTAACTATTAATTTATTTATTATTAAGAGCTTATACCTCTTAGAAATATTTTTCTTAAGAGATTATAAAATTTTGTGACAAAATAGTATTTAAAATATGTAGTTTATATAAATTATCATTTATATTAATTGTCTAACATTCATTTTTAGATATGTTACGATTTTTTTGTTATAGTTAATTAAACTATTTTGAGAAGGGGTTTGTTCCTAAGTTTATTTTCTCAATCATTTAGATAAATTGATTACTTATTATATTATTGATTATTTTAATAATGTTATTTTTAAACAATTATATATTGTTTAATATATTTAATTATTAATTAATATTTATTTTTATTTATTTAATAATCACTTCGTAAATATAATTGGTTAATATACAATATTTGCTTTATATTTTTAGTTTTTATATATATTTTAAATTTTTATTTATTCTTATGTAAGGATAATTTATATTTATTAATTTATTTGAAGTTTAAAATTAAATATATTTAAAAAATATTTTAATTTTTATAAAAAAATTAAATATATAATAAAAGTTAAATTAGCATTATATAAAAAACTTTATATTATTATAATACAAAGATAAATATTTTAAATTATCAGATTCATATAATATCATATATATTTTTTTAATTTATTAAAATCTTAATTATATACATTTTTTTTCTATTATTAATAAAATAAAATTATTTATTGCTAAAATAAAAAATGTAAATGCAAATCTAAATAATACAAAATTAATTTAAATAATAAAGAAAAAAAGATTATTATGATGCTAAATAATTTTGATATATTAGTAATTAATTGAATAATTAATAATTTTTAAGTTTCAAATATATAATTATTTAAGATTTAATTTTTTTTTTTTATAAAATTTTTATTATAAACATTTTTTTTTCAATGTCATAGTTAATATTTATATTTATTTGAAAATTTTTATTATTCTTTATTTGAAACTAATATACAGCTTGTTATTTATAAGAATATATTTGTTCTTTACTTATCTTTTGATTGTAAAAAGTAATAAAAATTAATATAGTTAAATTTAAATAATGTTCGAAAATACTTATTAATTTATTATATTTTTTTCTATAAAATTTTCAAAAAAATATTTAGTTTTTAATATATTTAGGCAAAATATAGTTTTTTAAATTTTAAATCATTTAAATTTTATCAATATTTTAATTAGTCTATAATATTTTTTTTTGTAAATATTAAAAAAAATAAAATTTTATAATAAAAATTTGATAAACAAACAAATATTTAATAACTTATGTTTAAATTAAATTTATAATTCAAAAACTAATTTATAGAATAATAGTATTAATTAACAAGAAATGCTGAAAGTTAATTTTTATTAAAGAAAATAATTATATTATATGCTTTTTTCATAATAATTCCTAAGTTAATAGAAATAATATAAAACATAGATAAAATATAAAACATTTTATAATTAATTATATCAATAATAATGTTAATATAATTAATAATATTAACTAAAAAATAATAATAAATAAACTTTTATACATTTACTCTTAACTGTTTAATATTATTTAATGGAATAATCGAATTCAAAGCGATAGAAAAAAATTAATAAAATACATAAAGTTTTGTGTAATTTTCTACAATTTAAACATTATTTCATTTTATTATATGTTTAGTATAGTCGAATATTATTTTAAGTATTTTAATTAGTATTTCAATTTAAATTATTTATTTAAATATTGTTGGAAAATTGGTCTTCTCATATTTAATAATTTCTTATTTTGCTACTTCTCTTACTTAAGTTTTATTTATTTTATGGTACAATAGCATCAAAAGAGATAATTTTTTAAACGAATAAAAGTTTTAATAATTAAAAAGAATTATTAAACATGGATTAGATTCTAATGTGTTTTTTGTAAGTTATAAATAAATTTTAAATAATGTAGAATTATGTTTTTAAAATTAAAATTGTGATAAATATTTTTTATCTAATAATTAAAATTAATTTAAAAAATTTCTACGATCAGTATTTGTAAACATAAATAATTATTCTTAAAATAATAAAGATTTAAACTATAACTAAATTAATTGCGAAGATAAAAACTCTAAATTGGAAAATGTTATAATTAAACTGTTAGTTTAATAATAAGTAATACATAATATTTATTTTTTTAAATTTTATTATCCTTTATATATAAAATAATATATTGTTTTTATAAACTTATTTTGTAGAAAAAAAATTTCATTAAATAATCAAATGAATAATTTTAAAAAAATTGTGATTCATTCGTTAGCTACATAGCTGTTTAAAAAGATTACACATTAGACTAAAATAGGTTTTTTACTTAAGATATAATATTTACTTTTTAATTAAAATAATATAATTTTTAAGATAGTATTAATTCAAAGTTTCAACATTTTTTTGGGGAGATAATTTAGGATCATGTATAATTTTTAATGAAGAAGAACAAACGAAATATTAAGGCTATTATTTATAAAAATCGAAAATATAATCAGAGAAATATTTTTACTATATAGAGTTTATTTAGAAACTCTTAAATAAGTATATATAAAAGTAAGATTAAAAATAAAATGTTAAAAAATTGGTATTTGATATAAATCAAATAATAAATAATTTAATACTATATAAATTTATAATATAAGATAAATTTTAGAATACATATTTATATTAGAATGCATTAATAAAGAATTTTAGTATAAAATAAATTTTTCATTTTTTAAATAAAGTCAATTAAATATAAATAAATTACTAATTAAATTACAAAGATATTTATTTAATATCAAATTAACAACGTGTAAGTTAGATATTATCTAATTTCATACTAGAAATTGAAAATTTATAATAAGAAAGATATATAAAAAGTATTTAAATTTATGTATACTTGATATAAGGATAAAATAGCTTAAGTGATATCATATAATTTAAAATAGGTTTTTAATAATAAGAAATTATAGGAGAAGATTCTAAAATCGAAGTTTATAAAAATATAACAGAGTAGAATGTATCTAATATATAAATGCTTGACGAAAATAATGAATAATAATAATAAATTTTATAAAAAAACATAAAAAAATAAAAATACTTAGGAAATTAAATAAACTTATAGAGCTATAAAAACTTAGAAAATTAAAAAAATACCGAACATAATAAATTAAATTATTATTTTGATAAATTTGGAAATTATAAATAACTTTAATCTCAACTTAAGAAAAAAAGTTAAAAAAAATTAATCTTCATTAAACTTAATGTCCTTAGAAAATTAATAATTAGAAAAAAATGCATATTAATTTCTTAAGCGAAAAATTTTAAAATATTATTTAATAATCTTCTTTCTTCTTTACTAGTAATAAAAATCCTAATTATTAAAGCAAATAATTTTAATCTAAAACTCTTAAAATCACACAAAAAAATGACATTTCTCTTTAAGAAATTTATTAATCAAAATTCAGAATTATCAAATCTTTCAACCCTAGTAATGATCTTGAATATTAGAATTTAAAATGTTTAAATTTATAAATCAATTCTAAATTGATTGGTTCTTTAGGTCCTTCTAATGATATTTATGCCACTAATTAGAATGAGTTTAGTTTCTTTTTATTTAAAGATATAAATTTATTAATTTAAAATGAATAAGAGTTCTAAAATCGAAATTTCGAAATAATTCAAAATAAACTGATAAATGATATAACTCCAAGCTCTAATGATTATAAAAATTAGATTTAAAATATAAAAAATTACAGCCATTTTTCTTTAAGTCAGAAAGATGACATATCATCGAATAACAGTTATAATAATGTGATTAATTAAATTCGTAATTTTGAATATAAAGAACCAGGATTTAATTTTTAAAATATAATAACATATTGAAAATTTTGTTTAAATTTATAAAAAAATATTTTATATGTATACATTTGTTTTTGTGTATATATTATATTTATATTATTTTTAAAAAAAGATATTTTATTATTTAAAATTATTAATTAAAATTATATTTTTGTCTATATATTTATTATTAAATATTTATATTTTAATATATAATATAAATATTAATTTTTATTCATTAATCTTTATTAAAATATTCTAACATTTTCTCTATAGCTCTAAAACGATGAGAAATCTTGTTCTTTTCCTCTTTAGATAATTCAGCATATCTTTTTAATAATTATTTTAGTAAAATAATTTAAAATTAATTTTTAATACGTTTTATCATATCCATCTGGTTAGAATATCGGATCCCTATTTATATAAATAATTTAAATACATAAAAATATATTTATAAATAAAATATATAAACCATCCAAAAGCATTATCTCCTCGAGGAAATACAATAACACCCTTTTAAATAAAAATAAAAAAATAAAAAAATATGTGAAAATAAAAAATAAATGTTACAGGTGTTTATCCGATAAAGCAAATAGGCTCTTTTAATTCTTTACTCATGTATGTTATGATACATTAAGCATAAGCTGTTTTATCATCGAAACCTGAGAGCATTTTGTGCAACCCTTCTGGTTTTATAGAATCTAAAAACCATTTTCTTTTTATAAATATTAATCATAATATAAATATTTAACTAATAATAATAATTATTTACATATAGGGTCCAGGTAGTCCTTTATAAGCGTTAAAACATAGAGATGTATCTTCAGTTAAAACAGATTTTTTATTACTCTAAAAAAAAATATAAAAATATTATATAAAATATATTTATATATATATATATATATATATATATTTATATACATTTATATATACATATTTATATTATTATTTTTAATTTTTTTACTTTTTAGAAAGCAATTAAAGCCTTTTCTTTTGCAATATCTAAATCTTTTCCTTATAATTCTGGCACTATTTTTTTTTTTTAAATATTTTTTTTTTAAAAAAAATACAATCAATATTTTAGGATTCTAAGTGTATATTCTTAGCTGTTAGGATTTATTAAAATTCAAGCAATTTGTTTTTCTATATTTTTAATGTTAAAATTTTATATAATATATTTATAATTTAAAATTATTTTACATTTCCTGTTATTAAGAACAAAGCTTTTTTTGTAGTTTCTTAAGTAGTTTTCATATTTTTTGAGATTATTTTTTAGGTTACCTATTTGACTGATTTTGTTATTGGTTTTATAGATTGTTTTGAGGAATTTATAGTTTTTTTAATAGGTTATTTTTTTTCAATAGCTTTTTATTTAGGAAGAGGATTTTTTTTAATAAAGTTTTTTCTGATTTTGGTGTCGTATTATTATTGTTATTATTAATATTATTAGTTACTGTATTATTAGTATTAGTATTAGTATTAGTATTAGTATTAGAATTATTATTTTGCGTGTTATTAACTTAATTATTAGTTTTTTATTGATCTTTAGTTTAGTTGTTATTAGTATTTTTAGTGGTAAGCTTTGAGTACTAGGGTGTTGTAGGTTTTGAAGTTTTTTAATTGTTTAGTTTGGATTAATTTGCTATAGTATTTTCTTTATTTTAAGATTATTTTTAATCTTTCATATTTAATTTAATATTTTTTTAATTATTTTAATATAACCAAAAGATAGAGAATAATTATAAATATAAATTTTTAGATATTTGTATAAATAAAAAATATATATAATATATATAATTAATATTATTTATATATATATGTATATAATAAAAATTATAAAATCATAAAATCATAAAATCATAAGTATTTAATTTTAGTCAAAATAATATATACTAATAATTACATTTTATTATATTATAAATATATATTTATATTTATATTTTTATTTTTATTGTTTTTTATTTTTATTTATATTTTATTTTATAAATAAAATTTATTTATATAATTTAAATATAATTAATAATGTTTTTTTTTTTTTTTTTCTATAATATTTAATTTTAATAATAAGATATATATCAAAAAAAAAAAATCTTAAATTACATTTATTATTAAAAAATATATTAATTATATTAGAAATTTGATTATTTTATTAAAATTAAGTTTTATGAAAAATATTTATATAAATTTTAATTATGTTTTTATTATTATTTTAGATCTATTTTTTTTCTAAATACATTTATTTTCTTTATTAATTTATATATTTATTTATTTATTTTCAACAGCATTTATCCTTTTTTTTCTCTTATTTATTTTTTTATTTAATAGAAAATCTTCCTTACGATTTTCTTCTGTATCCTCTTTTTTTGATTTCTTTATATTATTTTTAATTAAAAAAAATTAGTTTTTATATAAAAAAAAATTTGCTTAAATAAAAAAAATTAAATTTATACTAAACTTAATAAACAATAAACAAATGAAAACAAAATTAAAATATTAAATAAATACCATATCCTATATATTAAAACATTTCTTTTATTCCTATATTAGCTTTTGCTGAAACTGAAAAATGGTATCCACCAATACTTTTTGCAAATTCTTCAGCTTATTTTTTATCAATTTATCTAATTCCTTCTAAATCAGATTTATTACCTGCTATACATATTATAATTTTATCATTTGCATATTCTTACAATTCTTTAACCCATGACTTGACCTAATTTTAGAATTTTATTAAAATAATCTTTTTTATTTTAAATAAAAAATCAACTTTATCAAATGATTCTTTGTACGAAATATCATAAACAATAATTGCACATTCTGCGTCATTATAATACATAGATGCAATTGCCCTGAATTTTTCTTAACCAGCAGTATCCTTTTAAAAAAATTTTTTTTGTATTAATTTTTTTTTTTTTTTTATAATTTACCCATATTGCTATATTTATTATTTCATCATCAGGTAAAACTATTTATTTTTCTAAATATGAGGCATTTATTGTTGTATCTTATTAATCTGTATATTCATTTTTACAATATCTTAAAGCTATTGATGTTTTGCCAACTCTACCTATTTTTATTATTATAACTTATATATTGATTGCATTTATTTTTTATTCTAAAATATTTATTTATATTTGCTTTCATTATTTATAAAAATTATATTTAAGAATTAATTGTACCTTCACCAACTAATACTACTTTTTATAAGTTTTTTGTATAATCCATATTTTTTTTAATTTTTTAATAATTAAAAGTAATTAAGAATTTTTGTTTATTTTATTCTTCTTTTATATAAAAATATAAATAATTTTTAACAAAGGATAATAAAACTATTAATCAAATTAAATTTATCGGATAGAAAAAATATATTATGGCATTTTTTCTTTAATTAAGTTTTAAAATAAAATGTAGAAAAATTTTTAAAAAGTAATATATAAAAAAATTGATAATTTTTTTATATAATTGTTTTTTTGTAATAAAGTTTTAAATATATTTAAACATATTAAATAAAAAAATAAATATACTTAGTATTAAGAATATAATTTTTTTACAATAATTTAAAAAAAAAATTGAATATAACATTATAAATAAGAAAAAAAAAAATCAAATTAAAAATGAATAAATAATAAATTTGATATTGAATATTTTAAAAGAAATGCTTTGTGTGTGTTTAATAAATATAAAATAAAAAATATAATATATATATAATATATTAAAATAAAAAAATTGTATTAAAATAATATAGTGCTAAATTTGATTAATAATTTTAGAATAAAAAATAAATAAATAATTTATTATTTTTAAATAAATAAATACACATGTTATATATAAAAAAAATCCTTTTTAATAATAATATAAATATAATTTGCAAAAATATCATACAAAAATTTCATAGAAAAATATCTTATAAAATAAAAGATTTAAAATAATTAAAAAATAAAATGTATTTATTTTTAAATTATATATTTATTATAATTTTAAAATAATAATAATAAAAAATATATATAAATATATAAATATATAAATATATAAATATTTATATTCTTTTTTATTTTTATATATATCTTATATAATATTTTATTATATATATTTTTATATATTTATAAATATATTATTATATTTCTTATAAAACTTTATCTTTTTAAAATTTTATTTTTATATTTATTGTATTACTTTTATTATATTTAATTTTGTTTTTTAATAATAAATAAAAAAATAAAAAATAAATTAATAAAAATATTTTAAAAATTAATATATAAATTTATATTACTTTTTATTAAGGATTTTTATAATTTTTTTTTTTATTTAATTCTAATCTTAATAAAAATATTAGGATTATTTTTTAAAATTATATTACATATTAAAAAATAAATTTAATTTAAAATTAATAATTATAAAAATTGCGTAATTATAATAATATATAATTAATATAAATAAAAATATTATATAAACTATAAAAAATATTAAATTTATATAAATTTTTATATATATTTTATTTAAATTTCTATATTAAAAAAAATAATATTTAATTTCTTTTATGTTTTAAAGTAATTTTTATTAATATTTATTTAAATATAAAATAATTTTTATTATTATTAATTAATAATTTTCGTAATTATTATCTAAAAATATATAAAAAATAGCTTTAATTATTATTTTTAATATAATGGAAGATGAAAAATATATATATGAAATTTCAAATAATTATGTATATAAAATTAAATCCAAAATTAAATTTAAAAATTAAAAAAAAAATATATTATATAAATGAAATTAAATATTACTAATATTATAGATTAAATAGGAAATACTCCTTTATTGGAGCTAAAGCGAATAAATCCATATATAAATCGAGGTATAAGAATATTTATAAAATGTGAAAATATGAACCCTACTGGTTCGATAAAAGACCGTATAGCACTTAATATAGTAGATTAAGCTGAGAAAGATTAAAAATTAAAAAAAGGAATGACAATAATAGCTGCATCATCAGGTAATACTGCTTGTTCAGTAGCTTTTATAGCCTCCTTACGTGGTTATCCATGTAAAGTAATAACAAGTGAAAAGTGTAGTTAAGAAAAAATTGACGCCCCAAAAGCATATGGGGCAGAAGTAATAGTTTGTCCATCTGATGTTCCAGCAGATTCAGATTAACATTATATGAATAAAGCAATAAGTATGTGTAAAGAGAATCCTGATTTTTATGATATTGATTAATATGATAATCCTTTAAATCCTTAAGCCTATTATAAATCACTTGGACCAGAGTTATGGATATAAACAAATCATGAAATTAATTACTTCATTGCAAGTGCTTCTACAGGAGGGACTTTTAGTGGAACTTCTAAATATTTGAAAGATATTTCAGAAGGAAGAATTTAGTGTATCTTGGCAGATCCTATAGGTAGTGTATTTTATTAATTCTGGAAAAATAAAGAGCTTATTAAACCTGGATAATATAAAGTCGAAGGAGTTGGGAAAGATTCAATCCCTAAAAATTTATGTTGTGAACTTATTGATTAAATTATTCAAGTAGGAGACTAAGATGCATTTGATATGTGTCATAAATTAAGCTAAATCGAAGGTTTAATGCTTGGGGGAAGTGCAGGACTTAATGTTGTAGCGGCTCTTTAATTGGCTTCTAGTCTTGAAGGACCTGCAACTATTGTTACAGTTGCACCTGATACAGGAGTTAAGTATTTGTCAAAGATTTATAATTTATAATGGTTGAAAAATAATGGATTTAAAGTTAATAGAAATTATTTTTGATTTTTTAGGAAGGCTTTTGATTTAATATATTTTTTATAAAGATACTTTTTTTTTTTTTTTATTTGTGAATATATTTTATAATAATCTAATATAATTTTTATTGTATTTAAAAAACATTTTCATACTTAGTTTATATTTATGAATTTATATTTTTATTAAACACAAGTTATTAAGTATCATTTTAAATCATATTTAATTATTTTTATATTATAATTTATATAATAGAATTTTTTTTAAAAATATTATAGAATGTAAAGTAAATTATAAAATATAAATATTTTAATTTGATTTTTTTACTAATAATTAATAAATTATTTTATTTATATTCATCTTTTTTACCACTCAGATGTTTTTATTTCGTTTTTTTATCTTTTTTAACTTGATCTTTTATTTTATATCTCAATAATATTTAATTAAGGGTTTATTTCTTCATATTTATTTGACATAAAATTAGTAAACTCTTCTAACTTTAAAGATTTAATGTCATTATTGTCATTTTTTAAATCTTTTTTTTTAAAATGAATAGAATAAAATAAAATTAATTAAAAAAACCTTGCTCTTCATTTGATTCTCCTTTTTATTCTTCTAAATTATTTTTTGTAATTTTTTTAGTATTAACCATACTTTTCATAATATCTTTAAGATCATAAAGAGGGACTTCTTATTAATTATTTTTCATTTTTCTTCTCCAAATTCTCATTTTTTTTTACAAAATGAAAATAGCTGCCATATCTTCACTTGTGAGTTTTGTTTATTTCATCAAGTGAACATTTTTTATACTTTTTATATTCAGCAATTTATCTAATTCCTAAATTAGATTTTCATCTTCAGGTTCTAAACTATATAAAATAAATAAAAAATAGCAAAATTAAAATAACAAAAAATTTACTTAGTAACACCAAATTTAATAGTAACTGAAATTTTAGAAACTTTAGTGACTACATCATGAAATTTATAGCAAAATATCCTTTCATTTGGATCTTCATAAATAGGTATTTAAAGAGCTGTTAAAAAGATTTTTTTATAATTTTAGTTTAATAAATCTTACTAATCAACTCCATAAATAACTGCAATTTCTCCACAAAATTTCCAGAATTCTTTGTAATTTATAAACCCTTTCGCATTTGGATCATATTTTTGCCATAACTAGAGAATATCATTAAGCTAATAATGATCAATAGCACTTTCATCTGCTTTAAAAGCTTATTCATAAGCCGAAATCACTGTTGCTATAAAAAGATTAAGAATAATAAGAGAAAACATTAAATGATAAGAATAAAAGAATAAGTAAGCCAATTTATTTCCACAGGCCATCTAACCATATTCAACATAATCCTCATATGTAAATATATCGTTTCTGCAAACAAAGTTCGGTTGCATTTATCTAGAAGCTTCTCCCACAATCACATACCATTGTTCACTTGTAGCGATTCTGAAAAGAGTAAAAAAAGCTTACTGGAAATTCATAAAATGAATATCATATCCATTTAGATTTGTTTAAAATTTTAAAAAAGGGAACATGTTTGTTGATATTATTACTGATATGTACAAAAAAAAGCCCATTATTATTAATATGGAACTTGCTTCAGAAAGAGCTTTGAATAAACTATTAAATAACTTTTCAATATTTCGAATATGCTTTATTATTCGATAGAGCCTTAATGTTTATAATGCTTTAGAAACCGCATCAAATGTTCTATTTGATATAGAATACGATTTAATTTTAATACTATTATTATAAGTGATAAATATCTCACTAAATGTAAAGCCAACAATAATTAAATCAAGTATATTAATAAATTGATAAAAATAATGAATTTTCAAACAATAAATTCTACATAAAATTTCAACCGTAGCAACACAAGTGCAAATAAAATTTATTAAATTGAGAATATTAGTATATTCTTATGATTATCTTGTATGGAAAAGTAAAAAAGATATAATATTAACAACAATAAATAAATAGAAGAAAAAATTTAATCCATTTCCTACTATCATGTGTTTATGTAAAAAAAATTCTATGAAGTTTTTTGGGTCTTGCATTTTTTTTTTTGGATTTAATTTAAAAATAGATTATTTTATGAAAAACCATTCTTTTTATTCTTCCTGCAATTTATCTAAATTACTTTATGATTCTGATAATGATTAATATGTATCTACAATAACTCCCACAAACATATTCAATATACATGTATTTCCAATGAAAAAAAACAACAAATAAAAAATTGCATAAAAAGAATTCATTTAAATTTATGGCTAAAATCCTATTCCTACTGAATCATAAGCATCAAACATTAAAGGTTACCAACATTCAGTAGTCATAACCATAAATAAAGTAGACATTGCTTCAAATATATTATCATAATTATATAAATTGGGTACCCAATCGCCTCCTAAATCCATGCAATCGATACTTGTTTATACAAGTGAATTTATTATATCAATATCTTAATCACTTTAACATGAATGAAGGCGACCTTTAAGTAATTTTGTAGCCATAATTCCACACATAAAAAGATAAAGTAGAGAAAATAAAAAAAGCTTTATTATTCTAGGAACACTTTTAAAGAAAGCCTCTATAGTGAATTTTACACGAACATTTTTTCTGGATAAATATTCGAAAATAATTAGAATTTTAAGAGCTTTAAATTTAGCGAAAGATACGTATTCTTCCTTAAAAGAAAATCTTGTTAAGGAAATTATCAAAATAAGAAAATCTAGACAATACCATTTGCTTCCAATCAAATATGAGTTTTAACCATTAAATAAAAACCCTTAAGAAACAATCTATAAACTTGTTTGTAATGCATATATTCCTGTTACTATGAAATCCGAAAAATCTAATATTTTTTTTATTTTACTATCTTTTGGTAAAAAAGGAGTATTCATAGCTATTGTTATACACGAAAATGTTATTACTAATATGCTTATGATTACAAAGTATTTAGATTCAACTATTTTTGTGGATATTTTTCGAAAAGGATTAGTTTAACTGAAAATAAATAATGAATAATTCTAATTGTTTTAAATTTTCTAGTCACTCTATTTGCTTAGAGTGTTGTTGCGTATTATTTTATTTTTTGATACAATTGATGAATATTTGTTATATATTTTTTTTAATTATCTTTCATTCTAAATATTATATTCAAATATATTATTAACCTATAATTTTTTTTTTCTTTTAATTTTATTAGTGGTCTTTTTTTATTTAAAATTTTAACTTTTTTTTTATTAATTATTATAATCATCAACATTCTCTGTAATAAATTAAAATTAAGGATTATTCTATTATTATTCTTATAAATATTATTTATTTTGTTACTAATTTTCTTAATTATTATTAGTATTAAATTATTACATTTTTGATTAAAAGAATTTAGTGGATTATGGAAAAGAAACAAGATTGCTTTTTTTATTTTCAATAATTATATCTTCCTTCAATTGTAAGCCGTTTTAATTTATAGGGCTTTTATTATAATCGACTTTAACTTAATCATATTATTCAGGTTATATTTAGTTATTTTAATTCAAAATGTATTAATTGAAAAAATTATTTAGAAAATTATTAATATTTTATTTATTTTATTATAATATATTTTCTTCCTCTTTCATTTTTTCTTCATAGGTTTTAAGAGATTTAATGAAATAATTAATATAAATGCCAATAAAAAGCCTAATAAACAAAACTTAGCCAATCAAAATGCTTAATATATAAAAAATACTACTTCTATTTCCAATTATTCTTCTATAATTATACATAGTCATATGCCATTCTTCGTTAAAGAATATCATTAATGAAGCGATAATGCTATTCTAGAAATTTTCATAATTAATTCGATAATTTGAAAAGATAATATTTTAATTATTGGGTTAATTAAAATCATATTTTTATGCAAATAATTCACGGCCAACTTGAGCTATGAAAATAACAAGAACTATCAAAATAAATATGTACTTTTTAATAGTTTATAATGTTAAAAAAAATGATTTTAATAATAACTTTATTGCTAAAAAGTATTTAGAATATAAAAAAAAATTAATTATTCTAAAAACTTTAAATGATTTACATAATAATGTTAAATTATTATCATATTCAAATATATTATTTCCTAATATCCCAATCATAGCATAACATAAAATATTAGTAGAGAGAATTATTAAATCTAATTTATTAAAATTATTTTTTAAGAAAATTTTAAAACCTTTCCCTATTATACAAATTATTATTTCTATAAAAAATAATATAAGAGAAACAAAATCGCAAAAGTTTAAAATTCTTAATTCATTAATATGAATAGGATATCTTTAAAAAGTTATTAAATAAAAATATATATAGATTTATTTAATTATTATTAAATATACATATAAATAAATATATATATATATATAAATATGTATTTATAAATATAAATTTAAATATAAATAATATATATTTATTTTTTACTATTTTTATTTTATATATACCTGTCTATAGCTAATAGTATTATCTAAAATATATTATTTGCAGATGTTAATATTTTGAATATACTTGTTTTCATAATATTTCTAAAAATATTACAATTTTATTAATTTATTTAATTCTAAATTTAATTTTTCTTTTAATATTTTATTCTTAATATATTTTATAATTCTATGCTTAATACACTTTATCTTTTTAATTAATTTCTATTTGTTTTATTTATTTACTAATTATTTTCATCATTTTATAATTCTATTTCTTCTAGATTTTTATTCTTGATTGTTTTTTATAACAAAAATCCTTAATAAAGAGATGCAAGTAATATATTTGAAAACACGTAAGCAAGTAAAACGATAAGTGAAATAAAATAAGCGCCTGTAATTGTTTTATATTATGATCTCCATAACTAACAATTTGTTTTAATTATATTTAAAATAAAACATAATTATATATAAAATTTATAATAAATTAAAAAATTAAAATATACAATATAAGTAGTTTAACTCCATCCAGTAACATTCAAAAATTAAAAAATACTTTAAAAAGTATCACTAAATTAATCAAATGTATCATATCCATAATATAATTCTGGAATATTATTTTCTTCAGGATTTAAAGGCATATCATAATCACCTGGATTTCCGCAATATCTGTTTTCAGGACATTCAAAAACTCCACATGTATATTTTAAAGAAGGGTCGATAGGCCATTCTAATTTTCCATCTTTTAAAACAGGTTATTTGGTATATCTACATCTGTTTTCTTATAGACTATTAAATAAACTTATTCCTACTATTGTATAATATAACATTACAAATAATAAAGGCACAAAAATTTTTGGTAAATGCTTAAAACTTCCAATAAACGATTCTATTGTTATTCTCATCTATGATGAAACTTTAAAAATTGTAAGTATTCTAGTTAGTTTTAATATTTGAAAAAATTCAACTTCTTTTAAATATAATGAAAACCAACTTTAATAATATAATTACATTTATTGTAAAAATATTTATAATGATATTTATTTTTATATTTTATTTTTACTTAGAAATTATAATTATAAAATATAAAATATTCCAATAATTTCTAAAATAAGTATATTCACCAAAAATTAATCCTTAGGTTATTATATTTAAAATAAACTCTATACTAAAAAATATATTGCTTATTATTTAAAAATAGAAACTTATATTATTCATTAATATTGAATCATCTTAATTATTTAATCTTTCATTATAATTATAAATAGAATATCCAATAATTTATACAATAATAAAAACCATCATTAAATATTCATAATAACTATATTTTTATTTAATTTATGTTAATTAGTTAATATTTTTTTTTTAAAATAAATTAATAAAACATTGATTCAGTCATATAAAATATTGATTTTCTGATAAAATTGTTATATCCGAATATAAAAAATGAGTTTTCACTGATCTTTTTAAAAATTTTGTTTTAATATATAATTTTATTTTTTATTATTTGTTATTATAATTACATAATACTTTATATTTTTATTTTAATAATAATATGGATGTCCTATTTATTTGTATTATTAATTACTATTAACTTTGTTTTTATTAAACTAAATGCATTTTTGCTAGTTAATTTAAATATTTATTTTAAAAAAAACATATATTATATTTAAAATACTTCATATATTTTTTATTATTTTATTCTATATGCTTTTAATTAATTTTCTTTTTATATTTTTAATTCTTCATTATTCTACTCTGTTACTTCTAAATATTATTATTCACTTTCTATTTATACATTGATTTTATTTTTTTAATTTATTATTGGTCTTGTGGATAACATATTCCCTAATGTTTAAAGTCCTTATTTTTAAATTTTTATTATATTATTTTATATGCTTCCACTAGTTTTTTATAATTGTATTTGAAATTTACCGAATTCTTTGTCGAAATTTAAATTTCTTTTCATTTATTCTTTATATTTTTTAATGTATACAAATTTATATTAAATATGCCAACACAATAAATAAAAATTAAAAATAGAATTGTGTTTTAATAAAGAAAAAATTAAAATATGTTTTTTTAATATGAAATATAATCAAAAAACAATATATTATTTCTTTTTTTATATCAATATTACTGTTCTATAAAATATTAATACATTTAAATTTATATATTTTAAAATATTACTTGTTTATATTTTTATTTTATTTTATTTTTAAGAAATTTAAACAAAAAAATAAAAAAAAAGTTAAGAAGAAAATAATTTTTATCATTAAATGAATATTTTTTTTTAAAAAATACATAAAAATATAAAAAAGAATAATCAAACAATAATAAATATAATCTTTATTTTAATATTATTCAAAAATTATATTAATATATATATTTTAAATAATCTAATTTGAGTTCTAGTAGTAGTTCTATAGAATATCCACTAGTTCCATAACTAAAAAAAATTGATCTCCTTATTTAAAAACACAGTTATTAATATCGAAGTAAAGGCTTCCACTTACATATTCAATATTATTTTATCCTTAAGACTTTTATACTTATTATTTAAACGGAAAAAATTTTTTTTGTTTATCTGTAATAAACATTTATCAGATCTTTAAATGTTTCCTAAGCTATTGTCTCCTTACACTCTAAATATTATTTCAATATTTTTTTTATAAAATCTTATACAAGAAATATGACATTTGTAATTTTAATTAAAAATACTCCATTTATCTAACTTATATTCAATAAATCTATTTAAATATATTTCTTAAGTGAATTATTTTCTAATTTCCTCAATATTTTTATTAGTAAAATCTATTTAATTTTAAGAAAATAATTAGGCATAATGTTTCCAAAACCAACCATTTTTTCTTAAATTTTAAAAGCTTTAATTATTAGATATTAAAAACATATTAACAATTTCATGTGGACAGAGAAACAATGCAATTAAATTTAATTAATTAAAATATAATTATGTTATATTTATTTATTTTTCCATATTTATATATTTTTAAATATATCGAATATTTATTTTTTTAATTATAAAAATAATGATGTAGTTTATTAATAATAATCTATTTTAATTATTATAATAATGTAATTTATTTTTTAGGGCAAATATTAAAATATATACAATAGTATAGTTTTTATATATAAATTATAATTAATGTTGTTTCTATATTATTTTATATATTTAGTATATTAAATGTAATATTATATTTTTTTTTTATATTACTAATTTATATTTCTAATGAATTAAAATTAATTATATTATTTTGTATATTAATATTTAATCTTTATTATTTAACATTTTTATCAATATATTACACAAGCATTATAATGTTCTTACATTTTCTTATTTGTGTAATTATTATCATAATCATAAGCATAATTATATGAAGCAGAATTGTAATTTATACTTTAAAACTTTAATTGATTATCTTCAATATTTTTATTGTCATCATCCAGTATATTTTATGCTTTTAAAATATTTAAATTGAATAAAAAAAATATTATTTAAAATTATACTGGGATCACAATTATTTTGCTGTTTGTATTTCACAGAATCATAAGGTCTACCTTTACTGCTATTATAATTTCCTTAAACAGAATAATAAGGGTTTACACTAGAATTTATATTCATCTAATTATATTAATAATTAGTTTAGTAAGTATCTTAATAGTTTTATGGAACATTATTAAAATAATTAATTTAATAGTTTTATGAGATATTTTAAGATTAAACAATTTTATTATAATTATATGAACTTTTATAATTATTTTCATTTAAATAATCTATATTTTGTAAAATGTTATTTTCCTAATTGTTATTATTTAAATTTTAATCATTTTATTTAATTTAATATTAATTTAAATTTTGGGATATTTTAATTTATGGAGTATTTTAAATATAATTTTAATTTTTTAAAGAAACTCTATGCATGCTTTATTAGATTGTATCCTAAGGATATTACTTTTGGTATTTATATTTTTCATATTCAATTTAATCATTATTATTATTATTATAATGAGCAGAAAGCCTAGACTAATATAAAACTTATGGTTATAATGATTATTGTTAATTTTCCATAATTATAGGATATTAGCTATTTTATTATTTTTAAAATGATTAATTATTTTATTCCAATTATTTACTTTCATTATTTTATTATATTTGGTTTGTTTATATGTTTTATATATATATTCCTTTCCTAAAATCATAAGGAGGGAAATAATTTACAAGATCAGTGACTGATCCTCCATATTTTTATTCTAATTAATCTGGATTAAAGACTTTAAGTAATTGCTTTTTAACATCATCTCCATCTAAAAATTATATTTTTTCTTATGATTCTTTTGGAATAAAAGCTTTTTTTTTTTTTTTAAAAAAATAACAAAATAATAAAAAACTTTATTAGTTTACGTTTAACTAAATTCCAAGATAATTTTAAAGAATTCGAAGGATGTAAAATAAATATATTTTCCAAATTTACAGGAAAATAAATGGTACTTGATTTCGATATTTAATCAAAAAGCTTTTTTTTTTTTTTATTAAAAATTTTTATATATTAAAAAAGACTATTTTACTTTAAAAGGAAAGTTAAGTAATCCCAAATAATTAGTTTATATTATTACTTACCAGTTTTCAATATGTTTATTATAAAATTAATATTCTTAGGCCATCCATAATATAGTGTTGAAAACAGGCAATATTTCTTCTAATTTAAGTTCTACAGAAAGCATTTTTGGCACATCAAAAATAATACTTGGACGATATTATTTATCTCTCCCGCCTAAATAAGCAAACCCTTTTTCTAAATACTATTTTGATACATTATTTAATTGAAATGTTTTTGGATCCATTAACCATTGAATATATAACTTTAAGTTTTCATATGTTTTTTAAATATCAAATTTATTTGAATATAAAAACTTTAATAATTATCCTTTTTATTGAAGTCTTTTTTTAAAAAAATATAAATATTATTTTTTCATTTTAAAATACACAGCATGATTTAGTTTTTATTCAAAGCAAGTTTATTCAATTTCTTTTAATTTTTAGTTTTCAAAATCGTTATAAGGAACATCTTAAAATATCCTTCTTTTTCTTGTTTTACCATCAAATTCTTATATATAACTTTCTATTTTTATATAAATATTTTATATATTTATATAATTTAATTACCAGGATGTATAATGGATAATGCTTCTTCTTTTGTAACTCTTAAATATTCGTATTTATTTCCAAAAACAATCATTTTTTTTTTTATATTTTTAAAATAAAATATATTTTTTTTTTAATTATATAAATATTTGATTTGATTTTTTTTTTATATCAAATATTTAAAATATTTGTTAAACAAAAAAATACATAAAATAACGAAGTAAATTGAAATATAAAACACAAAATATTTTTATTTTATTTTTATAAAATTTAATAGATTGATATTAAAAATAAATAATATAATTATATTTTTTTAAATAAAAAATTAAAAATAATCATTATTGATTGATATTAAAGAAATTAGTGTTTTTTTATTTAACTTTTATTACTATTTCTTGAGTTATTAGCATTATAAAAATTAGTATATTAAGTTTATTATATTTAATAATTCGTTTTTATAATTTTAATTTTATTTTGAATTTATTAGACACAATATTTATATTATCATAAGATTAATAGTTTTTAAAGATTAATTCTATTTATTTTTTTAAACTGAAAAAATTAATTATTTATTATTATTATTAGTCTGAAATAAAATAATTCCCTACCACTTTAGCTAATAATAATATATCTAATTTTAATAATCTACTAATAATTTAGTATTAGATTCATTAATATGGGTATTTATTTGAAGAAACATTTTTATATTTAAATAACCAATATAAGAAAAAAGAGTACTTTTCTTTTTACTAATTCTTAAATTAGTTAATTTTTTAATTCTTCAAGAATTTTTTTTAATTGTTCAAGAATTCAATTTTAAAATGTATCATATTAAAATTCAATAAAAGAAAAAATATCATCAGAATTTATGTAAATTAATTTATTACATAATTAATTTTTTGTTTATTTGATAATAAATTGTATTTATTTATGCACATATAATATTGAATTAATAATTTAATATATTTTTTTCTATTTGAAAATTCAGGAGAATAAAATTAATTGAGTTTAGTAAAGTTTATAAATTAATCTATATTACTTAAATCAATAACATTATTATTTATTTTTTAATTTAAAATATTCTTGATTACTTTATATGAAATAATTTTATTTTTTTCTTATATCAGATATTCATAAGTTTATTTATTTTTATTTTATTATAATGACTTATTATCCTTATATAATTTATTTTTTCATAATTATTAAGTTAAATGTTTCTTTATCTATTCTATTCTATAATTTTAATTTTTATTTATGATTATTATAAAATTTTCAGTTTTGAATAAATTACTATTTTTCTTGTTAGAATTTTTTAGTATAAAATTGTCTTATAAATATCATGTTCTTCGAGGACAGTAATACTAACAATATTTATTTTTATTTCTTTGTTAACAAAAAATTTTTCATATTCATAAATATATTTTTGCTTTTAATTATTTATTTTATATTTATTATGGTCCCTAAATATAATAATTTTTTTATTTATTTATTATTAGCTTTAATTATTTCAATTATTGTATAAAAAGCATTAAATTTATTAATCAAAAAAAATAAAAATATTTTTAATAAAATATAAATAATATCATTATTTAACATCTAAAATTGTTCATAACCTAAAGGAATTTGTTTACTGATTACATAAACTAACTTCTTTGTATTTTTGTATTTTAAAAAGTGAACAAAAAATAGCTTGTTCGAAGTATTAAATAAAAGAAATATTTCCAAAACACGTTTTAATTATTTTTATAAATTACTATTACAATTTAAATATCTTTATTTTAATATTTATTTGCATGTAGAAAAATTATATTCTTAAAATTAAATGCATTATATTCTCACCTAATTTAAAGTTTTATATTATAGGAATGAATTTAATTTTTTATTTATTATTTTATTTCATTTCTTAATTCATATTAAAAAGTAATAGAATATCATATTTATAACTTAATTTTAAAGTTTTTTTTGCTTCATTACCTCGTTTTTATGTATTAGAAAAAAAGTAAAAAACAATCCAATTTATAGATAAAACTTATATTCATATATATATATATATATATATATATAAATAATTAAATTTTTATAGTATATATTCTAAATATTTTATTCCTATCACATATTATTATTGAATAAAAGTAAATACTTTTTTTATTTAATATTACTTTAAATAAATTTTATATAATGTTTCCTATTTTATTTAACCATTTAGGCACAAGCTATTTCCGTAAAAAAAAAATTCTATAAATAGAAAAAAACATTTCAATATGATTTATGGATTACTATATCTATAACTAACCAAAACGATGGTATAGCACTTTTAATAAATATATTCAATATATCATATATAAAGAATTTCTCAGACTAGTTTTTACACAGGGATCCATAATCAGTTCTATTCAAAAAAAATATTTCATATCGGGTTATTTCATTTTAGACAATATCAAAATAATAAAAATAATGAACGAAGTGACACATATAGAAATTAAATTATAATTATTTAATACAGTAGTTTTTCTATAATACTTGAAATTTGAAACATCTTAAATAATAAAGCTGAAAAAATATTTATTTATGGAGTTCTAAATCAAGTATTATTACTATGAGAGAATATATCCCTATTATATCTGATAAAAAATAGGTCTTATAATATATATATAAAAAATTTAAAAATTTTGTTTTTAAAAAAGTAAAATAATGTGCTTAGAATATTAAGTGGGAAAAGAAAAATAATTGATTTGAAGATAATTTTGATAATTAAAAGGATATATAATATAAAATATTTAAATTTCCTTTATTAATAAATTATCTTTAAAAGAAAGATGATTTATAAGATATTATTTAGTGTAATATTTTTGTTAAGTAAATGTATGTTTGATTGATTTTATTATTAATTATTTTAATTTTTATATTAGAAAAACTTATTGAATTATGTATATACATGATATATTATCAAATCTATTTTTTAAAAAAATAAAAATAGTTTTTGGTTTATTGTATTATTAAATATTTTGATTTTTTTTATTGTTACTCTTTTTATAAAAATAATTAAATAATAAGGGAAATATTTATTACTTTATATAATATTTTACTTATATGTTGATGTCTTTAGTATTAAATATAATTTTTTTATAGGTATAATGATATTTTTTCTTAGATTAAATATAAATATATTTACATTTACATTTTAAAATGAATTTAGTTATAAATTAATTTAAAATTTAATTTTTATTTTATATTGTTAAATAGAATACATATTTGTTAAGATTTAATAATTATATAATATACTTTTTAAATAATTTTATGTCTTAAAAAAATTTAGATTTATATATATTTTTTTTATTTATCTATTTATACATTATTTTTAAATTTAATAAAAATAAAATTTCACTAATAATATTTTTAATATAAAAAAAAATCAATAAAATTATAAACTTTAAGGTAAAATATCTTACAATACCTTTTACTAAATTAGAAGTTTTGTTTTTTAATTATTTTAATTCAACTTAATTTATTTTACTAAATCTAAATAATAAGTTTAGTTTGTTTTAATTCTATCACATTCACTTTCATATTATCCTTCTTCTTCTTAAAATTTAGAGTAATTAGGAAGGCTACTATTAAATATATCGAGCATTTCCTTACATTCTTAGTTATAATAATTTTTTGGATAAATCTATTCTTAGTTACTATTATTTAATAAATTTCCAGTATCTTTATTAATAATTTTCCTCATACCACTTAATTAAGCTACAAGATTAGTAAATGAAGTGACTAATTCTTTGATAATTTTATCTGCAGCCTTAATTTCCATAAGTTAAGTTTTAATGTCTTAAACGGAGTTTTTTTTTTCTTAATTTTTATTTATTTATTTTGCTAATTTACTTAAAGCAGCTATAGGTTTTACTAAATATTTTGAATAAAAAAATATAAAAATATAAGAAAAAAACCATACAATAGAACACATAACTAATATACTTATTCCACTTAATTATATTATTTAGTTTAATGATTCTTATATATTTTCTAAATTGTAATTATATAAATTTTATTCCATTATTGATACTATTATGAACTCTTCTAGAACTTTTTTTTTTATTATATATTTTGTTTAGTTTATATTATTTATTTTTATTTAGTCGTTTGGGCTTTATTTTATTATTTCAAGAATACTTTTTAATGAAAAGCCTTACTTTTAAATTATACTGATTTATTATTATGTATTATAAAAATTTTCATTTATTATTTATTAACTTTTCTTATCTATTAAAATAATTTCTATTTTATCATTAAATTATTTTATTTGTTAGTTTATTTATAATATTTAGTTTGAGTCTATTTCTATGTTAAAATAACCAATATTTTTCATCTTATTTTTATAAATAATAATTTTTTTTTTATTTACTTATGTTTTTAACTCAATAGTATAATTAATGATATTTCTTTTTAAGAATTCATCGTAAACAAACTATACAGATTAATTATAAATATTGATTTATTAGAAAAACTTTTATTTTTCTTTTTAATTTTATAAAGCTCCTGCAGGAAAAGATGCAAGAAACTAATCATTTATATCATAAAAATGCATAGCAATAATTTAAGAATAAAAATGATTATAAAAGCTGTTAAAAAAAGGTAAAATAGAATTAAAATTTTATAATATTATATTTTATTCGGCTTAACCAAATATAACATAGCTATAAGTTTAAAATGAAACTGGGTTTTTATAATTGTTTAATTTTATATATTTTTTTGGATTATTTTCAAAATCTTAGATAATTTTAATATTTTCAACACCTTAATTATTTATAAGTACTTCGCAAGGATTTAACATTTCAAATAAGGTATTATCTAATTTTAGTTAATTTAAGTATATTTTTGCAAATTTTTCCATGCTAAATTTATAAAATGTAAATATATTCATAAATTAAAAGCTATATTCTTGTAATGCCATTTCTATTCTATTATTTTAATCATACTCTAATTTTTTATTTAAACCATATCTTAAATATCTTGGAGTATATATAATATAAAATATTAAGAATCCAAATAATATTACCAATGTAAATGTTAATAAAACCGAGAAAAACAAAGTTAATTATGTTGCTAAAGACCATTCTTTTCTTATTGGTATTATACAACATACTTTATTTAATTATTTATTAGCCCCTCCACCAATAAATGAATAGAACATTTATTTTATATTTTGCTTACTTTCATTTTATGAATTTTGTGAAGAATGGTCTTCTTCTGATATATCATCTCGATATATACTTTAACTTTGATTAACTTAATCTATTTAATCTTATTATTCTTCATCTTATATTACTGACATATTTTTTATATTTTTTATTTGAATAGTTTTTTTTATTTTTTTAATAACTTTTTTTTTTTTTTTAAATGAAAATAAAAAATCATATTATAAAGACTGAAAAAATAATTAAAATATATGTTTAAAAAAAAAAAAGTATGGAAAAAAAATAATTATCTAAATACATCAATATATTTATATATATATTATAAATATTTTATTTATTTAAATAGAATTTTTAGAAAATTTATATGTATCATTTTTTGTTATTATCTGGGTATATTAGTTTTTAAATTTTATTAACTTTGAAGTCATTTAGATTTTATTTAATATCAAACTTAATATTTTCTTTTGCTAATTATTTAATGATTTCTTTTCTTAAAGGATATAAAGATAATAATTTTTATATGTGATTGAATTAGTATTAAAGAAAAGATTATTTTGATGGAATGCTTTTCTTATTCAAAGATGAAGAAGTAGTTGTATGTTTTCTTTTTTCATTATTTTTTACTTTTACAATTTCTTTTAAATTTTGCTTACTTTTTTCAACCTATCTATCTGTTTCGCATTTTTTTTTCTGATGTTTTTCAAATAAATTTTTATTATTTTTTCTAATTAAAGTAAAGTTTTATTAATATTAAAAATTATTTGTTGTAGAATATTATTATTATAATGTCGGAGTTGATTTTCTTAAATTAAGAATTCCTCTTGGTGAATTGAATTTAGTATTTTCTTAAGAATAAAATTATTATTATATTGATTTACTCGTTATTTTTTATGATTAATTTTTTCTTTATTTTATTTTTAGCTGTTTTCTATTAAGTTTTTATTAGTGTTGTTGTTTATAGAACTTATTGTATTATTTTCATTTGGATTTTAATCATCTTCACTCGTTCCATTTATAAATTTATTAACTATTTCTTCTAAACACTAAGATTCCTCTTTTTATATATTTATATATTTTTATTTTATTAATAAAATTTATATTTTTAAATAAAATTAATATATATAAGTTATAAGTTATAATTTATATATTTTTATTTATTTTAATTGAATATTTATTAAATATATATTTTATTTTTTTTCTTTATTTTTATTTTTTTATAAATTCCAATAAAAATATAGAAAATATTTATTATTACCTTTTTTTTATTTTTTAATAATAAATATTATAAACATTATAATAAATCATTATTAAAAAGGAAAGTAATTAATAAAAATATATTATTCTTCTTTGAAAATAAAATTATATAATGTACCTTATTAACCTATATTATTTATATTAAATAATTATTGCTAAGAACTATTAATATTATCATTAAAAGAGTTAAAACTTTCCTCATTCTTTATTTTTTTTTTTTTTTTGAATTTATTATAAATTAATATATATATATATATATATATATATATATATATATATATATATATATATATATATATATATATATATATATATATATAATAACATTTCTTACTTCTAAGTTTTAATTATAATGCTTACAATAAGAAGTGATTAAGTGATTTATAAAAGGACAATTCTAAAAAATATTGGAACAAATAATATTAATTGATTTTAAATGAAGAAACTTGCTCTATTTTAAATTTTCGTTTTCAATTTATTTTTTGCCTATATTTTTTTATTTATTTTAATTGGTTTCAATAAATCTCATTTCAGTAGCAATTGTAAAATATGTTATTGATAAATAAATAATTTTTTTCATTAATGATTTATCTGATATTTCTAACAATATATCCCCAAAAAATGATAAATCTTCATATTTTAAAGATTTCATAAGCATAATAGAACCTATATTAAAACTTTATATCCAATTACTTCCTTAATTTTTTAAGCTAATTAATTTATTTTTCTTTGTAACACTTTGTTTCCACATATGTTATGCTTTTTTAGTTTCCTAATATATATCATTATCTTAAATTTCAATAATTTTTTAAATATTAATTATTTTTAATAGTGCTTAATTTATTATAATTTTCTAAATTGAATTTTCTTAATCTTTTAAACTTTGTTTACAAAACTTTAAACATTAATTTAATATCTTCTTTATTAATTCAAGGCTTTAGTTTGCTGTTTCTAATGCTTTTTGATGGCTTTTTTTAAATTTTTATTTATATATAAAATACTATTTTTACTATCCTTATTATGAGTACACAGCGCAACTTTACAAATATGATTTGACTAAAAACATTTGCTTTTTTATCAAGTATGCGAATTTTTTATTAATGCATTTTTAACTTTCTCCTTTTTTGATTTTTTAATTTTAAGCTTATCCGTCTTCCTATAAACTTATTTGTAAATTATATATAACCCCATCTATATAATTTGAACATTTATCTAAAACCTATAAACTATTATATTAATAATAATTTATATATTGTTAATATTTTTTTATTTTTTTTCTATACCTTTAATATACACAAGAACGATTATATAAAACTACTATTATTAAATTTCTATCAATCGTTTTTCCACAATTTGCAGCAAACTTTTTTTGATTTTTACAAAATTTAAAAATATATATTTATTTTTTTACTTCTAGCATTTTCTCTGCTTTTTATAATATTTATAATGATTCTTTTTATTAATTTTATTCTATTTTTAAAACTGCTAAATCATTCATATTAATTATTAATTAAAAATAAGTTTCTTTTTATTATATATATTATAGTATTAATCTATTTTTTAATAGATTAATTTTTTTATATACATTCATCTAATAAAAGCTATTTTTATTATATTTGATCAATTTCTTACGACTCTTCTTTCAAAGTAATGTCCTCTAATGATTCTTAGCTATTTATTGTATTGCTGTGAATCGAATATTAATTTTAATTATTGAAATCATCTTTTTTTATATATGATTTTTATATTTTTTTGTGATTAAAATATTTTTTAGTAAAGTTTTAAATGTAGTTTAGTATAAATTATACTTAAATCTTCATCATTCATACGTTTAAGAAGTAAAAAGTGATATTTAAAATTGACTAAAAAATTAAATTTAAAAAATATAAATAATTAATTTAAAAAAAAAAATATTAATAAATATTTGTAAAATTTTATTTATTTTTAATAATATTAATTTTTATTTTTAATGAGTATATATGATTATGAGCATATTTCTATTTTTAATATAAATTAATTATTATATCATATTCAAATATTTAAATCTGCCTACCTTCCCCCACTCCCTCATACTTTTTTGTTATTTTTATGAAATATTTTTATTTTTTAAAATTTTTATTTTTTTAAAACTTATTTTATAAAATATTAAATATTTATTTTAAACTTTAAATTTTTATTTAAAGTCAAATAATGTTAAACAATTACTTAATTAAAAAAAAAAAAAAATTCAAAATATTTCTTTTTTGTTTAAATAAAAATATAAATAAATAATAAAAGTTAAATAAAAATATATCGAAATACAAATGTAACCTCGAGATTATTACGATCATGATTTTACATTTAAATATTATCCAAAAATACATTTATATAAATTCCAAGAAGATATGTTTAATTCTAATAAAGGCTAACTACATATTATGTTATATGATGAAGAAGATTTAAAAAAAAGCTAAGAAAGTTTTTATTTTGGGGAATATTTAGTTGGAGGATGCTTAGCAGGAGGTTTAGCAGGAGTATTTTTATATAATAAAATTCCTCTTATCAATAGAATTCAAAATAAATGGGCTAAATTTTTTATGAAAGTTTTTATTTTTGTTTTTCCGTGTTAAATAGGTGCAATTTGGTCTTCATTAAAAACTGAATAAAATCTTATTAATATTTATGAAAAACATTTTATAAAATATAGCAAATTTAAATAAAATGGTGATATAAAAGAATTAAATGATAAAATTTAACTTTAGAACGAATGATGTGAAAAAATAAAAATGACTTAATAAAAAAAATAAAATTGTCTTATTTAAATTAATATGTTAGGTTAGGATATTTTATTTTTATTTTTGTTAAATTTAACTTTAATTTTTATTTATATATAATTTTATTAGTATTTATTTATTATAGAATATTCTTTTTTTCGAATAAATTATAATAATTTTTTTTATATTTTAAATAATATAAATAATATTTATTTATAGATGAATATTTTTTTATTTATTTTTTTTAATTTTATTTTAACAAAAAATATTAATTTTATTATAATATTTATTTTTTTCCTTTATTATTCACTAGCTTTCCTTTTATAATTTTTAATATTATTCTTTATTTATATATTTAAACTAAAATAAATTATCAAGAATTTCATTAAATCCTATTGTTTTTATTTAACAAAATATAAATTACATATATTTTCCACTATTTAAAATAGTTAATTACTTTTTAATGATAGTTAGTTTTTATTAAGTAATTCATTAAAGTTTTTTACTTCCATTAAATTTTAAAAAATTGAATTAACTTAAGAAAGGCTAATTTAAAAAAAAAAATTAAATAAATTTAAAATAGAAAATAACTTATTTTCTGTATTAGCTAATATTTCTAGGATTTAATCAAAAAGATTAGGATTCATTCCTTAATCAAATAAATGTTTTAAATGATTATGATTTACTTTCTATTATTTTTTTTTTGTTTAAATAAAAAATTATAAATAAATAATTATAATACAAATAAATATGTTTAAGCAGCGTCAATATAACTTTGTCTAATTTATTTCCAATTTAATTTGAAAATATCTGAATTAGGTATTTCATAAGTAGGAATTTTTTTATCTTCAACTTAATTCACCAAACATTTGAAATTTTAATTATTATCTTTTGTAATTTTACCTTATTTATAAATTGAAGAGCTTTAAGATCTCGCCCTTTTGGATGAATTTTAATAATTAAGATTTTTAATAATTCCAAAACGCACAATTTTTTCTGAAGAATTTATGCTTTATAAAGCTTCTTGAGTCATCTTCTTTTAAGAATTATCAAAAGATTAGCTTCTGTTTTTTTCCATTTCTGGAATTTTGACACTTTTAACAATTTGTGGTTTAAAATTTATTTTTACGTTTTTATTTTTTTAAATTTTAATTCCATCTACATTTTTTAAATTCGAAAACTCGTAAGACATTCTTTTTCTTGCCTATCTTTAAAATTCTTTCTAATTAGGCATTTAGACAAAACAAGACATTCTTTTAATTATGGGTTTTTTGGGATTTTCTTCAGGTTTATATTCATGCTTTAATGCATCGATTTCTTAAATTACTGCTTCTCCAATAAATTTTACTTCAGTTTCTTATTAAGAAGATGAATTATCATCAGAATCATTATTTGAATCTTGAGACATATTTTAGATATTATTAGTATTATGTGATGAAGTTGATACTTTATCTATACATTTAAGTCCTTTAAAACCTGAAGGTTATACCAAAGGACTGTTTTTAAGAATGGAATATTGTGGCATATTTTTTAAAGATATTATTGATGATTTTTTATCACTTTTATCGTAAATATTTTAAAGGGAAAATCTTACTTCAGTGTTGATTTTTAAGCAAATTCTTTATTTTTTTCCTCTTCTTTTTCTTAAGTTTGGTCTTTATCTGAATTAGTAATTTCATACTATTCTTTTTATTTTCCATCGGAATGCTTAATTATTTTTCCTTCTATATCTCTTATTACTCGAGGATTAAATGATTGGGATTTTTAACGAATTCCACCGTCGTTTTTTAATATACTTCTCTGGGGTATATCGTCTGGTTAATATTCGAATTTCTATACTTCTTCTCCTTATAATTCATCTAATACTGTTTAATCTCCGAAGCGTACTGTGGGTGATTCGTCGTTTTAGGATTCTTTGGTTACACTAGTTTTTGTGGTATTTGTTGTAGTCGGTAATTTATCTTCGTAGTGACAAGCGAATGTGTCTATACTTTTTATTGAACAAAACTTTGTGTTTTTAATTGGAGAGGATTATTAAAATTATTATAGATCTTCTTCTTCGATTTATTCTTTTTATTATTATAGAATCTATTTTTTATTATAAAATGATAATTGATTTCTTTTTTTTTATTTATTTTACTTCAATGTTTATTATTTCTTTATCTTATTCTTTTTATTGCATAGTTATTGCTTGTATTTTTTTTTTTTTTTTATTTTATTTTTTGGAAATTACTAATATGTTTTTTTTTTTTTTTTTAATGCATATAAAAATAGTTTTTCTGTATATTTATGATTTTTTCTTTAGAATTTTTTATTTATTTATTGATAATAATAATTAATTAAAAATAATTTTAAAAATAATTAATTATTTTCTAAAATAATAAATTATTTTCTAAAATAATTTTTATTTTATTTTTGTTGTAGATTTCAATTTATAAATTATAAAATATATAGATTATAAAAAAAATATATTGATTAATATGATCTTATATAATATTAATATATTATTAAATATATATATATATATATAAATTTATGTCTATTATTTCAAAAATAATTTAGTTTACATTACCTTTTAATTAAAAAATTATTAAAGTAATACCTTTTTTAAATGTATTTTTAAATTATTTTATATAACAATATTCGAATCATTTTGTTAAAATTATAATTATATTTTAAAAATAATATTTTTTTAAATAAAATTATAATTATAAAATAGAATATTTTTTACAGATGATATAAACTTTTCAAAAAATTAATTGAAAATAATTTTTAATTTATGTTTTATATTAAATTTAAATAAAATAAAATAAAAAACAATTGATGTATATTTGCTTATATTTTAAATGACTAAAATTGAAAAATAAGTAAAAACTCCAATTATAAATGAATATTATTAAAACTTATAAATAATTTATTTATATTAAAGTTAGATAACAATTAAAAATAACGAATAAAACATTTTATTTATTCATAATAAACAATAAAAATATATATTTTACATTATATAAATATAAATTAATTGTCTATCTATTTTTTTTATTTTTTTTTTATAAAAATAAATTAAAAATAATAAAACATTATTTTTGAAAAATAAAAAATCTAAAATAAAATTGATAAAAAATAAAAAAATGACTACATTTTTAGAATAAAAATTAATAAAAGAAGAATAAGAAAGAATATAAAAAGAAGACATAGAAGAATAAACTGCCCGAAAATCATTATTTGGTTAAAAATTTATAGCTCCTGATGAATTGCAAGTAAATAAAATAATAAAATTGGAATTAAAAATAAATAAAAAATATAAAAAAGGGAAATGAAGAAGCAAAATTTAAACTAAGTAATTGGTGGACAGTCCTATAAGGAAATAAATTTAGTCCATATAAAGTAAAAAAATAAATATAAAAGTCTTTTTTTAAAAAAAATTATAAAAAGGAAAGAGTAAATTTATTTGAAAGAGCAATAAAATATGTACCTTGTACATAAATATGGATAGCATATTTAGATGAAACAATAGAAAAATACGAGAAAAAATGTATATTTTCAAGCTGTTTTTAATCAATAGAATTATTATTTTAACGCGCATTAAACGATCTTCCATAAAATCCTTAAATATGGTTAAAATATGCATCTTATTTAGGAAAATGTAAATATATAACAAAAACGCGATAAGTTTATGATTAAGCAATACATTCATTAAATATATAAAATCATGAATAAATTTGGCATTAATTTAGTGATTGGGCACTTAATTGTGGGTGTATTTAAACTACTAAGAGTGTTATTAGAAGATACATGAAGATTTATGAAGATTTTAAGGAAAAATATGCTTTTTTTTTAGTTTAAAAAGAAGAATTTGATGAAGCTGCGGTAATTTTTTGGGAGATTTTAAACGATGATGGTTTTGCAAGTAGATAGGGATATTCTAAATTTGAAATTTATATGAAATTGTGTGATTTAATTATTTAATATCCTTAATAAATTAAATCGGTAGATAAATAAAAAGTAATTAAATAAGGAATTGATAAATATACGGATGAAGTAGGCAATTTATGGGTTAAATTAGCCGATTATTATACAAGATGTGGAGATTTTGATTCTGCGAGAAAGTCTTTTTGGGAAGCTTTGGAAAAAGTGGCCACTTCGAGAGATTTCGGAATTGTTTTTAACGCATTTGTGAAATTTGAGGAGGAAATATTAAGCTTTTATGCAGAAAACGAGGAAGAATCAGAAGATCTAATAGATACTTAAGTTGAAAAGCTAGAGAGTTTATTAGAAAAAAGAAAAATTTTGCTAAATGATTGTATGTTAAGGCAAAACATAAACAGTGTAAAAGATTGGATGGAAAGAGTCTAAATATTTGAAAAAAAAATGATGTATAGGGTGTTTTAGAGACTTTCGGAAAAGCTGTTTAAAATATAGAAGCTGAAAATGCTGAAAATGGGAATTTGGCTGATTTTTGGATTAAATTTGCATTATTTTATTTAAAGCATGGTGATATTTAAAATGCTAATAGTGTATTTTATTAAGCATCGTAAATTGATTTTAAAACTATAGATGAATTAACTAGTGTTTGGAAAGTTTGGATTGAAAGTCTGCTTTCCGAAGGATTCGCTAATGATGCTATGATGGTTATTAAGTAGTGTCTATTTGGAAATACTAATAAAAGGGTGATTCATAATATTTCTTTGTGGGAACTATATATAGATTTGGAAAAATCTTTTGGCACTTTTGATACTTTAAAATTGGCTTATTAGAAAATGCTAGATTTGAAAGTATATAATTTATATATATATATGTGTCTGTTTATATATTTATTTAAATTATTTTTTTAGATTATTACACCTTTTGTATTACTTAATTATGCTTAATTACTTTAAAATTATAGGTTTTATGAAGACGCTTTTAAAGTTTTTGAAGCTGGTGTTTAGGTTTTTACTTTTCCAGCTTTATATGAGATTTATTTGATTTATTTTAAATGATTTTATTGAAAGATATGAAGGAGATAAACTTGAGAGGACTAGAGATTTGTTTGAAAAAGTATTAAAAATTGTTCCGAAAAATGTATTTTTTTAATATAATAATAAAATAGTATTTGATATAATATTTTATTTTTAAAAATTAAAAATAAAAAAGAAAGCGAAAATTTTTTATTTCATGTATGCCGATTTTGAAGAAAAGTATGGACTTTTAAATCATATGTTCGAAATATATGATAGAATGATTGTAAATGTTTAATAATAAGATTAGATAGACGCTTATAATTTATATATTTCAAAAGTTGCTGAACATTTAGGAGTTACTAAAACTAGGCCTATTTTCGAAGTATTTTTTTTATTAAAAACTATTATATTTATAGATTTTTTTATTTAAAAAAAAATAAAGAATGCTATTAACAATTTTGAAATAGAACAAAATGTTGTTAATATAGGATTAAGATTTGCTAATTTAGAAAGAAAGTTTGGTGAAATTGATAGAGTAAGAGCTATTTATATACATGTTAGTTAATTTGCTGATCCTAGAGGTGATCCATTAAGATTATGGGGCGTAATAATTTAATATTTATAAATATATATTTATTTTAATTATTTTTTGTGTAAAATATAATAAGATTTGGGAAGATTTTGAAAGACATCATGGAAATTCAGATACATATAAAGAATATTTAAGAATAAAAAGAAGTGTTTTACATAAATTTAGTATTTTACCACCAGATGTAAAAAGAATAAAAGAATTAGTAGATGCAGGAGAATTATGAAATAAAATAAAATAATTAAATAATAAATTATTTAAAAAATATTATGTATTCATTATTATTTTTAATTATTAAGAATTTAAATTATAAATTTTTGTTATAATTTAAATATCTTAATTAATAGTTTTTAATAATTAATTAAAAATTTTATAAATTAAATTATTATATTCAATATAATAATTATTTTATAAATATATTATAAAAATCTAATTTTCTAAACTAATTATTATAACTTATCTTTAATTATTTTTTATTATTTTAGTTAATTATATTATATTATCTTTTATTTTATAAAATATAAAGTTTGATTTATATTAACATTTTTTTTTATTATTTCACTATAAATTAATTTACTTTTTAATTTTCAAAAAAAAAATATAATTAAATTAGTATATATTCTTATAATGTTTTAAATAAATAATCTATCATAATTATAATAAAGAGATTAATTATGATTATGTATAAATTAAAATATTTTTAAAAACTTTCTTTTATCTGAAAATATGAAATTACTGTTTGAAAAAGAAAAAATTAAAACAATCTTATTGTAATTAAAATATTACAAATCAATTTAAAACACAAATAGTAAATGTTATCAAATTACATCATTAACAAATAAAAAATTTCATTTTTTTATCACTTTAAGAAAATTATATGAGAAATTATTTATATGTAAATAAAATTACGGATTCTTTTATTTCATTTTTTTCAAAATTATTTATGTAAACAAATTTATTATACATTAAAAAGTATAAATAAAAATGATTAAAATAATGATAGCCTATTAAAAAGTAAATTGAATTATATTATTTAATTTATAAAATATTATTATGTTCATCAAATATTTAATAAAATCTAAAATATTAAATAATACTTTAATTAGTATTTGTTAAATAATAAAAATTTTTTATAAAATAATTTTTTTTATAAACAATCTTAAATCTTATGAAAAAAATAAAAATAAATATATAAAATTAGTACAATAAATTTAAAATTTAACTAAAAAAATTTTAAAAATCTAAAATAAAATAATCAAATGATTAACAAATTTTAAAATAATTAGAATTAAAGTATTAATATGTAATTAGAATTAAAGTATTAATATGTTTGATATTTTTGAATCTTCTGTTATAAAAAGTAAATTAATTCAGATATATAAAAATTATAAAATATTTTTAATAATTAATAAAACATAATCTTCAGTTTATGTCAAAATTTCAAGCTTGATATAAAATTTATTCTCTATCAATAGAAGCGATAGAAGTACATAACATAAAATCATATAATTTAATGAATCTGTTAAGTGTTGGAAAAAGTGGAAGTGAATTTATTTAATAGAAAGACCGATAATATAAATTTTATTAGAAAAATAATAATATATATTTAAATAAAAATAAATAAAGCATTTATTATTTTAGATAATTTTGATAAAGCAACTAATATTTTATAATTTTGTTTTCTCAAATTTAATTTTGAAATAAATAATTTAAAATTATTACAAGCAACTAAGCATAAAAATATAATACATTCAAAATAATAAAACATTAAATTATTAAATAACTTATCTCAATATTTTATTAGTATTAATTTTTAGAAATAATAATAAGTAATGATACAAATTTTCAATTTTAAATTATATTTATATTAATTAATAAAATAAAGTAATACCTGATAAAAAAATTAAGAAATTCTTAAATAAACATATATATTTTATTAATATTTTATTTGATAATAACAAATAGATAATAAATTAAATCAATTTTTATTAACTAATATTGTAATTGTATTTTTTTTTATGTTTTTGAAATTTAAATTAATGTTTTTCTAATTTAAAATTTTAATTATTGATATGATATATTAAAAATAATATAGATTTAAATACAAAATGTTTAATATTTTTTTCAATTTTATAAAAAAAATATTATAAATATATTTAAAGTTGAAAATAAATAAATAATATATAATAAAATTTAATATCTAAAAAAATAATTTTTATGGATAATAATATTTATAATAAAGAATATTAAAATCACTCATCCAATGGTTTTTCATATTTATCAACAGATAAAAAAGTTTATTATTAACCTAATATTTAAAACGAAGAAATTGCACCTGTGATGTTTTAAAAAAATAATAGCATTAATAATTAAAAAAGCAAAAATATTATTGAAAATTAAAATAGTGATATATTAATGAAAAATATTCTTACTAACAGAAAGTATTAAAAATATAAAAAAATTATTTATTTATATATATTTTATAAAAAATTAATTATTGAAATATCAGAAAAAGTATTTTATATAATGTTAATTAAAACTTATTCAATTAATCAGAATAAAATGCTTTAAAAATTATAAACACAGCTGAAAAAAATACTTAACAAATAAAAGTTGAACCTAAAGTTAATAAAAATACATCAATAAAAGACAGTATAATTTTAAATTAAATTTAATATTAATATCATATTTTATTTTTAAATTGGCAACTTTTTATTAAATATAATTAAAAATATATAAATTAAATAAATCTATTTTTTTATTAAAGTATTGTCTATAAGTAGTATATAAAATAGGAAATCTTTATAAATAAACATATAAAATATATAAGATTTATCTTATATTGAATAATCTAATTTAAAGTAACATAATAATTCTTAAGGTTTTTAAGGAGTTTGGTCAAATAGAGCATTCAGAATTTTGACAAAAGTAATATTATTTAGTAATATAGCTAAGAAATATTCAATGTCTATTAAATTTAGAAATATTAAATAGAGATAACTATAATTAATAAATGATTTAGCTTCTAATTATTAATTTTACAAAATTAAAAAATTTAATTATAAGAATATTTTCTTTAATAGCTATACTAGAGCTGTTTATATGATTTAAAAATAAATAAATTATTTCATTTATAAAAATCCTAAATTAAAGAAAGCTTTTTTATTGAAAAAATATTTATAAATATAACCTAATAGTTTTTTAAAATATCTATGGGATATTATAATTTTTACATTAATATTTATAAATTTATTCTATATTCCCTTTATAGTATGCTTTCAAAGTGATTAATTATCTGTTTTTAGTAATATTATTATGGAATCACTTAAATATTTTTTTATGATCGATATTTTTATTTAAATGATTACTCCTTATTACTCTAAAGGGTTAATTGTTTAAGAATAAAATAAAATTCTTAAAAAATATTTTAAAAAAAGTAAAAATTTAAAAATAATGCTTTTTACATATTTAAATATTTAAAATAACTTTTTTTAAAAAAATAAAATAGATCTTTTATTAGATTTTTTAGTTTTTTTTGGATTTTTTATTAGTTACCACTTTAATAATGCATGGATTAAATATGTAATATTCTTAAAAATTAAAAGAATGAAAAACATTTTTACAAATATGCAAGAAAGAATAAATCTTAGATATAAATTTTCATATTTAATTGATTTATTAATTTTAGTTTATTATGTATTAATAATAGCACATATATGTGCTTGCCACTTTTATTTAGTAGGCGAATTATAATATCATGATCCAGATCAATAAACATGGATATAAGTATAAAAATTAGGTATTCTAATATAAATTATAAAAAAAAAAAAAATTAATAAAAAGACTATAAAAATTTGGAGGATAAATATATAAGCTCTATATATTGGGCAGTTATAACAATGATAACATTAGGCTATGGAGATATCATACCAATAACTAAAGTAGAAAGGATATATGTTGTTTTTGTAACTATTATAAGTTGTGGAGTTTTTGCTTTTATAGTTAATAGCATAGGATAATTAGTTTAAGATATAAATAAGTCAAGTTAAGAATATTAATATAATCTATCATAGTTAACTGGTTATTTGAACGAAAGAGGTGTTAATAATGATTTAATAGTTAAAGTTAAAAAAAACTATTAGTATTTATACAAATAATATGCAAAAAAATACGATTTTCATTAAGGTTTATTAGAAAATTTAAACTCTTCTTTAAAATCGGAAGTTTAAAAAGAGATATTTACTAAAATGATTAAATAATAAAAGTTTTTTAAATTAAATTTTTCTAATGAATTTATTGAATAGTTATCAATATTTATAAAATAGAAAAATGTTATTCCTGAAGAAGTTATTTATGATTTCGAAGAAGTTAATTAAAATTTTTATTTTATTATAAAAGGATAAATTTAATTTTATGTATAATTAAATTAGTAATAATAACTTGTTAAAAAATTAGAAAAAGGATATATTTTTGGGTAGTTTTGTTTATTTAATTAAAATTTATCTAGTTACAAAGTTATATCGACAAATGTTTCAAATCTAGCTTATTTTAGCAAACAAGATTTTTTAAATGTTATAAAATAATTTCCTAAAGATTATGAAAAATATTGTATGCTTAAAGATTAATATAACATAAATAAATAACTTTAAAATTTAGGTTTTAATATAAATTTTTATTTTAATAATTATTTTTTTTAAGATATTAAGTGTTTTGGGTGTGATGATTTTAAACATGAATTATAATAATGTCCTATAATTTTACATTAAATTTATAAACATAAATTACTTAGTATCCATTCTAGAAATATAGAATAAAAAAATAGAGTTTTTTTTTAAAGATAAATCTATTTTAAATTAAACTCAATTATAAATTATAAAATTATAGAATAAAATGTACTGAGTTATTTAGTATAAAAAAATATTAAATAAGGTCTTTAGAATATAATATAATTATTATAAAAATATCAAAGAAAAACTAAAAATAAAATAAATAACTAAATAGGCGGATAAAAATCTTATTAAAATATTTAATCTAATAAAAATATTTTTAAAGCCTAAAATGCGTATTAGTAATAATAAAGTGATATTCATGATTCCCCAGTTTAAATAGGGTTTATTAATTCTCCTTTAAAACATAGATTATTGAATGATTATTAATTATTTGAATCTGATGTATATTTTTTATTTTTTTATTTAAAAAATATTTAAATATAATAGAATAAAGATAAAGCTAAAAGTAATTTCTATAATTTTAAAAACGATAATAAAAATGATATTTATCCATTAGAAAAATAAAGTAGTATACAATTTTAATTTTTAAATAATGATAAGTAATATTATAGCTAAAGAAGTTTATTTTAAAATTTAAGTACTTTAGATAGAAAAAGCTCTCATGTTGAATCATCTAGGGATTTAAATATGTCGGGTAATGAGTATATTTAATAAAAAGTTGCTACTCTTTAGTAAATTTTAGAGGAAAAAAATAATAATATATAAACTACTTAAGAAAATAAATAATAGTAATTATTTAAATTAAATGATTTTGATTAATTTAAAAATTATGATATTTATTTTCCTAATAATAATTTAAAAAATTTATTATAGGAATAATAATAAAAGAAAAATCTTAGGAGAAAAGCTAAAAGATATTAATCTAATATTAATAAAAATTAACAAATATAAAAAATATTATAATTATATAGTCGTTAAAACGAACTCAAAAATTCAGTATTTTTACAAAGAAAAAAAAGTGTTCGATGATATAAAAGTATTGTACTGTCTATATTAATATTATTTTGATTAATTATTAATAGACATAAAATAATATAGTTTTAAATAAATATCAATTATCAAAAATAAATAAAAAAAAATCTATTCTTTAAATGTATTTTTAATTTGTTATTCTTTTTTAATGAATTTAATTATTGTTATAAAAGTCAATAAATTTTATTTAGTTTATAAATTAAATTATTTATTTTATATATAATAAAATAAGTATTGAACATTTGTTAAATAATATATATTTTGAATTTATATATTTTGAATTTATTTATTTTTTAAGTTAATATATCATTTTTATTTTTTTATTTGCTATTTTAAAAAAAAAATTGAATTATTATATTTAAAATAGTATAAGTATATTTAAAGTATTTATATGTTCAGTAAATAATTAAATTATTTTTAAAGCAAAATAAGTTTATTTACTTATTTTCATTTCAAAATATAGTAAAGAATTTATATAAGGTTTATACAAATTTAAAAAATATAGGTATGATATAAATTATTCAATATATTTACTTTATTATATTAAATAAATATATAAATTATTTGTTGTTAGACTTGTTTTAATTATAAGCATGGTTTTAAAATACTGCACTTTTGTATTTTATAAATCAAAATTTTTAATATTACATGATATAAATTTAGAGTTAAAGTTAAGATTTTAATTTTATCTAAATTTTTAAGAATTCAAACTCACTTTTTAATGAAAATATTATTGAGTAAAATATATTAAATTATTTAGTATAAACGGGGATCTTTAAGAAGTGTAATTAGTATTTTACAAAAATATTAAAAAAAATTATAATTTAATTATTTGTATACAAAAGCCTATTTAGTTGTTATTTTTCATTCTAATCATTAGAACCTTCAAAAAATACTTAATTGGAACTAATAGTATCGCTTATAAATATAGAATTAATAAATTTTGCTCTTAAAAATAAAAGAAGGATGTACGATGATTTTAATTAAGAAAATATATTTATAAATACATTAAAAGATTTAAAAAATAAAATAAAACAACATATGAAAATAATTCAATATTTTTTGTTTATTTAAAAAAATAAACTTGATATTATTTGCTTAAATACAATTTAAGATTTAGATAAAAATGGAAATAGAAGCTTAGATAAACGATTACTATATATTTAAAAATAATTAAATAATTAATATTTTTACAAGTTATGAACAAATAAAAGTTAGTAGTTATTAAGATCTGATGTTTATATAATGAAATTTAAATAGGAAATTATTCAAGTTTTATACTATAAAAAGTGTAATATGTGGAAGTAAATATATTCAATCAAAAATATCAACTTTATAGTTATTATTTTTTAAGTATAAGAAACGAATGAGGTTAGAAGAAAAAAAATATCTAATAGCATTGTTATTATTAATTAAAAAAATTATGAAACTTTTTTTTCTTATATAATTTCGATTAGGTCCTTTAATTCTAAACAGAAATTAATTTATTAGGAGAAAAGGAAAAATATATAAATCTAGTATTATAAAAAATATTTTTTTGTTTAAATAATTTATGAAAAATAGAACTTCTTAATAGTTATATATAAGAATAAAAGTAAAACTAAATAATTTTATATAATAAATAATATTATTATAAACTTTTTTTATTTACTAAACTTATGGTTTTATTCTTCGTATTTTTTCCAAATATTTGACTATATTTTAAGCATATTAAATTAATAAATTTTCAAAAAAATATATATATATAAATAGATATATATATATATATAAATTTAATAATATATAGCTAAAAGTACATTAAATTAAATATAAAAAAAGCTAATTCTAAAAATAATAAAAATAAAAATAAAAAAAAATGGTTAAAAGTCAATAAGATACAAGCTCTAATAATTAAAACTATGAAAAAAATGATGAACTTAAGTAATAATTAGTAAAAATAGGATAACCTAAATCAGGAAAGCCATGGAAAAAAAATACTTAAAAGTAAAATAGATATTTAATAAAAACATATTATATTAAATATTTATTTAATTTTAAACAAAGAACATCTAATAAAATAAATGCATTAAAATGTAATAAAGGACTATTTTTGAGTTTTTAAGAAAAAGTAGAAAGAAATTAATAAAAAAAAGAATTAAAAGATAAAATGGATTAATTAAAGGATGAATTTAACACAAAAGTAATTTATCATTTTTTTTTAATAAGCACATATTAAATAAAATTTAATTAAATTAAATTTTTTATTTTAAATAGTTAACAAATGAAAAGAAAAGACTAAAATAAAAATAAAAACAATAAGAATTAAATACATTTAAAAGTTCTACTTATTAAATTGTAATTTTTTAATTATTTCATATATTAATTGTTTATGGATTTTTTTATTTTTTCTATAATTTATAAATCTCAATCAAAAAAAAAAGTCAATATCCATTTTTCAATCCTTTTTTTTTTTTGATTGAATTTTTAAAAAGAAATTACAGCAAAAATAAAAAAAATATAAATAAGAAATATTAAATTATTAAACATTATTTTATTATATAAAGATTAAAGATACTAAAAAAATAAAATAATGGAACAGAAAAGCAAGATAAAGTTTAGCTAAATTACCTTCAGAATTATACGAAAAACTTATAAAGAAAGAATACGGATATTGAAAATTAATATTAATTAAAAAAAATTAAATGCTAAAATTTAATTATTAATAATAATAATTAATATTTTATATATATATATATATTATTTTTTAATAAATAATTTAAAAAATGAAAATTATTTAAAAAAAAATATAAAAGAAATAAAAATATTATTTTTTTTTTAAAAAAAATTAAAATATAAATAAAATAAAAAAGAAAGATATATAAATAATTTCATATTATATTAATTTAAAATATTAAAAATCTTTTTTAAACAAAAAAAAATAGAAAAAAATGATTGAATTTATAATTACATTATTAGTAGATAGTTTTATAGTCCACTAAATATTAAAATATATAACTTTAAAACATATAAACTAGAAATTCAGATAAAAATTTTTATTATTATTATCATTTTTAATAATATTTTCACATTATCTAATATTCATATAATTTTTTAAATAAACAAATTATTTAGAAATAATGAATGTTCCAAGAGCATATTCCTCAAATACACTAAATAAACAGGCAAGAGTATTAATAGCTTAAAATCATCCGGATAAATACAAAGTGAATAGTGAAATTTTTTATCTTTAATTATAAAATATAAGAAATATTTTAGCTGATAAATACTACTAAAAACTTTATGACTATTATGGAGAATTCGAACTAAATGAATAGAAAATATAAGATGAATAATTATAAATATAATAAAATTTACAATTTAGAATATATGTTAATTTATTTGGATTTTACGCAGTCTAATTAATCGTGACTGCAGTTCAAAGTTATGGATAGAAATTTAAAAAATTCAGAATGTTCATAATTGTATTTATTATTGCCTTAGTTGGATATGAAATGTATTATCTATAAGAAATTTCATTTGATAAAATAAGTACGGAACCAGTAGATGAAAATGGAAATTATAAAAAATAACAAAGAGTCACTAAATTTGAAGTTGAAAGAGATTTATTGGATGATTTTTTTCCTTAGTATTGCATTTTTGAAAGAATGAATTTAATAAAACTACTTTCTGCAGCAATTATTACTGTATTAAAACTTTGTATTGATGTTAATAAAAAAGAAGAGCTAAATGAATATTAGAATTAGTTGATTAATTAACTTAATAACTTATATGAATAGAATGATTAATTACTTAAAAAGACTTATCCTTAATAATAATAATAATTAGTTTAAGAATAAAATGTGTTTTAAGAGTTATATGATAATCCATAATTTTTAGAATCATTAAATAAAATTAATTAATATTTAGAAACTGTTAAAAAAACAGCTGAAAAATGTCAAGAGAAATAAGAAAATAAAAGCAAAATTTAAGGATTAATAAAAAAAGGAATTAAAGGAATTCTTCTTGCATCGCTTTTTTATTCACTTTATTAATCATTTTTTGAAAAAAATGCTGTTAAACCTAAAAAAGAGGGATATTATTGAAAATAATTAGAATAAATATTTTATATTTAAAAAAAGTATTTCATTTTTTTTTTTTTTATTAAAAAATATAATTTATCAAATAAATATATTTTTCTTTTATTTATAAGACCAAACATATAATTTAATAACAAGCACAATTAATTTTTTTTATTTATTTTATTAAAACTTTATTTTTTTACAATTAAAAAATATAAAACTAATAAAGTTAAACAAACAAAAATTAAAAATTAAAAGTAATAAACTTATATAAAATTTAGAAATTTAATAATAATTAATAAAAATATTTAATAATTAAATAAATTTATTAATTTTTTAATAATAAATATTAAACACTTATTACATATAAGTAAGTGTTTTTCTTTCTTAAAAAAATTCAACAAAAAAATGAAATATTGATATATAAAAAACATATTTATTATAAGAGGTCAGATAAATTAGATTAATAATAATTAGAATAAGAAAAAATGAATCCGACGAAATGCTATTTAATTAAAAAAGAATATTTAAATTATCTCAACAAATAGATTTTGTATAATTTTTTGTATTTTTAGTTTTCTTCTTTTATTTGCATTTATTTATAATAAAAATTTAAAATTTTGGTTTTAACTTTAACCATAAAATTATAAATGCGAATTTAGTATATACTTAATAATCATAATTATTAAATATTATTTAATAATAAACATTATTATAATATTTAAATATTTTTCTCTCTCTCTTTTTTAAATCGTAATACTATAACTATTATTTCTTATAGTCTTTATACATGAGCCTTTAATAACCTAAAAATTTCAATTTTTTTTTGATTAAATTTTACATATTTATATATAAAATATTTTATTAGCTAAGCAAAAATTATTTATAATTTTTACTGTTTTTTTTTTATTGGCTAATTTTTTATTTATTTTTTTAATATTAAGGCTTATAACAGCTCATAGTGCACATATGTTCAATGTAATTGATGTTATAGAAATATTTTTAATAGTAAACTATAAATTTTATAAAGCAAGAATACTAGAATTTTGTTTTTCCTTTTTTTAAGAAATTAATTATACTAATTTTAAAAATTCTTTTGATAATTTTTAAAGGATCTAACTCAATTATTAGAAGGTCTTAAATTAAAAGATCTTTATAGATTATCATTTTAATTATATAAAAAGCTTTTGTGAAAAATATTCAAGAAAGAAATAATTATGTTATATAGAATTTTTTAAAAAAATGATTTTATAGAAGAATTATTTGATAATGTAAGGTATTACAGTTTCTGAATTTCTTAATCGTTTGAAAGAAGAAGAAAAAGAAAAAAATTTTGGAATATGCTTTTGCGTTTCTAAATAAATTATAGTTGTTTAGGTACATTATCATTGATTTTATAAGCAAAGTGAAATAAAAGATTTTAAAAGGATTTTAAAGCAGAAACATTAACATTAATTTAATTGGATAATTTGTTAAAATGCATATTTGTTAATTAAATTGACAAATTATATAGATAATATAAATAGAATATATGAAAAATAAATATGTAATAATAAAATATATATATATATATTTTTTAAAAAAATGGTTATTAAATATTGTGTATTAATAAAAAAAATCAAATGTTTAAATATAATTGATAATAAAACATTTGATATTTATATTATTTTATATAAATTAAAATATTATTTATACTAATAAAATAAATAATATTTATTATTTAATAATTATTTAATATTTTTATTTATATATAAAATAAAAATATATTAAGTTAAAATAAAAAAATTAATTTAAAAATATAAAAAAAAAAATTAAATATATCATTTAAATAAAAAAAAATAGTATAATATAATATTAATATGTATAAAAAAAAATTAATTAAAACAAATAATAAATTTTGAAATGTACATAAAAATATAATTATTATAAAATTTAAAAAAATGATAAAACTATTAAAAAAAAAAAAATTATTACTAAATTATATAATAATTAAAAATAAATATAAAAAAATTCTAAAAAATTTTATGTTATAAAAATTTATTTATATAAATTAAATATTTAATTAAATATATTTAAAATAATATAAAAAAAATTTATATATATATTTTTAAAATAAATAAAAATAATAAAATGGATAATTTAAAAAATATATTATTATACAAAATCAATAAAATATATATTTAAATAAATATAAATATTAATATAAAATAAATAATATAAAAAATAGAAAATAAAATATAAATAATATTAATTTATAAAAAATAATATGTATAAAAATAAAAATATTTAAATTTATAAAAAAAAAAAAAAATTATTTATATTTATATTTATATAAATTAATTCATTTTTATTATTTAAATATAATTTATTATATTTATTAAATATTAATAAAATTACATTATATTTATTTATATTATATATATTAATTTTTTTTTTTAAATATTAATATTTTTTAATATAATATAAATATTTAAATATATTTATCAATCTGCTGAAACTTCTTTATTATATTAATCTTTAAAAACATCAACTATTCTTAATACAAATTCTCTCCAATTTTAAGGCTTAAAAGATATTAAATGTTCTTTTAATTAGTTAAGTTTTTCATCTAAAGCTTCAATTCTTCCATCTAAATAACAATCTTTAGGTTTAGCAATAGATCTAAATTTATGTTTTTATACTGCTTCTGGATAATTCCATAATTCAGGAGGTCTTACAAATTTAACATTATAGTCTGAATTGTCATAAATATTTAACTCATAAAGCTTTTCTTTAGCCTCTTTTATGGCAGGATCATTTCTATTTTTATCAGGGGTAAAACCATAGCAAATTATTGTATCTTCAATGTCCTGTTAAACTGCCGGATTAATATTTCTTAAATCCTCCACACAAGATTCAAATAATGCTTTTTTTTCTTCTGAAACAAAATTTTCGAGTAAAAAATATCTACCAAACTATTCCATTTCATACATTTCAACAGGATCATTCACTGGATCTTCAATTTCTTCACAAAATTAAATTAAGTTATTTATTTGTAGGAGATTTTATATTAGTTTTCGCCATAAGTGAATTTTGCATGATTTTAAATATGAAAGCTAAGTAGATGTATGATTGTAAGCATACTATCGTTTAATGTACTATCTAAATACTTAAGTCATTAATTTTGAATATTCTTTTCTAAATTGCAGATTCTTCTTTTTTTTAATTTATTATTTCTATTCTTTTTTGACTCTCATTATTTTTTTCTTCGTTTTCTTTTTTTTTATCTTTCCAATTTCTCATGTACTATATTATCTTGAAAACGATTAATTTTGGTATTGAACCCGATATTGTACGTTCGTCTTTATTTAAGAGATTATGTGATAAATATTCATTTGCATTTTTTATTATTTCTACTACTTTATACATAAAGTTAAAGAGTTCACGGCGGATCGGTACACCTATTAATCTTTCAGCTATTAATTCAGCATTTAATAATTTGATGGTTTCTTCTAATAATTCTTCGTTTGAATTTAATGGAATTCGCCAATAATTTATTCCGTTTGCGTACAGTTTCCATAATATTTTTTGGATTTGTAGAAAACTATCATTTAATGGCTATTTTTGTTTAATAATTTTTTGTTTTTGAATTTTTTTTTTACTTTAATATATAGTTTTTCACAAGGATTTTCATTCCAACCTTTATATGATAATTTATAAAATAATTTTTTCAGATTTGGAGTTGGGATTGGTTTAGGAGTTTTGTTTTCTTACGAAAATATACGGACTACTTCTTGTAAGGCTGCACAGTATTTTTCTACAATTGCTTTTAATTTGAAAGAGCGAATCTTATATTTATTTATTTAAAAAAAAAATAAAAAAATAATTACTTCTTTATCTAATTCATTTTTATATTTTAAATTAAATAAAACTAGTTATGAATTTATTTATATAAGATTTGAAAGAGGTTCTAATACTTTAAACATTATAGGTTCATAAATTTCCTTATGTCCAGATTTGCAGTGTTTATTGAAATATTTAAAAAACTCTTGAATAGTTTTTTGTAAGTTTTTTTTACTATTAAATACGTTTATGCATTAAAAGTTGTCGAATCTTCCAAATCCTCTATGTTTATTAATTATTTAATTAATAAAATTATTATTATAAATTAAAAATAATAAAATATACCTATTGCTTTTGTAATTGAACAATATTTATGCCTTAATGTCCAAGCATCATCTGCATACTATTTAGGGGCAGCTGCTCTGATTCCATCTATATAGATGTAAATTTTTTCTCCTTCTTTATCATCTCTAGCGAAAAAAAAGAACGGATATATTCGTGTTTTAGTTCTTTAATTTTTCCTGTTTTAATTTTTAATAATGTGAAAAAACTCATAAGCTCATCAAAAAATGGTTACCAGGGACCATTTATATCAACGGTTGTTTCAGTAACTCGATCGTATTTTTTGAAATGATAGTTTAACTCTTCCCATTTCTTGTATTCGTCAGTTTATAAGTATTATTCAAATTATTATTGTTAAAGTTCTGGGTCAATTTTCTTTTTAGGAGGCATTTTTTATTGAATATTATTTTATTTTTTGGGTAAAGGCTTATTTTTATTAATATATTTATTTTTTTATTTATTAATTAATTTTTTTATTTATTTTTTATTTATAGTGTTTATGCCTATTTTTTAATTATTTTTACATTTTATTTATATTTTTATTTTTTATAAAAAAAAAAAAAATTAAAATATTTATTTTAATTATAATTAGAAAACATATACTGAATTGTTTTCATTATATGTAAACATATGTATAATTAATTATATAATAATTATATTTTATAAAATAAATATATAATATTTATAGAAAATTTTTATTTAGTTTTATAAATTTGAAAAAATCAATAAGCTATTTAAACAATATAAATTTTCAAAAGAAAAAAATAATAAGAAAAATAATTAAAATACATATTATTTATATAAATACATATAAATCATAATAAAATGTAATCAATAATATAAAATTAACAATAAAAATATTAGATATAATTTTCTAATCGAAATATTCTACCATCAATATAAAACAGTAATTAAAAAAAATGAAATTATTATAATAATTAAAAAAGTTAAGTAAAGTTCATTTGAGACTAATTAAATTTAATAGAATTAAGAATTAATAACATAAAGTTAAAATTGTAGACATTAATATAATTATAATAAATAAAAAACCTTAAAAGTAAAATAACATATTATTTAATTTGAAAAAGAATAACAAATAAATTTATTTGAAGTAATAAAACAATTAAAATCATAGAAAAAAAGCTTATCTCTATAAAAATTTTAAAACTAATAATAGCAAATCTTATAATTAAATAAATCAGAAAGTGATATAAATTTAAAAAAAAAATATTTTATAAGCAAGCAATAAAAAAGTGAGAATAAAATTAAAAATAATCACTGCCTTATAAATGATAATTACTATAAAGACTCAATATAAAAATAACATGAAAATTATTTAAATAAATCAGATTCGAACATTTTAATAAATACTCCACAAAATGAAAGCCTTATAATTTCTAATGAATATTAACCCTAAATTTAAAAAAATATTATATAACCAGAATAATGTTCCAATATAACATTGGTTCCTTGGGTTTAATAAAATAATTTAAATAATAATGAAGATATATTAAAAACAAATAAAAAAATAATACATAATACTTATAAAAGAAATAATAATATATCATAATAATCATAAAAATCTATTATTAAATCTTAATCTTAAATAAAAAAATTAATCAAAATAATCAAAATCAAAACAATGAGGTTAAGAATCAATTTTAAATAAAGAAAATTTAATAATGTTCATATTAATATTAATTAAATTTATTTCAAAGAATTAACTAATAAAAACGCTTTTAAGCTGAATTATAATCTTTTTTTTACAAAATAATAAGGAAATTCCTTTACAAAATTAATAATAATATAAAATTAAGTTGAAAAAAAAGAAAAATATAAAAACAAAAACCTTAAATAATAATTAATTTTGCTAATATATATAATATTAAAATTAAAACTAATAAAATATATAATTAGACCTTTAAAACATAGTTTTAAAGTAAAATAGTTAATAATTATAACCATAATAAATAAAAGTATAAAATTAATATTTAGATTAATCTATTCCTTAATAATAAAATATATCACAATAAGATTAACTTTAATAACACACGAAATTCTAAAATAAAAACAATTCTTAATAAGAATAAGAATAATTATAAATATAACATAATAATAATTTATCAATTAATATAATTTCTATTAAAAATAACTAAATATAAAGCCAGTATTTAGCAAATCATAAAAAGAAATTAAAATTATAAGACCCAGAAGAAAAATAGTAAATAATTCATTAATCCGTTCAAACGCACTATAGCATTCCGCAATATAAATACTATATAAAAGGTGGTAATAACTCTGAATTAATAGTTCGTGTTTTGCAAAAACGTGAATACTGGAGTGCCTATAATCCTGAAAACAAAATCGAGAATTATAACTTTCGCTGGAGTCAAACCATAACAGGTATAAAATTCGAAAAACTAACTCTAAACAATAATCTGCGTATAAAATAATGCGTAAATCATTTCGAAAACCATAAAGAAATAAGCCAAAAAGATAATATGGTAAAAAACCTAAAACTTTATTGTGAAACAAGTAAGATTTTTTTATTCAATATAACTCCAATAACATTCACAATTGATTTAAGCGATGATGCCTGTGTTCTTCATTTGACTTAATTCGCAAGTTATTTTTATAAATTAAATCCAAATAAACCTAAAAGTAATACTTAGAAATTAATAAAGGAACTAATAAATAATTTGAAATCAATTTATTATTCAGTAAACTCTGATTATAAAAAGTTAAAAAGTAACTTTTTTTCAAAACCTAAAATGCATAATTCTTTTATTGATTGCTTGTAGGAAAATAACTATATTTGGTTACTTAAACCTACTGTTTATAATAGGGGAAGAGGTATTGAGCTTTTTAATAATCTTGATTAGTTTTAGAAATTTATTAAAGAATACTCAGATGGGATTTTCGATAAAAATTTACTTCTGTAAAATCATATTAATAAAAATAATTAAAATAATATTAACAGTAGTAATAATAATTAAAATAATTATAGCAATAATAACAATAATTAAAAAGATAATTAAAATAATAATATTTAATAAAATAATAACGAAGTTTAAATAGATAATAATAAATCTTTTAAATCTTATTAGTTACTCAAGTCTTCTACTTTTGTTATTTAGAAATATATAGAAAAACCTTTACTTATTTTTGGAAGAAAGTTTGATATTAGGATTTTTGTGTTTGTCAATTATAATATGGATTGTTATATTTATAAATGTGGATATATAAGAACAGCTAGTTAGTTATTTAAAATTGGAGATTTTTAAAATTAATTTATCCATTTAACTAATAATGCGGTTTAAAAATATGCCTAAAACTATGGATAGTTTGAAGATGGAAATATTCTTTCATTGGAATAATTACAAAGTTAAATGAATTAGTATCCAGCCTTTGATTTTTATGGAAAAATTTGGCCAAAAATAAAGGATATTTGTTTAATGACATTATAAAGTGTAAAAAAAAAAATTAATTCGGATGATAGAAAACATTGTTTTGAATTATTTGGGTATGATTTCTTTATTGATGAGGATTTTAAAGTATGGCTTATTGAAATTAATTCAAATCCATGTTTAGAAGAATCAAATTTCTATCTATCATAACTTATGCCTAGGATGATTGATGACATGTTCAAGATATCTTTAGATTAACTTTTTACTAAACCTAATGGGTATGCTAATAAAATTTAGTAGAAATTTACTATTGATGGATAGAATGATGATGAAAATTTATGGCAGTTTATGATTAATCTATCTTTAAATAATAATAACAAATAAAATTGATAATTTATTATAAATAATAATAATAGTAGTTAAAAGTATTTTTTTTTTTTTTTTTTTTATAATTTAAATCACTTATTTTTGTATATGATTCATATATTTTTTTTTTTTATCTAATTTTTTAAGATTAATAAATTTTAATATTTTTTTTAATACATTTAAATATTACACTAACTTTAAATTATCTTATTTTTTAAAAAAATGTTCAGACAAATAATATAAAATTAAAAAGAAAATAAATATAATTTAATTCATAAAAGACAGGTAAAAAAGTTAATTATAAAATTTAATTATAATAAATGGAATTTTTTAAAAGAAATCATAATATAATTAACATAATGTTACTTAATAAAGGATTTCAGTACTAAATGAAAGTAAGAATTTTCATAACAATATTAATTCAGCAAAAGATATCTAATTATAAAATTCGCCAAATAGTATTAAAATTAATTAATCAAATTTTTTCTTATAATTTTAAACAAAAAAATAAATAAAACATAAGTAGGAAATATATTTAAAAATAAACAATAGTAACAACATTAAGAAAAATATGAATAAATAAAATAGGATTAATAATAAACGAAAAATATAAATAAAGAAAATAACAGTTAATCAAGTTCAAACTTATCTTAGTTGTCAATAGATAATAAATAAAAATTTTAAATTATTTTTAATTATAAATTATAATAATATTATTTGCTAAATATTCATTATATAGTCAAAATATAGAAATACTTTAAATAAATTTAATAAAAAAAGTTGGAACACAGCAAATAATATTAAATGGATATAATAAATAAAAAAAGCTAAATAAAAATCTTGGAAACATATTATTCTTAACTAAAAAATAGAATCGAATAAATGAAATTGCATTTGTAAAATAAAAAAATGTAATTTAATTAAAAATAAAAGGAAAAAATAATAAGAAGAAGAATAAATATATTAAAAAAGTTAACTTAAAGAAATTAATGATAAATATATTTAATTTATAGAAAAAATAGTATAAGATAAAAAACAGCTAAATAAAGTATGTGAATCTTTAACAATTTAAAATAGAAAACTCTAAGATTAAGTAGAATAGCTTCTATAAGAAAAAGAATAATAGCAATAAGAAAAGGAATGTTCTTTTTAATAAAACTATTAAACAAAAAATTAAGATAATAAAGAATTAATTATTTAATTGATTTAATTAATTTAAAAACTTGATTAATAAAAAAATTTAAATGAATAATTAAAAATAAAAATAATATAATAAGAATAAAAAAAAAAACCTAAAAAAAAAGAAAAAAATATATTTAAAACTGAAAATAATTAATAAGTTTATTTTGAATATTAAAATTTAGATTTTTTTTAAGATTAGTAATATAATAAAGATTCTATTATTACATTTTATAAAAAAAAAAAAAAAAATAAAATCAATAATTCATTTTAAAATGAAAGTAAATAGAAAAATAATAATTAAAAAATAGAAAAATTGTAATAAATTATTAAATAATTAGAAGAAGATAAAATATAAGGTTATAAAATAAATAAATATATATATATATATATATTTATTTATATATATATATATTATCTTTTTTTTAAAATTTATTTTATTTTCAGGCTTAAATTTCATATAAAAATTTAAAAATTAATAATAAATATTAAACTAAAAATACGAAAGTTAAATATAAAACTTAAAATAATAATAAAACGATTATTTTGTTTAAATTTAATAAAATATGTAAAATTCAAATTATAAAAAAGTAAACAAATATTTTTATTTTTATTTTTTTACTACATTTATAATTTTTATTAAAGGATTAAAGTATTTTTCAATTATAATAAATTATTGAAAATTTTAAATTGTAAATTAATTATAATATTATTTGAATTATTTTATTTTAAAATAAAATGTTTAAATTTTTTATTCTTCTAAATTTTAAATTTTAAATACAAAATATTAATTAATTTCATTACATTTATTTATTTTAATACTGCTATTCAATTTTTCATATTAAAATTATATTTAATTTAATTAAATTATTTTATTTGATTATAAAGTTAATGATTTTATTCATCATCACAAACAGAAGTATCTGTAAATTATAAATTTAAATCATTTTTATTATTTATTATGTCAAAATTATTTACATAGTTTAAATTATTTATATAATTAAAAATATCTTAATATTTTAAATTATCAACATAATCTAAATTATCATCATGTTCTTAAATAATACTATCTTTTATATTATTATAATAACTATCTTCTGAATAAAATTTTTATATTTCTTATTTTTTTTCGTCTTTTTAGCTTAAGTTTTGAATATTTTATTACTTTTCATCATTTTCTTAATTATTATAGATTTATTCTTAATTTTCTATTATATTTTAATTACTTACTTAAATTTATTATTATTATTCTATAACTTTTTAAGTTTTTACTTATTAAATTTAATTTATATTCATAATACTATTTAATTAATTTAAGATTGTATTATTCTAAAAAAAAATATAAAATAAAAAAAATATATATCTTAAAAACCCATTCATATTTATAATCAGATAAAGGAAAATTCATCTTCTATGGTAATTACTTAAATATTTTTTTCCAATAATCATAATCAGGAATATCTAATACACTTAAAGATTTTACATAATTCATATAATTAATGAATTCTTAAGGAATATTATAATTTGATAAAATTTCTGGTATAAAGTTAAGTTTTAATTCTTCATAATATTTCAGCTTTTCATCTTTTGAAGTTATATTTTTTTTAGTAAAAAGTTATCCATTTCTAAAAATATAAATAAATATATATCCTAATGATTCCAAGTCATCTTTTCTTGAAGCAGCTTATATTATTTTTAATTAAAAATAAAATAAATATTTTTACAAATTCCTAAATGAGTGTTTATACTAGAAAACTTATTACAGAAAACCCTGCTTAAAACTTTATCATTTTCAGAGTATTTTTAAATATTTCCATTTTTATTTTTATATTTTTACGAGTACTTGAAATCTATTATATATAATTATTAACTTTTTAAATCTGAATCAGTTATTATTTTTCTAGGTTTTAAATTTCTGTGAACAATATTTTAATTATGTATTTCTTCTAAACTATTTAACTAAAATTATATCTTTAAAAATCATTTATTTATTATTACCATATTAACAGCTAATAAACATATTGAACCTAATTTCAGTTTATATTACATTAATTGTAAAATCATTTTTAAACTGGGACCGTATTATTTTGTAACTCTGATATAAAAAATATATGTAAATATATTAATAATATAAATATATATATATATATATATATATTTATATATATTAAATATATATATTAATATTATATAATATATATTTATATATATATTTAATATCTATATATTTATTTTTATCTTTTTTACTTTACAAAATAAGTTTGTCCGTTTATTTTTTCTTCTCCACTATAAAGTATTTATGGTATACATTATGCTTTTTTTATTTTAATGTATATATTTTATTTTTTTATTTGCATTTTTTTTTCAAAAAAATTATTAAATATTTACTGTTTTTTAATAATTTCATATTTTTATATTCATTTTAAAAGTGTTCTTAATATTAATTACTCTAGTTTTTAATTATTTATGATTATTTTTTTTATTTATATAATTATTTTACCATTCTTATCATAGCATATTGTTTATTTGTTTTATCATATCCTTGATAATATTTAATTTTTTTTTTTTTTAAAAAAATACCCTTATATGTATTGTTAAATTATCCTTTATATAGACAACTTTACACTATGTAAGTATTATTTATTATTATTTAACTTTTTTTTATTTCTTTTAAGCTTCGCGAAATACAAGCTGTTGTTCCAGTTTAATTATCTAATGTATTATTTGAGGAAATCATATAATATAATTTTTAAATATTATTTATTTATTTTTTAAAATTATATTTCTTTTATATTGTTTTATATTAATTTTTTAAATTAAATAAAGAATTCGAATAAATAATTTATTATCCATAAATTAATTAGTTTATGTAAAATATATTTTAGATATATATAGTATAAAATGATTTCAAAATTTTTAAAAAATCTTTATATAATTCGTTTATTTTTATATATATATAAACATATATATTAAATATATTACCTATATAAAAAATAAATTAATTAAAAAAACAAATGGTTTTTTTTTTATAAAAAATAATTATTCATAAACAAAATATTTAAATTTGAATAAAAAATCACATAACTTATAAATAATTGCAATAAATGATAATCAAAGGTCCTAATTCTTCTGCAATATCTGCATTTAAACAATTGAATATTTTTGTTAAAGATTATAGCATTTTTATATTACTAGAATCCTTTTCAATTTAATTTTAAACGACTTTAAGTTAAGAAATGCATTCTTATAAATTTTATTGACCAATTTATTCTTCAATGATAATTTTTAAAGAATCGATTTAACTTTCCTTAATATATTCGTTTTATTTATTATCTTATTTAATTTCACTTATTTTATTGTTTTCTTCAATTTCTAAATTATCGTCTTCTCTATCTGATAGATTTTCGTATTTTTTGTTTATTTCATCAACTGATTTATCTAACTCCTTTTTATGTTTATCTTTTTTCGCATTATTATTATTATTATTTATATTATTATTATTCTAGTTTTCATCTTTGTTATCTTTAAATAAATCATTATGAGATGAAGAATCTTAAGAATTTTCTAAAGATTAAACTTCTTGAACAATCATTTCCAAAAAATCGTTATTTAAAGGCAAATTAATTTATTCTTCGCTTTCTTTTAAATCAATTAAATCTGAAAGAGAACTATCTTATGAAGATTATTATTTATCAGCAATATTGTATCTAGAGTTTTATTTTTTAATTCCCTTTTAAGATTATGTAGGTTAAAATAAATCCAATTAATTTTATTATTCTTCTGTTTTATTTTAAGAATAAGGTTTAATATTATTGTAAAATTCTACTTTAATATCTTATTGATTTTATTGTTTTTATTTTTTTTCTTTAATATCATTGTACATTTGAATTCTTTCGTCATTTATTTTTTGAAGTCTTTTTAAACGATCTTCTTAACTGCTTTATTTTTATTAATTATTAAAATTATTTTTTTTAGAGTCTTTTAATTCTTTTTTACTATTCATGTTATCACTTTTTTCTTATTTTTAAATTTATAAATCTTTTCTTTCTTATAATTTTTTTTATTATAAATTATTATTTATATCAATTTATTCTTGGATTTTCTTCTCTTATTTTAACATATTTTAAAGCTTTATCTCTATATTATCGCCTGCAGGTTTTGGTTTCATAAATACAGGTTCAGATACTTCCCTTTTGTTTAATTTAAATGGATTATTATTATTGTTATTATTATTTATATAATCTTATTGTAAACTAGGACTTGGCTTAATCTATTCACTTGGTTTAATTTACTTATTGTCAGCAAACAATTATTTTTATTAATTTAAAAGTTATCTAGGTTTTTACTATTATTATTATTATAACATGTATTATTGATTATCCATATATTAATATTAGTCACTTTATTTTTTTAAAGGAATTTATTGTTATTATTATTAAATTTTATCAACTTTTTATTATTATTAATTATTTAAAATATTATTATATTTTATATCCTAAACCTAATAAGCTGGAGAAGGAGTTATAATGTTTTTATTGATAGGTAATTAATAGGGATATTATTAATTGTTTTGCTAACCTATATAATTATTAAATTACCCATTATTATTATTATTTTAAGTTAATTATTAATTTTAATTAGAACCATATTTTTACTATTATTACTTTAAAATAGGATTTTATGGGTAATCTACATTTGAATTATTACTTACAAAATTTTATTTATGCAAAATAGTATGCGAAAATTCTTAAATTCGAATACTTTCGCTTAAAAATCTTCTAATTCTATTATTAACTATTGGCATTTTCAAAATTTAATGCACATTTGGTCTTTTACAAGAATCTATACTTAATAAACTATTAACTAAACTATTCATTTCTTTTGAATAAACAGAAGGTATTTGATTAAATTATCCTCTGACAATTTTAAGTGCTAACTAATGTATACTTACTCCATCAAAAGGAGGTTTTTAAGCACATAATTCATATAATATTATACCTATTTTATTTTATTTAAAATAAATATATATATTTTTACCTAAAGACCATATATCAGTTTTAAATGAATAAGATTTAGATTCTATAATTTCAGGAGAAAGATAATAGGGTGTTCCTACCATAGTTTTGCAATGATCACGTGTATGATTGAGTACTTTTGCAATTCCAAAGTCTCCTATTTTGAGAAAATTATCTTTCATAAGAAAAATATTTTAGGTTTTTAAATCTCTATGTATAATTTTTCGATCATGTATGTGCTTCAAAGACAAACATATTTACGTAAACCAATCCAATATTTAATTTTCTGGAATATATTTACCTTTGTATTCTTTTATTTTATTTGATAAGTCACCTCCATCACAATAATCCATTACTATACATAATTGTCCTTTTTTTGTTTTATATACTTCCCTAAAACGAACGATATTTGGGTGTTTTAAGGCTTCTAATATTCTTGCTTCTCTTAATGTTTCTTTCTTTTCCTCTTCTGTCATATTTTTCATTTCCATTTTTTTTATTACACAATAGCTACCATCACTTTTACACTATACAAGAAAGGCCTTGCCGAATGCTCCTTCTCCTAAAAGCTTTATTTGTGTATAATATTCGTAATCTTATTATTGGTTACTTTAAGCCATATAATAATATAGTTTTTAATTTTATATATTTTAATTTTTTTAAAAAAATATAATTATATTAATGAATAATTATAAAAGAAAATGCTTTGAATTATGTAAATATATTAATTTTTTAATATTCGTATGTTAAAAAATAATTATATTTTTTAAAAATAACAAAATTATATTTTTCAAGAAATATATATATAAATTTTTTTATATATTATAAAACTTAAGATAAATGAAATATTAATGAATATGTCATGAACAATAAAACTATTAAATTATTTTATATATTTAAATAATTAAATATATATTAATATTTCGAATTATATAAAAAAATAAAAATTAAAAATATAAATAATACAAATAAATAATTCATAATAATAATAAAATATTTATTGATTTAAAAAATAATTAAATAAATTAAGAAATATTAACATAATAAAATAAATAATAAAAAAATTAAATATATAAATAATAATTTAATAAATGTATATATATATATATATATATATATATTTTTAATTAAATATATTTATATTTTTTTTTATTTATAAATAATTAATCAAAAATAATTATTATAATAGATTACTATATTTATTTATTTTTTTTTCTTAATATAATAATATATTAAATCATTCTTTTTATTTTTACACTTTTTTTATTTTCATCTATTTTAATTAGAGTTAAATATTTTTATTAATATTAAAAAATACTTTTTTATCTTAATTATCTTCTTTTTTCATTTCTTCCCTTATTTCTGTTATATATTAATGTTCATCATTTTCATTAAATTTTACTTTATAAATTTTAAAATTATAATTATTTAATATATAATATTATATATACATATATATGTTTAAACCTTAATCTACATCTTATTAAGAATTTGATTTATCTGAATTTTGGCATTTATCATTTTTCATAAAATGTTTTTAAGGTTATATTCTAGTGTTCTTTAATATAAACTATTTATTTTAAGTTTCTTAATCTAAATTATTAGCATATTAATCTTCTAATGTTTCATTTGATTATTCTTTATCAAAATTATCTAACTCAGCATTAATTTAAGTACAAATATGTTTGAATAATTAATTAATATTATCTTTATTAAATTTAATATTATTATCTTGATTTTAATCATTTTTTCCGTAATTTTAAATTTTATTAAATTTTATCATAATTTATGTAGACCATTAATATAATTTTTATTTCATTAAATCACATTTTTCTTATTTCTCTGTATAATTTTCAAGCTTTTTTTAAAGCTTTTTTTGCAAATAATTATATATAAAATATAAACAAATAAATATTAATTAAAATTTAAATATATAACTTCTTCTTATTTCAAATCATTTGGTTTTATTTTCTTTTACTAACTTTCTAATGTAGATAATTCACTTTTTAAATTTAACAAATATGTTTTTAGTTTTTCATTTTATAATTTAAAGTCTTAAATTTTAGATTCACTTTAAGATATTTTGGATAATAATTCGCCGTAAGTTTATTCTTTTGATAAAAACTTTTATAATATTTACTCACTTACTTAAATTCCTGTTTATTATTTTATATTTTTGAATGCATTTTCAACTTTTTCGAATTTTTTCATTTCTATTTAAATTTTATCTTTTAAAAGCCTGTTTAAAAATTTATGAATAAATATTAATTTTCTCCAACTTATCTTTAATATATATATTTTATTTTATTTATTTATTCATACAATATATATAAATATTATTACTTATTAATTGTCTTTTGCATATATTTCATTTTCTGCGATTTTTATTTATTTTACTAATCTTACTTCTCTTTTTTTATATATTAAAAAAAAAATATATATAATTTAAGAAATAAAAAAAATATACTTCTAAAACTTTTTTTTTATTTTTCTTGTAATTAAAGGCTTATATCTAAAAGTTAATTTTATCTTTATTAATTTTTTATTTAACATTCTAAGTTATTTATATATATTTTTATTTTTTATTAAAAAAAAAGGTTTATTATATTTCAAATAAAAAATACTATAATTATTTTTTCTCTAATATTTTATGCTTTTTCACTAAAAGAAGATGTTTATATTTAATTCAATTCTGCGCTATTAAGTTATGTTATTAATTATTAAATTTAAAGCTTATATTGATTTATTTTATTTTAATAAAAAATTAAATCATTATTATATCTATTTTTTTGATATATATATCCTTTTTTTTATTAAATATATGTTTCCGTAATTAGTTTTTAATTTTCTCTTTCTTCAATCATTAACTTTTCTTCCTATAAAAGTATAATATATATATATCATATTATGAATCTACTTCCTTAATATTATTTGCTAATTATTTATATTTTTCTTCCTCTTCCTTTAATTTAAAATTTTCTTCTTAAGCGCGTTTTAATTCTATTTCCTTTCTATAGGCATTAATTTTAATTTAATCAAATTATTTTCGTAATTATTTTAAATTATTATGTGTTTCTGAATAGAAATTCTTTTTTATAATAAACAATATAATTTGATTGATTTTTTTTAAATATATATATTTGAAACATCTTCTCTCTTTTTATTTAAAGAAGGTAAAAATACTAATTCAGATTATTTTCCAAGAATTTAATTCACATCATTGTTTCTGATTATTTTTAAAAATATTAATAAAACGATATAATGATTTCTACTTTATTCCTTTTTATATTAAAGATAAAATTTGCTATTTATTAGAATGATAAGATTCAATTTCGTAAAATTTTGAACCAGTTTATTATTATTAAAATGAGTTTTTTTCAAAAAGAGAATTATTTAATTTTATAAAGTTCTTAATAAATTTATATATTTTTTAAAAAAGTTAAAATTTATTATTCTTTTTATACGTCTTTCATATTATTTTATTAATAAATGCAAATTTTAATAATTTTTAAATTTAGTTAATATTATTATTATTATTATTTACAATTCAAAAAAAATAAAAGTAATTTTTTTAAAAAAATGATTTATTTGTTTACTTTTTTAATTAACTTTTTAAAATTAATTATATATTATTAATAATAAATCTAAGTATATTGACATTAGCTAATACAATAAATATTTATTTTAAAACTAAATAAGAACAGCTAAAACATAGAAATTTCAATCTTATATTTAAAAATTTAATTCGAATATTTTTTTAATGTATATTGAATCAAATATAATATAAATTAAATAATTAAGTTTATATATTTTAATTGTTTTATATTTATAATAATATTATTTATAAAAATATTAATAATAAATATTTTAGAAAATATTAATGTATATAGAATTAAATAATTCTTTTTATATTTTAAAATTAAATCTTTAAAAATAAATAAAAAAATATATAATTAATATTTTAAAACCTACATGTATCCATTAAATGGCTAAATATATTCTTAAAATACAAAATAATATTATTTATTAGAATATATACTTTTAACTATATATTTAACAATATAAAATTAAATAAAAAGCTTTATTAATTTAAAAATATATATTTTCAATAGAAGAAAAAAATAAGTAAATTTTATATTAATATTATAATAATTTATTTTTTATAATTAATTAATTGAATAAAACTGATTATAATATTTTAATTATATAAAATTTTTTATTTATTTTTTATATTTTATACTTTCTATTTTATTTAAATTCAAACAAAGAAAAAAAATTTCCTTTAATTATCTTAAATAATAAAACAAATATATTTATTAATATATATATAAATTAATATGTTTTGTTTAAAAAATAATATAATAATACTAGGTATATACGAAAAAAAAAAAAAAAAAAACTAATAAAAAAAAAAAATGAGTGTAATAGTTGCTGTTCGTGTTCGTCCATTTAATTAAAGAGAATTAGATTTGAATTCAAAATTGTGTATAGAAATGGATGGTCCAAAAACAACATTATAATGTTTAGAAGACCATAAAAAAAATAAAGATTTTTCATTTGACTATTCATTTTGGAGTCATGATGGTTTCATATTAAATGATGATGGTTTAGTAAAATTAAACAAAAAATCCATAAAAAAAAATAATAATAATAATTAGGCAATAGCAGAAAACTAAAAATACGCCGATTAACGTCATGTATATAATACTGTAGGAAAATAAATATTAGACAATGCATGGTAAGGATATCATTGCTGTTTATTTGCATATGGCCAAACAGGAGCAGGTAAGAGTTATTCTATGGTAGGATATGGAGCCAATAGAGGAATAGTACCAATCGCATGTGAAGAAATATTTAACCGAATAGCAGATAATAACAACCCGCATTTAGAATTCGAAGTAAACTGTTCTATGTTAGAAATATACAACGAGAATGTCTAAGATTTACTTATTTAAGTGACAAAAAGACCCCATGGTGGTTTAAAAATAAGACAAAATCAATCAGTAGGTTTTTACGTAGATGGATTAACTAAACATCCAGTTGAAAGTTACAAAAGTATAGAAAAAATAATGGAAGTTGGTACATAAAATAGGACTGTAGCTTCCACTTAAATGAACGCATGCTCATCAAGGGCACATACAATTATTATTATTTAATTTAAATAAATTGAAATCAGAGATACTAGAAAATTCGAAAAATTATCAGTTATTAATTTAGTGGATTTAGCTGGATCAGAAAAAGTGGGAAAAACAGGAGCTGAAGGTGCGCGTTTAAAAGAAGGTATTTTTTTTAATAAAAAATTATATCTGTTTATATATATATATATATTTTTATTATTATTTAGCATCTAATATTAATTAGTCATTAACTACTTTAGGAAAAGTTATTTAAACTTTAGCTGAAAAAGAAATGGGAAAAGCAAAAGGCGCAGTTGTACCTTATAGAGAAAGTAGTCTTACGAAAATATTATGCAATGCTTTGGGTGGAAATTCTAAAACTTTGATGATTTGTGCGGTTTCACCTTCCAATGATAATTATGATGAAACTTTATCAACTTTAAGATATGCAGATTAGGCTAAAAAAATAAAAAATAGAGCTACTGTAAATGAAAGTGCAACTGATAAATTAATAAGAGAATTAACTCAAGAAAATGAAAAGTTGAAAATTTTCATGTAGAAATTTTAAGAATAATTTGGTTTTGATTTAGGTAATATGGATATTAAAAATATAGAAAAATTAGATCCTAAGAAATATAATATAGAAGAATTTAAAGAAAAAAAAGAAGAAATTGAAGCCAATGAGCATTTATTAGAAGACACAACAAAAACAAAAGAATAACGTATAATAGAAAATAAATAAGTAAAAACAAAAAAAATAGACAATATATATATTAAATAAATAAAAATATAAGTAAAATGAGGAAGTACATAAATTAGATAAATCAAAGCCTTATTTAGCAAATATACATGAAGATCCATAATTACATAACAAAGTATAAATAACACTAGCAAGGGAAGTTACTATAGTCGGAAGTAAATACGCTGAACCCAAAGCTGATATAATAGTCGGACTTACAAAATAAAATATAGCTAACATATATTACATAGAAAATGAAGATGAAGAAACCGGCGAATATATAGATAAATAAATTTTCATAGAACCCTATAATATGGATGGATAAGAACACGAAAGTTATATTTTATTAAATGGATATCCAGTAAAAGAAAGAATTGAATTATTTAATTTAGATCGAGTAATTTTTAGTACAATATCAATGTTTATATGCGTATTTGAAGGCAAAAAAAGCCGAGACGAAAACTTAAAAATTGAATAAATAGATTACGAGTTTGTCTGAGAGGAGATTTAAAGTTATATGGAAATGTAGAATAAATTACGTTTGCAAGAAATAGAGGAGAAAATGCACAATTGGAGTTAATTAATATTTAAAAAAGAGCAGAATAATAGAAAATTTGGGAAGAGTAAAAATAATAATTAGAAGATAAAATTAAGCTTTTATAATAAAATAACTTTAATTCGAATTCTTTAAATAATAATTCGCCTATGAAGGTTAGTACTTCTACCCAATAATAAAATGCCGTTGTTAAAAATAAATTCAAAGATAAAAATTATCTAGAACATAAATTATAGAAATTTCTTCCAAAAGTACTAGAAATTAATCTTATTGCAAAAGAACTTAAACGAAATATTTCCTTATAAGCTAAAATTGCATCAGATATTGATAATCAAACAAGCTCTTTAGAATCTTAAACTTCTAAAATATAAATTTAAGTTGATAATAGAGAATTAGGTTAAGTCTATATTTGGGATTAACCCAAGTTTAATGAAAGATATTACTTAATTAAAGATTTGCTAGAAAAATATTTCGAAACAAACGAGCTTCCAGCCTTAAATTCATAAAACGACCCCTTTTATGATCCTCCAGAAGCACATATTATTGGAAGTGGTTATTTCAAGCTTTTATATTTAGCTTATTTTATGGATTCTTAAATTGATTTATCTTTAGTCGGGGAAAGTAATTATATATAGAAATTAAAAATATAAATAAAAAAAAGATGGATAATGTGGTACTTTAAGTGTAAGTTTAATTCCTTGTAATGAAACAGGAGATAAGAATTTAGCTGAAGAAATGGAAAATGAGAATTCAGAAAATATAATAGAAGAACCAGGATAATTATTAGGAAAATAATTATATTTTAAAATAGTTATCTCTAAGGCTTAATTACCAGAACTTTTTTGTAGGGATACATATGTAGAATATACACTTATGAATTAATAGGGAAAAATGGAAACTTATTAAACTCAAAAAATAATAGGAAAAAATTCTAAACCAAATTATAATTATTCAAAAATACATTCATATAGTTATGTAACAGAAGAACATTTATATTATTTATAAGAAAGGAATCTAGTTTTTAAAGTTCTAGGATTAGAAGAAATAAAAGGAGAAGTAATTTATTTTATTTATAAAAAATATATATATAAAAAAGAAATTAATATAAACTTAAATTCCTGTTGAGGAGGAAATAGAATTCGCTAATGTAAAAAATTATCATAAAATATAATAATAATAACAATAACAATATTAACAATAATAAATATAATAATAACAATAATAGCAATAAAAACAATAATAATTACAATAACAATAACAATAACAATAACAATAACAATATCAATAATAATAAAATTAATAATAAAATTAATAACAAATGTAATAATAATAATAATAATAATAATAATAATAATAATAATAATAATAATAATAATAATATCTTAATTAAGAATTAAATAATTAAAAAAAGAATGCTTTATTATAATAAACTCAAAAACCATAAAATAAAGAAGATTGTAACATTTTTTGAATATAATATCTTTTTGCTTAAGTGAAAATATTTTATTTTGTTTTAAACTTTTAAAATATTATAAAACCTAGATATAAATGCAAATTATATATTATAAAAAGCATATATAAAATATTTAATATTTATTCAATTCATAAACTTTTTTTTTTAATATTATACAAAAAAAAATTACATATAAAAATTCAAAAACAATTTTTTTTTTAATCGAAAATATATTTTTATATATTTAATATAGTATAAATTTATATATTAATTTATTATTTATATATTTAGAATTTGTACATTACAATGAATCATATTTATGCTGCAAAATAATAATTCTCGTTAAAACTTTCTACTTAATAATGATTTTTAAAAATAACAATATTTAACTTTTTATAAATTTAAATATTTTTATCATCTAAAAAATTTATTTTTTAATATCCTTTTTAAATTTTTTGAAAAATATCAATTATCTATTTAATTAAATAATAATAAATTTAAAATATATATATATATATATATATATATAAATATATATATATATATATATAAATATATATATATTTTAAAAAATACAGGTTTCATTTTTTGACCTTTTATTTATAAAAATTATTTAGACTTTTCTTTTTTTTAATCTTCGACTATATTCTAAGCAGTTTTATATAAAATAGGTAAATTAAACATATTAATATTGAGATATTTATTCAATATATTTTTAAAAAATTCATATTCTCTTTGTCCTTTCATATTTTATTTCAAATTTTCTCTTTTTACGCATTTTTTCTTTTCATTTTAAAGATATTTTTAGAGTATTTTTTCCCTTCCGATTTCCCATAAATTAACCGCACATTCTTTAATTTCTACCCCTTCTTACATTTAATAACTTTTCCTTCTATTCTATTCTATTTATGCGAAAGAATCTTTAATTTTGCTATTAAAAAAATTTATAAAAAAAACAAACTCTTTATTATGGCTATATAAATTAAGCATAAAATCTCTCCCTTTATCTAAAATTTCATACAACAAACTGTAACATCTTAATTCAGGATCTATATCTTCATAAAACTTCCCATTTATTTATAATTAGAATTTCGGTATATCAGGCTCTATTTTTAATGTTTCATTATTTATTTTGTAATTATATATATCCTAAGGGTTTAAGTTTTATTAAGGATTCATTATTTTTTTTGCTAATTCTAGTGATTTTCTTGTATTATACTGATTATGTGTCTGTTTTCGGCTAAAAAATTGACGCAAATCTTCATTTTCTTATAGCTATTGTTCGTTTTGGACAATTTATAATTCTGAAATTCGCTTCGCTATAACGTCCTTGGTTCTTCTTCGCTTTTTTATTTCAAATTTTTCACTTTCTTCATTTATTTATATTGATTAATGGTTATTATTGAGAAGTTCTTATATATTTGTTTTCTATTCTTGTGGTTCTTCTTTTTATACTTATTTAATTATACTTAAATTTTATTTTGTATTATTTATTTCTTATATTTTTATGCTTTATTGTTGTTTTTGTTATTATTATTGTGTTTCTGGCTAATATTATTGTTTTATATTTTATTCTTGAATTTGATTTTTTTCAATACATTTTAATTTATTTTCGATTTAAATATTATTGTTTTAACTTTCTTCTTCATTCAAAAAATTTTCTTAATCTTGCTTTTTATGTTTACGTTATTTTTTTTTTATTATGAATAAAATATTTTGTTGCTAATCTTAATTAAAAAACATTTTATTAATTTTTTTTTTTATATTATTATATTTAATGCAAAATTATATAAATATATATATATATATATATTTTACTGAAAATTATATTTTTTATGAATATTTTATAAATTTGTTATATATACAATACTATATTTTATTTAAATTTTTTTTTTTTATTTTAAAGAATATAAAGCAAAAAATTGAATTTAAATTTAATTTATTTTTTTAAATAAATATTAGTCTTTATTTTTATTTAAAAAAAGACATAATTAATTTTAAATTTAGTGAATAAATCATAATATTATATTAAACTTTAAGCTCAAAATTAATAAATATTAAAATATGCAAGTTTTAAAAAAAATTAAAAAAATAATAATGATATTTTACTTTTTAAATTAATTTTTTTTTTTCTGTAATTTTTTTAAAAAACATATTTTGCATAAAAAAAGGTAAGAAAAAAATGGATTATGGTTTATTCTTTTATTAATTAAGTTTTTTAAAATAAATTACAGAAACATTAAAAAAAACTTTGCTAACACACAATATATAATATTACTTATTTTTTTTTTAAAAAAAAAAGCCAAAATCCATTTTTTTAGACTTTTATTTTTGCATATTACGTTTTTTAAAAAAATTATAGAAAAAAAAATATAAAAAGTTATATATTTAATGAAAATATATAATTGAGTTACAAATTATCAAAAAAAATAAAAAATAATATATATTAATAAAAAAGATAAAATCAAATATAGTTTTTAAATTAAATTTTAATATTTTTTATATTATTTGTATATTCACTAATTGTTTTAGGACTATTCATTGTATTTGTCGAAGTTTAATTAATATTACCAGAACTACTAACAGTAATATTTTTACATTATATACTTAATGAGTCTCTTTTATCAATACCTAATTTTTAGACTGAATAATTATAAACGACAGGAGTATTATAAGTATTATTTCTACTTCTTGTTGTTTCTGATTTAGGGTTCAATTCTTTCACTGAATCAATATTTTTATACTGTTTAGGAGTATATGAAGTACTTTTTTATCTTGTAGAAGTGTCTTTATGAATTAAATTTTATTATTATTAAAAGTTGTTTCTATTTGTTTTTTTTATAGATTAATTTTATTTTTCCTATTCTTCTCCTTAATATTATTCTGTTAAAAGTAAATTTAATTCATTATTCTATTAATAGTTTGCTTAAATCAATTTATTTTTTAATTCTTTTTTTTTATTAATATGTTAATTTAATTTTTTTTATAACAATTGTTTTTGATTATAAATAGAATAAGTAAATAAAAAAATAATAAACCTTGTATTTTTTTATATAACAAAAGTTCTTTTTATTGGTATTATTAACAATTAAAACAAAAATTATCATTAAAAGATTTAATTTTATAACTTTCTTTAATTTCATAAAAAAATTAATTTAATTTTTAATTATTGTTTTATTTGTTTCCTTGTTATTATTCTAATTATCTTATTAAATTTAATTAGAAAATTAGTTATGATGATAATTTTTAAAGCATTAAAAAATAACTTTTTAGCATATTTTATATATCTTCTAGTCTGATTTAATTTAGGTTTGGCATTTATGCATTTTAAATAGAATACAATTAATCTAAATATTATTAACTTATTTCCATTAATGATGAAGAAATTTTATTTTTATTAATTTTTTTTTTTTTTCTTTTTTTAATAAAAAATAAATAAATTCATTAATTTTATAAACAATAAAAAAAAGTAATTATATAAATTAAAATTCTTAAAAAATTAAAAATAATTATATATATAACTCTTTTTTTATATAATATATAAATTAACTTAAAATTTGATTTTATATTTTTATTACTTTAGAAGTCATTGCAATATGCAATTTTTAAATGCATTTTTTTTTAAAGTTAGCTATATATAATTAAATATATATAAATAATTATGAAACATAAAATATAAATTTAATTAAATGGTATTAATACAAATAATTTTAAAAATCCATCACGATTATTATAATTCCAATCATTTAGAAATAATTTATTATCCATTTTAACGCACTTTTTTAATATTTAATAAAATAATCCAATGGATTTACATGTACTATTAATAGCATATTAAAGAATTTTTATGTAAAAAATTTTAATTGTAAAAATATAAATTATATATATAAGAATGATTGTTAATCCTTTTTAACTTATAATTTAATATTTCAACATCATAAAATAATTTAGTTAAAAATAAGTCTTATAATGTTGTTAATAGTTATTGTTATTTTTTATTTTTTTAATTACATTAAATATATTAAATATTTTTTAAAAATATACCAAACATAATAAAATTTAAATAATATAAAAAAAAATATTTATAAAAAAAAATTAAATAATTAGAGACTTATAAATGTATTTATTTTATTAAAAATATATAAACTAAATTAGATAAAATTATTTTTTTAAATTAAAAAAATATATAATTATTTACATGAAACATATAAAAACTAATATCTATATCATATAAAAAATAAAATATTTTTTTTAAAAACATAATAGTACAAATTAATTGCAATAAAAAAATATATATAATTATAATTTAAAAATAAAAAAGTGATTTAAAATATATTTAGATGATTTGATAAAAAAATATTAATTTATTAAATATTTCATTATAAATTAAATAATTATTAATTTATATATTTATTTATAGTAAACAAATTAAATATTTTTTTTAATATTTCATAATAATATATTAGTTTTATTATTATTTTCGAAATTATTTATATTAATCAATTTAAATAAAAAACAATTATAAAATATATTTTTAAAATATTTATTTTTATTCGGATTGTGTTATAATAAAATTATCTTTTAATTTAATCATATAAGTATTTAAGATATTTTATATATTATATATAATATAATTAACATTATTAAATATTTAATTATATAAAAATAACTAAAATTAATATATTGAAAAAAATAATAATATATTATTTTATTTTTTACAAAATATATTTTAATATGTTATTATTTTCATTAATTTGATTTTTAAAATTTTATAAACATTAATAGTTATAATTACATTCTAATCATAATTTATAATTTAATTAATTTAAAATAAGATGTATTTTGATTTAAACAAAAAAATTGATAAAGTTTATTATAATAATTTTTTTTATTTTTAAATTATTTTAAATATATAATAAAATATCATTTTTTATATTAAAAATAATTTTAATTCTAAATATATTCAAATTCATATCTAATATTATATTATGAATTTTTTTTTTATAATTAGAAGATTTTTCATGTTTGAAATTAAAAAATATAAGAGTAGTATTAAAATTAAATTTAAAATTTATCATAATTTCTAATTATAAAATAAAAAAATAAATGTATATTTGTAAATAATTATTTCAAAACATTAAGGTTAGAATTAATAATATAATTATTTAAACAAAATAAAATATTAATTTTTTTATTATTATAAATATGAAAAGTAATTAAATTATTATTTCAATATTTATATAATTATTATTAATTAATAATATATATATGTAAATTTAAGGGATAAAATATAAATAATTTTTTTTTTAAAATATAATAATTTTAAAAAAACATTAAAATAATTATTTATTATTAATATAAAAATATATAAATTATATAATGATATTAAATCAATTTCATTTTACTTATATATTTTAAAATAATATTAAAACAATTAAAATTATATTTATTAGTCCTTATTAAAAATATTTATATATATAAAAAAATTATATATATAAAAATATATATTTATATATATATTTATATATATATATATTTTTATATTTTTTATTATAATTTTTTTTTTTTTTTTTTTTTTTTTTTAAAATTTATTAAAATTTTTTTTTTTTTTTTATAATATTTATTATTTGATTGCAATTTTTATCAAAAATATTTATTTATGTATTATTGAATTTAAATAAATTTATTTTAAAAAAAGGAAAACAGACAAACATACATTAATAAATTAAAACTATTCTATATTCACTTTAACTATTTTCAAATTTTTTATTATAATTATATTTAAATAAAATCTATTTTTTTAAAGAAAAAAGAAATTAATTTTATATTAATATTTTTCCTTCAAACATCAAGTTTAGGTACAATTTATGCCTTTTAGTTTCTTTTAGCTCTAGTAGCAGCGTTTTTGGTTCTTCTTGCTTCTTATTAAGCGTTTAATTTATCAGATTTAATCTTGTTAGCTTTAGAAACGTGAATGGCTTCAATCAAGACAGTTTTGTTTTTGTATAAATTACCTTTAGATCCTAAATAGAATTAATGATATCTTTTAAAAATAAATATTAAAAATTATATAATAACAAAAAAATAACTATTATTTATCAATTTTTTTAGCTGCTCTATATTTTCTTAAAAGTCTTCTTAAAACTCTTTATCTTCTTATCCAAAGTACTTTAGTGGGCATTCTCGCATTTCTAGAACCTTTTCTCTTACCATGTCCAGTATGTCTTCCTATATTATTTTATTTAATTTAATTATATTTATTATTAATTGTAATTATTTTATTTTTATTTATTTATAAATAAGGAACCTTTTCTTTTGGCTTCTAAGTGTCTTCTAGCTCTTGATCTGGAATGAATTACTGTTGATCTTTTCATTACTAAACCATCTTTAATAAGCTTTCTGATACTTGCTCTTGAATTTGCCATTGAAATTTCGGAAGATTCATTTGGATCTAACCAAAGTCTTTTTTAACCGCATTTCAATACGGCTGCTGATAATCTTTTTTAAAGTTTTAAAGATACCATTTTTTTTCTATCTTTTTTTAATTTTAATTTTTTTTTTTCTTTTTTTTTTCTCTTTACTTTTATTTTTTTATTATTTTTTTTTTATTTTTTTCTTAATATTTTTTTTTTATTTTAATCTTTGTTTTTTTATCTTTTTTTTTTTTATATTAAAATATGTTTTATTTTATATTTTGTAAAAATATAATACACAATATTATTAAATTTGCTAGTAATAATAAAAATAAGAAAAATTAAATAAATTATTAAATATTTATTAAAATTATAATTAAAATGAATAAATATTAGCCAATCATTTCTGATTTCGAGCAAAATCCAAACACAGTAATAATTGGAGGAGGACCTTCAGTGCTTTGCTTTTTGATTCATATGGTAAGAACTGGAAAGTATTTTAAAATAAATTTTTATTTAAAAGAGTTCATAAAATTAATCAATTTAAAAAAAGAATAAGCGACTTAATAAAAAATGAAAGCTTTATTATTTTAGAACAAAATACACAATTCGGTTGTGGAAAATATTTAAATAAAGGTAAATTTATTAATATTTGATTTACTTTTTAAAATAAGTGACAAATTGTAATGTTACTGGGCTTGATATTACAAGATTAATATTGAGGACTCCATTCTATTGTTAAAATGTGTTTTTATTTTATTTAAAAGAAATATAAAACATATATTAATAGGATTTATTTGATAAAGTTTTAGAATATTCAGATCATAATTATAAAGATACATAAAGAATATCTGATAGTTTTAAAAATTCATTACCAAAAATAAATAAAGAGAAAATATTTGCACTTTATGATAAATGTGTAATGGGAATTTTCAAAGAAATTTAAGTTACTATTACTTTTTAAGAGCTTATTAAATACGGGTTGAGTTATCCTCCTTATTCTTTGCTTGCATTTTTTTAAAAATTATCGGAAATATACTTTTGAGACATATATATATTTTAAAATAAAAAATTGTATTTAGGCAACTGCAATAAGTATTTTTTTTTTTATTGTAATTTATTTTTTAATAAATAAAAAAAGGTTTAATAAATTTAACTATAAAATGATGGAAAATTTAATATAAATGTATATTTAAAACAAAAATCAGATGCTTTGTTAGAATATAGTTAATTATAATCAAAAAATTAATTTCAATCAATTTAATGTAAAACTATAGTAATATCAAATGGGACAAAGTAAAATAAATAATATTTATTATATTTATTAAACAAAAATATTATTTTTGTAAAAAAATAGATAAAGAGCTTTAAATTATGAATTGATTTAAAATGAATTTTCATAAAAATAAATATTTGAAAGTGATTCTATTTTAACGGATACAGGTTGTATTAATTTTTTTAAAGCAATAAATAATTATAAAAATAAAAAAATTGTTATAATTGGAGATTACTAAGTAGCATTTTAATGCGCTTTACTATTATTATAAGGACCTAAAATATGCTAAATAAATGAATTAGATAGAGTCAGTACATTTTCTAATAAAATAAAAAATCAAAAATGTTTAGAATGCAATAAATATTTTTATTTAAGTAAAAATGTTTAAATTAACTAATAAATTTAAAAAGTATTAAAAACAAAAATTATTAAATATTTTAATCTTACAAATATATAAATAGCTTGATAAAACATTCTAACTTGCTAATTTTGCTTACAAAAATCAAGTAGCTTAGCATAATAATTAATGTACTTGCTTTGGCGATATTAGTCCCCATGTTTTTTAATGGAAGAAATCAAATGTAAATTTACCTGAATTTAATGAATAGGAAATAATTATAGCACATACAAATGAAATTAAAATTTATTTTAGATCAGAATAAGAAGCTCTAAGTTATAATTATAAAAGATTTAATAAAAATTCAAACTAAAATAAATATTTCTAAGTTAATTAATATTCTGGTTTAAAAGGATAAGAAAGAGAATTATTTTATGATGTATTTTTTAAATTCTGTTTTTTTTTTATTTATTATCTATTAGATTATTTAAGGATATGAGAAAAGAATTATTCTTAAAAACTTTTAAAATAATGAATAATTAAAGAATATTTTATAGAATTGCAATTTTATAGTTAATGCTTAAGGATAAGAAAGCTAAGATATTATAATTAAAGATTTAAGAGGATAATAACTAAATTTAATAAAGGAAACTGATAATATATTCGAAGTTGATGAATATTGTAGATTAATTTCATAATAAGGAAATTTAAAAAGCATTTTTGGTATCGGAAGTAATTTTGGATTATAATCAGACGAAAGTCAAAAAAACAAAATTATTAGGTTTTTTTTATACAATATAATAATAATTATTTTTAAACTTATTTTTTTAAAAACAAAAAATAAGAATAAGTAATGTAAATACGTATAATTAAATTTTGCCTAATATAATAATTAATAAATTACTTAAATCTATTATAGAATATAAATAAATATAAAATTTTATATATAAGAAATATAATTAATAAGATATATTTACTGAGGATATTAATTTAAATTCTACAAATGCTTATATTTCTATTTTTGAGTTTAAATACATAATTTTTTTTTGATTTAATTTTTTTTTTAAATAAAAGTAAAACATAAATTGAATGTAATACAAATTATATTGAAAATGATAATTATGATACAAATAAAAGGTAATATCAATAAAAAATAAATATAATAAGTATTTTTTCTATTTTAATTATAAAAAATAAAAAAGTAATTAAAAATAAGAAATTAATAATATAAATTATTAGAATTTAAAAATTATTAAATGATAAAATATAAATTATAATTTTTTAAAATATTTATTATATATTTTTTTTTACATTATTTAGTATTAGTTTTATGTAAAAGAAATTGTGAAATTTATTAATTTCGTTTTCAATTTTTTTTTTTTTTTTTTCCTTTTTTATTTCCAAATTAATTATCTTTTTTGTTATGTGAATGTATGATTTACATTTAATATAATTTTATTTTGCATACTTAATACATCTAAAATAATTTAGGGCAATTTCTTTTTTAGAAAATATAATTTATCACCAACTCGAGGTGAAGATTTTATATAAAGCAATTCTTTTATAAGTTATATATTTTAGCTTCGTAAATAATAATATAAAGGCGTGTTGAGTTTTATTCATATTATCTTTAGAATTCAAATTAAGATTTAATAATTAGATTTTAGTTTCCTTTTTTTACTGATCCTATAAAAAAGTAAGAACGACTAATAAATGTATTTTTATATTTCAATTTGTTTGATTGTAACTTTGCAAATTTTTTTATATTATATTATTTTAAATATTATGTTTTGAAATAATAATAGTATTAATATTGTATAAATTTTTAATTATTTTAATATTTCCATATTTATCTTTTACATTTGAAAGATAATTATAAATTATAAGTTGTTTAGTTCGAATTAATTGGCATCATTTTAATTAAAATTATATTATGGTGTAAGCTTTTTATGGTCTAAAAATTCCTTTGTATCATATGTAAATCTACTATTGAATTTATTTATCTAATTATTTAAAAAAACACTTTGTTAATTTTAAATTCAACTTTTGCAATGTTTTTAATGTTTTAAATTTTAGTATTAACTATATTTTTATTTAATACTAGTTGTATATTTAATATATCTTTATTATTAACAACTAAGTTTAAATTATTTTCTAAGTTTTTAATATTTGCCTTATGTTCTATTTTAGTATATAGAACAGATTTTCCAAAAACTCTATCTTTAGAGTGTAAAATATTTCTATTTTGTTTAATTTAATTACATTTGTGTTTATTTATATTGATTTAAGAAAGTTTTTTTTGCCTTTCATCCAATGTATATTTTTATTTATTTAATAAATTTATTAATTTATTAAAAATTGATAAAAATTCGCAAAAGAATTAGTTTAATTTGCTTTCTTTTATTATCGGATTGTTAATATGTGTTACATATTTTTTTTCTTTCTATAAGTTGCTTCATTAATTTATTTTTTAAAGTTAATATACTCATTTTTGTATTAAAATTGTTTGGTTATCTAGATAATTAGACTCTTGATTAGTTTTAGTCAAAATTTACTTATTTTTAACATTTTATTATCTCATTTAAAGTATATATGAAATTTATTAGTTTATAAATGATAAATTTAAATAAACACTTTAATTTCTATTATCTTTAAGAGTTAATTTGAGTGTATTATTGCTTTATTTTTTAATAACAATAGTTTAAAGTTTAATTATATTATTATTTATTTTTGTTAAATAAATGCTCTTTTTTTATCTTTTTAAATAAATATTAAATGAAGAAGAAAGTAAAATTAATAATAATATTTTAATTTTATTTGGATGTTAATTATTTTTTTAAAATAATAAGTATTTTTTTTATTAAATAAAACATTATTAAAAGTTTTTTTTTTTAATTCGAAAGTTTATTTTATATTAATTTATAGAAATTTAGCTATAATTCAAAATAATTTTCAAAAATATTATTATATCATAGTTTAATTTAATTAATTTTCTATTTATTATTTAGACTTTATTCATTTTTATAACAAATATTAATCTTTTGTTTGACTTTATAAGATTTTTTTTTTTAAATATATTATTGCTTAAATTATATATGTGAATCTTTAAAACAATATTCGTCAAAATTTGAATATATTTAATAATTAAACAATTAAATTAAGATAATGAAATTATAAAAATTTTCTTAATTTAAAAATATTTTACATAAAACATAAAAAATAAGTTTATAAAAAGTGCTTAAACTATAAATTTCTTTGTCAAACCTATTTTTTACCCTTTAATCCTTAATTAAGAGCATTTATTCCTTATTCAATACCAGAAATGTCTCTTGAAACTTAAAAAAATTGTATTATCTTTGAATTACAATTTTATAAGCATTCTCTTTCATTATCATCAAATAAAAAATCATCTAATTTCAAACATTTTTAAAAGCAATGATTAAATAATTTGTTTTCCAAATCTTTTACTATAACAAAGGTATCTAAATATGTTTGCAATTTCTAAGCATTATCTTTACTATAATTTTTAAAATTTTATCCTGATGATAAGAACATATTCTTTAAAAATATAATGGTTAAAATTAAAAATATTTTTATTTTTTAATTATTATAATTAAATAATATCTTATTTTAATTTAATTAAATATTTATTTGTATTTTATTTATTTTTACCAATTATTATATTATATAAATATTTTTTATTTATAAAAAGTATTTTTTGTTTTTATTCAGAATTTAAGATTTTCAAAATTTTAATGTATTATTTAAATAAATGTTTATATTTTGATTTTTTATTAAAAAGTTTTTTTTAATTATTATTTCAAATAAATTATTAATAAATAAAAATAAAAAAATTAAACTATTATTTAATTTTTTAGTTAAGTATTTCTCAATTTTGGAAATATATTTTTAATGAACATTAATGAGATCAATAATTTTAAAAGTTAAATTATTTAGAATTTTTTAATTAAAAATTATTTTAAATAAATATATGTAAAAATAATAAATATAATATAAACTCATTGTTTTTTTTACAATATTTTTTATATTTATATATTAATATTTTTTTATTTTTTTAAATTACTACTATAAATCTTATTTCTATTATATTTCCATTATTTTAATTTCTTCAATTTTTTATTGTATTAAATTAATTATTTAATATTCAAACTTTTATATATAAATGAATATTTAGAAATATAAAAAATAGAAAACAATATAAACTAGTAAAAAAAACTTTAGAACAAAATTAAAATTAGATAAATTAAATATAATTTAAATTTTTTAAAATCAAATATAGATATTTTCTTGCAATTTCAATATTATAATATAATTTATATTTAACTTAACTAAGTGCCCATAGTGTCCGGTTTTTTTCTTAATTTTTCTTAAAATAATATTAAGATTTTTTAAATGGCTGCTATTAAATTACTATAAAACAATTTCTTCTAATCTTTCACTATCTTTTAATTAATTATATTGATTTTCTTCATAAAATCTTCAAAATATGCTATGTCATTTTAAATAATAGTATTCTTTTTTCATCATAATCTAAAATTTAATTTAAATTCATGTTTTATAATTTTAAGGGATTTTCTTTTTTAGTATTGATTTATTTATGTAAGTTTTTTATTTTATTGTTATAAACCTTTTTTTAAAATATAATTATAATTTAATTAAAAAAGTGATATTATTAATTTATTTTTCTAGAAAATTAAAATATTAATTAAATTATTTTTTGGTTTCCCTTACAAATATTTTTCTCCTTCTCTAATATCTAAGCAAATATAAAAAATACAAAAAAGATTAGATTTATTAAAAATACTATATATTTAAACTTAATAGAAATATATAAAATACTATGAGTTTATACTTAAAAATATAATGAAAAAATAATCAAATTAAATTATTTAAAAATAAAAATTATAAAATATAAAAATTCCTATAATAATAGATATACACATATGATTTATAAGAAAAAGGCTAATAGTTTGTATTATAAAAAAAAAAAAATCAACAAAATTAAAGTTAGAATTTTTAAAATAAAACAAAACATCATTAAAAAATAATCATTTTTATTGAATTTCTTCTCTAAAAGAATCACAAATTTTATCATCTAAAATTAATAATAAATCTTCATCAAATTTAAGTTCTTTATTATCTCCAGGAAAATATATTTTTCTTTTTATAGCCATAAGTCTAAATAAATAAGCAATATTTGAATTTTCTTAGATTTTTTCTTTTTCAAAACTCGAAGTAGCTTAAATAAGCAAATCTTAAACAATTTTATTCATATTATCTCTTAAACTAACTTTGAAATTCTTCATATCTCTAAAAAATATATATATATATATATAATAAATAAAAAAATACCCAGTATTTAATTCTAGTAACTTTTCTAAATTTGTTGCTTTTTCTGTTCCTCTGATTTCATCTAAATAGCTTTTTAAATTTTATTTCAACAAATGAAAAACATCAAGTGTCATCTACATTCCTTTCCATTACTTTAGTTTACTCATTTCTCCTAAAAAAAGTACTAAAGCATTATGTTTTTATTTATTTGCAGTAGTTAAAGTAGTTTCAAAAACTTAATAAATTTATTTAGTAATTTATTCTCTAATAAATTATAATGCTTTTAAACAAATATCAACAAGAAAAAGTGTTTAAGTTTTATAATTAGTAGTAAATGTGTCCAAATTTTACATTTATTATTTCCTTATTTTTTCTTCTATTAATAATTATTATATTTACTTATCTTTTTGTCTTAATTTATATTATGTTTTCCATAAATTCATTGCTAGTAATTTTATTCTATTATTTACATTGTCTTCGAAAAAATCTAACATATTATCAACTACATCATGAGTTTTCTTTTTATGGAAATCTTTCATGTCTCTTTTATATGCTGATTTCATTGCATTTTATATTGCATTATTTGCCATTTCATTTATATCTAAATTATAATTATCTAATTATTCTTTATATCTATTTATCTAATTATTTTTAATTTATTTTTAATAAATATAAATATATATTCTTATTGTTACTTCATTTTATTTATTTTATATGTCATTAATCATATTTTTTATTTCTTTTAGTTAAATTCTATTTTCATCTACTAATCTGTTATTTTCTTATTATAATTAGTTCATTTTTTAAGTCAAATCGTTTATTATTCTATTTCTTTCCTCTTACATTTTATTAAAAGCTCTTTCGAATTGTAATTATGCGATTTCTTTTTCTTTTTATTCGTTTGTTAAAGTATCTTTTAAATGATTAATTTCAAATTTTTAATTTTCTTTATCTTCTTCAACTCTTCTTTTAACTTCAATTAAATTATTAACTTTTCTTCTTAAAGATAAAATATCCTTTTAAAAATTAATTAATATATTATTTATTTATCTTTTTAAAAAAAAAACATTATCTCTATTTTCTAGTTATTATTTAATGTTATTTTTTTCAAAATCGTATTATTTTTATGTTTCTTCTAATCTAAAGCAAACTAAATTTTTATCACTAAAAGCATTTTTAATATCATCAATTAATTCTAAATTTTTTACTGCTTACTTATCTATACCTATTATTAAATCAGTGTTATTTAATTTTAAATCATTTATAAAGTTTTCTTAGTCTGTATATAATTAATGCATTTTTCTTAAAGTTTCTTTGTAAGTTAATAATTCATTTTAGTTTTATTCAAGAGTATTTTTTAGCAAATTTATCTTTTTTTATTTATAAATTATAAACTTTAATATAATTTTTTTACTTCACTTTATAATGTATCTGTTAAACTTATTTTAGATATAATCACTTAATCCTATTCATTTATATAATTTCTTAAATTTGCTAATTATACTTAAAGTTATTCACATTTTATTTCATATTCGCATTCCTTTACTATTGAAACTACTGGTACCTAATCAACTTATGGATAAGTTATATCAGTGACAGCCATACTTTATATATTATCAATTAAATATAATTATAATTAATATTATTACATGTTTGCAATAGGAGCATCCATTAACTATTCTTAAGTATAAGTATTCTAAATTTTAATAATATATTAATTTTAATTTTTAAATATAAAGTACTTAATATTGTTGTTGAAACTAAATAGAATTTTATTATTATTAAATATAATGATCTTAAACATAAGGTCCTTAAATATATTGTGCATCTTAAATATATGCTTAATCCTAAATATATGTTGGATCTTAAACATATGGTGGATTTTATATATATTCTATATCTTAAATATATACAGGATTTTAAAGATAAGAATCTTTATTATAATTATTTTATATACTCATTTTTATTTTATTTAACTTTTTTTTTTTAATTTTAAAAAATATTTAAAATTAATAATATTTTATTTTATTTTACTTTTTTTTAAAATCTATATAAAAATATAAAAAAAAATTATAAAATTAAATATTTTAGTTTTCAATTTTCATATTGAATAATATTTTCTCCAACTAATTATTATTCCTAATCTACTACACTATTTTAACCTAATAAACAGTCTTTTAGTTCACTTTTTTATTTAATAAGACATTACTTGCCAACAACACAATTCTAAAGTACACATCTATTTTTTATATATTCAAAAAATAATAAATAATTACTATTTATTTACCCACTTTCAATAATTACACCATTCATGATTACACAATTTGATATTTTTGTACCTTCTTATATTTTACAATTAAGTCCAATTATCGATTTTGTTATTTGAACTCTTTATCCAATGAAACTATTTTCTCCAATATTACCTGAATTAATCCTGTAATAATAAATAAAAAATATATATATAAATTAATAATTAAATAAAAAATTGCTTATACTTAATTGTTTTATCTTATTCAAAAGATGTTTTAATATTTTTATTATTATTTAAAATATCAATATTATTAATTGAATCAAAATTCATTTAAAAATAATCTTTTAAGTTATTACATCTTCTTGCGTACAAATTTTTATTAATATAACCAACAATATTTATTTTATTATTTTCTATAATATTTTATTGATAAATTTCTTCATTTAAATGTTCATTTTCTTATGACATTTTCTTTTTCTTTAAATTCAACATTTATAAGAGTATTTAATTGTATTAATTTTTAACTAAAAACGGAATAAAATCAGACTTAAATGAATTTATTGTATCTATTTATTTGTCTAATTTACATAAAAGAGTTAAGGCTTCTCTTTTACAAATATATATGTGTGCATCAAATAAATTAGTTTTTATTTTATTAGTTGGATTATTTGCTAAAATTGTTTTTTTTATTTTTAATCCGTTTTCTTTTATTTCTTCATGTGATTATACATACAATATTTTATTATTTGAATCATTAATTATATATATATCAAAATCATCCTTATAAAAAAAAAAAAAAATCATATAAAATTTATTTTTATTTAATATTTTTACACTTAAAGAACTTGGATTAATAATTTTTCCTGTTTCTTCTTGAACTTAGTCTTCTTTTAAAAGAAGTGTACAAAAAGAATCTTATAATATATGAAATTCGATGAATTCATCTAAATTGACATCACATATTGTATCACTTGATATTAAAATAAAGTCTTTCTAAAATATATTAAATTATTTATTATTAATTATAATAAAATAATTTTTAATATTATTATTATACGTTTATTTTATTTTAAATGAATTTTAATGCATCAGCAGTTTCTCTTTTATCTTCAGGTACATTTGCTATTTCGTATTTAACTTTTCCATTATAGGTTTCTTTTAATTCTCTTTCTAATTTATTATGATACTTTGATGTTAATATTAATGCACCTTTATTAAATTATATAATATACATAAATAAATATATATATATATAAATATATATATATATATATATATATATATATATATATATATATATATTTTACTTAAGAATCCATATTTTTCTATGAAGTTTAATTAATATGATAATAAAGGCATATTATTTACAGGAAGTATTGATTTTGGATATTTTTCACATAAAGGATATAATACATGTCCAAAGCTTTTATTTTTTTATATAATATATTTTATATATTTTTTACCCTCCAGCTAAAATTACAATTTAAAAGTTATTCATATTTTTTATATAATTATTTATTTTAATTTTTTGTAATTTAATATCTTAAAAATACTTAATTTTAAAATAATAATATAATTTAGTTTATGTATAACTTTAATTTTTTTTTTTTTTATTTTTTATTATTTTTTTAATTAATTCTTTTTATTTATATATTTTATTTTTTAAATATAAAAATACATTATTAATTTAAAATACTTTTTTTTATTATTTATAAAATTCTTTATATATTAGATAAATAAAATATTTAATGTATTTTTAAGTAATATTTTTAGATTTTTTTATGTATTTTTATATATTTATAAATTTATGCAACAGATTATTGTTTATTTTTTAAATAAATTAAAACATTAATATATAATTTAAACTTAAAAAATTAAATTAATTTATTTTTACTACATTAATCGTTAATTCTAATATAATTATAATATTTTAAGTTGTATCAATTTATAGTTTATAAATTTTAAAATGATAAATAATGATAAAAAAAATTAGAATAATGGCTTCACTTCATAATATAATAAATAATATTTAAAAAATTATAAAATAAAATAATAAAAATAAATAAAATATTTAAAATTTTTTATAATGGTTATTTTAATGAATATTCTATATTAATTTTTTTTTATTTTTAATATTTTATTAATTAAATTGATTTTAATTTAATATTTTATAATTTTTTTTTGGCTTATAAATTTGTTATTTTTTATTAATTTTCTTATTTTCGATAATATAGTTATATTAAATTTCTATTAAGAAATTTAAATTTTTAATAATTTTGCGTACAAATAAAAATAAAAAAAGCACGAAATTAATAAAATAACTAAAAAAAGAATATTCAAATTTCGAAATTTTTTATAAAAAAGTAATAATAAAATTTTTAAAAAAGCAATTAAAAATGAAAAATAAAATATATTTATTTTAATATTAAAATAATTGTATTAATACATCATTATTTATATATATTTTTATATGTATTTGTATATTTTGTTTTATGTTCTTTTAAGAAAATTATAAAAATTAAATTTAATAAATTAAATAATAAAATTAGCAATTTTTAAAAAAAGTGAAAATAAATAAATTTAAATTAAAAGAAAATATTTAAGTAAATATTTTTTTGCAAAAAAAATGAATAATTAAAAAAAAATGTCTTTTAATCAATAAATAAATGAAAATGATTTATAGGTAATTACATTATAAAACAGTGATTAAATTAAATTGAAAAATTGTAATTTTGAAAATAAATAGTTAAATAAATAAGAAAATATCATAAATAATAAAGTAAATATAATTAAAATTATAACAAAATAAAAAAAATATGGATAATAAATAAATTCAAAAAAGGAAAAAAATAATAAAAATGATTAAGAAGAAGTTAAATAAAATGATAATTTTGATGAATTTATATTATAAATAAACGATAAAAATAAAAATTTCGATATATAAAATAAGCTAAGCAATCAAAAAAAAGAAATTTAAGAAAAAAAGAGTAGAAACAATAATAATTAATTACAAAAATAAATAGTGTAAATAAAATCTTAGTTTAAATAAGTTAATAAATAAAATGAGTATCAATAAAATAAAATAAATAATTATAATGAAAATAAAAAAGTAAATAACTAAACAGAAGAATAATAAAATGAGTAAATAATATAATAATAATATTAAAATAAATTAATAGAGTAATGCGATTTTGTACAATAATAAAAAATGTATTGTTAACAGTAATAATAATAAATTGATTTATAATAACCTTAAATTTAATAATAATAATAATAATAATAAAAAATATTAAACTAATATTAGTAAAAAAATATTATATGTAATAAATAATAATAATAAATTTTTGAATCAAATAACTTTTATAATTCTTTAAACAATAGTTTATTTTAATAATAATAATAGTAGATTCCTTAGTTAAATATATCTTAAATATATTAGTTACAATAGGCTAATAATTAATAATAATAATATTATTATTAATAATAATAATAATAATAATAATAATAGTCATAATAACAAATTTTATTATAAAACCAGTTTAAGTAATTAAAATTTATATAATAAAATTTATTAAATTCAAATTAGTAAGATAAAATATCTTTTATTCCTTAATTTTTAATTGATCAAAAAATTACTTTAAACTAAAATTAAAACGTTATATCATTTCAAAATTAATAAAACTAAAAAAATGGATATTTATAAAATATTGATAATAATAGTAATAATAATAGTAATAATAATAGTAATAATAATAGAAATAATAATAATAATAATAATAATAATAATAATAATAATAATAATAATAATAACAATAATAATAGTAATAATTATAATAGTAATATTAATAATAGTAATAATAATCTTTTTTAATTTTAAGGTTTATTTTGTAACGATAATTCAGATAATTTAAATTAATTTAATTTTTCAAGTATTTAAAGTTTTAACCCTTAGAATAATAACTTAATTATATAACATTCATTATTAAACAATATTAATTAAAATGTTTTATCTAATTCAAATTTTAATATTAATCATTATAATTAAATTGAAAACATCTTACCAGATTAAAATAATTTGAGAAATTCCTTAAACCACTAAAATGGAGATAATTTTAATTCTTTAAATTTACGTTAATAAGTTCCTCCAGATGTAAAACATAAATATTATTAATATCGAGAGAATTAATTTCCAGAAAATTTAGACCCTAATTAACCCTATATGAAAATTTAAGTTATGAAAACAATCTAAGACAATAATAACACTTAAAATACAATATATTACATAACTCCTTATGGAATGGTAGGTTCTAAAAAAAACACTGACTGTGAAGATATTGTTATAGGTCGTTAAGAAATTGCAAAAGAATCAGATAATACCCATTCTATAGATATAAGGCCGAATGATATTGTTTTACCTCCTTAAGATAGGTCTATAAGTAGAATACACTGTAAAATAATAGTAAAAGATGGCTTTAGAATACCAAAGCCTCTGTCTTATGGATTTTTATTGTTTCTAAGATTTATTAAGAAAAATTCGATTAATTCTCCTGAATTAAATTTACCTGATTTTATTTTGAAATTAATATGTAGTTTTATTAGACCTAAATTTGCTTTTTATTTAGTTGATATAGGAAGCGCTTAGAGTACTTATACGAAAATAAAGCATGAAAAATCTTAAGTATTAGAAAAAGGGTCAAATATTTTTAATTGGGGCGGAAACATAGTTTCATATTATGGATGTAAATCATAATTCTTAAATTTAGTAAAATTGTGATTAGTAAGATTTTATAAATTTCCTTTTGACAGAAAAAAAAGAAAATAATGCTGTCATTCATGGACTTACTCCTGAAGAAAAATAATAATTTGATATTTTATATAATCAATTTAATAATGAGAGAAAATAATAAGATAATGATACTTTAGGACTCGAATATAGAATGAATCTTAGGCCTTATGTAAAAATAAAAATCTCTTCAACTTAAAATCCACATATTTTTACATATAACGAATAAAATCCTAATCAATAATTCAAAATCGGGAGGTCATAAGAATGTGCAGTTTAAATTAATATAAATACTATTTCGAGAAAGCAATCTAGAGTTGTATATGAGTAAATTTTATTTTTTATATTTTTGTTATTTTATTTATTAAAATAGAAGTTAAAAATGGTAGTTAAGGGATGGAGATATTCATAAAGAAAGTGCAAACGGAACATGGGTTTCTTTAAATGATTTTAGAGAAAGGAATTAATCTAAATAAGAAAGTGATCCTAAAGAAATTGAAAATGGATCAGAAATAAAAATTAGTGATTCTATTTTAAAAATAGAAATTTTTAATAATTCTCCTTAGAAAAATAAATATATTTATGATCCTGACTTAGATAAAGATCAAATGGATATTGAAAAAAATTTAGATATAAAATAATAAATTTTATGATAATAAATATAAAATAATAATCTTTAAATATATTATAAAATTTTTATATTAAAATAACAATAAACTTGAGGTATCAAAACATAAGCAAAAATTATATTATATAAATTTACTTTTAAAACTACACCTTTAAAATATTTTAATATTTATTTTTATATTTAATAATAAACTAATATTTAAAAAATAATTAAAAATAGATATATTTAAATATTTATTAATAAAAGCACTTATAAAAATAAATCATTTTATTTAATAAAAATAAAATATATAAATATTTATTTTTTTATTTATAAACTTTAAGAAACAATTTATTAAGTAAATAAATAAATAAAAAAAATAATAATTTAATATTTCTTAAATATATTTTATATATCATTCTTCTAGAAAACTATATTCATCTTAAGGAACTATTATTTAATTATTTTTTTGATCTTTTAATATAACTTATATTAGTTATTTTTTCTTTTCTTAATCTACAATTTAACTTTCAATAGAATAATAACTTTATATAGGTCTTATTTTATATATTAAATAAAAATAATTTTAAAATTACTAAATACATATTTACTTATGTCTTGAAAGAGTTATTTTATCATTTGGTTTATAATAATATTATTTAAATTAAGTATATTCATCATTTATATTTACAAGGATTCTATCTCTCCTTTATTTATTTTTTTAATATAAAATCAAATAAAACTTATTACCAGCAAGAAACTTTTTATTTCTTATTTTTAGGTTAGGAACTAGGAAGAAACATAATTTCATGTTCTGCATAATCTTTAATAAAATAAACATTTTTACTAATTAACTAATCATTTTTAAGCATTTCATCTAGTATTTTAAGCCCTTCAAAGTCTTCCTTTTAATTAATTTTTTATTAATATAAATTTATCAACTTTTATTAGTCATCAACTTTCATATTAATTCTAGAATTAAAATCTCCGAATAAAAAAATCATATTGCTATCTTAAATTTTATTTGATTTATTTTTCCCTACATATTCTCTCTAAAAAGCATTCCTAAAAACATATTTTAAGCACTTAAGTTTTATATCTCCTTTAGGAAAAACGCAATTCACGAAAGTTAAAACACTATCATTTACTTAAAATCTACATATTACAGCTCCGTAACTTTTTTTGAAATAAAATTTAAATTTTACATAATCATGTTCTATGTTTTTACAAATAGATTATGTTTTTTAATTTACATATATCAAAAGAAGAGTATTTTTCATATCATAGCTGTTTAATAATATATATTATTCACTCAATTATTATAAAATATTAAATGAAATTATTTAACTCCATTTTTTCATTATACTTTCATCTAAATGATTGCTTATTAAATCATTTAATAAGTCTATTTTGGCAGCTTCTTATATACCTATTACTATTATATCTGGATTTTCATTATCTTGATTATCAAAGAAATTTTCTAGAATTTGATCTTCCTTAAGAATACAAGATTTAGCGTTCCAAGTAATTATTTGAATGTTTATTTTTTATGTTTATAAATATTAATCTTATAACTTTAAAAGTTCTTCTTTAACATTTTCAGGAAGTTCTAATTCTAATAATTTTATTAATAAATTTAGTTTTGTTTAAAAAAATAAAATAAAAAAATATACCATATTTAGTTTCATAATGTTAACCAACAATATGATTATAGCATTCCATTTTGAAAGAATCTTAAAAATTACAATTAATAAATCTCTAAATACCTATAAAAGCTGAATCTATTCTAAAAACAGGTCCTTTAGTCGCATTTTTAGTAGTAGCATCAGTACCAGCATATAAATTAGAGATATTGTTTCCATTATTAGACCATATTTATTTGAAAGCAGAAATAAACTAATTATTATTAATATCGAACATTTTATTCACAATCATAGTCTAAATATCAATATCGACTTTTTTTAACATATGCTTAACTGCATGGAATCCTATTCTCATCATGAAAGCATTTGTTCTATCTAGACAATCTTTGCAATTAACTCTGAAGATTCCAATTTATTATTATAGACATTTTTTATTTATATTATCATAGAGGAAAAATAGGTAATTTTCTTGAACTAAATTTTAAACATAGTTGTCTATTTCGTTTGGATTTTTATGAAAGTCGAAAAAATCATATTTTAAAAATTAAAGATTGCATTTTTAAAAATGGTTTTCAAATTCTAAATTTATTTTTTACTCGAATTTGTTTGATCTTTACATTAGATTTACTATATGAATGTTACATGGTTTATTTAAGTGTTAAAATTTTTCTTTTTAAATTTATTAAAAATGCTTTTCAAATGCTTATGCGTTTACTTCTTCACCTTTTGAAAATTAGAGAGTCGTCATTAACCCTTTTTATTCCCAAAATACTGGTACACTGCCTCTTATAATTAAATAGCTCATAATCATATTGTTATATTCTATTATCTGTTCGTTTTCGCAATAGTTCGCTACATCGCCTTCTGAATTTATTCCTCGATGGATAAAACGGGTTCCTCCTCTCATACAGGATCGCCTGGCAATTAATATGAATGAAATTTTTTTCTTTTTTGGAAATTCATAATTAAATTGTTAAACGAAACCTTATATTAATTATATTACCCATTTCGGGTCTATTTAATATATTAATTAAGATATTTTTATGTTCCAGCAATATTATTTATTTATATCTAATCTTTTTTAGTCTAATATGTTTTATGTTGTTAATGTTAAAGGATATGTATATGAAAAATAATGATAATTTTTTAATATCTATTTTTTTATTTAATTTTTTAAATTATGCTTTTTTTTTACTTATATTATTCCGCTTTAATAATCTTTTATTTTATTAGATGTTTAATTTGTGTTTGTAAATGAAATAAAATCAACTTCATTTATTTCATATATATCATGCAATATTTATATTTATGCGACCTTTTTTATTTTTTTAACTATTAATAAAAACTATATATTTAAGATCTTTATTATTCCTAATATTCCATAAAACTCAATATATTATGATGGTTCTTAATCAAAATACTTTTTATCTTTTTTATTTTTTAAAAACATATCTATATATAATTTTTAATGAAAAATCTAAAAAATAAAAATAATAATATTAAATATTTAATAATAATTATAAAAATACCTTTTTATTTTATTTATAATGTTGTTCTATCAATAATTAAGTTTTTATTTAAATTTAAAAACTATGCACTTACAGATGCTTATACCTAATAAATTTATTTAAAAAATATGTATTTGAATATTATTTATATATATTTTTTAGTTAAATATTAATTTTATTTTTTGTACAATAAAACTTTCATTTGTAATATATAATTTAAAAGGTTTCTATTAATTTGTTTATTAAGATTATTAATTACAAAAATTCATTTATGTTTGTATATAATTTTTATTTACAAAAAAAATAAAAATAAAATATATAATATTTTTTTAAAAATAAAAACTAAAAATAATAAAAAAAAAAGTTTAATTAAGATTTCATATATATATTTTACTAGGCATAGAAAACAAAAATATTAGGTATTTATATAAAAATAAAATAATATTATTGATTGATTTGCATATACCATTCTTTAGACTAAATATTTTTGATTTTTTGATTTTTTTAACCTTTCAAAAATAACAATTTTTTTTTTAAAAATAAATAACAAATAATTTATTTATAATAAAACAATAATATTATATATAATTTTAAATATATTTAACATTTAGCAAAATATATATTATTAATTCGAATAATTAAATTTAATTATTTTTAATGAAGATTTTAATTTTTTATTCAAACTATTATTATATTAATTTTTTTTTTATTTACAATAATTATTTAAATAATTTTTTGTGTAAATAAAAGAAATATAAGAAAAATTAATATCATTTAGAATATATAAATAATATATATAATTTATTCATTTTACTAGACTATATAATTTTTTTTTTTATATTGAAATTTAATTTTAAAAAATAATATAATATTCTCTTTAATAATTAAACTAATTATTTATTTTTGTTATAAAAAAAAATAATACAAAAATATAATGATAAATTACAAAATCCTAGAATTTATTGCATTTCTGTTATTTGTTGGATATTTAGTATATGAATATAGTCAAAAAAGTGTACCCTTATTTATAAAAGTAATAGTTTATTTTTCTTGGTTAATATCATTTGGTTTTGTATTTATTTTACCTTTAGATATTTATTATGTAAATAATTGAAAAAAAAATTGAATTATATATTATATAATTTAAAAACAATAAGCATAATATATTTAAAAATAAAAATTAAGTCTTTGTTAAATGAAGAAATCAAATAGTAATTTTTGAAAGAAAATAATGATTTATAATAATATTAAGATATATATCAAATTTATGTAATATACATTATTTGGAATTCTGTTTATTGGATAAACTTCTTTTTATTATGGTAATATTTATTATTTTGTGCAAAATTGCATAAAATATTTTATTTATTTAAATTAAAATAAAAAAAAGGCTTGTTTTACCTATTTTATAAGAATACGAAGATGCCGGAGAATTTACAAAAGAGCAAAAATTAAAAAGATCATTAGTAAATAATTTAATTATATATGGAATATTTGGAGTTTTTGGAGGATTATTTATGGCATATTTATTTTATATAGGATAAATGAAAATGTAAAGATATAAAAAATTAAAAAAGATAATATTATATAATTATAAATAATTTTTAAAAATTAAGAATATACAAATTAAAATTTAAAAATCAAATAATTATTTTTTTTATTTATAAATTTTATATTTTTTTATTAGAGAATCTATGATGGACTTTTTTGCTTGCTTATCAAATTATTTGTATAAAAAATAAATTTATATTAAAATAAAATTCATATATAAAAAAGTGGTTAGCTTTTAGTTGTATTACTTTTAGGACATGGACTAGTAGCAATTCCTAGAAAGTATTTAAATTTAAGAAGTTAAGAGTTAAATCTGTAATATTACTAAGGTTAAGCAAAATCAATCGAAGCTAATCTTTTAAAAAGCAAATTCTAAATTGAATATACAATAAAGCAATTATATTTTATTAGAGAATAATTTAAAGAAACTGAATATAGTTAACTTTGTGACTATATAATAAAAGTAATACCAAAGTCTTTAAAAAATTAAATAGAAAAACAATCATTAATTGATGAAAAATTTAAAGGATTAAACGAAATAAATATGAATAAAATAATATAGTTGCATAAAGAAATAAAGAAATAATTAGGAGATTATTATCGAAACGAAACTAAATGGAATATGTTATTATAAAATATTTTTTTAATAGAGGATATATTAGAAAACTAATACTCTATAAATAATAAAATACGTTCTACTTTTTGGGTTGAAAGAAGGGATTTAATAGGAAATTTTTTTGATAAATTATAATGGTTATGGTATGTAAAGTTAAAATCTAAAATATTTTTTGGACTTGGTATTATTTTTTCTATTTCTAGCATTTTTATTGTATATTGTGAGCTTTGTATATTTTTTAATATTAATTAATATTAGAGTATTATAAATATTAAATAAGATTATTTTTTTATGCAATTATAAATGATAGCGCCTTTACTTTATATTTCTTTTTGTACATACTATGGACTTTTTAGAATCTAATATTCAGGTTTTTATTGCTTTTTTAAACAATAAAATACTGATGGACCTTCTCTACTTTTTGGTTCTATTAATTTTGCAAGAGTAAGTGTTGCTTTGTGTACTAATTTTCTTAAAATTGTTAGAGTTAATAATACAACTTATGAAAAAGTTATGGGTTAATTTGATTTTTAAATATTTGGTAAATTTTCTATTTTTTTCTTTTCATTTATCCTTGTCCTTTTCACTTTACTAAATCTGTTTGACATATACGATAATCTTTTATAAAAATTTAATCTTCATTAGTTTGAATTTACTCCTTAGTCAAAACCTGATGATATTGAAGAAGGCAAAAAGATATTATATAAAGGTTTTACTTTTCTTATTAATATAATTTTTTTATTTATTTTTTTAGCAAGATTATAGTAGGAAAGATCACTTTTAAGTAGGTAGTCTACAAATTTAAATAACTTTGCAGGTTATATGAATAATTTTAGTATTAATAGTTTCAGAGTATCACATTTTTACCATAATGATGAAGAAAACAAAATAAAATAAGAATAAAAAAAGGCTAAATAAATATTTTTCAAAAATCCTAAATATATGAATTAATAAGATGATATTATAAAAGTTTGATTTTGTTTTTTTTTTAATTTTTTATTTTTTCGTACTTAATAATTATATATATTATTTAAAAAAAATAATAAAAATTAAAAAAACTTTATTTAATTAAAAATTATATAAAACATAGTACTATATTTATAATATGAAACAAAAAATTATTTAAATATACAATTAAATAAACTTGAAATTTTAAGATAAGTAAATAGAAGAATTATACAAAACTTAATTTTTAATATAATATCAAACTAAACATTTATATTATACTTGTTTTATGATATTATTTTTTGCACTAGTTAATTTTATAATTTCAATAGTAAGAGAAGATACAGTTCATTTACTTTTATATGGATTATAATTAATATTATCGATTTCTACGTTCGTAATAGGAACAAAATTTTAATAATGTCGTTTAATATTTATATTAATATAACAGCTATATTTTATAGTTATAAATTCATATTTTATAATGGTAAGTAATTAAAATGAAGAAAAATAATATTATATAATAGTATTATTATCTTTATATAATTCAATTCATTACAGATTATAGTATTAATATTCTTTTTTATTTTCCTTGGTTTTATTAATAACTTTATTAATATCTTTTCCTTAATATGATTATTCTTAGTTATGGCAAATATGGATACTAATAGCTTTTTTGTATTTTTAACTATAAATATATATAAATGAAAAATTAAACAGAAATTTATTTTAATTACAATTGGAATAATACGACTCATTTCTAATATCATAAAAAGTCATATAAAAATCAAATGAAATTGAATAAAAGAATAATGTTAACATTAATTCTGCTAATAATAATGAACCAAAAAGTTAAAGAAGAGGTAGTTATTAATTAAATAAAAAATTAACAGAATTACATGTAACAAATTAAAGTGTGAGAAACTTAAATATAAACTCACCTTTAAACTTTAAATTTAATATAAAAAGTATTCTAAACAATTTACCTTTTTATATAATTCAAGCCTAATTTAATTCCTAAATTAAAGAAATAGATTATATTGATAGTAATTTAAAAGCAAGAAATGAACTTAATGTGATTGATAATTAAACTTTTAGATATTTTGCATAAAATTTTTCTATAAGGTAAATTTATGACAAAGGTTAATAGTAAATATGTAATATTTCCATATAAAAATATATAATTTAATGTTATGCATAAGCTGTGAAAGATGCATAAAGTCCTATAAAAAATTAAAATAATTAATAAAACGAAAATATTTACCATATTTATAATCGAAAAACATTAAACGAGAATGATGAAAATTATTAATTTAAATAAACTTATTTTGAATGTGTAGGATTTTTTAATAAAAAATAAATGTTCGTGAAAGTAAAAATAGTTAACTCAAGTCAATTTGTATTGTTAGTAGAATATTAAAATTAAGAAATGAGATTTTTTGATAAAATTAAATAAGATTATTATCTTTAATTAACCTATTTTTTATAAAAGATAAGTACGAGAACTGAAGAAATGTTATAAATAATGTAATCTTTACCCAAATTCAATAAATTAATATAATCTTAATGTTTAATGTTAAATAATTATGTGACCAATTTAAAAATATATTTTTATCAAAACCTTTAAAGAAAGTTAGAGCTTAATGTAAAATCTTTCTATTTAAAACCCTTTCTTTAAAATATAAAATAAATATTATTTAAACTTAGATAAAAAGATGTAAAATTTATCATATTAAATAAACTTCCAATTTTCACAGATATATTATAAACCGATCCTTATTATTTAGGATAAATATTATTGAATATATTAGAAAATTCACTTTAGAATACAACTAAAGGTTATGTTATTTTAAAAATTTAACTCAGTTAATAATTTAGTGATATTATTTAATTCGAAATTATAGATACTGGAATCGGGTTAAATTAATAAGTACTAGACGCAATTACAAAAAATTAAATACAAAATGATCATTTATAGAATAAATTAGGATTAAAAATTGCCTATAGGCTTATTTAACTATTAGGGCCGAATTAATAAATATAAATAAAAACAGAAGAAAATAAAGGCTCTAGGATAAGCTTTCTAATTAATAAGGAATTATACTTAACTAATTAATATATATATAATAATTTTATGGAAATTAATTAAGAATTGTTTAATTTTAATAATTTCTGTAATATCTAAGAAAAAGATGATAAATAAGAAAGTTTACTTGGTTTAGGAGAAATTGAACCTATAAATGATTTAACTTACTAAAATCAAAATGAAATTGTTCTTAATTAATTTATACCTAATTTAACGCCTTTTAAATATTAAAAAAAAGATTTTAATGAATTATAATAATTTAAAAAAAAATATATTGAAGAAGAAAAAAATGAAAATTTATAAAAAATAAACAATAATAAAGATATTAGTTAATAGTTTTCTATTACTATTTAATAAAGTAATCAATAAAGTCCGATAAGTAGTTATAGAAGTATTTACTAAAATATGAGCAATAATGTAAATAATAGCAATTATCAAACTAATAACGTAAGTAATCAGGGCATTACTTATTATAAAATTCCTGATTTTTAAAATATATCAAAAGATTAATCTTAAAAATATAATTCTTGAAAATATATAAATTTATTTAAAGTATTTTAAAGGAACATATTAATTGTTTTTATATTTATATAATTTTGTTTATTCTTAATAACGATAAATTTTTTTAAAAAAAATATTTTAAATTTATAATTTTATAATTTGAATTAATTAATATCATTTTATAGAGTTATAGAAAAATAAAAAGTTTTAATGTATTGCTTTAAGTTGTTTTAAATAAAAAAATGGATATATATATATAAAAAATAATAAATCAAGTATTTATAATAAAGAAAAATATGCAATTTAAGAAGAAAAATATATAAAAAATTAGTTTATTTAAATATTATTCAAAATATAATATAAAACTAATAATTAAAAAGCATAAATAATAAAAAAAAAAAAACAATAAAAAAAAAAATAATGAATAGATTAGGCAACAATGTATTTTATATAAGAATTTAATATTTAGTAAATAAAAATAATTTTTTTTAAAAAAGAACAACCAAAGATTGCCAACATAAGAAAAAGAAATAATACCAATTATGATAGGAGCTTCAAGATTATAAACTTTAGGTTCAATAAAAGATTCAGATTAAAAAAATAAAAATTAAAAATTGAAAGTATTATAAAAATAAATATAAGAAATTAATAAAATTATTATAGTAAATATATACATATAGTATTGATAATAATAAAGTAATCGGTAATGGTACATTTGGAGTAGTATATTCTGTAAAAAAAAATATAAAAAAAAAACAGATAATAAATTTATAAAATTATATATATATATATATATATATATATATATATTTATATATATATTTAAATATTTATTTAAATATTTATTTTTTAATTTTTATTTAAATTTAAATTTTTTTTTAATGTATTACTATAAAAAAGGCTATTAATAATTAAACTGGTGAAAAAGTAGCTATAAAAAAAGTTTTCTAAGATCAAAGATACAAGAATAGAGAATTATAAATGATGAAAGAAATTGGTTATCATACAAATTTAATAAATTTAAAACATTATTTTTATACAAACGGTGATAATAATAGTGTAATATTTTAAATAATTTTTAAAATTTAATATAAAACATAAATAAATATAAGCCAGATGAATTATATTTAAATTTAGTAATGGACTATATACCTGAAACATTATATCGAGTAGTTAAATATTATAGTAAAAAATAGAAAGGGAATTTCCCAAATATACTACTAAAATTATACTCATACTAATTAATAAGGGCATTAGGTTATATATAAACTCTTGGTATTTGCCATAGAGATATAAAACCAACTAATGTATTAGTTGATCCCAGAAACCATTCTCTTAAAATGTGTGATTTCGGTTCTGCAAAAAAATTAATTTCAGGAGAAGCTAATATATCTTATATATGTAGCAGATATTATAGAGCGCCTGAACTTATGTTTATGGCTACTTAATATACTACTTCTATTGATATATGGTCTGTGGGTTGTGTTATTGCTGAAATGGTTTTGGGAGAACCTATTTTTGCAGGAGAATCTAGTGTTGATTAATTAGTAGAGATTATTAAAGTATTAGGAACTCCTTCAACTTAATAAGTATTATTATATATATATATATATTATTTATTTATTAATATGTTAAAAAAATAAAACAGATTTAAATTATGAACTAAGATCATTAATAATCTAAATTACCTTAAATATAACCCACTCCTTGGAACAAAGTATTTTAAAATTGTAAAGTTGATCCTCTGGCTGTTGATTTGATTTCTAAAATGCTTATATATAATCCAGAGAAAAGAATTAAACCTTTATAAGCTTTATAACATCTTTACTTTAAAGAAATAAAAAATTCTAAATGTAAAATTAATGGGAAAAATTTACCTGAATTATTTGATTTTACCATTGGTTTTTTATTTTATTTTTATATTATTTTTATATATTTAATTATTAGATGAGGTGTTTAATAGAGAAGATTTATTTAAAAAATTAGTTCCTGATTGGTATATAAATAGAAGAGTCACTGAATCAGATTAATATTAAAATAATGAAGAAACAATATATTGAAAAAAAAAATTGTTAATAATAAGTAAGTGTTTATACAAAAATATTATTATTATTATTATTTTATTTGTTTAATTTATAAATTTTTAGTATCTAATGTAATTATATAATTAAGTATTAATATTTTCATTTTAATTGTTTATTATTTTATTTATTTTTTAAAAATGAAATACTTAATTTTTATTTTTTTATATAAAGTTTATTTAATTTATATTTTTTTATAAAATTATTCATTCTTAATCTGGACTATTTATTGCTATTGCTATTTGATTACCTTAATAATCTCTAATTGCTTTTGACTTTTGATAAAAAAAAATAAAATAAAAACAAAAAACAAAATTATTTTAATTAAAAAACTTACTTTAATAAATCTTAATAATTCTTTATTTGATAAATTTAATTGTCTTTTTAGTTTGCCATAAAATTCAGTATTCATTGATTGCGCTATAATTATAGAATCAGCTTCTGCTTTTCCTTATTATTCAACTTATTAGGCATCACCTTTTGCATAATTCTTTTTTTTTTATTTAAAAATTATTTAAATAAAAAATATTTTATACTATAGTAATTTCTTTTTAAAATTAAGCACTCATCTTAAGAGTTTCTAGCTCGACTAGTGTTCGACTTTTTTAAGCTTAAGCTTTTTAAATATTTTATTTAATAACTTCGGAAACTTAAATAGCTTTTTCGAATTCATCAGGTAAATCAACAGATCTTAATTAAAAAATTCTATAGTAGAATAACAATATATTTTAAATTATTTATTTAAAGCTTCTTGCATTTTCACACCTATTCTTTAAATATCAACAAAAAAATTGTATGCGGTATATTCAGTTGTCTTTTTTTATTTTTTGAAATAAGTATGATTAAAATTAAAAAAATACATTTTCTGTTAATGTATGAATAGCTATATGTGAGAAAATATTTGAATAATTTTCTCTATAATTATTATATAACTCAAATAAATCTTCATATATAAGCCTTTAAAAAAAATACTAATTTTTAATTTTAAATTTATTTTTTATTTTATATTATTTAAAATTAACTTATATTAAAAAGATATTTCTAAAATAACTTCTAAACCATCTGATGTTCTACTTCTTATAGGACCATAATCAGCTCCTTAATGATTACTATACTCTAAATTCAAAACTGTTTTTGGAAATTTTATAAAACTATGTCCAACACCTAAAAAATGTATTCCTGCTGAATAAGGCTTTTTTCCAATCTATTATTTTTTTATTTTTTAAAAAAAATAATTATTTTAATTTATATAATACTGATTTAGATATTGAACTATAATCAAGACCGTATTCATTTACTTCTAATGAGTTAAAAGATGATAATAATAATGTAAAAAGTGTAATTATAGATATTCCAAGGCAAACTAATTTATTATTTTTAAATAATTATCTATGTATTATAGTAATTTGATTAATTACTAACGCATATTTTTGTTGAGAAATCCATTTTTCTTAAAAAAAATTTTATGATATTTATATAAATATTTTAGAAAAATATTATTTATAAAAAATCTAAATATTTAATTTTTTTTTTATAAAAAAATACTTTTTAAATAAATATTTTAATATAAATATATGTAAATATAAAATAATAATTTTTTATAAAGATAATAATAAGATAAATAATATAAAAAAAATAATAAAAACCAAAAAAAAAAATAAATTGTAATTTATGTAATTTATAATAAAGTTTTAAAAAATATTTTAGCTAATATAAAATTTATGTAAATAATAATATAATAAATTTATTATGATAAAAAATATAAAGAAATTATATGAAATAAAGATAAATTAAATTAAATTAAATTAAAAATATAAAAAAATTATATGAAATAAAGAAAAATTAAATTAAATAAAATATAAAGAAATTATATGAAATAAAGAAAAATTAAATTAAATTAAATAAAATATAAAGAAATTATATGAAATAAAGAAAAATTAAATTAAATTAAATAAAATATAAAGAAATTATATATTAAATTAAATTAAATTAAATTAATTAAATTATAAATAATAATAATACTTTTGTTATTTTCAATTTATTAACTATTAATATTAATACTAAAAATTTTTTTAAATTATTTCATTCTAATATATAATACAAACTTTTTTATTATTTAATATTTATATTTTTTTTTTTTAATAAAAAAATATTTTTAACGATATAAAGTTGTATCTTTTTTACTTTTTTATCAAATTTTTATCAATTTTTTTTTATATAAATAAAATTTTATTTATAAAAAAATTAAATAAAAAATTATTTTAAAATATACATATAGAATTATTTAAAAAAAAAAAATTAATATAGAATAATTCATTTATAAAAATTAATTATATAAAATATTAAAAGTATATTTTAAATAATAAAAACTAAAATTTTTTTATTAATTTTTATATAAATAAATGGATAAATTATAATTACCTCATGCTAAGTTATTTTATTATAGTGCAGAATTATATAAAAATGGTACAATATCAGAAAATGAGAAACTAAAGTTAAAAGGTATTAAAAAAAAACAGTAAAATATTTTTTATTTAAAAAATAATAAGAAATGGTAATAAATGATGAACCTGAAATATTTGAAATATTAGAAAGTTATTAAAGTAATGGAAACGAGTCTTATTTTACAAACGGATTATTATGCTTATTGAGACCGAATTAAAAGCATCTTTATTAAACTTAAAATACTTAAAGTAAAAATAAATAAAATTAAAAAATATTAAAAAAAAGATGATATAAAAAAAAAATAACTTTAATAATAATAAGAATAATAAGTATAAACATAATAATAAATTTAATAATAGTAACAAGTTGAATAATAATAAGTATAATAATAATAATAATAATAATAATAATAATAATAATAATAATAATAATAATAAGTTACATAACAATAGTAATAATTACATAATTAATAATAGGCTTCAACTAATGTTTAATAATAACTTAGCGAAAACAAATAATCTAATTAGGAAATAATATATAACAATAATATATTAGATGATAAATAATCTTATGAAATTAGAAGAAATTTCATTAATAATAATCCAAGTGTTCCCGAAGAAGTACTTTTTTTATTTGTATAAATTTTTATTTAATTTACAAAAAATAGATTTCCTCTCCATTAGGTCTTAAATTATATAAAAGAAAAAGAAATTTAAAAAAAGCAGATCCTTCAATTAAAGATTATTTAAAACCATACAGCGCTGCATCATAATCCTGAAATTGAGGATTGAATATTTTTAATATAATCAAAAATAAAAATTTATTACGTAAATAAACAAACAAAATTAAAATAAATATTAAATAAAAATGTAAAACTTAAAAATTTAAATGTAATATTTTTTTATTTTTATTTTTTTTAGTAAAAGTAAAAAAATTATATTTGATTTAAATTTTATATTTTATTAGAATAATATTAAATAAATATAAAATAAAAAATAAATAAATATATATTTATATAAATAAAATCAATCTTATCCAAAAATGAAAACAAAATGATCTATTAAAGTTTTTGCTGTAGCAACATAACCCGAAAAGGGAATAATTTTTATTAAAGCTCTATAATTTGGATAAACAATAAACTTTAACATATATTCTATTTTCTAAATATCTAATTCAACGGTTCCTCTAAGTTTATAATTTACAAATTATTTAGTATTTCTTTATTAAGAAAACTCTTCTAAAGTTATGTTTTCTTTAAATTAAGGCAAATATTTCTTGAAATAATTAGGGCTTCTAATAACTTTATTATTCAAAATAAATATTTCGCTTTTTATTATTTCATCCCTTTTTAATTACCATTTTACTTTAAATAATTAAGAATTATCAGAAAAATCTTTAAAGTTTATATATTTAGGTAATAAATTTGGTAAAAACAAATTGAAATAAAATTCTCTTTAGTTAATAGTGCCACTTACAACTGCGTTTATTAGTCCATAAGGTTATCTTGAATAATTTAAAATCCCTTCTACTTTAATTTGTTTTTTTATTCCTATTTAATCTGGAAATAAATCATTTTTTAGATATAAATTAGAATCTATATTTTATTTAAAAAACAAATAAGAAAAAATTTAATTAATTTATTTATTATAAAAATAAATACTTTGATCTCCTTCAAATTTCAATTTAAAGTTTTCAACTGTAAAGCCAGACTTTTTTTAAAAAAATAAGATAAACAAGACATTAATTTATAAAAATAAATGATTTACTTTATTTCCTAAATATAAATTACACTTAATAACATACCTCTAAGTATTAATATCAAGTATTTTTTCCGAAATAGTCCCGACTTAAAAATCATGAGAATAAATAAGAATACTTTTTTTTTTTAAATTCGCTACTTTAAATCTTCTAATAATTTAAGGAGTTATTTTATAATTATTAAAAACTTTAAAACTATTCTTTTAAACCATATAAAGAGTACCTCTATGTTCTTTTTAATTTATTTGCATATTTTTCATAGGAAAATCGAAAACAGAAATGTCACTTTTACCTTTAATTTATTTTTTATTTAAATTTTTTTTTTTTTAAAAAAAAAAAATATTACTTAAATCAGAAAAATCAACATAATTATCTTAAAAAAATCCAGATCTATTAATATATTTTTAACTAGATTGAGTTTTTAATGTGTTTTTATTTGCAATTTTAATTTAATATGAGGTAGATTATAACTAATTATCATAATCATTTTTAGGTTAATTATTATTATTTTTAAGCTAATTATTATTATTTGTTGTTTAATTATAATTATTAATATCATTTTTAAATTGATTACTATCGTTTTAGTTTTTGTTAATATTTGCAAATGTCGGAAATTCAATATTTTTTTATTCTAAAGACTGTTGTTTTTTAATTTGGGTTTATTATTATTATAATTATTATTATTACATTAATTATTATAATTATTTTTATTTTTCGTAATCTATTTGTTATTAGTATTCTTCTTCTTCTTTTCTTTTTCTTTCTTATTCTTCTTTTTTTATTCTTATTTATTCTTCTTTTTTACTTCTTTCGTATTCTTCTTTTATTTTAATCTCTTATTCTCTCTCATATTCTTGATTTTAAAATGTATCTACTTAAGCTCCTTAAGATTCGAATTAATCTAAGTTATTTCCCAAATCATCCTAAACTTGATTTTGTAAAATTTTTTAAGTTTATAAAAATTATGATTATTATTCTTATTATTAAGATGCCGTTAATTTTTTTACAGGCATTTTTTTCGTTTCTTAAAAGTTTTAAGGAACAAACATTGGAAATGCTATTTTTGCTTCTTCTAAAGTTAGCTTTCTGAATTTTTCATAATCTATTTATTACTTTTTTAACATTAAATGATAGTCTAAATAATTATTATAGTATTCAGATATCGCAAATATTTATTATTAATCATCTAGTTTATCTAATTCATCTAAATCAATATTTTGAATTTAATTTTATATATTTTAAATATCTGGTAAATTTGCATCTAGGGCTAAATATTTATAATATATAAAAAAATATAAATAAATATATTTGTAAATGCATATATATAAAAAATTAAAATTAAATATATATTTATATATATATATATATATATATATATATATTTATATGTATTTATTATATTAATTATTTAATTATTATATTTTTTTATTAATTTAAAGTCTTTATTATAATACAAATTTTTTTTTTTGTATTAAGATTTTTAGAAAAAATACGAAAATAATTTAAGTATTTGTATATATATATATATATATATATATATATATATATATATATTACCTTCATAAAGAAAATCTAAGGCTTGTTCTTCAGTTTCACATTAATCTACAAATTCTAATATTCCTATCATTTAATTTTATGCTTTTAACATTAAATCAGCTATATTAATAAAACAAAAATATAATAATTTTTTTTTTATAAAAACGTATGCTTGAATTGATTGGTTTAGGTTTACTAGCAATTTATTTCGATTCTTGTACAGGCGCAGCAGCTTTTTTTTCTTCGAAAAATAAATAACTATCAGGAAATTAAATATTTTATTTTTTTAAGTTCTCTTGAATTTATATAAATTATAATTTTTTTCCATTTTTATCATTTTCCCAAGTTTTTGCCCATTTCATAATACATTCCATACATAATCTAATAATTTAAATACCAGTATATTCATCTAATAATAATAAAAAATTTATTTTTATTTTTATATATATATTTATATTAATAAAAAAAAATATAAATAAGAAATTTTATTTTATTTATATTTTTTTTTACTTTCTTTATACATTGTTTATCCTCTTGTTTCTTTTTTATTTCCTTTATCAAATTCACATATTTCTTATATTTTTTTTAAAACAGAATGCTTTAATAAACTAACTACAAAATCAGTATTCGATTTTTAATCTTGGGGAGTTACACAATCTTTTAATAGCTATTTTTTGTTATAAATAAATGTTAAATTATTTATTATTATAATAAATCTATATTTTTACTAGCATAGCATAAAATTTGTTTATACCCTTATGTTTCTTACTACCTAAGACATCATTTATTTTATCTAATACTTTATTATATTATTGTCTATTTATTTTAATATATTTAAATTTATATTATTTAATAATTTATACTTATCTTTTTGCTTTAAAATAATATCCATTATTTCGTTTCTTTTCTAATAATAACTATTATCCGATTCTATTATTTTTTCAATTGTATTTGAAATATCAACCATTTTTAAATAAAATATTTTCACAAAATTTAAGTTATTTATTTATTATATAATAAAAATTATAAATAAAAATAAAACTATAAATAAAATAATAATTATTTAATTTAAATTATAATTACATATATAATTAATTATATATTTAATTATCAATTTATATTTTTTTAAGTTAATTATATATTTTTTAAAAAAATTAATAATTTCAAACTTATTTTATTAAAAAATAAATATTTTTGTTGCGTTTTCTATAATTATTAGTTATATATTTTGCTAATAATTTTCTTTATTATATTTTTTTTTTTATTACAATTATAAAAAAATTAAGAAAACTAAAAATTAATATATATTTGTTTATTAAAATAAAAATTATTATATTTTTTTTATATCAAAAATTTTTTAACAATTTTTTTTTTTAAAATAAATAGTTACCTTTATATATTTAAAACCAAATTAAAGGTTTTTTATTAGTCCTTAAAAAAAATATAATATATATATTTTTTTTTATATTGTTTCTACTATTATTATTAAAAATAAATAATATTTTATGTCATTATATTTAAAAATAATTAAATAAGTATATATTTTTTTTTATATATTAATTTTCTAAAATAAATAAACTGAACATTTTTAAAAAATTAAATTTTATAAAATAAAAGGTACACATTCAGAAACATAACAAAAAAAAGAACACAGAACACAGTTTAATTACATATATAAAAATATTTTTTTTTTGTTTAAAAGTAAATTCATATCAAGAAGAAGAGAATTTAGTAACGGCTTTAGTTCCTTCAGAGATAGCGTGTCTAGCTAACTCACCAGGTAATAAAAGTTTAACAGCAGTTTATACTTCACGGGAAGATAAGGTTCTTCTTTTGTTGAATCTAACTAATTTGGAACCTTCAAGGGCGATTCTTTCGAATGAATCATTAATGAAAGAGTTCATTATATTCATAGCTTTTTTTGAGATACCGACATCAGGGTGTACTTATTTTAATACTTTAAAGATATAAATGGCGAAAGTTTCAACTCTTTTTTTGTGTCTTTTAGTTTATCCTTTGTTAGCTTATTATTTTACTTTCTTTTCAGTTGCTGCAGGGGCTTTGTTTGGGGCCATTTTCTTTTTTATTTAATTTTTTTTAATTTTTTAATTTTAATATTAAATTCTAATTAATTATTTATTATCTTTTTTTTAAATTAAAAATTAATTAATATAAATATCTGTATCTTAAAATTCATTAAATATGATTGGAGAGTTTTTTTTTAAAAAATAATATATTTTTATAAAATGTTATTTTTTATTTTTATAATTTAAAATTATTGAGGGAAAAACATAATATTTAAAATTTATAAGATTTAATATTTTTCTTTTTTACAATCTATTAAGTTGTTTATTATTTTTGTTTAAGTTAAAAGAAATATAAAAAATAAAATTTAAAATTAAAATATTAATATTTTTTTTTTAAGAGATGTTTTAAATATAAATTTCAATATAAATACATTTATTAATTATTATTTCATTATATATTGAATTATTTTATTTTAGATATTCATTTTATTCAAGAAAGGTCATTTATTAATTTCTAATCTTCTTATAATCCCCAATTAATTTTATATTTAATTAAATTTATATAAGGAATAGAAGAAAGATAGTTTTTCTTTATTTTTATTTTTTTAAATAAATAATAAACCAATACTAAATTAATAAATTATAATTTTTTATTACATGAGCTAAATAATATTTTGTTAATTTTTAGCAATATGGATGTTCTTCATTATATTAATTATATAATATAAACTTTCTTAATAAAATATTAAGATTTTTAACATTATTATCAGATAAAACAGAATTATTAATTTAAAAAAAAAATCTGTTTAAGCTTTAGTCTATAACACTATATTTTTAAGTATAACTATCAATATAATACTATCTAAAATCTTTTAGAAATTAAAATAAGAATATAATAGATAAATAAAATATATATATATAAATTAAACCTTCTGCTGGTAAATCGGAATTAAATTTTATTGAAAAATTTATAAAATGATTTGTTTTGCAATATAACATAAATATTTCTGATTCATTATTCGCTATTTTTGTTTCTTCACTAACCTTTCAAAAATATTTTTTTTTATTTCTTTATTTTTTTAAAATAATACCATTCTTTGCTTTAATAATTAAACATGTAAAATCATTATATTTGAATGAATTTCTGGATTTTCCAAAACAAAAGGAAATTATTCTTATATATAATTTGTTTCATTTAAAAATTCAAATAATTCATAAGATAAATTGTAACTTGGTTCTCTTCATATTTTTTTTTATTTTTAAATATTCAAATTATATTATATATTATGTATTATACGATAATGTATAATTGCCAAAAATTTTACTAAGAAAACCTTTTTTTTATTATGTATATACCTTTTTATTTTATTATTTTTTTAAAAATATGAGTTTTTTTAATTTAAAAATAAACTTTTTTGGGTATTGGAATAAACTTTTATGTTTAATTTTAATTTGAAAAATTAAAAAGCAATTTAGTATATTTCATTTTGTAAAGTTTTTTTTATTTATAAATATTAAACAAAAATACATATATGTTAAAAAATTATACTATTTATAAATGATTAAAATAAGTATTTTTAATTATTTATTTTTGTATATAATTAATTTTTATAATATATATTTATAAAATTAATATTTATTTAAATATTATAGTAAAATTATTATAAAATTTATTGTCTTAAGTCATAAAAAAAAATGTATTCATAAGTTTAATTTCATATTTAAAAAAATTGGAAATTTGGAATCTTTTTAAATCAGAATTATTATAAAGTTTTTTGAAAATTAGTTTTTTTTACTGTTAAAATTTTTTAATCTATTTTTAATTAATTAATTTAAATATTATATAATATATATTCAAAAAAAAAAAAAACAAGAAATAAATATAATATTTAATGAAGTAAAGAGTTATAGTTTTTACTAATCTTAAAGTTAAAAAAACATATAAATACATTCATTTTAAAAAATATTAATTATTTTTTTATTTTCTGATTTATATATTTCTCAAAAATATTAATTTTATACAAATAGAATAATAGATTTATTATTGAAGACAATCCAAACTAGCAACTTTATTAAAAAATAAACATATAAAAAGACCATATATTATATTTAACAAGTAATAATAAAATATGTTTAAGTAATACCATAATTATTTATTAAAATTAATAGATTAAAATAAGGTTTAGAGGTTATAAATGTTTTAAAATAAAACCTATTTATCTTAAGATATATTTAATATAGTTCCTTAATAAATTTAATCTTTAGTAGATATAGAGATAATTGATATTTAATCAAATAGTTACATTTAAATATGTTTATCAAGTAAAAATATTAATTTCACTCAAAAAAACATTAAAATAATTATAAATAAAATTAAAAAAGAATATGGAAATTTATTTATATATGTTAACGGATTTGATAATTAAAATACAGGATCTATTAAATAAAACTATTTTAAAGAAACTAACGAATTTGAAAAAAATAGTTATTTATAAAAGTAATAAAAATTAGAATTTTATTATTATTCATTATTTTAAACAAATTTAAAAGCATTAAACAGATTTCTTTGGGAAGTAAGAACATAGCGATAGCTTTAAATGGTTATAAATATAACATATAATTATTTTAGAAATATATTAAAAAATAATTTAAAAAAAAAGAAAATGGAAAAATATATATTCTCGATTAAATTGATTAAATATAATAAGATAAAAATATTCCTTAAATACTTAATATCGAAGAACAGTTTACATAATGTTAAATTTTAGGAAAAGACAAAATAATAGCTTTAAGTTAAAATGGGGATTTATTTATTATAGGCTTAGATTAATAAAATATGGAAAAACCTCAAGTGAATAAAATAAATAAAAATAGCGACATTCATTTTAGCGAATTTAGTATAAAAGAAAACTATGATTTTGGGTGTGTTTTAAACTAAAAAGGAGAATTATTTTTTTTTAATTTTGATTTTGAATGTTGCAAATATGAAGGAAAAAATGGCATTAAAAATATGTTTTTTTGTGAAGAAAAAATATATGGTTTACAGAAATATATGTTATTAGAATTTGAAATTAATATTTTGAAAAAAAATGTATTTTTTGATTAAAATCGATTTTAAATTTTGAAAGAAAAATAATTAAATATATTAAATTATTCTCCGAAAATTTATTAGTTTTCAAGAAGTGTTGAAGAAATAAAATTTATTTCATCAAATAATTCTTTATATTTAGCAATATATTTATGTAAAAAATAAAAACATATTAATATTATTGAAATAAATAAAAATAGAATAAATAGAATCTAAAAATAATAATATTTTTATTGATGAATATAGCATATTGAGTTTTTTTAATAATAGAAAATTTAGCTAAACTCCAAAATAAAATTCTTAAAATTAAATATTTAATTAAATTCTATAAAAGAAATAACCGATAAATGATTATAAATCTTGCTAATCATATAAAAATATGTAAATAAAAAAAAAATAGGTATTTTTTTGTTAAAAAAAAATATTAAAGATTTAATTAAGAATTAAATAGAATTTTTAAAGTAAGTAATAACTTAATAAATAAAAGCAAATTAAATGTAAGTTGTTAAATTTAAAATTAATAGAAATTCTTTTAAAGTAGCTTTAATAATGAAAATGAATAAATTATTTTAAAAAATAAATTAAAACATTTAAATTTATCAAACCCAATTAATAAAAAAAAAAAAGCCTTTTAAAAAATTAATATTGGGAAAATAAGTATACATTAAAATAATACATTATAAGCAACAGTAAAGTTGAATTAAAATATATCATAATAAAGCCAAAATATATAAATATAATTCGAGGATTTAAATCTTCCAAAAAAAGCGCCTTAGACGCAAAAAAAAAGCAAAAATATAGAATGTTTCCTTAAATTAATGTTACAAAATAATGAAAATTATACTTAATAAGACATTAAAAATCAAGAATAAAACTCAAAAAGTACTCAAAACTTAATTTATTCTTGCTAAAAAACATTTAAATCATTTAACATTTTAAACAAAAATAACGAATATAAATAAACTAAAAGCAACAGTAATATTTTCAGTAAATAAAATTTCTTATTTGATAAAAGTGATGAAAATAGTTTTATATTAAAAAATAGTACAAATATAATAAGTTAATATTAATTTGATAATAATTAATTAAAAAGCGAATATTTGAGATTCGAAAAAGAAATATTATTTAATAAAAAAACTGTTTTTTTACAATCAAAAAGTAATTAAATTATTGAATATAGAAATAAAAAAAGTGAACAAAATTATTTAGATGAATTTATAAAAAAACATAATTTAAACTAAAATAATAAAGGTTAATTTAATTTTAACATAAATATTAATTCTTCTTCTAAAAACAATAATAGTTTTCTTTTTTCTTCATTTTAAAAAATTAATAATGAATTAAATTCTTCGTTTTTTAATAGAAACAATCATTTTTTTAATAAAAAAATATAAAAAAAAAATGAATTTTCAGATAATTAACTAAAAAGTAGAATTTCTCTTATTTTAAAATAATCTTTTTCTTAATAATATTCTAATAATTTTTTTGAACATATAAAAAAATAAAGTCATTCTTAACATGTCTTCGATTTTAAAACAAACGAAATTTCAATTCCTCTTAAAATTCATAAATCGTAAAAAAGCTAAACATTTCATTAAAGATAACACACAAATAAAAGCGATACTTTGAATGCTTCATAAAGCTTTATTTCTGAATAAAAAAGTTAAATTTGTATCACTGATAAAATTATTAGCGAAAAGAAAAATAGTATTGTTTAAAAAAATTCGATTTCTCCTATTAAGAATATTAGTAAAACATCTTCTAAACCTCCTTAAAGTCCTTTTAGAAATATAATAAATAATTACAGTTTTAATAAAAATGAAGATAATTGTAATTTTAGTAATTTTTCATCTGTTTTGAAAAAAGAAAGTAAAGAAAATTCTCATTTTTTTGATAAAAATAATTAATTTATTAAAAATTATATTCATAATTTAGATTTTTAAAATGATAAAAATAGTTTATCTTAAAATAATTTATTTTAAAATCCTAATAATGATATTAA